TAGTACTATGCTTTAATAATTTTAATGAGTTTTTAAAGATTTATTGAGAGTCTTTATCTTCTCCAAAGTCTATAAAAGTCATATAACAATATTTTGCTAGACAGCTCTTTACTATTAATAAACATTGGTTCAAGTTCATGATGCTTTTAAAAGGTTGGTATTTTAAAAATCCAAATCCATATAAAGATCTATTTGAGTAGGGTTCGTAACTATAAATAGCTATATCTAGTACAAATGCTGATGAATTATAGCATTATAACTCTATGCAGATGTAATTGCTAACGGTAATTTCCTGTCTACTGGTATATAAAATATTATTGCTAAGAAATGCAGTGGATGTAGACAGACTAAAAGTTCAAAAAAAAAGAGCAAAAAAGGAGAATAATTTGAAGCCATATCATTGGGTGCGAGTTTTAATTAATTTTGCCCTTTTTTTTAATCGACTCTAATTGGCTAGTCTTCTTCCACTGCTACGGATTGAGAAGAGAAGCATTTTCTTTATGGAGAATATGTGCCATATACTGAAAGGTCTAGAAAAACTTGCAATAGGACGTTCTCACATCAGGACAGAGGCGGGATTATATGTACAACTTTGTCTAATATGTATTTTGAACTAATTTTGAACTTTTTTTTTAAAAAAAAGGTGTAGACAGTCGTAAATTAAGCTGATTTGCTAAGTTCAAGATGGATTTGTTTTACCTTTTTTTGCCCTTTTTTTTTAATTTTTAGTCTGTCAACACCAAAAGTATTGAAATAGTTAAATTTACAGTTCTTAAATAATTTGGCCCGTATGCTGGAGAACACCATATGAAAATTCAAAATTTGTTCAAATGTATACTTGATAGAATTAAGTGATCGTAATACCCATCTATTTCATTATGTAAAAACCTTTTCTTGTGGGGTTTTCTAGATCTTTTATCCTATAGTTCATCTTTTCCACCAAAAACATGATCTTCTTCTCAGCCCAAGTGGCAATAGAAGAAGACCAGCCAGTCAGAGTTGTTTGAACTTTTTTTTTTAAAAAAAATTCATCCAATAACATAGCTTACATTTTTGAACTTTTAATCTGTCAGTACCATTCCATTATTAAATTAAGTGTAATAGAGGTGTTATCCAGTGGAAAATTGAATATTTTATCCATTTTCAATGGAAACGGCGATTTAATTTCCAATGGTTGTTATACGTTTTTCTCGGTTGACGCGATTTAGTGGAAAATGTATGTGGAAAATTACGAATTTCCTAATTTTCCACTAACATTTTCCATTAATTATTTCCTGAAAATCAAGCCTATTCTCTCACTCTCAAATAAAGGTATAGGGTAGCCAGGAGCGCCTATTGTATATGTAATTAATTTATTTGATCTTTAAAGGTCGAATTTATTTAAAAAAGAAAAAGATTAAAATTTATGAAGATTTATTTTTCTTATATTTGACACAGTATGATGTTCTCATCAATTGATAAGTTTCCACAACTGCTGCCGGAGTGCTTTGTTTTTTACTGGGTTTGTCCAATCTTTATTTTGTAGAAGTCACACTTTTTCCATTAGATAACACCTCTAATAGGGGGTTTCACCAGCTTTGGATGTTGACTGTTGGATATAGCGGTAGTTTAAGCACCAGCCAATAATAATAAGTATTGAAAAAAGACTGGTGAAACCCCCTAATGACCCTTGGTTGATATGTTTTCTCTCATATACGTCAAAATTCATATGTACAATACGCTTGATTAGAGTACCCATAAATATAGTGCCTATGCCCAAATTCCTCACAAGTAAGTTAGACTTCTATAATTTGGTATCAAGATAAATACTTTTATATAGATTGATTATGTTTTATTTTTGACTTTGCTTCTATATGAACTTCGCCATCAATCATACATAAAGTACAAAATTTACAAAATTTCGGCTAAGTCACGACATCTAGAGTATCGAACTATTTTTTTAGATGCTTGGATGCTCGTTTTTCATTTTTTTGAAGATTCGTTATAGCCAATCATTTTCCGAATTAAACTACCGCTATATCCAACAGTCAACATTCAAAGCTGGTGAAACCCCCTAATATATGACTCTTGAATTTTTTCTTTACATTAAAAAGCATCTTTGCTTAAAGCTTAGAGAGGTTATTGAAAGTGAAAAAAAAGGTGGTTTGTATTCTCTTTGTATTGATATTTACAATTATAAGTTATGCCAAATATAAGTTTATAACGATCATGTTAATCGATGGTGCGAAAGAGAGAAAAGAGCTAATTAAGCAAAGTTCAACGTAATCCTTTACCATCAATCAATATTATGAGACAACATTCGACATCTCATTGCCACTGAATCAGAGAGAAAAAGAAAGAAAGATTCCGGTAAGCTCGGCAAATTGTATAGACCATATTAACCACACTCAAAACCTACAATCCTGACAACTGGAATGGAGAAGGGAAGATGCCACGAGAGAGAAAAAGAAAAAGGCTCCTGGACTCTTATCTAATATTAATAAGGAAAATTCTGTGAAATAATGCCGTCCTAGACGAACTAATTGAAAAAGCATGGTAATAAATAATAATCAAGGGCTTTGGGATGTTGTCAAACACATGAGAACACAGCTATGGAACCGGATGAAAGAAGGAACAATCCGGCTGAAGCAAACTTTTGTGGGTATACATATCCAAAGAGCTTCTTGTTTGTGACTGGGCTCTTACTCCTCAGCTGGTAAAGATGTTGATCTTTAACTCTACTTGGGATGTATTTTCTACACACATGTTTTCATCCCTCAATCTGGTGGCTACTAACAAGCGATATTCAGACAATTACCGAACCCCGTAATCCCAATGACATAGGACAATAACAGATATAACCAAACGACCTGATTCTATTTTCAGATGCTTATCAACTTTACAATTGTTCACCTTCAAGTCACTTTGACGAGATTAAAATTGAGAGTGCACCTAATAAATTACTTGCCAAAAAAAATGGGGGGTTTTTTTTCACTATCATTTTGCGGCTTTGCTTGAAGAAAGAATGGCACTCAACTGAAAAGTATTATTTGGATGAGATTAGTACTTCTTGAGACACCAAGAAGATATTTGGGAGGAAGAAGAAAAAGGCTGTAAAAAGGGGCTGTCCCCTATTTAATCCATTTACCGTTATTTTTATTATGTCCCCTTTTTCTTCAAGAGGCATAAAACATCGTATTTTATTTCATGAGGCAGAATCAAGGATTTCTTCATGGTTCCTGAGGGTAACTTCGGTTAAAATTCCTGCTACGAACCGCATGTTTTCTTTTAGAGCATTATATACTTGGATGACGTTTTGATGATCATTTGCCTGTATATAACCGTGAACAAAGGCTGTGATCGTGCGGTTTTCTGGTCACTTCACACCTTTCTAGGTTCTTATATGAATTAAGAAACAGACCCTTCAAAATTTACTCAAATGTAGATTGTTGAGTTGCATTAATTCTTCATAGACTCGCAAAACGTTGTTTTTTGAATACTTTGAATTCTTTTATGCATTCGAAGCTCTCGCTTCATCAACTACTATAGGGCAATCTATAGATTTTCTTATCAACAAGCTTCAAGATAGTTTTTCTTTTAATTTCTATATATATATATATATATATATGCTATTCACTAAAAGAAGAAGAAAGTGGGTTAAAGATCATTTTATAATTACAATTATTGCTATTGTTATAAAGTAAATATCTCAGGCCAAGTATAGCTTATATTGCTGTTAGAATTATATTTGAGAGCTGGATATCAGAGTAGCAACCTTTCATTTATTTATGTAGCAAAAGGAGTGTAGTATCAGATTGTTTGGGATGAGTCTAAAGGCAATCGAGTCAGTGAAATAAGTCCTTGTTAATCAAGCCACAAGAGAAATTTCATCTTGAAGACCAGAAGGATGTGTTGTTTTCTGGTACACATTATTAATATAATTATGTAAATAATTTGATGTGTGTCTGTGTAATGGACCGGTGCACGGTTGAAAGGGTCTCAATGGATCCGAGTCAAGCAAATCTTTTTCTTTAGTTTTTGGTTATTGCAAAAAAAATATATACATAAAACATATGAATAGACGCTTAATATATAAATATTTTTCTTTTACTCTTTAGTTATATGCTAATTTATGTACATGTATTTCTTTTATCCATAGGGTTTAAAGTAAGACTATCACAAAATAATCAACCGCTGTGGTAGACATATTAACAAAAAAGGAAAGTGCAAAGATGCCCCATGTGGTGCCTCGATGTTCTTCTTTTCTTTTTTTTGTATAGAATTTACTTCCCGGAACGTAGCACAGCTGTTACTCAAAACTAATTCCATCATAAATAGAATCCTTTCCAAAACTTATGAACATAAAGAAGTATGTTGGCGGACAAAATAAATTAATTTATATTATCGAACAACAATAATATAAAATCTTTTTTTTTATATAAAATAAAAAGCTTCTTGATCATAAACCTAATGCTATTTTGAGACGTTCTATTACACTGTGAATAAAGCACACACGATTAATTGTCTAAATTGAGTATCCTTAAACGTTTAAAGGACTTTTAGAATACAAAGAGAAGATATCAGACAAGATAGCAAAATATATATATATATAAACTATAATAAGTACGCTCATCTGTAAGCTGAAAATACAACAAGTCTACTTTTATAATAATTACTACAGCTATTGGGATGATTTTATTTTATTCCTACTACTTTTTTTTCCCTCTCATTACAGCTATACAACAGCAAGTTTATTACGATATATATGTATATATACATTTTAACAGTTTAAAGAAGTATATTATATATATATTATATATAAAAGTAAATCTTCGTTTAATTGTAGCTCAAACGGGCCAATGGTGGCTTACATTACTCAAACAGAAGACATCGCAATTTATTTAAGATTGATAATCCAACGGTGTATCTGACAATGACATTTATCTGTGACACATCACACCAAGCTTTGTACCCATATAAATTGAGATGGATAGCGAACTTCATTGACATACTGACCTCTTCTTTATTTCTTGTTATTTGGTACTTTCCTTCAACCAAAACAAAAAATGCGTCTGTCAATAATTGGTAAGATATAAAATCTTGCTATTCACCAAATTCAATACTAATAGATTATTATTATTATTATTTTTAAAAAAAAAGCATTTGCCGTTGCTACTGTTTTGTCGGTAGCAAATGCTAAGAAGCAAATTACATATAATGTTGTTTCTCTTGAGGGTGGTCAACAAGATATGAGTGTTATTGTCGACAATGTATCATATCCTCTCGTTCCTTCTGCAGAGGTTCCTATTCTCTATACTGGATCCGCGCCAGTTGCATCCCATGGCTACAAGTATGCTATTGGCACAGGAAGAAACAGCATGAAGGCCGAGTCTTTCACTCGCAAGAAGACCAATGAAACTACTCCAAACGAGACCTTTGGCCGCTCATGGAATACTCGAAAAGTTAAGACAGTCAAACCTATCTTCCCTCCACTCCAAGCTATAGACCGTCTCGACTCTCCTTTGCACATTGACGGCGAGATCCCTACAGTATATCTCTCCGGAATCCAAAGCGAGTTAGACAACATGCACATCAATGCCATGCAGGATATCACTATCCCAATAAACTTTACGTATATCAGGTAAATACAATACGAACGTTTGTTGTTGTTACTGTTATTGCTGTATACTAGGAACAATTACTGACTAGCTATAATATAGCCCTCGCGATGTTCAAGTGTTCCCTGATATCGAATTTGAGCTATCCGGACGTAGCTCGCGTTGGTTACCAAAGGTCTCCTATAATCTGAAGTTGAAGAAGAAGAGCAAGAACCACTTGTACAGCTACAGACGTCTTAAGTTGCGCTCTATAGCAAACGATGACTCCTATCTTCGTGAAAGAATTGGCTATGATATTATTGGCTCCGTTGGTCTGGCTACAACCAAGTACTCTTATGTCAGGTAATAAAATAATAATAATAGTAATAATAATAATACTCTATATCATTTGACTAAAAAAGGAAACATACGCTTCTATGGACCATCTTTTAATTCTTCCTTGCAGAGTCGTCCTTAATGATAAGCCTCTTGGATTATTTGGTTTCATCGAAGCTTTCCAGAACCCTTGGCTCCTAAACGAATTTGCTAATGGAGACGAGGACTATGAAAATGGACCCCTTTACCAAGGAAAATACCTCACAGCTGAGTCTATGATGGCCGGTGTAAGCTCGGATCTTTCGTATTATGGAAATAATATTACCAAATATGAGCTTGGTCAATACGATCTCAAGGAAGATCCTGCAAAGGGCGAGCCTTCCTTCCAGCCCTTGATGGACTTTACAAAATTTGTGTATGACGCACCTACCAACACCTCTGATGCTGTAGAGGTGTGGCAAAAGACCTTTGACACAGACAGTTTCCTCCGCAGGTAAGATAATAATTTTTTATTTATATATTTTGTAAGGCAATACATAAACATATATACACACACATGTAAAAGCAACAGTCAGTAAACAAATTCAACTAACACCTATGTTTATAACTTTTTAATCAAAATAATAACAGTATGGCACTTGAGATCTTGATGGGTTATTCGGATGGTTACATCACCATGACAAACAACTTCTACATCTATTATGAGACCAAGTCTTCCCGCTTTATTTACATGCCATCCGATATTGACATGACCCTGGGTTCCAGCTTCTTCAAGATCTCTGATGTCGCAAGTGGAAACTACTCTACCTACCCTTCGTTCTATAAGCGCCCATTGTTGAACAAGATTTTGGAAGTTCCTGGATTCAAGACCCAGTTTGAAGACCTGATTTTCGATATTACCAAGAAGCTATTCAATCTCAAGAAACTTGGGCCACGTATTGACGATCAGGCTGAGATGATTGCCGAGGATGTTGCATGGGATAAGATCTGTCCTCGTGCTGGTAGAAATCTTATATCTGACGGTTCTGCCGACGAGAGTCTTAATGCTATGGGACCCGCTGGAGTTGATATGCCTACTGCAAAGGACTATTACGCAAGAATTGGACAGCCTGTTCCATTTAAGGTTGCTATCGATGGTCCTACTGGACATCTCTCCTTACCTGGTCTTAAAGAGTACATCAAGCTTCAGAGCGATAACACATTGAAGTTCTTCAAGAACAGAAAATAGTTTTTTTTTCTCTCTCTCTTTTTCTTCTTCCTATTTAATTTATTTACCTATTCTTCATTTACCTTTGTTGCCTTTTTGCTTTCAATATAGATCTATAGGAATACTACCAAACAACCATCATAATAAATCATCACTAACAGCACATGTATCATAAATGTATCCACTACTAGCTTTTTTCTTGTTCCCAATGTTGTCGGTTCAGCCTTTATACATAATGATACTACTACTACTACTACTACTACTGACTTGACATCTATACCATGAGTATCTATGTGTTTTGGCTTCAATGTAACTGTAGACTATAACACAGAATGGGAAACATTGGATTGTATTTTACAGAATTTGTAAGGGCCGAGATTTAGATGATCCAAACAAATATGAATATATATATAAAATGCATTAAACTATTGACTGGATTTAATTTATGTGTTTGTAAGAAAGAGTCTGATACTTTGAGGTCTGATGCATTATTTAATATTCAACCCTTGATTTTAGAATTCAACAATATTGATTATACATTTATCCTTTTCGCTTTTGTTTGTATATAAAATCCTAATAGAATAACTCTTTTTATGTCTGTGTGTGTAATTTGAAATTATTTTATAAGTGCAGACCCACATACACTTACACACACACACATATATATATATATATTATTTAACGTTTTTGTGTGTGTGGATATTTTTTTTTATCTAATACTGCGCTTCATCCTTCTAGGTCTTATATACATATTCTGCTCAAACTGAGATCACCTTTGGTTATCACAATTGATAATTAGCGGGTGTGTAGAATGAAAACGAAGAAATATATATAAAAAGCTTAAAAATTTGATGCTACTAATTGTTGTATAGGGTGCTGGGGGGTTTGTAAAGATGTAAAGTCAACAAAGGGTCTGGATCGGTCATTTTCTACTACAAGAAAGTTTGTGAGTGATGTACATACATATTATGAACGGCATCGTCGGAACAGCAACAGCAGAAAAAGAAAGAAAGAAAAATAAAGAGAGAGAGAGGGAGAGAATACATTACCGGTGGTGTTTACAAACCGCCTGGTGCATGATCCTCAACCACTCGAAAATCTTACAGTATTGGCATCTCCAATTCAATCCTGACTGAACAAGCTTAATATGTGTCTAAGATTAAGTGCATTTATATATATATATATTATGGCTTTGTGTAAGGTGTGAGGGATTCTGTCTATATGTGTAATAGACGAGCGCAAATGAATGAATTAATAAAAAAAAAAGGTAGGCAGGAACCCAAGTTGATCATTGCAAGGAAACAAAACAAAAATGAACCTCAGAAAATAGCTTAGTATTAACGATCTTATTGCAAATAAATAAGTCTTCTAGCACGAAGAATGTTGTTACGCTTGCTCTTTTGTGGTACAACTCTTTCCAAGTAAAGCAAACCATTGAGCTAGGGTTGATAACATATATCTATTATCAAGAAGTATATCAACACCAAAACATGGCTGTGGCTACCAGGTGCGCAGGAAACTGCTGGCTATATGTGGTTCAATAAGAATTGATCCTATGTAAATATGTCATATAAACTAATACATATATGTATATATAGTGCTTGCTTGTAGACTTGTTGTTTAGTTTGATATTCTTCCATTCGATAATGCATTACTACACACTATTTAACTATCTAAATGATGGTATAAAATCTAACTTTTATTTATACTCTTCAGAACCTCAAAGAAGAGGACCGGCATTAGATAATATAACCAAGTAGTCAGAGCCGTATTACTACTATTGTTAACTGTGTTTATTTTGACCATTCTGCAGGCAGAAAATATACTGCCTTACAATATATGTAGCATTTAGAAACATCATTTTGGATGGACTGTTTTGTTCCTACTGTTTCAAATATATTATTGTTTCAATTTATTTTTACAATTCTAAAACCACAGAACGGAGTAAAAAAATAAATAAAAAGGAACAACTTTTATGATATCTGTGTGTGTGTGTGTATATGTTCATATAGTATATATTAAAGACCAACATTTTTGATTGGTATTTTTTTCTTTAGTTTTAAAAGAAGTGAAAATATATCTGAAGCCTTCATTTGTTCAAAAAATACCACTACTGTTCGAAATTGAGAATCCGCTGGTCTATCTCACATTGACATTACATGTCTGTCTGTCTATGTGCCGGAGATATCTTACAGACCCAATTTTCTTTGTGTCAAATTTGTTCCAAGTCAATGTCTATATAAATATCGAGAGAATCCTTTACATAGCTTTTTATTTTCATTCTGACCTTTTCTTTCCTTACAAAGAAGATGCGCCTGACATTAATTGGTAAGAAGCTTGAACTTTGTTGCTGTTATATGAATATAAGAACCAAATTACTAAATACATATGCAAATGTCATTTCTCTAAATAAATAAATAAATTATAATCAACTAGCATGTGCTGTCGTTACAGTTGTCTCGGCAGTAAGCATTAGAGAGCGAGAGCAAAGAAACACTACATACAATGTTGTCTCACTTGAAGGTGGCGGGGGTGGTGAACAACAAGATGTGAGCGTCATAGTCGACAATAAAACGTACCCTCTCGTACCTTCAGAAGAGATCCCAATCCTCTACACAGGATCTGCACCAGTTGCAACAAATGGCTACAGCTATGCCATTAGCAGCGGACAAAACAACACAAAAGTCGAACCTTTTACTCGAAATCCAACCAATGAGCCTGCTACTCCAAATGAAACCTTTGGCCGCTCATGGAACACTAAAAATATTTCAAAACTTGAGCCTGTCTACCCACATATCAGAGCCATGGACCGCCTGGAAACCCCTATACACATCGATGGAGAGATTCCTACGATATATATCTCTGGAAACCAGACTGATTTTGACTACATGCATGAAAATGTATTTGATGAAATTACTGTCAAAGCAAACTTTTCATACATTAGGTAATGTATAACAACCCAAAAACAAAAGAATAGTAAATAGAAATATAGACAAGTCAAACTTACTTACTAATACTTTATTTATTTTTTTCTTGAATAAAATTACTATAGTCCCAAAGATACTCAAGTCATCAATAACATTGATTTCGAGTTAGCTGGACGTAGCTCACGTTGGTTCCCAAAGGTCTCTTACAACATCAAACTAAAGAAGGATGAAGAAGACGAATTATATAACTATCGACGTCTTAAGCTACGTGCTCTCCCCAACGACGACTCTTATCTTCGTGAAAAGCTTGGCTATGATGTGATCGAGGCAGTTGGTCTTGCCACAACCAAATTCTCTTTTGTCAGGTAAAATATTCATCTTTATTATTACTAGTCTGGTAATATATAAATTCGTCTCTAATTAATTAATCTCCTTTTTTTTGATGATGTAGAGTTGTTCTCAATGACCAGCCTCTTGGATTATATGGTCTCATCGAAACTTTCAAGGACCCTTGGCTTCAAAATGAGTTTGCTCACGGAGATGAAAACTATGAAAACGGTCCGCTGTATCAAGGAAGCTACCTTTCTCCTGTGTCTTCCCGTGAAGGTCTGATTTCGGATCTTTCATACTATGGAGACAATATTACCAAGTACGAGCTTGGACAATACAAGATCAAGGAAGATCCAGCAAAGGGCGAGCCTTCCTTCCAGCTCCTGATGGACTTTACAAAGTTTATTTCCGAGGCACCGACAAACACCTCTGATGCTGTAGAGGTATGGCAAAAGACCTTTGACACAGACAGTTTCCTCCGCAGGTAAGAAGAAGAATAAAGAAAGAGAGAAATAAAGAATAAAGTCGATCGTTAAACTTACCTTTTCTTTTTTTTAAAAAAAAATGATAGTATGGCTCTCGAAGTCCTTCTTGGTTTCTCGGATGGATATGCAGCCACGGCAGATAACTATTATATTTACTATGAGCCCAATTCATCCCGGTACATCTACATACCATCCGATATTGACATGACTTTTGGTTCTGGATACTTGAACTTCTCTGCTATGACAAGTGGCAATTACTCTACTTTCCCTGGATTATACTCACGACCACTGATTACCAAGATGTTGCAAGTTCCTGGCTTCAAGACCCAATTTGAGGACATGTTACTCGAGATTACTCAAAAGTTATTTAATCCCGAGAAACTCAACCCACATATCGACCAATTGGCTGAAATGATTGCGGTTGATGTCGAGTGGGACAAGACTCTTCCCCGGGTCTCCAAAAACCTTTTCTTCGCTGGTGCCGAGAATCAGGGTCTTGTAGATATGGTGCCTTCCAATATGGACAGGAATACTGCACTGGACTTTTACCATAGAATCGGAAACCCTGTTCCGTTAGAGGTTGCTATTGAAGGTCCTACTGGTTACATTTCTTTGCCTGGCCTCAAAGAGTTTATTAAGATCCAGAGCGAGAACACATTGAACTTTTTCAACAAGAAGAATCCATAGTAGTAGTAGTAATTTCCTTTCTCTTTTCTATTTATTTATTTATTTATTTATTCCCCCTTTATTTTTAATGTATGCTCTTTGCTTTCAATATATTTATCTATAGAAGTATTACCAAATAATCGTCATAATAAAACATAACAAACATCATATGTATTATAAATTCATCAATTACTAGTTTCTTATTTTCAGTTTTCTCGGTTCAGCTTTTATAAATACTGCTACTCCTAATTTGCAATATATACATATATATCATTATATATGTATATATGTTGGCCTCAACTTAAATGTAGGCTGTAGTAAAAGTGATAATCATTGTATTGTATTTTACAATTTGTAAGGATTAGGATTTAAACACTCTAATTAGATAAAGAGTAACATACATACGTACAGAAGATGCCAGGTTATTAATTAAATAGAGTTAAAGACCAAGAGAATAAGAGACTGATGCTTGGGATCTGGTGCATTATTTAATATTCAATTCTGAATTTGTAATTCAATATTGAATAGTGAACTTTTTTTCTTCTTTTCCTTTATTCTCTTGCCTTTTGTTTATATGTGAAATTTGAAACAGATAGAGCTCCCCCTTTGTATTTTGGTGTGTATCTTGCCTTTTATTTTATTTTTGTAATTTACACAATAGCAACAGTAATTTGATATTTTTGCTGGATATTAAACACCACTTATCATTATTCAAACATACACACAAAGTATGTCCATATACATGTAGATATTTATCGAATAGCACGTTTTACCAATTCTTCTAGACCTTCACAGTTCTTAATGGCACCCTCAAGACTCTTGAGAGCATATTTGGCCAGCATGTCCACCTCTACATTGACTTCATCTCCCACCTTCTTCAGAGGCATGATGACATGGAGCTGGGTGTGAGCAATCATCATGATTGTAAAGGTGCGCTCTTCATCATCAACATCACAAACAGTAAGCGAAGTGCCGTCGAGGGTGATGAATCCCTTGGGGATAATGTAACGCATGGTATCTTTGTGGCCCAGTGGTACCTGGAATTTGAACCAGAGAGAATTACCCTCGGGTGTGATTGACACAATCTTCACTGTAGTGTCGACATGGCCCTGAACCATGTGGCCACCAAATCGCTTCTTACTGTCCATAGCGCGTTCCAAGTTTACTTTGCTTCCCACCTTGAGTGCACCTTGAAGGTTAAATTTCAAGTTGTTAAATGACCAGAAAAAAAAAAGTAAAGTAAAGGTAAAGGAGCTTGACTTACCAAGGTTGGTGCATCTTAAGCTTTCGGGAGCAATACCAACCTTGAAACTGTCGGTGTCAAACTCGGTTACAGTCAAGCAAGTACCTGTATATTAAAAAAAAGAGAGAGAAGAGTTAGCTAAATATTATTATTATTATTACAATTATAATTATAATAAGAAGAATTATACTGGTGCGAGCACATAAATGAAGTATAATTGTATCAGATGTTCTTAATATATATATATATATACAAAAGAGTAAGACTTGCCGTTGATAGCAATGCTGTCTCCAAGATGACAGTCGACAAGGATGTCAGCACAATCTCCTACAGTGACTGTCCATCCATTTCCACCCGAGTTTGTGTTATCCTTTTCAATGACTGAAGTAACTGTGCCAATGCGCTCAACAAGACCTGTGAACATGATGATGATTTTTGTGATGTAAGTGAGTAAATGTAGTGTCAGTGAGTCAGTGAGTCAGTTTTGCTCAGTCAGCAAGAAACAGATAGATGGGATAAAAGTAGGCTTCGCAGTCACGTGTAAGATCACGGATTGGTTTCTGTGTATGTATGTGTGTGTGTGTGTGTTTGTGTGGGGTGGAAGGTTTTCAGTTTTCTATACTTCAAAACATAAAAACAAATCCACAATAGGGATACGAATAATAATAGCTCGACAAGTACAGTGCACGTACCCGTGTATGTATGTATGTATATATGTGTATGTGTATGTACATGTGTTTACAAGCTTGCATATGTATTTGTCTGCGGGGTAAATCAAAGAACAAATAAATACATATAAAGAGAGAGAGAGAGAGAGAGAGAGAGAGAGAGGCAAATAGATAGACTGAGGATACTATTTGGAATTATAGCTATCACGAGGTGTCTTATGTTCCCCATCTACTCAATGTCAACATTCATCCTTGGACCTTTTGGAATCTTCTCTTCTCTTCCCACCCCTTCCTCTCCCCTTTCCTGCCCCTTCTTCTTTAAGATTTCTGGTCGTAGAAACCAGTATTGGTAGTATTCTTATCCCTTCTTTGCATATATATGTGTGTGTGTGTTCATTTACTTGTGGGCAAAATAGGATTTTGTGTATATGTTTTCTCTCTGTTTTTCTTATTTTCCTTTTTCGATAGTAAAAATGATATTAATAATAATAAATGACACCGTCCAATTTAAGTCATTAGAAAATACACTTTTATCCGTAACCCCATAAATAAATAAATAAATAAATGAATAAATAAATAAAGCCAAATGAAAACAAAACAAAAAAAAAAGAAAGAAAACTTTTGCTTTTTTTTTTTTGGACATTCTATGTTTCAATTTTTTATGCCAAAGTTTAGATACTTGGATATTTTGGCGCAGATTTAAATATGAAAAATGTTCATACAGTAAAACCTATAGTGAAAGGGCGTAAGATAAATAATTAAATTAGCGTCTTATCAAGTCACTATAGAGAAACACACCCATTGAAATATTTAAAAAAGCGGCAGTTTAATTATGTAATATCCCGACATCTGGCTGTAGCTCTACTGTATATACGATTTATTTTTTAAATCTTGCTTTTAAATATCAAATATTTATTCAAGCAGTCATGACTTTTGAAACGAAAACCTTTTCTTTTTTTTTCTTTATTTATTTTATTTCATAAAAAAACAACGACAACTCAGCTGCATTATTTATTTATCTTTTCTGCTATTTATTTCATTTCATTTCATTTCATTTCTTTTTAACCAAAGATATTCGGACGAACAATAAAACATTTGGCATTTAGCATGGTCGGTAACATCATTTTGCTGCTTCTTAAATACCTCTGCGATTGAAAAGGTCTTTGCATGAGTAAAGAAAAAGTCTAGTAATTATATATCTCTATCTATCTATTTATCTCTTTTGACCGTGTGTGTGTGTGTGTGTATTTCTTGTGTTTCCTGTATTTTAGAATAAGAAGCTCAAGGCTCAATAAATAACCCTAACTGTTCTTTGTTTTGAGAGTCGCTTTTGGAAGAAAAAAAAAAGAAAAAATTAGTATTTTCTTAAGAATAAAATTAAGAAGGTATCAGGCCATTCTTTTCACTTGTAGTGCATGGACTGTCAAATGAGAAATAATAAGGAAACAAATGTGTGTGCGCGAAAGAGATAGAAGGAAGGGGGAGAAGGTAGGGGTTGAGGGGTGGGGGGAGAGGAGAAAGGAAGAAGGGGCCCTTTTTTACAGGACCCAATTTTGTCTTTTTCTTTTTGTGTGTGAAAGAAAGGGGTGAGACTGTTCGGCTTGGACCGCGACTTTGTCCCATGCGTCGGTACTATAAAGCAACACGGCTCTTTCTGCTCATTTTCTTTTGTGATTTTTTGATTTTCATTTTCTGCTCTTCTTGTCGTTATTCTCCGTCGTTCTATATTAAATGGTGCTGCTATCCTTACCCTCTGAAGTCCTTTGGCAGATTGTGTCCTTTCTGGACATAACAGATCTTTCTGTCCTAAGATTTGTCTCAACCAAGCTGCGAACATATGCTGATCATCCTTCGCATTGGAAAGATCTTCAACTTCGTCCACCTCCCTCCAGCACCGCCGGAATTTCGCTTTGGAATTTAAACGATCTCAAAGATTTAATCGGCCCTCATGCATCCCACACACGGTCGATCAAGATTTGGGGAGTCCGGGATACGGTTGTTAGATTTCTTATTACCAGATGCACTCACCTCCAGGAATTGACTATCTGTGGATGGGCCACGCTATCAGATCACGCCTTCCGGTTTCCTGCCACTAACAGTACTGGTGGTACTAGTGGTACTAGTGGTACCAGTGGTGGTCATCTTGCTGGGCTTCGGCGCCTAGAATTTGTTGGTGCAACCCAGCAATCCAATTACACGGCTTTAGGGGCTAACACGCTTGGCCGGATTCTGACTAATTGTCCAGATTTATCAGAGCTTTTGTTAGGCTGTCAGGTCCACATACATGCCCAGACCTTAATAGAAGAGCTTAAAAAGTCCAGTCGCCCCCCACTATCCTTACGCTCTCTGACACTTGCCACCCACCGAACCTGGTCAGCACCTCACATCACCCATCTGTTTGACCTCTGTCCATCACTTGAGCAAATCGGACTACTACCTGCGGCTGCCTCTGGCTGTGATGTCGGAAAAGATTCGTCGAGTGTCCAGCGTTGGTTAGCCGACACGCATTCTTTGAAACTTGAACATTCTCCAGAGTCACCTATTGCTCTCGATCTTCCACTCGACCAAGACATGGTCATTTACCGTCCAACATGCAATACAACCCAACGAACCCATTTCTGTACATCTCATTAATCTCTTATTCTTCTTCCTTATATAGCATTTAACTACAAAACCTTTTTCTTTCTTTCATGCTCTTTAACTGACAAAATATTGTAGCCAGCAGGGTCTGGTTTATATAATCCTGTGTAATTTTTTTATGTATATATGTATATATGCATGTATATATATATACACACACTTACATACACACTTACATACACACTTACATACACACTTACATATACATATACATATACATATATACATTCATAAAGACCCATCCCTTATTTATCTACCATTGACCATTGATTTTACCTAATAATAAAAATAATCAATAATTTAATCATACTTCTTCTTTACTGATTGTGGTAATAATGATACTAATAATGATAATAAAAAACGTTAATATGTACGTTTGGTTTTATTGATTGGTCCGAATGTACTATTTTATTATTATTGAACACAAAAGCCAACTTCAAGGTTCTTTATTTTATTTAGAAAAATAAGATAACAAAGCTTCTTTTTTGAATAATATTTTCTTGATTTTATACATCTTTAAATGAAATTGCTTACTGAATAGACCAACCATTATAATCATTACCATTACCATTACCATTACCATTGTTATTATTTGATATTCTTGTATCAAAAATAAAAAAATAAAAATAAAATTACAGGTGAAATTCCAATCAACATAATGAATTGAGTCCAATGCAAGGGTGGTATGTTGTTTTGAGGACTAGACAGTATTAATACTATATATTTTTCTATACTTGTATTAATTCAATTAGTTTGTATACCTATCTATTGCGATCAAAATATAAAGAGCTATATAAAAATATACACAAATAGTTTAAAATCTCTTTTACAGATATGGCTTTGTGCAAAAGGGTATGTGGTATCACAAATTGTTCTCTATTTTTGGATACAAAGTGCTCTTTTTATATGTTGTATGTATTTTTATCATAGTATAAACCTTAAGTATTTTTGAAAGTATTGTATATATACACATTATTCTGTAGACTATTGACGTAGAGTGGCTGTGAGTGGATATGCCGTTTGTAAGAGCGTTGATTTTTTTTTTTAAAAAAAAAAGACACTATAGAAAGACAGGTATAAAGGTCTTGACAAACATCTATATATGTATTTGTGTGTATGCTGGTGTGTAGCTAATCAATTGTCAAACTTAAGCCTGCTTATTAAAACAACAACAATAACAACAACAGAGAAAGAGGATTTGTTTTATAAACACTAGAATATATATACATACATATATACTTGTATATTTTATTCTTACAAAGAAAATAGACTCTCTTCTTTGCTTCTTGTACACCCTACTGTACGACCAATCTATTGTCTATTTGAAGAGAGAGAAAGAGAAAAATTCTCACCAAAAAATAAACCTTTGGTAAAAGAATAATACTAATACTAATCAAACGTATAGTAAACTTCACCTATAAAATATCCATATAAAGAAACAGGGACTTTTGGATGGTATCTCAATATGACAACTAACAAGGTGAGACGCTTTAGATCAAATGGTTTATTCGCACACTCTCTATATACACAAGCTACACTATAGAATATACTCAAAATTATTATCAGAATATCAATAGTATTTCTCTTTTTATATTCCATGTGGCTGATTTGGTTTGTGTAAGTATCATCTTGTGATTTCGTTACGATCTATTCTTTTTTCTATTTATTACTATTATTTTAGGTGAGCCGAACCAGAGTGCCACCAGAAAAATATTTATTTGAGTAAGTTCCTCCATTCTCTTGTGATATATCATTATAAGAGCTATTGTAGTATATGGCTATTTTCATTTGTTCTCATAGTTACAGTAAAATAATTTGCATTAAAGAAATGTCCTGTAGAAACAAATTAAGACAAACCAGAGCAAATCAAATCAAATCAAATCAAATTGAATCGAATCGAATCGAATCAAAGCTATATATAAATACTCTTTGATCTCTAAAGCAACATCAAACTAAAATTTTTAGCTCGACGACTGTCCTACCAGCCCATCACACATTATTATATTATATCGTACCTGATACAATATCATACAAGCCGTTGTCCTATTTTTGCTTTGTATTTTTGCCGAGCCTTCTTGATTTTTTATTTGAACTTTAACTCCAATAACCAGCCTTTTCTTTACTGCGCATGGGTAACACTATCTGTATAGTAAATATTTGTCTTTCTTTCTGTTCTGCATAAAGATACCTCTTATTCTTCTTAATATTTTTCTTCTTCTTCTTCTTCTTCTTCTTCTTTTATATATATATTTATATTTATATCTTTATTATTATTATTATTATTATTATTATCATGCAATCCGCATGTCTTGGTCAAATCAACAATCGACTGTTTTCAGTCAATTATAATAAAAAGGACGATACTACTAATCCAACAACTACCGTACAATCCTATGACATTGCAGACACTTCCAATCCAGCACAATCCACAAACACGGTCAATTTGCTGACTACCGCTAATGACGAGATTTATGAACCTGTTTGTGCTTTTGATCCCTCAAGATCTGAATTCTATGTACTAGGAAAAAACGCAGACAAAGGTATAAAGAAAAGAAAAGAAAAGAAAAGAAAAATGCCTCTTTGTGTCCATATCCCTTTCACACAAACACACACACACATATATATATAATTATATTAATACAAATTACAGTTTCTCAGGTCGTAAATGTTTTTAATGTGGCTGCAGATGGTCTGTCTCTTGGATACTCTTGGCAAATCCGTCTTGGGAATACAATCAAAGACAAGATTGTATCTGTAGTTCCTTTTGATTTCCAAGATGCATCACAATGCGTTGCGCTCCTGGACATCAATGGATCCATCTATTCGACCTGTCGAAACCTCAATGGACTTGTCTCTCGATTTCCTTATCAAAGTATCGGCAGTTCAATCGACACCACAAGACTTGCCCGGATTTCCAATCAAGGTGGAACTGCTGGATACAACATATTGCAGTTTGGATACACTGCCTCGACTATAATCGAATTCAACACTAGCAATGCACGCAGCAACACCACCTCGTCTATTGCTGTTAGCTACCATAAACTTGCAACCGATCTATCGAATCCTGTTCAAGCCTACGAAATAACCAAAGATTCTCGAAACCTTCTCATATTGTCTAAAAACAGCATTGAACTCTTTTATGTTAATGTTCCCGTTGGACAAGCCACTCAACTGGTATCTGCTAATCCAGATGCCCAACCTACTATCTTTGGCAGTCCCGTTGGTGTCCCAACCCAATTACCAAATGTAACAACTATTTCTAGTCTCTCTGACAGGAAAACCCGGACTCCAACTCCAACTTCTAAAAAACCCAGCAATAGTGTCAACAATGAGACGGAAGAATACACCGATCGTCCTGAGCCAACAATAATATCACTATTAACATCTCTGGCTTCGCAGGAAAAACGAAAGATTAAAAGAAGAGCAAAGAGAGACGTTACACCTGCACCACAGGCGAGCGCTAGCTCTGATCCGAGTAATCTGGTTCCTAATCGAGTCGGCTTACCGTCTTCATTAAACGATTGGAACAGTATCTCAATCTTTGTTCAACCTGCTATTAATAATAACAATAATGATAATAGCAACAACAACAGCAGTAATAATAACACTAATAGTAATAATAGCAACAGTAACGGCAGTAATAATAACAATAATAACAATAATAATAATAGTAGTAGTAGTAGTAGTAGTAGTGTCAATAATAGCAATAGTAGCAGCTTTACTACTGCTTCTGTATCCGAAAAGCGCTCTATTCCTGGAGTTGATGACAACAGTGGCACTTTGCTGATCGGTGGCTACAATGGAGAGGGCCAGTTCAGTGTCTTGTCCGAGGCGATAGGAAGTCTGGAGTATCCATACAGTCCACCGGGATCCGCAGGTTCTAACGGACCCACAGGCCCGTCATCCAAGGCAGGTCCGATTGCCGGTGGTGTGGTTGGTGGTGTACTAGCCTTGGCGCTCCTGATTTTTCTGTTTATGTGGTGCCGCCGAAAGAACAGAAGAAGAAAGCACTCTACAGTTTCCACTCGCAGTCCTGTCATGGAGGAACTACCCACCACGTTGTTCCACAACAAGACAAAATACAACGAAGACCGAAGCCTCTACATCCGAATGGATATACCTTATGGTATGCTCGAGCGCTATGAGCCAGACGCCCTTAATGGTGCTTCGATTCTGGACCCCTATGTTCTCTCGAATGATACTTTTGACGGCAGCATCAACGAAAACCGAATTCCAAACTATGCAACTCGAACCTGTATGGACAGCAAGAACGGTACGAGAGAGCACCCGAAGCTCTACACAATCCATTACTTTACGACTGCCAATTATAGTGCGTTTGTGCAGTCTATTCGTGTGGCCAAAGCCTTGGCTAGTTCCCCACATGCTGTCAAACATATCATAGCCTTTGACATTCAGACTCCTACAGCGAATTACGGTTACAGATACTATTGGGTGTCCTCCCTTTGTACAGCAAGCCAGACTCTTCTTCGAATGCTCACCCATGATCCCAACCGAGACAGTTTCTATGAAGATTTCGTTTCAGACTTTGATTTCAAGACCTGGTCAACTCTGTCTATCCTGAGTGCCTTGGCTGACATGCACACGCACCGCTACGTCCATCTTGGTTTGAGTCTGGAAAGCTTTGTTTATCAGGCAGCTGATTCGATTACTGACTGGAGGGTCTGCTGCTTTGATCAGAGTCTCGAGGCCGGGACATACAATTCGACTGGCGTTGTGCTTAACTCGATGAGTGCACCCGAACTGTTCAAGAATGCGATCTTGCGAGAAAATGGACACTACAAAGTCAGTAGATTACAGGCCAATCCGGCTGTCGATCTCTGGTCCGTGGGCTGTATTATCTACCAGCTAGCAGCCAGACGTCCGCTCTTCAAAGACAGTACCGAGGCCAACAAGATCTTGCAACAGGACGAAGAGCAGATCAATGCATGGCTGACAAAGGCATTTTTGCATATATCGTCATCATCTCATACCGATGGCAAAAGACTAGCAGACGCTTTTGTACCCCTCTTAGTACGCTTGTTGGTAGTTGACCCGGCGCACAGAGTAAGCGCCAGAGAAATTTCAGAATCTTGGAGAGAGGAATACCAGCTTAATGAAGACCATGATTCTGAGTAAAACACACACACACGCAGAAGTACATCAAATATGTATATATATATATATATATATTATCTGTAGCTTGATTTTTTTGTATAATTGGTATTCTTGTTACCCTTGCCTTTGCTGTTACTGCTTTTATCACTATTAATACTACTATTAAAAAAGGAATAATTAAGAAGACGAAGGAAGACCAAAAGTATTGCTGTAAAATATAATAATAATAATAAATCCCATCAAGACCGTGAGCTTTTTTCCTAATCTAATTTTGAATCCCGCTTAAAGTCTCTCTCTCTCTCTTTGTTTCTTTCTTTTTTTTTTTGGTTCCTTTTCTCTCACTCTCTTGCTCTTTTGGTCTTTTATTCTATATCCTATAATTTTAATAATGGGCATCGTTTTTAGTGGATTGTGGAATCGACTTTTTTCAAAAACTGAAGTCAAGATTATCATTGTCGGTCTGGACAATGCCGGAAAGACAACAATTCTTTACAAATTGTAGGTCATTCATCATTCACGTCATTTACCTCTCCTTTAAATATATATATATATATATATAGTATTGCTATTATTTTATGCTAACTCATCTATAGATTAATGAATCAGGTTGTTACAACAACCCCTACGATTGGAAGCAATGTCGAAGAAGTAGAATATAAAAACATAAAGTTTTTAATGTGGGCAAGTATATCTATATATTTATCCCCTTTTCTTTTCTTTTTTTTTAATAAATCCCTCACTTTATCTCCCCAAGTATATATGTATATATATGGAAGAAAGAAACTCAAGAGTATTAAAAGGATTTAGTTATAGGATATTGGAGGTCAAGAATCGCTCCGAGCTTCCTGGAAAACATATTATATAAATACAAAAGTAAGGACCGTTTTGTAGTATTATTTTAGCATTAGAGCTGTTATTATCTTGTGTTCCATCATGCTCGTTTTTGTCTTTTAAAATATTAAGGTTTCAACCTTGTAGGCTGTTATTATGGTAATCGATAGTACAGATGCTAACCGACTCCCGGTTGCTAAGCATGAATTACATCAAATGATGGAAAGTGAGGTAAATATCTATATTCATATATGAATATACAAGCAAGTGAAAGAGAGAGAAAGAGAGAGTAATAATGGAAGTTTATACTTCTTGTTGTATATATATATATATATATATATATATGTGTGTGTGTGTGTGGATTTTCTATTGAATTGAATTGAATTGAATTGAATTGAATTACAATAGCAACTACAAAACGCAAGTCTATTGGTTTTTGCCAACAAACAGGATGTAAAAGGTGCCCTGAGTGCTTCCCAAATATCAGAGGCCCTGGGGTTGACCCATCTTAAAGACCGACAATGGCATATCCAGGTAACCAATACGTACAAACACACATATATCTATATGTATATGTATATCTTTCTTGCTCTGTCAAATATGGAAGTGTCGAAGGATAATAGATTGGGATTTGACTAGAGTAGGCTAGACTAGTGTAATATTATAATTTTATTTATTTTAGTCTAATCTTGTAAATCTTATCGTAGGCATGTTCCGCACTTTCTGGTGATGGGTAAGTTGATTGGCTTTATTTTTTCTGCTTCTTGCCTTTTTTTTTAAAAAAAAAAAATTGAAATTGAAATTAAAATTAAAAATTGAGAAAAATAAATGCGTGAAGAAGAAGATAGATGAGTAAAATAAACCCCAATTGAAATAGGTTATTCGAAGGCCTGGATTGGGTTGTTCTACAGATTGCGAATTAAGTACTTCAAGATCTACTTCTTCTTACAAGCAGAATTGAATTATAGCTATAATAATAATTCAAGTAAGGAGGTGAGAGGGCCTATCTCTTTATCGATAAAGAAATACCCCAATAATAATGATAATACATTTACTACATTTAATAATAATAAATACTATTAATACTATTAAGAGAATATATATTATATTTAAATATCATATATGTATGTACGAGCGTGTAATTCAGTCGGACAACCATTAATAATAGTATTTATTTTAATAATAAAAATAAAAGTATGACCCAGAATAGAAAAGGTCCTTCAAATTATCTCAAGATCGTCTGAAACAAAGTATGACCAAAAGGAATTGCCTTTTTTTTCTCAAGACAAAATGTGCGGTGGCGCGGTTGAGAAAGAAAGAAAGAAACAAAGAAAGGAAAGGAAAGGAAAGGAAAAAGATAGGAGTTTTCTGATTTAGTTGTCAGAAAAGAAGACTATAAAAATGACTGAGAATGAGAGACAGCAATGAATGTTATCTTGACCAACTTCTTTGTAATTTCTAATGCTTCCTCGTCTTGCCCTACTATGTAAGTTTTCTCGAATTCCTTTATTACTATAAACTATATTCAATAATATCTTTTATATTCATACTCTCTCTCTCTCTCACCCATACTCACTCACTCACTCACATCAACTGCATATATATATATATATAACATTTATGTCTAATAGCCCTTGCTACAAGCCTACTACTATCAGTGTCTGCCAAAGATGATTTTGCGACCTACAGTGTGATTGGCTTGACCACTGACGAGAAACATTCTTCTGATACCTCTATTGGAGTCTTGGTCAATGGTCAAATTTACGCTCTCAATCCAACTGACTCTAGCACAATTCTCCACCAAGGAGAGGCCCCTTCTGGATACGCATATCGTTATGTTAAATTAAGCAAGGGGACCAACAAGACTGTTGACCAAGAACCCTTTGAACGTGATCCTCTTACCAGTTCAAATACCCTGAATGAATTCTATGGCCGTTCCTGGACAAAAAAGTCACTCAAAACCTTTTCTGCACTCCCTGGATACCCAAAAACCTATGACCGTTTGGACTCCCAGTATCATGCAGAAAACGAAATCCCCACATGTCACATTGTCGCAAACCAGGCAGACATTGACCGTCTTCATGGATATTATCTTCAAGATATTGACATCCGCGTCAACATGACGTACATCAGGCAAGCAATAATCTCTTTTGGTTTTTTCTTAGTACAACAGTTTTATTCAACTCCAATACCACGTTCTTTTATTTTTTATACTATATATATATATATATATATATATCTAAATATTGGATTCTGTATTAAATGTTTTTCACCTTTGTAATACAGTGCAAACAAAATTGATAAAGTACACGATGCAAAACTGAAAATAGGTGGCCGATCATCACGCTATTTGACAAAGTTTGCTTATAATCTCAATCTACCAAAAGGTCAAGACTTTGAAGGCTATCGCAAGCTGAAATTTAGATCGCCCGCAACAGATCCCAGCTACATGCGAGAAAAGCTAGCTCTTGACATGCTTCACTCAACTGGTGTTCCAGCCAGCAAGGCTTCCTATGTTAGGTATGTCATATAATGTTTTATAGTATGTTAACTAAACTAAGATTGCTCTGCTTATTAGACTCTTTATCAATCAGCAGGCCATTGGGTTGTTTGTATTTGCCGAAAAATACGATGATACTTGGCTTACCAATGAGTTCAATGGCGGAAAGAAGCCTTATGACTATGGAATGCTTTATGAAGGAAAGGGAGGTAGCCAGAGCACAAAATCAAAGGCAGATTTGAGCTACCATGGAGACGACACCGAATACTACAGTCAAAGTGGCTATGATATTGAGGAGGCCCCAAAAACCGAGACCGAGCCTCTGAGTGAGCTCATTAGCTTTACAAAGTTCATTGATGAGCAATTGAAAATCCAGGAATCAGGACAAATTGTGGCCGACAGTACGACATTGGAAATCTGGGAAAACAAGCTTGATGTGAACGGATTTTTAATCAAGTATGTACATTGAACATGCGGCAAAAAAAAAAGAAAGGCAGAAAATATATAGATCTGCTTTTAATCTTAAATTTTTATTTTTATTTTGAAAATTAACTTTATATCTATATTATCTTTATAGTATGGCATTTGAATTCCTCAATGGTTACTCTGATGGTTATCTCCAAAATACCGACAATTATTACCTCTACAAGGATCCTTCTCAAGATCGGTTCAGATGGATAAGCTGGGATCTCGACTACGTGATGGGAAGTGGGCCTGTGTCGATGAAGAAGGTCGCCGAAGGAGATTATAAGAAATTTGGCGGAATTTCTATCCGACCCCTGATGAAGGCTGTTCTCAACGTTCCTAGTTACCGAACACAATTTGAGAACCATATCCTGACCTTCATTGACTCGGTCTACAAGCCCTCGATTGCAAACCAGGTTATTGACTCGCACGTCGAGTTCTTAAAGGAAGACGTCAGCTGGGATAGCTCGCTGCCTCGGATGCGCAAAGGACTGAACTTTATTCCGGTTGGACCTCACACCTTGGAGAACGTTATACACAACAATGCAACAGGTGGTGACACATCAATTCCTCTGGCCATCAGTTACCTCAATGCTATCGAGTTCATTGCCCGCCTCAATAGTAAGGTTAGCCTTGAGCGTGCTGTGAATGGAAAAACCCGACATTCGTCTCTCTATGCACTCAAAAAGTGGTTCCAAGTTAAGACCGACAATGTCCGCCAGGCAATGCTTTAACCACCAAATATTAATATCCCTTACTCCTTATTATTACTACCATTATTATTAATAATAATAATAATAATAATAATTAGGCTGATACTAAGACTATCATATCCATGTGTACAGTGCTTCTAACAAGCAATGGTCGCAACCAATCAAAATCGATATCATTAGCCAATAAAAATCAATTTCGTATTTTTAGAAATGTAATTTCTTGACACTCAATATATATATATATATAACCAAGAGTGGGGTTGCTTTATTTTTATTTTTTTATTTTTTTTCTTGTTTTACAAAACTTTACAATTTAACATGAGTATTATTGGTATGGACAGACTAAAAGTTCAAAATAAATCTGTCTATACCAATTAATCACAGTTTTCCAAGTAGAGAAGATCAGACCATAGACGGGACCTAAGGTAATATCATATTTTCTTTTTTAGTATATATTTTGACAAAAAAAAATCCTATTCATAGTCTTTAAACAAAGACTTTTGCGAGCTGTCCGTAATATAACGGATGTCTAAAATAGAAGATAAGCCGCTCATACAAATTTGAAAAGGGTCAATAATAAGGTGCATAAAACATGTGCAAGATTTTGGGACACCAACTTCATAATTTTATAATCTCTTGAATTGACAGCAGTTCCGTCATTGAATAATTCAACGGCTTTTCTTTTCATAATTGTACCAACAGGCATATTATTATTTATGGTCTCCCGCGCAGTATTATCTAGTCTTTCCTATTTCGCAGAAAGTATTAAAAAAAAAAGGGGGGGGGGGGGGGGGAGAGTTTCTTTCATCGTGCTTTGTTACTTGCCTTGATTTCTACTTTCTTAAATTGTTCATCCCACAATTTCACGCCAGTTGTCTTTCAGAAATCCAAGTTAATTTTATCTATTGAAATACCCTGATATACGGGAGAAAATAATTGAGCTGTTTATAGCGGGGGAAACCTTATGGACAGGCTTACAGGGTAGGCTGACAAGATAAAATGGAAAATAAGCACTACATTACCCATAATTGCCTTGTTTTTTTTAGGGTCGTACTTTGATATTAGTTACATGATTTTTTTTTTAAAAAAATACTAATCCTACGCAGACGACATTTTTGGGTAGCATACAGCATTTTGGTTCTCCTGGACCACAATTTGTGCCCATCTTGTCAAAATATTTGCCTGGGGCGGGATATCACGATTCAATACCTTTGGAGGAAAAAATAAGCAGCTTTGCTTCTAACTTTTTTTTTCAATAACAAACCTTGAGTCATTTTCCAGTAATATAGATAAAATTTGGTGAAAGAAAAAGAAAGGCATCGTACGCGTAAGAAGGCCAATAAATAGTATGATATCAAACAAGATTGCGTCATAATCTAATGACAACAACTCCTTATAATCCTTTGCATAGCTGGCTATTGATATAGTGTATTTGTAACTAACTATTATTTCTTTCTTGTCAAGCTTAAATTTAGGGCGCAAACGGCTATTAATTGAATATATTGTATGCATTTCAGGATACATCAGTTTGCCCCGAAGGATTAGAAAAGGACATTGAGTCAAAGAGAGGTGGTCAGAATTAATTAGTCTGGTTAGATAGAAATGTCGTGCCCCACAAAAAATGTCGGTCCCGTAGAATTAGCGTTTTTTATTTTTGAAACATTTAACAAATATCAAAGTCTGATCCCCCCTCCCAAAAGAAAAGTGCGGGTAAGATAAAAAAAAAAGAAAGCAATCATAAGTGATGTAGCGCTTATTTTCCATTTTATCTTGTTAGTCTACCCTGTTAGCCTGTCCATAAGAGTGCCCTTTTTAAAACGCATAAGATTGATTAATTGCTTTTCCCGTCTTAAGAATATAGCTCTCCTTGAAAAGGAGTGGTATCAACGCCTACTTCCAATATGCTACTTGGAAACTCATAGCCATATGCTATATGTTATATTGAAGATATATTTATATTCTGCATTCGGTTTCAATAAGGTGATTTTCACTGAATCCCACTTCATCATGATAGTCTTTTTTTTTTTTTTTAATTCTGTGATATATGTATGATAAATATAATATTGATCTTCGAGACTTTTCTTTTTCATTATTGTAAAAGACATTAATTTTTTTTTTCAATAAATTTCTAACAATCATTTTGACATTTGACCAGGAATTGGTCAACTTAATTGTAAAAGGCGGTCAATTTTTTTTTCAAAAAAAAAAGAAGAAAAGAAGTGGACGGTGTTTCCAAAGAGGTAGGATCTTTCAAGTGCTCATAATGAATAGCAATCATCTCAACCATGTAGTCTATGTGTTCAGGATTACCATTCTCATCAGCAACATTGTCGAGTCCACCTTCATATAAAAATATCGTACTCATGTCAAACTGTAAAGTTATTGAAAACAAGAAAATAAAATAAGAAAACCCCACTCTTGGTTATATATATATATATATTGAGTGTCAAGAAACCAAATTTCTAAAAATACGAAATTGATTTTTATTGGTTGCGACCATTGCTTGTTAGAAGCACTATATCTCCTTCCCCTTCCCCTTCCCCTTCCCCTTCTTACAAAACCTCCTTATATATACATATATATCCATACACTCTATTAATTCTTTTTTTCTTGAATTAGCATCAGCATCGAAATCAGTATTACTTATAAGAGAAGAAATATATATATAAACCATGTACTGCCTTTATATATTGTACTCTAACAATTGTTGCTGTTTCTCTTTGTTTAATTATAAAGATGTATGTAGGCTTATTAGGCACTGTATTGTACTTCATATAAGCTTGTTTACAAATTCATAAATAAAATAATAGCCAACTCAAATTTAAGAATATTAAAAATAACTTTAGAAGTCTGCAGTACTACACAATAAGCATTAAATAAAAATCAAGGAAGTTTACAAGGGGATCCTTTGTTTTCATGCTTCTCTCTCTCTCTCTCTCTCTTATTTGATTCCTTCTTTCAATTGCTTAATTGCTTGATTATTATCCTTGCTGTTGTTCTTTCCACCCCTCACATAAATATATACATAAAGAGAGAGAGAGAGAGAGGAAATAATAAAGAATAAATTACATATAATGATATTCCAAAGAAGAAGAAGAATAAGAATAAGAAAAACATACAAACACATACACGCACATAGAAAAGACTCCCTAGCCCTATCAAAAATGGTATTCTCTCCTTTTATGAAGAAAGAAAGAAGAAGAAAAAACATTGGGTTTCTATTATTATTATCATTATCATTATTATTATTATTATTATTATCATTATTATCACTATTGCTGCTATTATTTTGTCTTTGGTGAGCCTACAGCAAAAGACACACACCCACACACACACACACACCCACACACATGTACAATTCATATATTGGAAAAAAAATGATGAAGTGAAAAGGTGAAGAAAAAGAAAGAAAGAAAAGAAAGGCAAAAAAAAATAGAAAAGAAAAAGTAAGAACAAGTATTGTAACTATGTAAAGGTAATAATAAAAGAAAGAAATAAAGGAAGAGTAAAAGTGTCGAGATGGGAGATAAACTATTGGGAAAGTAGATAATTGTATGTGTGCATTTATGTGAGTGAGTGAGTGTTTGTGTGTGTGTATAGGTTTTCCTGCTTGTTTGCTTGATTGATTGCTTGATTGTTTGATTGTTTGATTGTTTGAGTGTTTGTTTGCAATGTGTATTAAAAAGAAGTATTCTATGAAGTAGGGCACGCAAATCCACCTGTTGCAGGCGTGGCAATAACTGTGGGTTTGTATCCCAGCCAGTCGAGACCAAACAGATGGAGAGTGATCCAAAAATGGAGCTGCAAGGACTCTCGCTGACCCTGGGTTAGATTTGCTGTTGCAGGCTGGGGCGTGCATGCTTTTGAGAGGTCAACAAAAGTAGTATCGGATGCATCTCTGGCCTGGTAATCTACACGGATTGGCAGCTGAATGGTAGAGATCGCTCTGGGGGGCAGCACAATCACTTCTGGACTAGGATCGTTGTTGTGCAGCCCTTTACCGATCAATAGGCCAGTCAGGGCATCTTTGGCAATTACCTGGATGGCCACAAGGCGGGTCGGTATCCGGTTCTGACGGTTATCAACCGTAACATTCACCAGCCACTCTGTCTCAAATGCTGCATTTCCGATCATGATTCCTTGTCTGGTCTGGGTGATCTTTGCTGCACTAGTCAATGAGGCTCCTTCAATCCGCATCAGTGGTGTCCGTGGCCAGAGCAGATAGGATATCACGGCAGCCATGATGACTGTAAAGAAAGTGCAGATCACCCAGCTGCGCCTGCCACAATTTGAGTTTGCCTTTGCTTGGCGCTCCTCACCTTCCTTTTCACGTCGCTGCTGCTGCTGTCGGCTCAGGGTGCTCTGGCTCGGACGCTGGCCACAGCTGAAAAAACAGCATCCGATCCAAAAGCCGCGCGGAGGTGGGGGAGGTGGGGGAAGTGGTGATTGGGACGATGGAGTTTCAAGAGGCTCTGCAGACGGTGTGCGTGGCTCTCGATGGGTCTCGCGTGTGCATTTCTTTGGGTGGGCTGCTTCCATGGCAACCGGATCATCAGCGTAATGATCTTCTTTGTCATCATGGTTTTTGAGAGTCAGTACCGAAGATGCATCCTCTGTCAAGGGCCGATCTTCTTCAAGGGACGTCTGGTGGTCGTAATCCCGGTCGTCATGGCGCTCGACAATATATTCATCCAGAGAATACGATCGGCTGGTCGGACAGTATTCACTCGATTCTTTTATACTGTGTGTGGGATGCTTTCCGGGATCGGTAAACTTTGCATAGATTGGTTTTTTTCTGTCAGATTGGACAAGTGTTTCCTGGCTACCCCAGGGGCGGCTGCTGCTTCTTCCCTTGACAGTACTTGACGGAGAAGCGATCGAGAGATCAAGATTGAGCAGATGGTTGTCTAGGACGGCACTTTTGCGTGATCCAGGTCCTTCGAGAGGATGTATATATTCAGCTAGACAGAATGAGGTTTTATTTATTAAAGAATTTGATATATATATATATATCTTTTGGTTGAGAGACTTACAATGTGGATATCTGTGACCGAGATCAAGTTCATCCATTATAGAGCGGGATCTAGTTCGATCCATTCCGATCCCATCAGAGGGTGATTGTTGGGCAGAGTTACTTCTCATAAAAGTATCTGCAATAGTGAGTCTCTTTGGACCAGGCACCAGGGCGAGGGAGCTGGGGTTGAGTAAGGTCCGCCCAGAGAAATTGGAGGCAGATCGTTCTCGCATAGGGAGAGAAAGAGTATCGTTTGAGTGCATTGACGAAGCCGAGGACATAAAACGGTCTGCTACAGAGAGCTTGCCAGTGTCTGTAGATGATTTGACCTGGTCTGGTATTGAAACTATGACTGGGCGGGGTATGTCTTGCTCTACTGACCGGACTGTGGAGGCTGACGATGAGGGTGAGACGTTTTTTGGTTGACTGTAGTTGTTACTCATGAAGCGGTCGGCAATGGACAGACGGGGTGCAGAAGAGGTTGTACTGGCACTTCGCAGAGTAGGTGCAGATCCACTTCCATTTCCATTTCCATTTCCGTTTACATTTACATTTACATTTATATTTCCATTTCCATTTCCAGGTACAATTCCAGTTCCGGTTCCTGTTCCTGTTACAGTTCCTGTTCCTGTTCCTGTTACAGGCACAATTACAGGCACAGCTCCAATTCCAGTTCCTGTTACAGTTCCTGGTCCAGGTACAGAAGGTCGAAATCGTTCGGAGGATTGTGCATTATCTTGGGTTGTTGAGAAAGAGTGGGTGCGCCGTGATCCAGAAAGGGGTACAAGTGTAGGATTTGTTTCTACCCCAAGGGAGGGAGCAAGTGATGTAGAAGGTCCGTCAGATAGTCGGCTGTAGATAGAAGGGCGTCTTTTTGTGTTCCTGTCCGTCTTTTCTGGAACTATGGATCCGGTGGTAGATGGCCTGCGTGAATGTGGATGTTTTGCCACCATCTGTATTTGTGTGTGTATAATATATATATAAATATATATAAATATATATATATATATAGCCTTTATTATTATTTTTGTTTCTGTTTTTATTGCGTACTAATTATCTTCTATTACTACTACTACTACTACTACTACTACTACTACTACTACTACTACTTCTTATAATTTATTAAAAAAAATAGTATATCTTTATATATTTATACATATATTTGTACATATATGTATATATGAGTGTGTATGTATTTATGTATCGATATACTTTTATATATATACGAATATACAAGAAATGTTTAAGAAATATTAGCTTGTACACAGCCTATAGAGATATTTTGTGTACAAAGGTATAAATAAAATAACTTAATAAAATTAAAAAAAAAATAAGCAAAAAAAGAGAGAGAGAGAGAGAAAGAGAGAAAGAGTAATAGGATAAGAACAACGACAGCAACAATAGCAACGGCAACAGCAACAGTAACAGCAACAGCAGCAACGGCAGAAAGAGTAAGAAAATAAAAACAAGTTGGAATAGAAGGGAGACGAAATAGAGGAAGATGTGAATGAGGGGATAGGGAACAACACAGATATGGATTGTGTTTAGGGAGCTTTTCTTTCAAGTCACTTGAACCTAACGGGTAGGGGAAATAATAATAATAAAATAAAAAATCAAAGAGAGACTCTTGTATCTTTTTTTAAAAAAAATAATTCTTACATCGACTCCTTGTACTTGCCTTTTTACTTTGTATCCTTGACCGTGCACTCCTGCGAAAGCTGTCCAGTTGGGTATGGCGGGAAATTCTTGTTTGCAAGTTCTGTTGCCATATTGGTCATCCAACAAACTCGGCGTTCTCCTTTTTTGATCAACTAAACCTTTATGATTATATGTAAGTAGTTGTTCTTGCTGTTCTTTGACAGCCTTTCTTGTGAAAAGAACGGTTTATCGTATGGTGATCTGTGCGTATCGGTCGATCTTTATGAATCTTACACAAAAGATGTGCACAAGACAATAGAACAAGATTTGATTAGATAGGAAGAAATTGATCATTATATATATATTTATATCAATCAAAATAAAAAGTTTAAAAGCCCTTGGGTCTAGAGACCTAGATAACAGTATATCTATCAATAGCCACGCCTATCAATTTTAATATGTATATTTATATTGATATCCTTATGTTTTGAGAGTATAAATATACCTACGTATCTATATGGCATATTGTCTATTTTGTTTTGGAGTCTTAACATTCTATTTCTTGTACTCAACTTATGGGGATCGCTTCTTTGTTTCGCATTTTTTTTTAATAAACTATCCTTACACTCCAGAAAACAAATAATGCTATATTTGAATTAAGAAATTTTCAAGCACAAGATCAATCGAATACTAGTCTTTACGTATATGTATATATGTTTGAATAATGCTGAGATTAAGACCAATTTAATGAAGTTCTAAAGAGACTTTTTATTTTACAGGACAGCTATTTATTTAATGGCTATCTACATGAATTAGTCGTGCGCCCAATATAATCTATGTCATATTTTTTTTCAAGAATCTCGAGGGAGTTATTAATAGGATTTTATGCTTTTTTTTAGGGACAATTAAGCGTATCCAATAATATGGTTTAATAAACAAAAAGAAATGAAGTACTTTTTTTTTTACCATGCTTATTGTTTCATCGGGAAACAGGCAATGGCCGCATTGTTCTAGTGTAATGATAGTAAATATTTGCCAATTAGTTCTGGACATTAGCCAACAAGTATTCCTCTCAAACAAATCCATAATATATACCTAGCTAGTTTTCTCAAAATTTACTACTGGTGCTTCTTTCTCTCTCTCTTTCTCTCTCATTGTTCTTATTACTCGAAGCGCTCTATAATATAAAGAAGTCTAAAATAGACTGGAGACCATTCGAACTTTGTTTCTACTTTATAGGGCTAGTAAATGAATCAAAATTTAATATTACCAAAGTGTATACAAGAGCTTATCAAAGTGACATCTTTGAATGGATTTAGGGAGGTAACATATAAAGGTATATAAAGACATCCCTCTTTATTGACATGATTTGATCGCCGTAGTATTTTTTGTGTAGTTTTCATTTCTTTCTACTGGTTTACTCTTACTATTATTATCATTCTTATCTTGTAGAATGTTATTGATCAGAACCTCTCCTTTTCTTCTTCTTCTTCTTCTTTTGTTCTTGTGCAAAGAAGCTTTTATTCAAACCACACACGCTATAAAATAGTTATACATAAATTGGATCATCCTGTTAATATAAATGCTTTACTCTACAAGATCAAATTACCCCCTCCTTCTCTCTCTCTTTCTCTTTCACACATACACACAAAAAGGGAAATAAAGATAGACAGCCAAAATAAAATAGGCAGTTCTTGTTGGAATACATTTTGCATTACCATCAGTAAATGTCATTGATTCATCGAAAGACTCTATGCTCTCTTCACTGACCAATATATTTGAACGACAACACATCCCAGAACCCGATTTCTGGATTTCGCTCTCTTCTCTTTTTCTTTCTTTCTCTCTCTTTGTCAAGCCCTTTTTCTTTCTTGTTCTTCTTTAACTTGGGCCTAAAGTCTACGCAGATTCATAGAATACAATGACTTTTATTTATGAAAATAAAAGTAGATTTATATACATACATATGCATTATTACCAAGCCTGTAGTTACTCATAAAGAGCATTGTTAGTTTACCCCCTCTAAAAGAAAAAGAAAAATCGATTTCACAATCACAGATATAATAAATAAGTAAATTAATTTAAACAATAGTCATTCTACTCATAGAATCTAAGGTCAAAGCAATCTTTGTAAAAGGACAAGGCCATTATATATATATATTTGTTTTCAATAAACTCTGTTCCATTCTTCTGCTTTTTCTATCTTTCCTGGGTCTTAAAGACAGTCAACCAATAAAATAAAAGGAAGAGAAAACATTGATCTTCTTCGATACTGTAGTTGTCTCATTTACAATAATGCCGGCGGCTTCAAAAATATACAAGTACAAGAGAAAGAAACATATATCAAGAATTCCAGATAGCCGGATACAACAAAGACTTGAAATATTATGATGTGACTCACTTGACTTTGCAAAAAGGAATTTTACAAAGTGTCCTGTATTTGATTGCAGAGTAACGTATTGGCCTATACGCATTGGGATCTTTTATTTGAACTATACATAGCACTCTTGAGCTGATATCTCGATAAATATGGTGTTGAAATGCCACCTTTTTTTATTTTAGCTCTATCTATAGCTATTTATTCAATTGGCGTGGTTAATTTTTTTTATGAGAGGAAATAAGTCAGTTACTAGCATACAAAAACAAAGGTACATTCTAAGCTCAGTACTAAATTATAGTTTTTAGACCCAAGAGTCCAAACACTATGAGAAATAGGTGGTGATTCTAAATTGTATTCCTGCATATTTTTCTAATATCAATGCATTGCTAAGATACTTTACAGCATTATCAAGTGGTATTTTGTTGTTCCTGTTGTTCCTGTTGTTGATTGAATACTCCTTGTCAAAAGTAGTAAGGCTACTATTTGATCAAAAGCACATATTTCCTACACTAAGATTATTACTGCTTTAAAAATAGTTTCAAATATCCCAAACACATTTCTTATCGAGCAATATAGGATTGATATTCTTTGATAAAGAGTCTCTGCTGTCCTGCTTATACAAGAGTTATTGTTTTGGAGCTCTGTTTTATCCCAAATAGTGCATTACTCAGATCAAGATATATAAAATACCTTTTAAACATGTAAAGCTCATAAAATCCAGCCTTTTTAATTAGCTAGATGGAATCTACCTATTAAATTGTAGGCCTACCTGATTTTAACAAAAACATGAGCAGAGTCTTAAAATAGATTCCAAAGAAAATTGCATACTTTATTAGGAAATTATTGAATTACTTTTTGAATACCGACAACGTGCACAACATTGGGAGGAACCGATATATATATTTTTAACTTTTTCCTTTTTTCTTTTCTTTATTTCGTTCTTTCTTTTTTTGGCTTTTTATTTTATTTTATTTTAGTTTTTTATTTTATTTTTATAGTGTCTCCCTTTCCTCTCCTTTACCTTTCCATTTTTAAGTTTACCATGAAGTTGTTGCCTCGTAACCTGTCTGGTTACCAGGCCACTATATCATTATTTACAGTCACAGCATGTCTCTTGAGTTCTGTAAATGCTGACAATTCAACCGACCCTTGTGCAGCCATCGCCCGTAAAAAGATTGCAACATTCACTGAAGCCAAAGCATGTCTTCAATATTTCCCATTCGATAAAGAAGCCGCAGACCAAACCCTTGACACTGTCCATAAGATTGTTACAGAGCTTTATGTCTTTAAAGTAAAGATACCATATACATAATACATAATACATATATATATAGTCTTATTCTTTTAATCAATCAATCAATTTATTTATTTATTTATTTATTTATTAATTATTTTGTTAATCTAAAACATATTATAATTAGGACATTGCAGCATCTCCACCAAAAACAAAAGGTCTTTCAGTCGTACCAGTAGATCTCGAACACGGAATCAACATCATCAGAAATCAGGCATGGAATTCAGATCAAGAATTCCAGGATTCTATATCACTACTTCTTGACAAAGTTCATGATGCTCACTTGGTAAAAAATAATAAAATTCATTCTTAATGCTCTCTTTATATCTCTTTATTTTATTTTATTTAGCCACCCCCTAATATTATTACTATTACTATAACTTTTTTATTGATTTATTGATTTTCTTTATTTTTGTGCATCGCTTGCCACTTTCATAGGCCTACTCCCCTTACTGCTACCGTCAGTTCCTATTCTGGCAACCAATTCAGCTCAATGCATTGATCCGAAACCAACGACTGGTTGTTAACGTAGCCTATGTAAAAAACGATGTCTGGCCCGAAGCCAAGGAATCTTGGGTTGGCTGCGAGGTTACCAAGATCGATGGTCGTGATGCATTCGATATGGTTGTGGACTATGCTGTAAACAACAACGGCGAGAGCAAGGACGTAAACACCTGTTTCAACAACATCATGAACACCAAGAGCTACTTCCACGGCTGGGACGACGGTGCTGATGATCTTGGCTATCATCGTTTCTTGCCCGCTCAAGAAGTACACGACTACACTCTCCGATGCCCTTCCAATGGAACCTCGCCTTCGAAAGAACAATTCGACGAACCTTTCACCGTGAGTATTCCATGGGTCGCACAAGTCCCACAGGGATTTCATTCTGCAAAGGACTATTGGACAAATTACTGTTATTCTGGACACTCCACCTTCCGTAAGCGTAGTCTGTCCGAGAACGAGGCTGTCAACGCTGCAGTCCAGATGCTCGACGTAGACGAACTGACCAAGATTCACAACAACCATGTCTTTGATCTCACGCCACCTGCACAGAATGCCGGTCCTGATAGCTCAGAAGGCGAATACGTCCATTTTGCCGCGCTTGAAGGAGAAAACTCCAAAGTTGGTGTGATTGATATCCGCAGCTTTTCGATTGCAAACGAAGATCGTGATGCCTTTGCTGACAACTTTACTGCTGGCCTTGAGAGCTTTGAGAAGAAAGGAATCGAAAAGATTATTATTGGTAAGAATATATATATATATAACTATACTTGGTGCTAATACTTACTTGATTGTTTAGATCTCTCTAGTAATGGAGGTGGAGATGCTTGTGCCGGTGAATTCATCATCAACACATTTTTCGACGCTACCCCTGAATATGCCTCTGACGTAAAATACTCACCTTTCCTTGAACGTGTGATCAAAAAGTCGTATGAGACAGACTCTGGAAAATGGATTGACTACAAGTCCGAGAAGTTCAAAGGCGCCGAATGGTACACACACCCTGTTGAGTATGAGCGCGGTGGTAAATCCGTGAATTTCTCTCAGCCCATCACCCTCAGCTGCGAAAGCTGGGACTCCAGCTTGACAGCCAAGCGCTACAACAACAAGATCTGGAAGGCGTCCGATCTCTTGATCCTGTCTGACGGTCGTTGTGGATCAACCTGTGCTATTGTGGCCTCTCGCCTGCGTCTTTCTCACCTTGTTCCTGCCATGGGTCTTGGCGGTGTTCGTGGCAACCCTATGCAATTTGCGTCCTTCCCGGGTGGTGAAAGCGAACGTCTTTCGGGATTCCTGCTTGAGCTCCAGTCTCTTGGTCTCCAGAATGATCCTGATGCACCCAAGCCTTTCCCCCAGAGAGCAGACATGGGCTGGACTTTCCGTGAATCTTACCGCCCCGCCAAGGACTCGGATGGACCCTTTGGGGATTCAAAGAACTTGCTCGAATACACAGCTACCAATGCAGACTGTCGCATGCATTTTACAGATGAGAATGCAGATGATATTGAAGTACTTTGGGGACAAGTTGCTCAAGTGGTCCTCAAAGGACAATGTCCTTTAAAAGAGGAGTAAGATAATATATATATATATATATATATATATATTTATTTAAAAAATATATAGTTATTATTTTTATAATTTTCTTTTCTTTTTCTTTTTTTGATTATTATATTTCATCTTCTCTACTATTCCACTTGTTGTCCTTGTCATTTCTATCTTTTTACCTTTCACCTCCTGGCCACCTCTTATTAACACCTTATTCTCTTCTTCCTTGTCCTCTTCTTTAAAGCAAAGAAAAACTGTGACAAATAAATAAAAACTTGATGATTTGAAAGCATTTCTATATCACATATTGTAAATATTCACATCAGTCTCGCTCTCTGGTTCAATAAGCTATAAAGAAAATATGGTATTTTAAGATATTACATGGTTTTTATGGTGTATTTTTTTTTTTTTTACTTTTGCTGTTAATTATCTATTTGAAATTTAGAGTCAGGATGTTAATAGTAGACTATAAAGTATTTGGTACATTAAGATATTATACATAAGGATATTCTTTTACTTAGCTTATCTATATTCTATGGGCTAGATTTACTTGGACACTGAGTTAGGTATGTGACCTTATGTCCAATCTATGGTTCTTCACACGGCTTAGCTTCTATTATTTTCTTACACTAAAACTTGCGGGATACGCTTATACCTAGAAGAAATGGAAAGGTACAAGATTTGAAAAAAAAAGGTAATTTAGACCATATAAATGTACAGCATTGGATCTTTTTTTTTCAGCAATTTTCAAAGTACCTTGAGTCTATAACTACAACAAAACCATCTGTTCTGTTCTCTTCTGCTGGTTGGACAAAGCTTATACTATATTTATTAATCTTTAAATTTATAAAATAAATAATAGTAATAGTGAGTTATCTACTATAAGCATAGACGTTAGTTTCATCGCTAATATTTGGGATGTTCATGATACCATTTTCCCAAGACTATGTACTTGAAAGAAAGTAACTTTTTCTTAGACTACCATATAAAAACAATTAGTTGGATTTTCATAGGGTTTTAGAAAAGTGTATTGAAACCTTTTGACTTATAACGAACGTCTCAGTTGATGAATTGGTTGAATTGCTAAATGTTTGCTTTAACTTCTCTTATGATGTACTCTATAAAGAAAAACCTCAAAGTATGTAGCGTTTCTTATTTATTTTTTTATTGCTTGGTGTGGCTGTGCATTTTTACCTCATGATGTTGTGTCCAGGTGTATAAATTAACCGCAGCAAACTTTATTTTTTAATATATGGTTATATTCTACTAGATTATATACCATGACTACTTTAATAACAATTAAACCCAAACGCGATAACCTACATCTTTCTCTACTTGTGATATTGCAACTATATTAGCCCTTTATACTCAATAATATATATAAATACATTACCCATGATTGCTGCTACCTTGCCATTCGAACTTCTCACACACATTAGTCTCTTTTTGTCTACAAAGGAAAAATATACATGTTCCTTTGTCTGTAAATCATGGCAGGCTCCGTTTCAGGAATCCTTGTGGAGTCTCCTAGTAATCTGTAGTCAAGTCGGCCTTACTTCTCTCTTCAAACTACTTTCTTCCAACGAAAATATCCTTGAAAGAACAGAAGATCAGTACGTACTCTGAAAGTACTTACAGACGTACATACCAACTCTGAACAATTCAGTCATCTCCAAAGCACTTTTCAAAACATTAAGTACCTAGACATTAGATACGATGGTGTATTGGTCTTAGATTTGTGGAAAAGCACAAACTGGAATCTTTGGAGTAATCTGACTCAAATGTGGATTACTTTTAATACGTTAAGAGCCGAGAATCAGACGGAATATTTTGTCAATACTATGTCTTATTTACCTCAACTTTGGAGGCTGTATATCAAGAACGCATCTGGGAAACAAGTCCTCAATTTTACGATGCAAGACTTGGAGAATTTACACGATAATTTACCACGCCTAAGAGAGCTCACGATAGTTAAGCCGACGATCTTATTCAGACCTGAAGACTGTCGCCATGTAAACGATGTATATCCAGCCAAAAACTTGAAAGTTCTAAAACTACTCGAAGTCGCCAAAGTACACCAGCAATGGATACATTATTTTTCCCGAAAATACTGCAACTTAAATACACTGATATTCAAAACCACCCATTTTATCGAACTTTCCAACCAACAAAAAGAAGAGTATGAGTCGATTAGCTCAGACCACAATCCTAGTTTTCCAGATCTGAATACCGTTGAAATCAGCTGTCTTAACGATCTATCAAAGATGCACACTCCCTTTTTTAACACCATTCGTACCCCAAGCCCACCACTCAAACGCCTGAAGCACACCTTTGATTTCAGTCATGATAACTCTGAAAATATCGAAAATACGCTCAAAGACTACATTAATACCTATCTCTCGACCCTTGAAACTCTTTTAGTGAACATTGTTAAATTCCGTAGACCTCCATATACACTGGCCGATATGTTTTATCCTTCTCCTAACATTGTTGAATTGGAAGTTACGGCACAATATTCCGACATGGCATTAGATAAATTTTTGGAAAAATATGTGTCATTGAGAAAGATGCGAATCTCTGAAGCCAGTATCTTGCTAACTCCAGATCTACTAAATAAGAAGCCAGCAAATACACATCCTCTTCGAGTTATTGAAATTAATGACGCAAAAGCCAATGCAGATGCTTTAGAGTATCTGTCTTCTCATTGCAAACATCTTAGCTACATGCGTTTATCCAGAGTTGATATATACGGGAATCAAACTCAAGATGCAAGAAACCTCAACATTGATATGTCCCACACGCATTTCAAAAAGTTGAATCTCCAGCTCGTCAAATTCTATCCGTTTTATGACCAATCGGTAGTAGACCACATCTTTACCTTTATTGCAATCTCCCCGACTTCACAGGATGTAAAAAGACGAAGCATAAGCAACCGCGGTGACGATTCGCCAGTGGATAACAATATGAATAACATTGATAATCTTGGGTTATCTGTTGGATCAAAATGGTTCAGCGTGACTTACAGTAAAGGATTTCGCAACTCACGCAAGTATTTTCTTACTAAGCTGGATGAGAGCGATGCCCAATGCGCCAGCCAGCATTTCTTTTCTAACAAAGAAAACCCTGATCCCGTCAATATTGTAAAGGAGCCATGGCCACCCAGACTTTTCAAGTACACTTGCTACCACACTCGAATATCAAACTCACAAGCTTATTGTAACTTCAAGTATGGCTCTATTGATAGCTTTAAATTTACTTTTGATGGGATACGTGATCAAAAGATCTGGGACAAAATCTTTAAATTGAATTGAATATATATATATTAGATGATTGGGCTTGTAATGTTCAATGTCGTAAAGGTCTAGTTACAGAATATTGTACTTTATTATAGTTTATTTAAAGCTTAGGATTTTCTCTATAATTTTCCCTCTTCTCTTTCACAGTGCTCTTTCAGATACTCTTTAAAAGAGCTATTAGATCAAAGCATGTTGTTTGTTCAGTTTATTTGAGCCTTTATGAAAGGTGTTGGCTTTAAATATTCTTCATAGTTAGAAATAAATTGAAAAAAAAAAAAGTTAACAGTCCATGCACACACATATTTGTATAATAATAATAATAATAAATTATCCAACTCAAATATAGCGATAATTTATATGATTAGCTTAACAGAGTCTTGATGAATTACCTTACTATGCCCACACATACACACCCTTTTTAAAGCTGGTTTTGGTAGCGAGATTCAAATCTGTGCCAACACTCAACCTTTTTTTTTTCAAGGTGTAGATATATGGCTTCCAAGTCTATTTTAAAAAAAAATCCTGGTTTATTTGACAAGTACTCGGGCCAACTCCACCTTTATTAATAAGAGTATTGACTACAAAGAAGGATCTTTCTTTTGAAGGACGATAATTTTATATAAATATATAAATATATAAATATATATATCTTAATATATTGGTTATTGGTTATTGGCTTGTATTACATACGCAGAAACACACACAAAGGAACACACAGACAGACAGAAAACTAAGAAAGGTAAAGTCTGTATTAGACCAATTGAAGTAATAGATGAAATCAATGGCTTATTAATCGGGTGCTTCTAATTCGAAGCATAGTATTATTACAAAAGCATGACTTTTGGTTCATTAGATTTTTCAAGCTTGATAGTGTACAATTCACTCCTTTAGATTTCATGTCCAAGCTTATCAAATAAAAAATTAAAAAGAAGAAGAAATGTGAGGTCAGGCGACTACAAGTACGATTTTATTTTTTGATTTGATTTGGTTTGGTTGGTTGGTTGGTTGGTTGGTCAAAATTGTGGTACTCTTCTTACTGTGTGAATTGTGTCCCTCACCCTTATCCCCACCCCTTCTCCATTTTTTATATACATTTTTTTATTAGTGATTTTATTTTCTCCTCTTTTCAGTAGGTTTTTAATTAACCAATCATCTCTAGACTTTAACCCCTCCTCTCTCCTGTACTTTCTTTTTTGATCTCTTGCCCTCTCTCTCTCTCTCTCTTTCATACATACTTTCCTTTCATTCCTTTCAACTCTCTTTAATTATTAGTTTTACTACTACTATTATTCTTGTGATTTCCTTTCTTTTTTGTTCACTCATTTTTTTATTTTAAAAAAAAATAACTTTCTATAAAAATGCTACCTTTTATTTGGAGAGTCCTGATCCTTTCGACAATAGGCCTTGTGTCTGTCCAGGCACAGGCACAGGCACAAACACCATCACAGACGCAGACACAGACACAGACACAGACACAGACACTTACAGGCAATACGAACAGCACCAACGGTGTGTCACCGGTGTCTACACAGTATAACGATGCATTTAAATACCATGGCGGAAAGATGCTTTACGATTCAGTCAATGGTATGACTCCATTCAATCTCATCACTTTGCTCATTCACTACCCCAAGTCTATGTAATCTTCTATGGCAACTGGACTTCTGATCAGTCGGCCAAAGAACAAACAACTCTGCTCAATTTTATCGGAAATGTGTCCAGTACACCCTGGTTTAAGCAATGTAAGGAACCCCTCTCCCCTTTTTCTTTTATATATGTATATACATATGGTGTACCCCTCTTTTGTAGTCAAAAGAACAATAATATATATATATATATAAAATAAATAAAATAAAACCTCGTTAATTTCTTATGTACATATATACATATATACATATTTACTTATTTACTTATATATATATGCTTATATGTATATTTGCAGTACAAGAATACAAAGATACCGACGGACACTCAGTTGCTGGACCCTTGAAATTATCGGCTGCATTGACTGACTCTGGTAGCCAGGGTCTTAATCTCACAGATTCGGAAATGCACAAAAAGATTGTCCTTGACGCTGTTCATTCGGGATACCTTTCGGTGGATAATCAGATTGATCGAAATGGTTTTTATCTGATAATGGGCGCAAGTGATGTCAGTGACACAGATTTCTGTCGTGTAAACTGTGGTCAACATGGCTACAGCGATGAATTCCAGTATATGTTTATTGGTTATCCTGGCATTTGCCCTGATCGGTAAGAACAACATATCATAATTTATTTATTTATTTATTTATTTATTTATTTTTGGTGTATGGATTAGTTGTATCCCAAGCCTCAACCAACAGAACTCACCAAATGGTAGTCCTGCACTAGACGCTGCGATTACCATCTTTTCGCATGAGATTCAGGATGTGCTGACAGACCCTCGAGGTGATGGTTGGGTTGTCCAGAATAATGACGGCAAGATTGAGCTCGGTGACTTTTGCGCCGGCTCAGGTGTGACACAGCAAACGTGGTTTGGTAATGTAACACAGCCTGAGGGACAGAATGGAACTTATAATCTAGTCATTGGGGATGCCAAATATCTCGTACAAACAATATACAGCCATGAGAAGAAAACGTGCGGGCTTTTATAAGCTCAGTATGGCTTTCTTTTCTTTTCTATATATCTATTTATCTAAAGTGGTTTATATATATAAAATAGTAAAAAAGGAAAGAAAAAAAACAAAAACAAAAAGCCATGAATATATTTATACGTTTATCTTTCTGATACACACGCAAAATCAAATCAAGAAAACATGAGTCAATTGGATCCACAGAAAATCTAGATGTGTGTGTAGGTTACTTTAATTACAAGACATATATTTATGAGAGGCCGAATCCATGTGTTTGTACCTTTTATTATTATCGCTTCTTTTTTTATTGCTGTAAAATAAAATATAAAGAAAATTGATCGCTATTACAGTAACAAAATAATAATATTAAATATTAAATATATTTAAATGACAGAGAGAAAAAACCAAATCAACTGGCTTTAATATTGAGCAATCTAGAATCATCCGTGCTTTTGTTCTTTGTTGAAATTATATTATATAAAAATAAATTAATAAATAAGTTTTTTTTTAAAAAAAAAAAAAGAAAAAAAAACAGTTGAAATTAATGGTATCGCACTGGTAAAGAAGAGGTTTGGTTACTGGGCTTATAGTTGATAATCTTAGTATTAATATTAGTATTAGCGTTGGCGTTGGCGTTGGTATTGGTTGTATTTGAGTTTGTGGAAACCATGACTGCTCGATCGCTTGGTCCAAATGCAGGCGATGAGACAGTTTCCCTAAAAGCTACGGGTCCTGGATGGGATACAGAATTTTCAAATGAGCTTTGCATGCGAAGATTTTCGGGAATGTTGAACGAAAGTGTCTGATTCTTTGGGGTTTCTTTGGTCTGTGCAGGACGGGTAGAAATAGATTGCGAGTTGGAGTCCAATCGGGAAGACGGGATTGACGTAACATGGAAATATTCGTCGTCGTCAGGGTATTTTCGATCAGAACGACTTCGACTAGAACTTGAGTTGTTTTGTCTGGGCAAATACTTTATTTCCTACAATTAACAAATAATATATATATATATATATATATATATGTTTAATCATCTTATTATATATTTAATTATAAGTATAATTAATTTTAGCATACCATCCCGCAGTTGTCGCAAAATGCCCCGGTACCGGTCTTTCTTTGGTCAAACCGAAGAGCTTCGACCAAAAGCGTAGATTCAATAAGCTCAAAATAGACGGTGAATGCCTTTTTGCGAATATTTATTTTTATATTTGTATCCGTTATTCGTTATTTCGTATTCGTATTTTGTATTGGTGTTTATGTTGATGTTCGTATTGGTATTAATATTGGAGTAACAAACGGCTGTTAGTTTTTTTTTGGCTAGACTCTTCCCCATCAAGTATGACGGATAAAGTGTGTGCGCTTTATACATATATATATATATATATATATCTATAATTTTTTTGGAAAACTTACATCAGATCTGTCGTTTAGGAAAGAGGTTACTTTGAGAAGATTCATGACCATATTGACAACGAATGTCAATACCAAACACCAAAGTGATTTTCTAGCAATGTGTTCAATAGTACGATTTTGCTGACTGATAAAAGACTTCGAAGTATTGATGTGAATATAAAGTCTAAAAATAATGATGATAATAAAAAAGGTTTACAAATTATTAGTATTAGTAACACTTATTATTTTATTTCTATGGTGATGGTGGTAACTATGGTGGTATTTTACCTTCGTACAAACATTCCACTTAGAAATAGTGTTGCAAGTGTGTCAGCTATAACATTAACAATCAAGACTCCATTACCCCTATGATAGTAACATAGTAAACATATTTAGTTAATCAAACCAAACGAACAAACATATAAACCATCAATACATATCAGTGTTGATATATTACCAAGATGCCCAGCATGTCGTTCCTTCTCCGATTATTTGAGTTGATATGTCTTTGATATTGTTGTATGCTAGTTCATAAGGCCAGTCTGCAAACCGGAAAGTGATCAAAAGTATTCCAATCGCTTTGATCCATCGAGAATTCTTGTCGGACTCGAGAATAATTAATCGCATAAACATTACTGTGTAAAATAGTATATAATCTAGAGGTAATAATATAATTAATATAATTAATATGAGTTATATAGCATTACAAACAATCAGCATTAAATATGAATATGCGTATAATCTATGTAATAGATACACAACATATATCTATCAATATCTTACTGATGTGCCATAGTCTAAACAAAAAACAAGCAAACAAACAAACAAGCAAACAAAACGCCCCAAAAAGAAAACGCCATTTTTTTATTAGTTTCTTATATTTGTCTTCTCTATGCATATGTGTGTGTGTATTCTATAAATTGACTTACGAAACAAGAAATGGATAATACACGCAAGTTGTTATTTCAAATAGTGGTATGAGACCGTAAAGTAGTCTGTGGATAAAGAAGACGGCAATTTGGGCCATATTGACTAGATGACTAAATTATTATTATTATTATTATTATTGTTGCTGTTGCTGTTGCTGTTGCTGCTACTGTTACTGTTACTGTTACTGTTACTGTTACTGTTACTGTTACTGTTCAGATTGATACTTTACGATCCTTTATATTTATTTTTTGAAATGTTAATAATACTAATACTAATACTAATACTAATACTAATACTAATACTAATACTAATACTAATACTAATACTAATACTAACAATAATAGATCATACATACATTTTACCGTGCGTCCGTTTGTATTGTTTAGAACTTACAACAAAGTTGCGAACACAAACCAACACAGCCAACCACATTCCTATCATATTTAGACGGTCTACGACACGTTCTCCGTACGGTGATAACTGGACCATAATGTGTATAATGCATCAAGATCTAAACAAAAACATATACATATATATATATATATATATTTATATTTATATATATATATATATATAATTGGTTGTTCGAGATTCTTTGTAGGCAAGACTAATTGTACGAAAATTATAAACGGGCTCTTTGCTCTTTGTGTTGTTTGGATTTTGATACAAGATGTAATAATGGGAGGTCAAGTGTGTGTGTGTATCTTTAATTGTTATAGAATTTATAGTATAATGGAGTATATAGGATAGTAAAGAAGAGGAATGAAAATACAATAAACCGTTGAATTCGTTTAAAGGAAGAGAGAGAGAGAGGAAGAAAATACAAAAATACAAAAAAAAAAAAAAAAAAAAAAAAAGCTGCGTCACTTTGGTTAGAGAAAAAATGTAACCTGGTGGGAAAGGCGGAAAAAAAAGAGTATAAAAAAAAAGAAAAAAGAAAAAAGAAAAAAGAGAAAAAGAGAAAACCTAATCCAATTCAAGTGGGCCCAGGATACCCCGCTTTTCGGTCACTGGTGGTCAATATTCTTATTATGGGTTGTGCTTACTATTTTATTTTATTTTATTTTTCTATTGAAAAATATAATTATATAGAGAGCAAAATATTCAGATAGATATAGGTATGGAGAGGTAAAATTCATCTTTGTTACCTCGACCATGCTTGTCATTAACCCTTTTGTTCTTCTTCCAATTTGCTTCATTGGTCATCTAAATGACTTTTTTGATTTATTTTACCCCATTTAAAAGTCTAATTTTAGGCTTTAGTAATTTATACAAATATATATATATATATATATATATATATATAGATCCAATCCGTTGCCATGGTTTTGGTTATATAAAACAAGGCAGCAAGAAGGTTTTATATATATATTAAGTATTTTTTTTTATTCTATTTGATTTTTATTTGATGTTTAACCAATAATTGTCATGTCAGGAGAGATCCAAACTTCCCAGTCTCTGTCATCCAACGGATTCCCAAATATTTTGAGAGCCGAGAGTTTGATTCGATAGATTCCGTGGGGCACATGGGCAATCCGACTAGATGTATTATTATTTGTGGTTGTGGTTGTGGTTGTATTATTAAATAGGGTTGGCAGAGTAGTAATGTGCCCCCTCCAATCTATGTTGTGTTCACGGTTTGTGTCACTATGGTCGTTCCTAGACAACCACTCTTGCCGAATCGCTGGTATCTCTCCTACACTGACATTAGAGGTATCCAAGAGTTCTCCTTTCAACAATGCTGTTGGATTACCCAGACGAAGGTACAGGTGAACAACGTTTGCTCGGCTGAAATCATATTTCAGAACCTGCTTTGTTGTGCTGTTGGTCTGATTGTTCTGATTGTTCTGGCTGTCTATCGTAGACCCGGATGATTGATCTATCGGGGCTGACAACCTTCTCCCGAGATAGTTTCCGATATACGGATATCCTTTCTAATAAGTAAATAGGAATATAGGTATATGTTAATGGTATTCTTATAAATCACATGCATGCTACGTATAAACGTATTTCTGGTTTTTTTACCTTTGTGTCAAATATAGGAAGATCTCTTTGCCTTCCAAGCGATCCAAAGTAAGGAACATGTAGTACTTCGGTCTCTGTATTATTGCTACTAGACCGTACCCGAATATAACCACCGTACAAAAGGTGGGGGTTGTCAATTGTATTGGTCCAATTGGGCGGAGAGAATGTCAATTTAACAGCTCTGGATTGATTGAATCCAAGTACAAATGCAGTCTCATTTATGGCTACATCTGCTCTATTGTCTTTGTAGTGAGGGCGACGCAATGGTACTGCACTCTTGGTGAAATTGTAACCTTGGATACCAAAAAAAAGATCAATACAAAAAAAAACGACAATTGTTTTCTTTCTATCCTGTTACTAATATCATATATGTATATATATTTACCTGATACTGCAATAGCAGCAGAATGTGATATATTGTACAAGCGTGTCATATTCGATGTGTTGGTAATTGTTATTATATTAATCTTATTAAAATATTCGGTGTCATTCAAGGTGATCTTGAAAGGATCTACAATGCTTTTGCTGTGTATTGTGTTGTGTACCTGTTTGTGTAAACATGTGCATATATTTAATTAAGAATTGTAAGAATAGTCATAAACGATCAGCCTTTTTTTTACTATTACTAAGGACCATTTGATTTTTACTTACTTGAACAAGTCCTGCTCCTTGCTTAATAGGAGATTCCAATCTGTGATGATATGTGCCAACTATTGGCCTTGCATGATTTAGAAATGCACGGTATACAGTATCTGGATTACGGTGCTTGGTGGCTTCCATATAAAGTGCCACACACCCGGCAAGGTAAGGCTATCCCAGAAGAAGAAGAAAAAAACCATAAAGCATGGGCCACACATCAGAAACTTGAGCTTGTCACCGCCACTACCGCCACTATCATTACCACCGATACAAATACCAATATCGCTACCGATATTACTACCACTAACACTACTACTAACACTAGTAAATGATAGAGATAACAATAAAAACCAGTCTAACATAATCTCCGGGTATGTATGACAGTAGTCCAAGAGCATTACTTACAGTAGCCATGCTTGTACCACTCATTGATTTGTAGCTACCTGTAATTACATTATAATGTTATAATTGTGTACACAAGCACATACGCATAGATATACAGATATATAGTTTTCTTCTTCTTTATATCTCAATCTACACATTACACACATATCACACACACAAAAGAATTATCCGAAATTGCCTTACCCATATTCACAGGAAATGTAGAATACACATAACCACCCACTGCCGCTATTTCTGGCTTAAAGTGTAGCTGCAATATACAAATTACTAGATTAGGAAACCCAGGCAAAAGAAAAGAAAAGAAAAGAAAAAAAAAATTGGCCAATGTGCATTGAGCACATTTTTTCCCAAAGTACAGAATCGCCTCTGTGTTTTGAACTCTTTTTTTTTCCCTGGCTTACCTCTGCATCAGGACCCCAGCTGGAGAATCTAAAATGGGAGGGTGGTTTTATTTTTATTTTTCAAAAAGGATTAGTAAGACATTTGATCAAGCTGAATATTATTATACACGCATACACCCATACACGCGCACTGGCTCACACATGTATGTCTGTGTGGGTGAGTAAGTGAATGTATATAAATCTTGTACAAAAGCAAAGCCTTTTTTTTCCCCTGTTTCCTTGTGTATCTGGGTAAAGAATAAAGTATGTATATAATAACTTACAGAGAAGGAAGCCCGGCTGTTTTGATTGGAGCCATTTGGTTGGAAAACGCTGCACCAAAACTTGTATTGCCATCCCCAGTACTCGAGAACATGGAGAATATGGTGCCACCGTCTTCTCCATTGATTGATCCAACTGGTATGGTGATATTCGCACCTTCGAGACCTATTGTCGTGGTCTCTTCGCCTGGGTTGTTGTACACCAAAAGACCCACAGCCCCTGCTTGTTGAACGTTTAGGGCCTTTCTTGAGAACTGACACTTTCCTCTGTGGACAAGCACAACCGAACCCACAAATCTATTGGGATCAAGTGGTTGGCAGCCATATTCAAAAGTATAGCTAGTGTTTCTGGTCTCGGCTCCAGTCTGTGACCCATTATCGGAATTCACTACACTATGTCCAGTAGCCATAATACGATAATACTTTTTGTCATCAAAATCAACCGAGACATCTGGCGAGATTTGGTATTCTTTTTTTTTTTTAAAAAAAAAAAAAAGGTACAATATATATATGAATATGATTAGGAACAGTTAACTGATAATATAATTATAGTCATTTTGCTCTTTTTCTTTCTTTATTAATATTAATATTGATCTCGATTTTAATCTCGATTTTGATTTTGATCCTGATCGTGATCCTGATCTTGGTCTTTACTAAGAGAGAGAGAAAGAAAAAAAAATAAAGCTTACCAAAATCGTACTGATGACTATTAGAATTTATGATATGTAACGTTCTGGTCTGTCGTTGAACATTGTCTACAGAAGCCACCGTGAGTACCCGCCGGCCAATAGATGGAGATGGTGTCTGTGAGATGCCTGTGAATATTATTTATTTAATTTTATAATAATAATAATAATAGGGGAAGAAAAATAAGTTTTTTTTTTTAAGTATTTATTTTTCCCACTAGGATTCTTTTTCACACGGTCCCCTCTTTCTCTCTTTCTCTCTCTCTTTTTCGTCTTTATAACTCTTTGAGCCATTTCTTACCGTCTTTTCCTTCGTTTCCTTGTGCTACTATAACTACTACCCCTCTGTCGACCAGGTTTGATAAAGCAACAGCCAAAGATTCCTACAAATACAATAATACACATTTATTTATTTATTTGTGTTTGTATGTATGTATGTATTTATGTATAAAGAAGAGCAATAATTATCGTTACAGCAAAAGTAAAAAAAGATATTTGCAAATAAAAATACCCAAGTATAAATGAAATAGGATCAATTTTGTATATTTATATAAAAGGGAAAAAGGGAAAAAAAGGAGGAAAAAAGAAAGTTACATCCAATAGTATTATTTATTTGACATTTTGATCTTTTTAATTTTTTTGTTACAGTTGACTTGTCCTAATATTATTATATTTATATTTATATTTATTTTGATCTTTATTTTTGCTCAAATTTGTCATATATATATATTAAAAAGAAAAATAAAAAGAAAATACCTCTTCCCAAGCATTTTGAGATCCACCCAAAGATAAGTTTATAATGTCCATACCAGCATTAAAGGCGAGCTCCTTTATATTCATATACATATACATACATACATATTTATTTATTTATGAGATATAATGGGAATGTATATATATATAAACTAATCAACTAATCAACTAGCTAACTAACCGCAGCCTGGAGTATAATGTCATCGTCTGTCTCGCCTTCACATCCAAAAATGCTTTTTTATATACATGTTTAACATACTGGTATATTGCGTGTCTGTATGTATGTCTGTGTATAGATATTAAAGATGTACTTACCGCCAAACACCCAATTCAACATTGGGTGCAACACCTTGAAAATTCTGGTAAATTATAAAAAAATAAATATATATATATATATAGCCGATGGAAGAAATCTATCTATTAACCTAACATACCTTGAGTGTATCATTAGCAGCAACTAATATTAATGAATTTATAAAGAAAACAGCCTGTGGGTGGTTAGAATATTAGTTTAATGTAGAAAATGAATACTTGCTTATGCCGGCTATATGAGTTCCATGACCATCACAAGTATCACTAAAAAAAATGATAGTATTTTGATTAATATTGATTATGTTATGGTTATCCTTGAATTATGTATGTACATTGGATCATTGTCAGCAAGTATCTTTCCTTCCTCTATAAAAACCAAAAAAGTTAATATATATATATATATATATATATATATATTTGAACAACTTACTGCCATAATTATCACCAACAAGATCATATCCATACGCTATTTTACATCCAGGCTATATATATATATATATATACATATACAAATCAAGTTAATTAATAAACCACAAGTGGTTATGATTAATTGAATATAACACATACACCAAAACATCCACCAAGGGCTGGATGAGTATAATCTACGCCAGTGTCAAGGATACCAATTTTGATGCCCTTTCCGGATATATTCTCAGATCTTACACGGGCAACGCCTGTGAGACGATGAGCTGCGGGCAGGTTGGCTATTCCTTCTTCCACACCCGTGTTTATATTTCCGAAGACAAAATTACGGGTATTATGTGTAGTTGGCCGAGAATATCGTTTTCCGGCCCAGTGCTTTTTTACTGATGGATGTGAGGCTAAAGCAAATCTTAAAGCTTGAACTTGAGCTTGAGCTTGAGCTTGAGCTTTATTTATTCTATATGTGCTATGATTTTCATTATTTTCATTAAAAATGTTGTTGTTACTGCTGTTGCTGTTAGTATTATTATTTTTCGAGGTCTTGAATGATGATGGTGATGATGGTGATGCTGCTGCTGGTATTGATGATGGTATTGATCGGGAAAATAATGAATTTTGATCAAGTGTGGATGTAGATGTGGACGTGAGTGTTGGTGTCAACTCGATTGATATGGCATTGATGACATTTGTGTATCTGTATCGAACCCTGAATTGGATTTGATTGGCAGCAAGGTGATCCAAAAATCTGTCCTGATCTGCTCTGGCTGCCGCCTGGGTATCTCCTCCAGGAGGCGAGTGGAATTGGACGGTAAATCGGTGCGAACTGGGTAAAACAACAGCTGATTCGTCGTCTAAAGGAGGGGGAGGGGCATTGATTCCAGAGTCACTTTTGGCATCATTTTCCAGGGCCCTGACCTTGTCCCCCCTGTGTAAAAGTGCGAGAAGTAGGAGATAAAATATTTGTTTGATAGAAATATTAACCTTCATAAATAAATAAAAAGAAATAAGATCAATAGAAATATAAAGAGCAAGTAACCAAGTAACCAAGTAATCAAGTAAACAGTAATAGAGGGAATATATCTATATATCTATATTGTTTGTTGGCTAATTTGAAATAAATGGAATGGGCCGTCGACTATATATATATATATATATATATCAAATAGTGCCATTGAGATGATGACTGAATGATACTGGATCTTTATTATCTTATTATTTGTATTGTAACTCTTTACTATTTCTACACATTCTTGCTTTTTTGTTTACTACCATTATGATTATGATTATACAACGTCAGTACACGTCATTATAAAATCAGTTTGATGGTATTAATTAATTAATTCATTAATTAATTATATACAAGGAAATAAAGAAGAAGAAGAAAAAACTATATGCTGACGTGTTTTCCAATAGCTTAAAAGTACAAAACCTATTGATCCATATAAAGCTACTTCTATTAAATATTTATAGTATTCCTTGGAGGGAACTTTGATTTTATTTTTACTTTTAAAAAAGACCCAACTTGAAACCATTCTTTATTTTATTTGATGACATAGATATATACATATAAAAAACGTTGTTTAATATTGTAGGCTTAACAAGGTATAAATCCAAACGAGATGCTAGAATATAGAATATACAATTTGTTAAAGTATTCTCACGAATGCCTACCTTTACCCAAGAACTTGTTTATATATATATAATGCCTATACCTACCTACCTACCTACCTACCTACCTACTTATTTATTTATTTATATCGGAACTTTGAAATTTTGAATTGAAACGATTAAAGATGTATAAGGTAAGTAGCCTATTAATCTAGTGTATCTAATTGGTGTCGTCGCAATTTCCTTTAGTCGGGTGTAAAACATAAAGGAAGATAAGTAAAAAAAAAAAAAAAAAAAAAAATCCAAAAAATCGCCTTTTGAGATGACTCGGTGAAAGCTAAAGAAGAAAAAAAAATCAACCAACAAAACTACATGGACCAACTGAGTTTATTAATCTTTTTTATTTTGATTATCAAAAGAACGCAACAACAAAAAAATAAAAATAAAAATAAATCAAAATTGAAAGAAGAAAAGAAAAGGATAAAGTCTTTTTTCTTACTATTATTGTATTAAGTAACTAAAGAATATTTAAATAAATAAAAAGGGACTCAATAAAGCATAATACAAGAAGTAAGTAGTAGAAGAAGTAAGTAGTAGAAGAAGTAAGTAGTAGTAATAATAATAATAAAAAAAGGTGACTATTTGATCTGGGCTTTTTTGTTTTTTTTTTTGTTTTGTTTGACTGTGTATTTTTAATAATCACCAGTTTCTATGGAAACGGTTGACTGTTTCAATAACTCAAAAAGATAAAATCATATCCACATATAGATAGATATAGATACAGATAAAAAGAAATATATATAATAATACGTATAAGAATATCCTTATCATTTATTACTTTATTTTTTGAAGTCCTTTCTACTTGAATTGAGTGTTGAATTGTAACACAAAGACCTAGCGGTGTTGAACACTGTACCCCACTCACCTCTTTTTTTTTTTTTTTTGCTCTCCTTCCTTTTCTGACATTTAATTGCGGAACCTTTTCCGTTTCGGGTAAATCTGTGGTAACCTATGGTTACTTGTGGTTATTTGTGATACTTGTGGTACTTCTAGTGCGTCAGCTAAAGAAGTCCATTATGACGCCAGACAATCTTGTTCGCCACTAAGAGAACGCCATTTGATCGGTATGAAAGACAAGTCAGCTTGTAATTGTGGGGTTACTGACACCGACTTTTTTTTTTTTTTCTTAAAAAAAAAGTCGTATTAGCTTGAATTCATTTATTTTGGGTCTCAATAATAAGAATAACAATATGAATAGGAATAGGAATAGGGACAGCAATAATGAAGAACAAAAAGGAAGTACCTTTAAAAGATGTGCGCGTGAACGTTTGCGTTTGTGGGGTTATACAGTTCAATACATATATAAATATATATATATAAAAAAATGCTCCCCTTCATTCTCCATTTTTTTTTGCTTTATATCCGGGGTTTAGGTTGTCTTTATTTCCACTTCTTTATACATACATATATGGTTATTACTATTACCACAACCACTAATACTTCTTAGCCTTCTTTTTTTTGTAGCAATGACAGTATGATAATTATTAAAATTGTACATGATTGGAATCATGACCAAATCTTGCTATAATCTGCTTTCAAGAGATTATATATGATGTAGATGAATTCAACAAACTTAATATTTCAGATTTTTCAGTGTGCATTAAATCACAAGACATAAAGCCACACACAGAAACACAAACGTATGCACATGGTGTACTTCTAGTTTAAGCGGTAGATTAAGGGTAGGCATTTCAAGCAGAAAACTCATATAGACATCTGTGTGTGTTGTACACTGTAATACATAATCCAACTTGCAACCAAAAGGTCTCAAAGTCCCTGTTAACTTTTTTTTTTTGACTTCATTTTTTTTTAGTGTGGGTAGTAAGTATGTACGTGTGAGTGTGTTTACGTTTATACGTTTACCCTACTAATTCCCTTGGTTTTGTCCCAATAATTGGTAAATTCTAGACGATTTTGTTGCCTTGGCGTGGGTAAAAAACCAAAAAAAAAAAATCGATTCATTTATATATATCAACTAACCAAAAAAAAACTAAAAGCTATAGTTATAGTTATAGTTATAATAATGGTGTGTACTGGGAACTAATGATCTTTGTACTTCTTCTGATTGTATATTGACCTTTTCCCATTTTTTATTTTTTTTAAAAAAAATTGTTTCAATTTGAGTCAATTGGTTTTTATGATCAACATTTCTTGTTTCTAAAAAGATAGTACCTGACAATAGGCACGTGGAAAAGAACAAAAGATTTGGTTTTATTGGAATTGGCTTTGTTTCAACTATAACTCTTTTCTTAATACATACAAATATATATATATATATATATATTCTCAACTTAACCCGCGGTTTTATAGATTTGTGGTTTTGGTTTTGTTGGTTTTTGATAGGAATACCAAATTGACTTTTTTTTTTGTCCTTTTTTGTCGGGAATTAAAACTGGAGGGAGAAGAAGAGATGAATCGAGTAAAATGAATACCTTAAATTGTGTACAAAACCAGATTTCGTTTATTCTGATCTACGATCCTTGCGTTGCACAGAAGCACAGAAACACAAAAAAATGATGCCTAAGGTAGTCGCTCTTGCAAATCCAAGAAACACAAAACAGTTCTTTTGTCCAATATGAATCCAAAGAAGTAAGAAAGGCAAGTAAGAAATAATTATAAAGTAAAAAAAAATAAAAAAAAAAAGACAAAAGGGACTCCGAATCGAATCAGAGTCGAAAACTAAAAAAGTAATTTTTTTTTATATTTTATTTCAATTGGTATTCTTTATACTGTATATATTTTGGTTGCGTTTTAAAATAATAACAACTAGGTATTATTATTTTTTGGTTGTTTCTGTTTCTGAAGTATATGTTTTACATATAAAAAAAGAAGAGGCCTTCCAAAGAACTAGTCTTGGAATCAATACAAAGGTTCATTTGAGTTAAATAAAGAGGTAGAGATATCAATGAAAATACATCAAATTTGTTACAAGAAAAAGACAAACCAAAGCAAAGTCCGTCTTTGGCCTTCTTATTCTTCTTCTTGTTCTTCTTCATTTTTGTTGGTTTTTTTTTTTTTTTTTTTTTTTTTTAAAAAAATATTGACATTTTCGAATAACGATTTATAATTCAGTTTCTATATAATTTTTATTTTAGGAATTATTTTTTCCGGGAAAACCAAAGAAAAGAAAAGAAAAAAAAAATTAAAAAAATTTAAAAAGAAATAAAAAAACCAGGTCCAAAGTGTCTTTTTGTTTTTTCAACTCTTTCATTTCACATTTCACATTCTTCTTTAAACTTCTTTATAAATATACTTCTTGTATCCAGACCCAAAACCAAAGAGAAAAAAAATTGAAAATCGAAATTAAATGAAAGAGTTCATTTCATCTGTTATCCGTACCGACCGATTCAAAAACGAGAAAAATTCTTCTTCTGATGCAGTGAGCGATGTCTATTCTGAGGACCACGGCTCAAATGAATCGAATGACTTTGGCCGCGGAAACGGTACCTTTATCACAGCCTATGCCAACATTGTGTGTGTCATTGCAGGCACAGGTACTCTCGGTCTGCCCAGAGCATTTGCTGACGGTGGTTGGCTCGGTATCCTGATTCTGATGCTTGCCTGGTCCATGGCCATCTACAGTGGTGTGGTCCTCATCAGATGCCTCTACCACAAGCCCGGTCAACGTCTTAGCAACTTTAAGGATGTCGGTTATGCTGCCTTTGGCTGGCCAGGTTATGCTGCCGCTTCCGCTCTTCATTTCCTCAACTTGTTTGGTTGTCCTGCACTTTACCTTGTATTGGCATCCAGTAACCTTAACGAACTTCTTCAGGGAACTGTAAGTTTCTTTAATTTATCTTTATTTATTTTTTACTAATCTTTTTTTTTGGATTTAACATTATAGAAAGGTGAACTTACAACTACCATCTGGACGTGCATTGTTGGTTCTTTCTTGCTCATCCCATGCTTGGTCATGAAGACCCTCAAGGAAGTTACTGCAATTGCTGCCATTGGTGCTCTCTCTACAATCATGGCTGTCTTCATTGTCCTCATTCAGGCCCCAATGGACTGTCTTGCCCATCCTGAAATCGAAGTCGTTCGTAACGGTGTAATCTGGGAAGGTTTCCCCACCGCTCTTGCCACCATTTCCTTCTCTTTCGGTGGTAACAACACCTATCCTCGTAAGTAACAAATCTGTAAACTTTTTTTTTATAAAACATACTAATTAAATATAAATTCATACCATAGACATTGAACATGCTTTGGGCAAGCCTCAGCAATGGAAATGGGCAATCTTTGCCGGTCTGTCTACTTGCACATGTCTTTACATCCTAACTGCCGTTCCCGGTTACTGGTCCTATGGCGCATCAACCCAGTCGCCTGTCTACCTGTCTTTGCCCGACGGTGCTGCCAAGAAGATTTCGATGATTGTCATGACAATTCACGTCATCTTGGCCATTCCTATCTTCACAACCTCTTTCTCTCTTGAATTCGAACAGTTCACAAAGGTCAACGAGCGCTTCGGTGCCGTTGGTTCTTGGTTCTGCCGCGCCATCATCCGTATCTGCACCATGGCCATTCTTGTCATCCTGGCCATCTTCGTGCCTTACTTCCACGGCTTCATGAGTCTCATCGGTGCTTTGGCCACCTGTGGTCTCGTGTTCTTGATTCCCATCTTGTCCTACTTGAAGCTGACTGGTTTCCGCAACAAGCCCTGGTTCGAACTCGCATTCTGTACCCTCACCGTATTCCTTGGAATCATCGGCTGTGTCTTTGGTACCATTAATGCTATCAAGGGTCTCATCAAGGACTTCCAGTCTGATGCTTAAAAGAGAGAGAGAAAAATCAATAATAATTACATCCTTGATTAAAAAAAAAAAAGGATGATGATGTACTTATAAACCATACACACGCATATATATATATATATATATACATATATATGTATAATAATTTATGTATTTTACTTTTTATTTTATTTTATTTTATTACAGCAAACAACCCACCCACCTACCCACCTACCTACCTCACCTTTACCTTCTATACTCCTCTACTTCTCTACACCTCTACCTACCAAACATAGTATTCTTTATATATAAGAATATATACATATATATACATACACGCAAACCCTAGTTACTTCTTTTTTTTTAAAAAAAAAAATTCCTTTCTTCCTCTCTTCCTAATGTCTATTTTTTCCTTTATTTATTTATACATAAATATATCAAACAATTACAAAAAAAATCAACAACAACAACAATTTTATACATTGGAGCAATTACATTTTAGAAGTTATATAAGTTGCGATTTTGTTTTCTTAATTTTGTCCACCATGATCTGTCAAATATTTATTCATTGATTATTATTATTTTTGAGTGAAATTTTTATTTTTTATTAAAAAAAAAAAAAAGGAATACTATATCTATATATCTAAATCACATTAACAAAGAAATGGTGATGAGAATTGTGCTTTTCTTTATATTCTCTACCGGGAAAATACTTTTATAATCCTTGGTTATATACAAATTTGAGAGCTCCGCATTTATATATTAAATACAGGCAAGCAGCCAGACAGTGAGAGCTATAGATATAGATATAGATATAGATATAGATATAGATATAGATATAGATAGATAGATAAAATAAATACTAACTGTAGGTAGTATATAAAAATATATACATTTACATATACAAAAGAACCAAATCATATCTCCCCATCTGTGTGACAATACGTATATAGGTTGGTATTAATATTAATATTATTATTATTAATATTGTTGTTCCTGCTACTGCTGCTACTGCTGCTGCCACTGTTGCTTTATAAGAGAGTATACATATACACTTTATATATATAATGTCAAGCAAATTATAGGTAGATACAAATATGGGAAAAAAAATAAGAGAAAGGGGAAGAGGGGGCGAATGCTTGGTTCGAATACTATTTCTTCTCCTTCTTCTTTTTTATAATATATATATATATATATATACATTGTGTTGACTCAAATTTGCCTTCTGGGTTTAAGTCGGATAACAAGATTGTGGTCTGTAAATTTCATAACAGAATTGATACTAAAAAAGGCTTTGTCTATAATTCTCATTTTTTTTAAAAAAAAAAAAAAAAAAAAAAAGCTGTCAAACTAAAATAAATAGATAAAGATAACCAAATACTCGGAAACCAAATATATATATATATATATATTTCAGATAACTACTGTGACAATAAAGGGAATTCCAGGAAAAAGATAATGAATCAACAATAAGAACAGGAACACAATTTATGAATGAATTGATTGATTTACATGGTTATATATTTGAAATATATAACCAAATCATTAAAGTCAAGTCAAAATGGAAAGCATTATAGAGCTGTAGTGTGTTGATCAGTAACTCTAAAAAAGAAAAGAAAAAGAAATGATAGTTCTGCACATGTCTATCTATATCTATACAAAAGCAGTAGCAAGAGCAAGTAAAATAGAAGAAACAGACTTCCTGTGTAGCCCTGATCCCAACTAAGAAACCCAACAAAGAAGAAGAAGAAGTAGGCTATACCGGGGGATATTTTCTGCCGGCCCGGATTTACGGGTTTCTACATTCACCTGAAAGACAAAAGAAATAGTTGACTGTACACACAATAGACTTGAGTTGGTCCAAGCTAAATCTATATGAATTTACATGAGTTCACATGTATAGTGTCTTGGCTGGTTATGATCAAAAACCATGAAATATTAAATACATATCCTTAATATCCTTTATCTGAATTCCGTTATCGATGAAAGAATATTTGGTACCGTAAATTGGTGTAACTTATATTGACTGTAATGAATGCTGGAGATTAAAGGTAATTTCCTATATATGTTGAGATTTATTTAATATTTTTTTTATATTTTATTTTAACTTTTTGAGAAATAAAGAAAGAAAGAAAGAGATAAGGGATAAGGGATAAGGAAAGCACTGAGATTTGTAGATTGTGTGTTATTTGCAAGATATATATTAGACTGTATAAATCAAACAATCATGTAGTTTTCTAATAAACCTTTATGTATAAAAGTAGTGTTAGGTTTAATTCATATCTCTTCTATCTGCAAATGGCTGTACTGCTATATAGCAATCATGAATAAAGCTTTGATCAAATCAAGTGATTTATATACATGATATATAAATATCGGATAAAAGCAAATAGAGCGGTTAAACACACAGATAGACATGTTGAGTCAATATGTAGCACAATCTATCTTCTTTCTTTATTACTGTGTTACTATGTACCACCACCATCTGGTACAATCTGGTGGTACGTAGTACTAGTAGGAAGAATTTGATTTTTTTTTTATCATTATTTTAGTAAGATACAGCCACAACCCACGCTACGGTATTTATGGTGTATACTGGGGAAAACACCACAAGAAGTCATTTCGCCACTATTATATATATATATATATATATATATCAAAATAATAAAAGCAATTGTCACACGAAGCTTGAAATGTCCTCTACATAATCTTCATACACACGTCAGCTTTATGAATCTTAACATCTATTAATGATCACATTTCAGAATGAGCAAGTAGACAATCAGGCAGTCAGAATACTTTAATTCTTGTTTTACAAAGATGACCAGAGTCATTTTGATTGATGAGCATTTGTTTTTGAATCTGTGGATTAGTGTTAATGAGAAAGTTTGTATGTTCTTGGAGTCATAAATGATATCTATTTCTCTCTTTCACCAAATAGACATGGGTGTGATATTAGTTAACGTGTCTTGTAATTGACGGCACAAAGATATGAGTTTGTTACTGTGCATGTTCACAACAGTCCAAAAGTAATACAAAACATTTGTGTTGTTTTGACATGGGAGCCAAGGCTTTATGCATTTATTCGTTTATTTTTTATTGAAAAGACCTTTATACGGCTCTGCATCATACTAGTATCATTACTTCTGAATTGTCCACAAAGAATTGGGAAAAAAAATAGTCTGCACAATATAAAAGGTTAAATATTAGTGCAATGTAAGACCTGTTTGGCGCAAGGGGACTTACCAAAAACCTTGTTTTTTATATATATATTTCATTATACTAACAAAACAATATTATGTATATAGTGAGAGAAATTCATCGAACAAGTCTGTATTTCCCAAGAGCTTAATTCTGTTTATCTATATTTTTTTATATACCTGTATGTCAAAGAAAAAAGGAAAAAAGAAAGAAAAGCCTACTTGATTCTTATTATTGTATAGTTTAAAATACATAATTTGAACGAGATTCTTGGTTTTGTATGTTCTTTATGCATAGCCTACGTTATCAGTGTTCTACAGGTATCCAATCAATAAAGATGCTCTGGGAATTATGCATTATATATTTATCTAATTATACATATTGTTTGTTGTGCTTTGTTGTACATTACAATATTGTGAAATTTATTCTTCTTGTGCTACTGTAGATGTCAAGTTCAAAAAAGGGAAAGGAGGTTATTGTAAATCAGAATTCATATGGATCGTGGCACTTGATATTATACTGTATAATATTCAGCTATTATTTTTGATTGATTGAATGCAAAGGGAATAGGTTTCATTCCGTCATAAGAAATTCACAGGCTGTACCAGGTATCAAATTTTTTTTGTATTGTGTGTTATTATGGGGGTGGGTCGGTTATTGATATGATTGGTTTGAATTATAAGTGGGTTATATGACAAAAAATAGAAAGAGAAAAAAGGGGTCGTCTTATCAAAAGGGTTAAAATGATAATAATTTATTTATTTATTTAATACGCCAAATCAACCCTTTAAAATAATCTGATGCGCCCTTTTGTTGGATGATCTTTTCAATCAGAAATGAGGAGCAGTAAATATAAGCACTATACTACAAACCAACAGAAATACTTTTATGTGTGTCTGTGTTTTTATTTCTATTACCTACAGACCAAACCAAATCGATACTAATCAATAAGAAGAAGAAGAAGAAGAAATAAGGGCAGTGTAACCTATGCTAATTGAGAATCCGCAAAAGCGTGTGTTTTATGTATTCGAAACCAAATAGATAAGGAAAAATCATATTAGAATAAAGACTTTAAGCCATTAAACAATCAATACATTTTCTTTATATGTATTCTGTAGATAAGATAATAGAAAACCTTTACTTTGTTTTATCTAGTCTAGCTATCCAAAAGGTAAAATAAGATTCTTTTGTGCATATAAATATATTCAATACTTTCTTTGTATTTGTTATAACTTCATGTGATGAATCTATTTGAAATAAACTGTTTCAACAAAAAACTTAAGATAAATAGAAATGACTCATAAAGACTAGTTTTTCTTACCCCTTTATCTGTTTCTTTTAGACAATAAATATAACAACAAAAAGGAGAGAGGTCCTGGTGGATCAAGTTACAAACCAAGAGTCACTCTGACGCAGCCAATACTTTTAACGGAAGAAAAACAAAAGAAAAAAAAAATAAAGGGCCTACCCGAATGATATGAATGTAACAATATCTCGCCATTTTTAGACATCAGCCTTTTTTATTTTTACTATTCAAAAAATAAAAATAAAAAAAGGTTCAACTCCTTCAAGTTTCTTATTTTATCGAAATTGTATATACATTTGTTTGTTGGAGGAGGAAGAGAAAGAGGGACATTTGTCTAATAAAAACAAGATACAATATATATATATATGTAAGTGGGGGAATGGTTGGTCTTGATTGGATAAAGAATAGGGAATAGGGAAGGCTAAGTTTTGGTTCTTTTTTTTTTTTTTTCCTTTTGTTTCAAGTATGACAGGAAATGAATCACATGAGTATAAAGATATATTTACCTGTTTTCTGTGGTGAGGTCGAGTGAAACAGAAGAAAGTGTCACCAGTGGTCAGGCTGACGATACACAGAGATATATACATCTATGTACATATAAGGAAAGGTCTTTATATCTAATTATATTTCATTAGCGAATAATCAAAAGGTCAATACTGTGAAGTTAAATGTTAGTAGATTATAATTCTTGTCAAACACCTAAATTACAAGATTATCTTGTTTTGCATCTTTTAACTAACTAACCAATCAATCAATTAACCTCAAGAATATTTTACATATATATATATATAAGAAGGGGAGGATCTTGGTGACGATCTCAACAAATAAATAAATAAATAAATAAAAGTACAAGGGGTGGGGTAAAGATAATAGTTGATTCCCAGGAACCACGAAACTGAGACACAAAATAGTTTACCAAGGGCAGTAAAATAAAATAGAATACATTACATTACATTACATTACATTACATTAATCAGAAAGTTGGTCATTAAAAGTCATGTTCAAAAGACCAATCCTTTCAAACGTCAAAGTCTTCTTTTCTTATTGGGGCTGTTTTTACAAGTATCGAACAAATCGGTAATGAACCATGGTGGAATAAAAGTTATGCATCGTTCCTCAAGTAACGTACAACATAGGTTCTATATTTGATGATAAACCAAACAGAATAATATAAAATACAGTGACATCATGTCTTGCTTATAGACATCAAAAATGACAGACTGTTTGCGTTATCACTATTTTATCCAAAGTAAGAAACTAAATAACCAAATATATATATATAATTTTATACATACAAAAAGAGTCATTACTTGAAAAGTATGGTAAAAAAAAAACAAAAAATCAAAGAATACACCCACACACAAACAGCTAATTTGTTTGTGATCCTGCAAAACTTCAAAATAAGCGGGGTGAATTACTTGTTATTTTGAGGTTGGACAAAAACAGCCATAATCTATAGCTTTTTTTTTGTATTTCCGCAAATTAGCATTGGTGGCACTGTATGAGTCTTTAGATATTTATCTAATAACCAAAAAAAAATAATAATAATATCATTTTTGTATTTTCAGGGGATACGAGAAATTATCTACCCAGAAGGTTATTTTTGTATAAAAAGACCAGCCATTTTCTTTTTCTTACCTTTCTTTCTTCAATATATAAATATTCTATTCTATTCAGTCAACCAAATACAAACACCAAAATAATGTTCACACCCGTATCTATGCCTGCAACCTGTGAAATGTGCGGAAACTGGCTTCCAGAACACAGCGTACGTCAAGATGATCAATATTTGACTATATTTGACTAACATTGTCTTTCTTAGTCAGAGTGTCCCAGAAATGGCGTTCACCCATCACAATGGGCCTTGTCTTGTCCAGACGACTTCTTGTTATCATCTTTTGACCTTGACCAAGATATCATCCATAACCACCATATTTCATTTGCCCCACAAACCTCTCAATTATTGTCGGCCTCCCAACTCAATCTCTTGACCGAAAAGTAAAATCAAACAAAATCATAATTTTACTATTTCTCATTATATTATGTATATCTATCTATCTATCTATCTATATTTCACACTTCAAACATATACCTCATGTATAAATAATGTATCATACAAATCTCCTTATTCTTTCTTATTTACATAGCTTCTTTTCAAGATAATCTTATAAACCAAAACATATAAACATAAATATAAAATCAATAAAATCAATAAAACATTATTATTATCATTGTTATTGCTTGTGTGCTGGTTATGTTCTTGGCTTCATCTTTTGCTCAGCCAAGGATCGAGGCTCATGGCAAATTATAGACACTCCCGTCATGCCAGCCTCTGCTAGGGCACTCGCCATCCATTGAATCGACGTCACGGTTGTCCATCGATAGGTATCTCCACTCCCAAACACATTCGCATGGAACGAAGAAAACTGGGTACGGATCTTTCGGCCATTGTTCAACTTGGCCCGTCTCGCCGGAGGTTCAAGTAGTTGGTTAAATGCTTCCGAAGGTGCATCCGGAACAACCGTAATCGACAGAGGTGGCACGCTTGTCCACAAGTCCGGATCAAACACCTCAACACCATTTCCACTCTTACCATCCCTATCTGTCTTTTGATTACCAAAGTGTGCCCTCAATAGGTACCTAAACCGGGCCTGCTCAAGTGGCCCTCCAATCACATCCACAATATTCTTGAGCCGGTCAAATGCTGTCTGGACCATACAGAGCCTTTTGTGTTCCAGCACCTGTCTGAGCTGAGGCAGGACAGGTACGACCGCCTCCCGTGCTGCCTGGATCTGCAGAGGCTCGCCCTGGACCTCGTCTGGCGAACACGCGTGGTGGGCCATCTCAGACAGCAGAGCCAATGCGGTCCCGACATCGATATTCAACACCGGCGTCGTCAGGTCAAACGGATCGACATCCTTGACCACCCCCGAGTACGTCTTTTCGATCGAGTCTGAAGAATCTCCAAGCATATGCACAATCACTCCTAGCTTCTCAAGTCTTGTCATCATCTCTCCGACAAACGCATCGTCATCTCGTCGGATCCGCATAAACGCAAAAACCACAGCCGGCCGGCGGAAATGAACGTGATGAGCCTCTGCACTCGCCAGAAAATCTCTTGCCTTTTTAAAGATCGGCAGTTGATTGATGTCATCCTCTCGTGATTGATAAACAAATCCATCCTCATCCTCATTATCACCATCATTTCGGCCATTTGAATCAAAACCAAAATCAGAATCTTCATCTTCATCTTCGGATAGTTGTTCAAGTCCTGCCATCTCATATCGCATAGCTCTTGCATTCTGAGCAAACACCTTGATCCACACTAGCTCACTTTCGGCAACAATATCAATCTTGATGCTCCGATGACGAATCATCTCTGCACGAGATCTCCACATATTGTCATTGACTGGAACAGCTACGGTCCGCAATACCTCCACAACTCCACCTGAGCTAATCAAGGCTTCATAGACAGCTTCAATATAAGTGAGGTTTGTGGTCTGAATGTATTTTTTCTTGATACGGGTTGGGTTATCCAATAACTAAATACAAGATATATGTAATTATGGTATGTGTGTTATTAAGGTATAAAATAAATATATATATATATATATATATATATGTATACACAAAATAATACCATACGCGTTCTAGAAATTGAATCTCTGAAGCAAGAGATTTGGTGAGCCTGTGGAGTCCTGGCAGTGAATGTTCTTCTAGCTCTTTACAGTTTTCTTGAATGAAAAGGCATCGTTCCAAGAGTCCTTGGACTTGGGGTATAAGTTCAGCTGACAATATTTGATCTTGTACTTCTCCTCCTGTTCCTCCTGTTCCTCCTTCATCATCACTATCAACGGATTTCTTTCTCATTTTGGAAACTTGATGATATAAATATAAATAATATGTATTTATTTATATATAATGAAACAAGTAAAAAAAAAAAAAAAAAAGGGAAATAATCAAGAAAATATATATATATGTGTGTGTGTGTATTGGTGACTGGATTTATAATAAGCGAATATGATGAATAAAAATTGGCCAAGGCTCAAAATATGGGTGATGGCACACACACACTTGTATATAGTAGGTATTGGAAATGACCTACTCAGCATGTAATTCTTCTTATAAATAACATTCATATTCACACTTGTAATTCATAGCTATATAGGAATGAGAATGACATTTTGTTTCTCTTGATCCTCCTAAAAGGTGGGGTAATTTAATGATGTGCACGAAAAATCTTAAAAGAAAGCCAGAGAAATAGGAAAAAATGGGGTAGACGATTTTTTAGAGTATAAAAGCATTTATATATTGGTATTGAATTGAATTTCATGTGGCTGAATATAATAAAGATTTGCACATTTATTAAAGAGTTTCCACATAGTTTAAGTTAGTATTTAATTATTGTCTTTTATTGAATTTCTCTTTAAAAGACACTCTTTTTCAGACTAACTGTTGTTTTTATAGCAGACAAGTATAATGTACATTTACTCAGTATAAGCCTCATTTTTTTTAAAAAAAAATCATATGAAAATGATAAAGACGATGTGTTTTTATGTTTTAATATTTTTTTTTTATTATTATTAAAAATTAAATTCATTTAAAATTATCCAAGACGCGCCGGCTACTAATAAAGTACATATTCTAATATCTGTAAAGAAAGAGAGACATTTATGAGTGAAAATGATCTTTCTTAAATATTTGTAGTAACAAATTGTTTATAATTATTATTATTAATTATTATAGTCAGGAGTGCTAAAAGTTGTTGCGTAAGCACCCTTAGGATGTTTGTCCGTCATGAACTCTCGGACTGGTGCCAGCTTGATATCATCATATAAAATAATAATAATAATAGAAAAGAAAAGAAAAATATATAAAGAAATATTGAAAAAATTGATAATTACCTTTTTTGTTATATATAAATATTCATATCAGTTGTTTGCTTTTAGTCATAAAAGTGAAAGAAAGTATTAAAAAAAAAAAAGTTACCAGGCTTTGTTTTTATAAGCTTTTTTTTTTTTTTAAAAAAAAAAAAATTATATAAAAATTTATTCAGCCAACAAAAATGTAGCAGTCAATGTGACCGGCAACTTCAAGATTTTTTTTTTATAATAATAATAATAATAATATAATAAAAATTATTTATATTAAAGTAATAAAGGTAAGGGTACTGAAAACCAAAAGAAAACAAAAGACCTCTCTCCTCACAGTGCACTAGAAAGACAGTTAAAAAATAAAATAAAAAATAGGGTGACGTATATACTTTTTTTTTTTTTTTTTTTTTGGCTTTGAGAAAAGTCACAAAAAAGGGTTGATTAAAGGGTGGGATTATTAATTTATTAATTTATTGTGGAAATATCCTCAGTTTTGAAACACCAGAAGAAGCCTATAGAAATTAAAGTATAAATATAAGGTGATCAATCCTCGATTTACAACCTTTGACTTTTTTTTTTTTTTTTTTGCTCCTCTCACCTTCTTAATTTGATTCTTTTCCAGAATAGAACCACAAAGATTTTGACTAATACGTTAGTAATAAATATAAATAAAAAATGGACAGGCAGTTTAATTTATATTTGCCAAGAGCTTTATTTTACTTTATTTTATTTGTGTTCTACTCGTTTTCTTCCTCTTTCTTGCTTTGTAACACTTGCTCAGTTTTATCTTAAAGGAAATTTCGCTTTCACACAGCACATTATTACCATTAGATAATATGCTTTTTAAAAAGATGAATAGTTAAAGGTAGTCTTTAGAAATCATATTATATTAACCATAGTATATCATGAAATATATGATATCTTTCTTACTTATCAATATTGTTTCTATGTCGAAGATCAAGTTAAATTGATTTTGTATATAGCAATCTATAATGACATTTGATCCAAGAATCCTTTCAAAATAAAAATCTGATAAGAAATACAAAAGGCTTTTTCTTTTCTTTCTTTTTAAACCAGTGCAGTCTAGAGAAGTTTGTCTTGCCGATTCTCGGCATCAAAATATAACTTTTCGCCCCTCCCCTCTTGGTTTGATCATCATTTTTTTCTTTCTTTATTCGATTCCTAATAACTGACCACAAAGTGTTTGATTGGAGTATACCCAATAATATATATATATATATATATATACTATGGTCAATAAGGTACAGCGGTAATCCCCGGGATACTCATACATTTTTACCTTGATAATTTAGTTGGAAACCAGAGAAATGATCCATGACAAATTTCTTATAAGAGTAAAAATAATACCTGATTTATTAATGACACAATTTTAGAAAATACAAAATACAAAATACAAAAGAAAAAGAGATATTTCAATATTTCTAATTTAATAACAAAAACCCACGATTAAGGTGTCTTTTTACCCACACTAATCAACGACAGTTTCTTTTTTTTTTTTTAAAAAAAAATATTATTATTATTATTCTTTGCACCTTTGTACAAAAAAGGAGAATTTCTTATATATATATATATATTTTTGTAAAAAAAAAAAAAAAAAAAAAAAAGAGTGTGTGTGGGGACACTTTTGATTTTGTTTCAATTTTCTATAAAACACATGTCATTTAGTTTACTATGCTGCTATATTTTACTCTATTTTACTTTGTTTAGTTTGTTCTTCTTTTACTTTTACTTTTTGGAATAAATATGGTCTTTACCAGTAAATAGCTAAAAATATACAATTCATTTGTCCAAAGAACAAAATTATATGTATATATAAAAGTAATGACAGTTTTTGTAGTGATTTATTTAAATTCAATGTAATTAGACATTTGAGATGGTCAAAATAAGGAAATAAAGACAAAGCTATAGACAAACAAATTAAAGGTACCTTGAGTAAATTTGGGTAGTTTATTAAAACAGATATGTATATATGGATATGAAAGAAAGCATTTAAGTTCTTACTAGATAAATCTCATGAGTAGAATTCTTTTTTGTTGTTGTTGCTGTTGTGGATCAGGTTGTCTGCTCTGGTTTGGAAAATTAAATAAAAAATAAAAAAAAGTCTATTGAAGCGCACTGACTCCGCTTTTTTTTTTTTTTTTTTTTTTTTTAGCACACGTGGAAAATGACTGGCAGAAAAAGAAAACTTCTGTTGCTTGTCAATTTGTATGATAAGTTTATTTTTGTTTCAAATTTTGAAATGTTGCAAAACAAATTGATAGTTGATCCTTTTACATCTCATTATTCACAAGCAATCAAATATACATACATAGGTACCTGGTAGGTCTATATCTTGTACAACTCTACAAACGTGTTATAGTCTTTTCTTTTTCTTTTTTGATGATAATGATGATATACATAGCCACAATACACAGCCATTCGATTTCACTAATTAATGTATTTAAAATTGTTGTTGCCTATTCGTTTGTTCTTTACCGATAAGAATCTTCAAGTTTTAATTGTACCTTTTACCAAGAATGGTACATTTGCTTAGAATATTATCGCTAACATCTTGTAACTCTATAACCAAGAACATACCCTTTATACATATTAACTAAAATATAAAAGATACCTTGCATCGTATTGCTTGGTTGCTTGGTTACTTGATTACTTGATTACCTTTTTATTCATTTTCTCCTTTCTCTGATTATTCTCTTATGGTCTGGAAGATGTTTCTTGAATTGCCATTTAAAGTTGATTGGTGAAACAAGATTGTTATTTTTATATATGCAATTATATATATATATATATGTGTGTGTGTGTGTTAGAGATATGAAAATTCCACAGAGCCTAGCAGCTCTCTTTATCTCTTTCTTATTTCTTCCTTTTTCTGTATACTACCATTCAGGTAGATTTACTTTTAATGTATATTTAAGGCTGTGAACGATGGGTGTTAGTTTACTGATAATCTATTATCATAATAATCATACCTTCTATATATATATATATCTGTTCTTTCTTGAACAAATTAATAAACAAATAAATAAATAAATAAATAGATAAATAAAGTACAAAATAGTAAATTTCTGACCAAAGCTCACTCGTGCTGTTCAAACTGAAATAAATAATAGTACAAAAAAGAAATGTAATAAAAAGTTGATACCCTATTCTTTTGACTCATGTTCACCCCCTTACAAGCACAAAGTACGACAATGACAAAGAAAAGGCAGTGATGCTATAGGCCGATGGTTACGGTTACTTGCTTAATCCTTTATTTATGAATTTAAAAGAAAATGATAAATTAAATAATTAAAATGCTGACTATGGAATTTTTTTATTTTATTTTACAGGCTACAAGTGAAGTCATGAAGTGTAACAATAAATATACTAAATACAGAGACCAAAAAGAGAGATTTTCTGGGTGGGAGTTTTTTTTTGTGTGCGTGCGTGTGCGTGTGCTTGTTCTGAAAAAAGAAAACAGGGCCAAAAAATTGAGCTTCTTGAAGAGGAACACAGCAGATGACATTCTCTAGAATTACAAGAATACGATTCTCGGAAATGTCAAGGAAGCACTAGAATTACAAGTATTCAATGCCAACCGTCGATAAGAGTAAAATAAAGTAGATGTACTGCAGTGTATCACTAGGCAGCCAAGGGTACCAAGGTTTTTTCACAAATTGACCACGAAAGAGACAAGAGAAAGTAGCACATTAGGCGTAGAAAAAGAGAAAGCAAAACCAAAAGAAAAAGAAAAAGAAAAAAAGGTCGGCAATATACACAAATTCAGCCATTCAGTTTGGCCAGTCAATTAGTCAGTCAGTCAAGTAATCATAGGTCCCATTGTTCCCATAATTACCGTTTTGTGTAATAAAGAGTGACCAGCATACATCACTATTTTCTATTTCTATTTCTATTCAATTTCTTTTTCTTCTTTGGGTTCTGAATTTTATAAACCCACGATCAAAACCAATGAGTGGAAAGAATTTCCTTTATATATAACAAAGTTTCAAGTCGTACCAAAGTCACCCCACACACACACAGAGTAGGTACTCGGTACCAAGTACAAAGTAGCTAAACAGAGATAGTAGACAGAAAGCCCCTCCTATCTTTGTATTCCTTTTAAAGACTAAAGAAGGTTAAGAACACACTGTCTACTGTACTGTGTTCACTTTGGATCACAACAAATAATAGAATTATATATATATAAAACACGATGCAGAAAGTCAAAAATAAATCTACAAACCAGCCTTTTTATTTTACTTTACTTTATCTTATTTTATATATTCACTATTTATCTATTTATCTTTCAATTTCCTTTCTTTTTTTTTGGATTTCAATCTTTGTCTTTTACATTTCTTTTTCATATTTCGATGACGCGCAGTTACTCACACTTTCAACTATCAGACTTCTTCTCCAAGGGGTCGATCCAGAAACCCACCTCATTTCCTGGATCATCTACACCCACATGCCTTGCCATTGTTCAGCACAGAAACGGAAGCCTGGCTACCAAACCACTTGTACCCAACAAAAAACGCTCAAAACATAAGACCCACAATGCGTTCCGACGGATCTTTCAAAAGGCCCAGCAGCCCATCCAAGTTCTCAAAAAGACCCAGCGATTGTGCTCACTCCCAACCGAAATACTCGTTTCTATCATCTCCTTTCTCGATCTGCCTGCCTTGCTATCCCTCTCATCCACGTGCCACCTCTGGCACCGGCTCTGCAGCCCTAGAAACCATATCGTCTGGAACGAACTTGTCAAAGCCGACTACCCTACTTCTCTGCAGCTCGGAGATCCCTATGCAGTCTACCGAGAAAACCACGCCTTGATAAAGCGCTGGAATGCCGGCCAGGCCAAGGTTTCGCATCTCACAGGCCACCAGGACAATGTGTACTGCATGGCCTGGGTGAGCAAGAGCCTGTTTGTAAGTGGCAGCCGCGACTGCTCCCTAAAGATGTGGGACATCTCCTCAAATTCTTCTTCATCATCATCAGTATCGCCCGGGCCAGTCAAGTCCAAGACTGTGCACCAGGGAAGCATCCTCTGTCTGGGGGTCTCGGAAGACAAGAGCATCCTAGTGACCGGCTCTTCAGACTCGACTTGCATCGTATGGAGCCTTCCAGACCTGACACCCAAGCCGCTCGTCTTCCGCAACCACCAGTCCGGAATTCTTGATCTCTGTCTTGCTCTGCAGTACTGTGTCAGCTCGTCTCGCGACAACACCGTCCGGGTCTGGAACCACACGACCGCAAAGGAATGCCACTCGCTGGTCGGCCACAGCGGGCCTGTAAACGCCCTGGATGCCGAAGGACCCTGGGTCGTCTCTGCTTCCGGAGACACAACCCTGAGACTCTGGGACGTCAGGACCGGCGAGTGTCTTCGAACATTTTCCGGCCATGCGATGGGCTTAACGTGCGTCAAGATCCAGGCATCAATGATCTATAGCGGCGGCCAGGACGGCAGGGTCAAGATCTGGGACCAGAACACCGGCATGTGCACCATGACCCTCGTCGGCCACACCAAGCTCATCCGTGCCGTGACCTGCCAAGACGGCAAGGTTGTCAGCGGCAGTTACGATCGAACTCTGCGGGTCTGGGACGCCAAGACCGGAAAATGCGTATTAAGGTACCAGAGTGAAGACTTTGGGTGGATCTTTAGTGTCCTGATGAACCGAACCCAGATGATCAGTGCTGGACAGAGCAAACAGATCATGGCTCTCGATTTTGGTCTAAACTCACTCACCAACCACAGTAACATAGAAATTTAATTGAGAAGTCATGTCTCCTTTGGATCTACAGTTTGGAATGCCTAACAACAAATTTACTCTGTTCTTTGCCGCAGTACACTTTTATACCCCCTCTTTTTTTTTTAGAAGACTTTCTAAACTTTAGATCACTTCTTTCAACACCCAATCTTCATGTTTAGTTTTCCTTTATATATATATATATATATATTATCTCTCTCTCTCTCTCTTTAAAGCCACATCTCTTCACCTTTCCTTTCTAGACCTTTTTTTCTTTTTTTTTTTCTTCTTCTTTTATCTTATTGTATTTTATTTATTTAGTTTTCATTATTATTCATCAACATCTATATATGTTACTCAAGTGAAGATCAAGGAAAAAAAAAACAAAAGAAACAAGAAAGAAAAATGCGTACATAATTCATTACAATTGTATAAATTTCTATATATTATAAACCCTAAATAATTATAACTATAATTATAATAATCATAATAATAATAATATTACCATTAACCCAATAACCCAATAAATTTCTTACATATGTAATGAAGCGTAATGCAGTGTAATTTAGTGTATTTGTACGTATATATTAATGTGTATGTGTGCCTGTGCCTGTGCCTGTGCCTGTGCCTGTGCCTGTGTTTGTATTTGTGTTTGTGTTTGTGTTTGTGCTTGTGTAAAGGATTTGCATAAGCATAAGCATAATACATATATATATATATATATATGTATGTATGTATGTATGTATTCGTAACTTTGTGAGATATTGTTACATTGTTGTTGCTTCTACTGCTTCTACTGCTTCTACTGCTTCTACCCCTACTGCTGCTAGCACTGGTGCTGGTGCTGATGCTGATGCTGATGCTGATGCTGATGCTGATGCTGGTGCTGGTGCTAGTGCTAGTGCTAGTGCTGGTACTGAATATGTATCTTTTATGTTACAAAAAAAAAAGGTTATTTAACTTGGATAAACATTGATATCTACAGCTTTCCTTTCAATCTGTCAGTCCTACCAAATCTAACCCACTCTGCACTTCTGTACACAGTTGCATGGAAACCAGAGAAACCAATAAATACATAAATAAATAAATAAATGTACTTTTTTTATTTATTTAGTTATTTATTTAGTTACAAAATAAGAAAAAACCACCTTCTTACCTTTCCTTTACCTTGTTTTGTTTTGTATGACTCTTATTCTAAATACCCTGGTTCAGGTCGAGAGCTCAAAGTGGTACAACGAGGCGTAAAATTATTTATTTAGTTATTTTGCTTCAAGTAAACAAATCAATCAATAAATGAGATATCTGTTTATTTTATTGACTATTTCTCTTTGTCAAGCCACATACACATTCATATATATATTTCCAAGTTGTTAGATTGTGTTGCCTTGCTTTCTCACACCTTGATGCCTATTTCTATCTATCTATCTAATCTGTCTATCTGTCTCTTGGGTTAGAGTGTAATTTGTATATTCTGGTATTCTAGTCGCACACAATTCTTTTTATTTATTTATTTATTTTGTGTCAGATTGACTATCTAATAGAATGGTCATAACAGTTGAAGCTATTACTCCTGGCTCTTCCATTGCACCAATACCTAATATATAAAGAATTGATATGTTTAGTATGATATACACATATCGCAAAGAAGAAGAAGAAGAAAAAATATACTAGAAGATAGGCTTACCAAGATCACCACAAGCAAGGAGTTTGCTAATTGGTGGAATTACTTTAAAATGAAGAACATCCTGGAGTATGTTTAGGTGTTGTGCCGTAAAAGGATGATTCCACATGTTGGTATTCATGGCCGGACAGACTACAACAGGCTTCTTTATATCCCATGCTCGCAATATACAAGTCTATAAGAGCCAGCGAGATAAGAAGATATTAAATTTCGGTTATTTTCATTTATAGTCTAATCGTTTCTTTTCTTAATATGATATATCTATACATACCAATAGGTTGTCGCACAGCCCATTGGCAATTTTGGCCAGTGTGTTGGCATCTAGTGGCGCAATAAGCATAATGTCTGCCCAATTACGAAGCTATAAAGAAGAGTTATTACACATTACATTACATTAAATTACATTACATTACATTAAATACACATACACATACACATCTATATAAAAGAAATTATTGAGAATATTCATACATCAATATGAAGAACTGGATCTGTCTTCTTTTTCCAAATCTATTTTTTTTAAAAAAAAAAGTATAAGTAACGGTGGAAATTATTCACAAAATAAAACAGAGACAATGAACTTACTGCCCATTCTTCTTCATCAGTATGTATCTGAGCATCGATATCTTTTTCTTTAAAAAAGAAACTTGAAGCCTTTGTTGGAACTACTTTTACATTTACCCTAGGATTCTTTTTTTTTTAAAGAAAATTTTACATTGTAAATGAATGTCATTATCAGAATTAGATTTTTTTTTAAAAAAAAACTAATAATAATAATAATAATAATAATAATGTACCTGTTTGAGGTTTAGAACAAGCTCGGACAACTTTATGCTAGCAACACTTCCTGTTGTGCCAATGAGGATGTTAATTTGTGAACTCATTTAATAGTAATGTAGCCTTTCTTCCATTCATTCGTTCATTCACATTTTCTTTTTATTTTATTTTATTTTTGGGTCCGACAAGATAAAACTGCGTCACTTTCCCCGCACAAATGCACTTCTTTTTTATATATATTGAATGGTGAACATGAGATTATGATCAAATTCCAAGTAAATGGCACTAGCTACCACCCACCAGAGATTCATAGACAATGTGATAATAGTAATAGTAATAATAATAAGAAGAAAAAGCAGCTGGGAAATACAGGAACTCTCCTTATACTCTTGTAACAGGTATGCTCCAATAAAGTTAAAGGTGAAACCAAACGTCAAGATGGTCAGACCATGTATTGGACTTTGATTTAGTTGGTATATAACATAAAGAAGTTGAAGAGTAGTTTATAGAGTTGATTTCCAAAATAAATGTATAAACTTTGTAATTTTGAATACAGAGGGATTAAAGAAAGAATAAGTTGCCTAGCTGCCTAGCTGCCTAGCTAGATTGGTATTAATTTTCTTTCAAATAAAATATAAAACGCCGCGCGGTTGTATAAAACTCTAATTGTATCATACGCCTAACTGTAGGTATGTATTTTGTGGGAGATACACATGAACTCTATCAATAATTCACAATATATATATATGTATTCTTTAGTTAGTTGGTTGGTTGATTATTGAATATGCTTATGAAATTAGGATCATAAAAATAATAATAGTAATAGCATGATATAAAGGTAATGGTTTGAGAGGAGCAGTTTATATGAATTTATTGCAAAAATGGAATTTATTGAAAAAAAGAAAAAGAAAAAGATCTTTACAGTTCAACCGACTCTAAAGATTGACCACATAACAAGCTAGTTATCTTATTGGCTTGAATAGAAATATATATATATATATATATTAATGACATGAACTCCTTATTTTAACAGATAGATAATGTATCTGAACTAATTGTATTTTGATGCCCTTGAAAATTATAAGATTTGGTTGGTGAGGTTCTAATTTTAATATATATATATATATATATAAAATTGGGCTTATGAAATACAAAATAAATAAATAAAAGAAAATGATGGAGATAATCAAAGCCTGTTCATAACAAATTATAGATAAATAAAATAAAGAGTCTAACTACTAATTATCTACTTATTACTATTGGTATGAAAGGGTTTATTAGATTCATACTGTTTGTAAATAGAGAGATAGAGTGGGGGGGGGGGGGGCTGTGTACGGGATTAAGGGTTTCTCCTCTCTTTCTCTTTCTTTTTTTTCATTTATGCACTCTTTTGAATCTATATATCCTATACCTTGGATACACTATATACAGTAGTTTAATTGGATTTCCACTAGAGATTATCTATATCTATTTAGCTTGAATAGCTGTACATATTCTAATGTGATTGCCAAAATAGAATAGAATATAAAATAATTAATGTCGTTAATGAACAAATGAATAAAGCATTGTCCCTCTATTATAAGATTCATAAGCTACCCGAGGGAACATGCTAATAACTAAACTAGGTTTTAACTATGACAAATGTTTGCCGTCATGGCTTATCAACCAAACAAACACTTTAATTCATTTTCTATTGTACAGCTAGCTTCTCTGTTTGCTTAATTCCGTTTGGACAATAAAGCTATCGATATTCTAGAGTATATTCATTTTTTTTTCTTACACCTAAATGATATGGTCTGGTTGTGTGACATAAAGGAAACCTATATACTAAACCTATAGTCTTTATCCTTTCTTTACTGATATATTTTATATAGGTGTGGGTGTTGGATTTTAATGAAAAAAGAAAAGAAAAGATAGAATCCTGATTGTCGACGTCACTTGCAATTACCGTACTTTACTTTACTTTATATGTCTTGGCAGAACCAAAAGACAGAACAACCAAAAATAAAATAAAATATAAAAAATTAATGTGAATTTGAATGTGAATGTGAATGTGGCCCATTCAATATCCGACCCATAAAGCTAGCACTCACAATGTAACACACCCCACGATCATCTTTTCTTTCTTATTTTTCGAGGCTTCATGGTTGACAAAAGTAGAAAAAAGACCTTTCTTTTTTTTTTTGGTCCAGTTTTTGCTTTTATTCCTCTAACCTCCAAGCCATGACGATAGACAAAATGTCTCATAAGCCTAACAAAGATATTCAGCTTATTATTTTTTATATTAAACAAAATATGCAGACTACATTATACAAAACGGAAATCTCATTTGGTTCAAAGCGGTCTTCTGATAACAAAATCTAAAACAAATAAACAAATATATATATATAGATATATAACTCATAAAACACCAATCCTGAATACGCAGCAGAATCACATGACCCCTATAGTTAGGAATCCTTTATAAAAAAAAATTAGCCTATTCTGCTCCCTCTTTTTCTTCTTTTTCACCGTTTCATTCCCCACTATGAAACTCACAATGAAGCTATTGAATGCCATCCTTGTCTTGGCATTAGGCAAGTCTTATCTTTTGTAGCTTAAACGCATTCAATACAATTACCATAAAAAAATAATATCAATTTTTTGTTATTAATAAGCTAAACTCTTACTTTTTATTTTTTATTTTTATTATCTTTTATATATATATGTACAGTCTGCAGTGTGTGCGCTGCTCCAATCAAAGATGTGTCAGTGACATCAGTCGATCTTTCTGAAGCTCCAATGAACAACAAGGGAGATGAGCACCTCTATATTACAGTTACCCGTGTTGACGACTTGGTTGACGACGATGGTTCTCTTCTTGCCGAACGTGTTATGGCTGTCCGTGTCCAATTCGATGTTCTTGAACAGCAGGTAAAAATATTAATAATATCTATATATAAATAGATATATTGAAAATAGTATTTTTAGTACAATAATCATCTTCTCTATTCTATTATCCCCCCTCCTCCTCCTTACTCCTTTATACTTTTACCATCTCTCTTTCCAACTCCTTCTATCAAACACTTGTACATAGATAGATATGGTAAATAGATACACATTCATTTATTAACAAAAAAAAACTTCTTCCGTTATAATCAATTTTAGCTGCGCTGCAATGGTGTGCCCGTGCAAATTGGTGTATCAAATATCCAAATCGAGGCCCAGATGGCTGCCAACCCAGCCAAGCTTTCGATTGAGTCTGCTGAAGATGCCGCAGTCCTTGAAGACAGCTTTGACATTGGCCTGGCTACCGTTGAAGTCAATGTGTCTTTGATGGACCAGATGACAACCGAGGATGGCCTTACCTTCCGCCGCCTCTTGGTCCAAGAACGTATTACCGAAATCAACGGACTCGAGGTAGTCCAGACTGAAGCCGGCCAGCAGGTCCTTGACGTATTTGACAATGGCAAGCTTACCCAATGGGGCGTCGATCCCTTGACTGGCTTTATGCTGCCCGAACCCCAAGCAAATGCTGACCAGAAAGCAGAGGAGTTTGGTATCATGTCTGACTCTCAGACTACCGGATGTGCAGGTGCCTTTGTTGCCGACTGGTGGAATACCCAGACCACCATGGTCCGCAGTCTTATCACTGGTACCCTCTGCGCCGCCCTGTTCCTCATTGCTGTTGCAATCCGCCAGTTGATTGTCACTGCCAGTCCTTATGAGTCTGTCAGCCAAGAAGCCGAAGACCAGGTTATCTGGCAAAAGGCCTCCATCAAAGAAGAAGATGAGAAGCGTCCTTTTATCTCTCAACAGTAAATACATAGCATAGCATAACAAATCCTAATGGAAAACCCCCAAATTCAAATTCAAATAAAATATATATCTACTATATCAAAGAATTCATTTGCACTTATTTTGTGTGTGTGTGTGTCTATTATCTATTGACTTATTGCCCTCTCTATACATTATCACACATATGTCATCTATGCAATGTCATAAATGCCATGTCATTTTTATATATACATTAAAGCCATTCGAAATAATAACTTTTTTTTGTTTTTTTTTTTAAAAAAAAATTCTTTATGTAGAGAGTAAACTCAAAATACAGATGATATACAAGAATAAATTTGTTGAATCTCTTGTTTCTATGAGAGAAAAGAAAAAAAAAGGGTGGATAATTTGATCTTTTTTTTTTGGTAGTTGTTTGATATTGTTGATGATATTTCATATACACACACACACACGCACTCTTAAATTATTGTGTTTAATCAATATCCATATCCTCCTTCTTCTCAGCGTGCTCCTCCATAGGAGTATCAGCAGCCTCAGCCTCGACAGGCTTGGGGGCAGGCTTGGGGCGGTTCATGATAGGAGAAGAGAAGGCCTCGACAGCCTCTTCTTCCTTCAACATGTCACGGACCAGAACAACAGGGTTCTCGTGCTTGATGGCCTTGGCCTGCTTGGCCAATTCGGCATCCAACCAGCGACGGGCACGGTCGCAACGGTCGACGATATCCTGGCGATCCTGGGGAGGGATGTGAGAGTACTTGTCATCAGAGTTGATGGCCTCCTTGGTCCAGCGCTCGCACATGGCGCGCAGGGAGCGCTCGGCACGGGGACGTTCCTCAGCCTCGCGGAAACGCTCGACGACGGGGTTACCGACATTCTTGAGCTTGGTCAACTTCTCGAGGTACTCGGACTTGGTGGCATCCTCGCCATCCTCGTAGATCCAGTCAACGACGGCGTTGAGGTCAGAGGCAAACGAATCCTTGACATCGGGGTGGATGTAGTCGGAGTAAGGGCCGAGGATCTTGTCACGCATGTCATAGCCGTACTCCTCAAGAGAGTTCTTGGCAGCCTCGGTGGCAACGATCAACTTGTCGTTCGAAGCCATCTGGCTTTCCTTCTCGGTGTACTCGTTCAACAACTCGCGCGAGATCGAGGTGTTGGACGAAACGACAGGGAGCTCACCAGTCTTGACAAGCTTCTTGACCTTCTTGATCTCCTTCTCGCCATCCTTGTTCTTAACTTCCTCATCAACAACCTTCTCCTCGACAGTGTAGGCAGACTCGACAGTCAAGATACCGTGGATGTTCATTCTAACCTTGACCTTGACCTGGGCAGGGGCCTTGTTGACAGGGGCAACGTTCTTGATGTTGAACTGGGCGATCCAGGGCTTGGTTCCGCGGGGGAGATCTTCAGGGTTGGTGTAGTAGGCCTCGAGGGTAAAAGGCTCGCTGCGGAAGAAGGTGAGGATCTTGGTCGAGGGGATCGAGTTGTTGCGGTCAAACACAACAAACTCGGTGTCCTTGTCCTCAGGGGTGGGCTCGCACTGGAACTTGATGGGGTAGGTGACGATGTCATTGACACGGAAGTCGCGGACCTTGAAGACGGGCGAGAGCATGGCGCACTGGAGGGCAGCACCACGCGAGACAGCCTCGTCCTGGTTGAGGGTGGTCGAGATCTCCTTGTTGAAGAACTTGGAGATGGTGGTCTTGATGGCAGGGATACGGGAAGTACCACCGACAATCTCAACAGAGTCAATGTCCTCAACAGTCAAACCGGCGTTCTCGAGAACCTTCTTGAGGGTGACCTCGGTACGGGTGAAGAGGTGGGCAGCCCACTCCTCAAAGTCGGTACGGTTGACAATGGTAGAGACATCCTTGTCATCCATAATGGATTCGATGTTTACGGGAGCCTGGGGGTTGGCAGAGAGGACCTTCTTGCAACGCTCGGCAGCGACGCGGAGACGGAGGAGGGCCTTGGCGTTGGAGTAGACATCGATCTTGTACTTCTCCTTGAACTCGGCAGCGAGCTTGTCAACGATGACCTGATCAAACTCACGGCCACCAAAGTGCTGGTCGTAGGCAGTGCCACGGACGTTGAGCTGTCCCTTGACAAAGGAAACAACGGAAGCGGAGTAGCTGGAGTGACCAACATCAACAAACACAACATTCTTGGCCTTCTCTTCGGGCAAATCGGTCTTGGTGATACCGTAACCCAAAGCAGCGGCGGTCAAGTCGTTGACGAGACGGAGGCAGTTGAGGCCAGCAATCTCGGCAGCATCGAGGATAGCGCGACGCTGAACCTCAGAGAACCATCCGGGGCAGGTAATGACACAGTCAGAGACGGGACCCTTGATCTCGACGGAGGTGGTCTCCTTGAGCTTGCCAAGGTACATGGCGAGCAACTGGACGTTGGAGAAGGAGTGCTTCTCGTTGAGGTAGTTAACCTATGATATAACATACACTTTTGATTAGCTTACATTTTTTCTCAACAAGACCACCGATGTTTGATTCCAACCTCTTTACTGTTTATCCAAAACAACAGTAATTTCTCTTTTCCTCTTTTGCTCTCTCTTTTGAAAATTTTCTCTTAATTTTATTACCTCGACACCAACTTGACCCTGGACATCAGCCAACTGGGAGAGGATGTAGGTCTTCTCAATTTCCTGAACCTCGGGGTCGTTGAGGCTACGACCAGCAAGACGCTTCAAGCTGCCAATGGTGTTCTTGAAGTTACTGATTTCCTGAGTCTTGGCAGACTCACCGATGAAACGCTGCTTCTGACCGAAAGACAAAAGGGAACTAAAGTAATAAAAAAAATTGTTGTTAATTACTGTTTAGTTTTTTTTTTTGGTTTGAGTTTGAGGGGGATGAGATGGGTCAAGCGAACTTACGGAGTAGCACGGTTGGAGACTTCATTGCAAATGACATCAATACCGCGGTTTCTGGCGACGGCAATAACTGCCTGGAGGTTACCGAGATCAATACCCTATAATCGTTTGGAAAACAAAGCAGAACATGTTGTGTTGGTTATTTGATGAATTTGGGTCATATAACAATGGTGATTGTTGACTTTTTGACTTACAACAACAGACATGATGTTTATAAAAAGCGAATTAAAGTAAGCTGGTTAAGAAACAGGTACGGCCAGCCGGCTATTTGGATCATTTGGTTTTTGCCTTTCAGCGCTGAGACAAAAAAAAAGGGAAAAATTCTTACACCTTCTATTCTACGTCATCCACAGTCACTATAGATACCTTGGACAGGTAGGATGAGCGACATGGTTTTTTTTTGACCAATGATACAGTGTATATAATTTCTTTGTTTTGGGTTCATAATGGGTATCTTTTTTTTTGGTTTCTGAGAAAAAGGAGTCTAAATGAGAAACATATGGGTAAAATGAAAATAATAATAATAATAATGATATAAAAGAAGCTAAAGGAGAACAATGGCTTAAGACTCCCTATGATAGACTAGTATAGTGATGATAAAGAAGAAGAATAGTAATAATTTTTTTTAGGGATTAAATACAGACTTATGTGCAAAAATTGTGTGTACTTTTCTTTTTTTTACTGCCTTTTTTGGGGAAAAATATATACGCAGTTAGAAATTATATAATATGTATATCCGGTATTTAAATTAAATTAACTGAATTATTGTCATTTATGGAAAGTGATTTATCCCAAAACCAGGGACAACTTGCCCAGGTACATCCATCACTAGTTGGCATGGCTACTACTATTACTACTATTACTACTATTACTACTACTACACAGACCTTTTTTTTTTTTTCTTGGTTCCCTTTCTTCCTCTTACTGCGTTCATTTCCCAGTTTAGAGAATAGTAATATATATAATAAGATCCATATGTTTTTAATCACGATTATTATTATGATTATGATCAATAATATCAAAGGAGACAATTAAGTGAATTGAAGGAATGCAAAGTATGGTATGACAATATTTTGTTAAAGTAGTATCTTTTCACAAGCAAAATGCGGTATGCATTTGATCAATTCAAGACTATACATACCTGTGAGATTGTGAATAAAGACACGTATATATAAGGCCACAATTATTTACTAGCAGTATTGGTATTAACTTTCATCTTTCTGCAATTCATATACTTCAAACAACATGAAAATCTTCTTCCTTACCTTTACTACTTTGATCGCCTCCGCTTTTGCAGCACCTTATGGACACACTACCTATGGAAAGATTGGAAGTGACGGAAAGACAATAGGCATGGTAAGTCTTGGAATCTATATCATTATATATACATATATATATATATATATATATATTATAATTGCCATTAATATTTTTGTCTTTTTTGTATTATAGCTCAACAATGTAGCCGAAGGTGGTCTCTTTAACGACAACTCCCAAGGTTCTGGTCGCAACTAGCGAACATGATATCAAGAATCACTCTGTTTCATAAATACCTGTCATATTTAATATAATTACCATTTCATTTCATTTCATCCTACTTCATCCCAATTCATCTCATCTCATTTCATTTACATGTGCAACTTCATATTGATATTTACAACAATAAAAATATTTATTCAATGACAAAGGATAATAATAATAATAATAACATTAAGAACAAAAAATAATAAAGGGTATTGGATACATTAACTTAGAAAAGGAATACAGATTGAGTAAGGGGTAAGCTTGAGACTGGGTCGCACACACAATGCTTTCCGTCAGCCGTAACTCGATAGGTCTCTGGATCAATAGTAATTTTAGGCATAGCATCGTTGAGCAGCATGTCTTTCTTGGATACATTCCGGCAATTCTTCACAGCCTCGGCACGCTTTTTCAGTCCGTACTTTTGAACAGTCTTGCTATCCAACGACAACTTTGACACAAACACCATACAGCTCTTTGAAAGACTTGAAGGATAAGCACCAAACATCGGCCGTGAGATGACAGGCTGAGTGGTAGGAATAGAACCGTTTGCATCACCCATTTGGCCCCAGATAATCACACCGCCCTTCAGAATCAATTCGGGTTTGGTTCCAAAGAATTCGGGCTTGAACACTACCAGATCTGCAACCTTGCCGACCTCGATTGATCCAATCAAGTGGCCTACACCATGAGCACGGGCAACGTTTATCGTGTACTTTGCAATATAGCGCTTGATTCTAAAGTTATCGCCCGAAACATCCTTGTCTTCAGGCAGCTTTCCACGTTGGTCTTTCATCTTGCTGGCCGTCTTCCAGGTTCTCAAGACTACTTCGCCAGCTCTACCCATAGCCTGAGAATCCGAACTGATGATACTAATAGCGCCCATATCGTGAAGGACATCTTCAGCAGCAATTGTCTCAGCGCGGATACGACTTTCAGCAAATGCGACATCCTCGGGAATATTCTTGGACAAGTGATGGCAAACCATCAACATATCCACATGCTCATCGAGAGTATTGGTGGTGAATGGGCGGGTTGGGTTGGTAGATGAAGGTAATACGTTGGGCTCACTGCAAACACGCATAACTAATTTTTTTTGTTTATAAAAAAAAGGGAGAAGAGGTTCAGTATTGAAATATATATATATATTTTCCAGGATAAAAATAAAAATAAAATAAATTACTTACTGTCAGGAGCATGTCCTCCACCTGCACCCTCACTATGGTACGTATGAATAGTACGTCCCTTGAACGCAGCAATAGAAGACTCAACAAAGCCAGCTTCATTGAGGGTATCGGTGTGAATGGTTGCTTGTACGTCAAACTCGTCGCAGACCTTGAGACAGGCATCAATTGATGCGGGGGTGGTTCCCCAATCCTCGTGAAGCTTGAGACCAAGACAACCAGCTTGGATGTGCTCAACCAACTCCTTTGTAGACGAACAATTGCCCTTTCCAGTGAAACCGAAATTCATTGGTATGTCATCCGTCGCTTTCATCATAAATTCAATGTGATGATTTCCAGGTGTACACGTGGTGGCGTTGGTTCCAGTATTGGGGCCTGTACCACCACCGATCAAAGTAGTAACTCCACTTGCGATAGACTATAGTAATTGGTTAAGTCAATTAACTTCAGTTTAAAGATATAAATAAAATAAAATAATAAGTTTACCTCGTAACAGATCTGGGGACAGATAAAATGAACGTGTGCATCAATGGCACCAGCTGTGAAGATCTTTCCTTCACCTGCCAATGCTTCTGTACCGGCACCAACGATCATACCTGGAGTGACACCGTCCATGACATCTGGGTTACCAGCCTTTCCGATACCCGCGATGATACCGTTCTTGACACCAATGTCGGCCTTGTAGATCCCATGCACATCGATAATCAGACAATTGGTGATCACAAGATCCAGTACATCCGCATCCGCCCGGTCGGTACTTTGACCCATTCCCTCGCGCAACACTTTTCCACCGCCAAATTTGCATTCGTCGCCATAGACAGTGTAATCTTTTTCTACACGAGCCCACAATGAAGTGTCGCCCAGACGAACCAGATCACCCGTGGTTGGTCCAAAGTGGTCTACATAGTATTCACGGTCAAGTTCATAAGCTGGTGCATGAGGCAACAGAGGTGTGTTGGCATCGTGCTTGAACCCCTGGACAGTCAAGTTCGACATTATGGACGGAAGACGCGAGAAGTCTACAGGGCCAGACGCAAGACTGTTTCCACCACTGATGACCTTGTTTCCACCAATCTCGACTAATGTGACGGTCTTGAAATCTCCGGGCTCAAAACGAACTGCCGAACCAGCAGGAATGTCGAGACGCATACCGTATGAAAGGGCGCGGTTGAAATGGAGGGCAGCGTTTGTTTCGATGAAATGGTAGTGGGATCCGACCTGGATGGGGCGGTCTCCGTGGTTGGTAACTGTCAAAGAAATGCGTCTGCGATTGGGGTTGAGGGTGATTTTTCCTGGCAAAACGACAATTGCGCCTGGTGAATCTGTCTTGGATCGACTGGCAGGTGCAGCAAACAGGCTCGGGTCAGGCACAGGTAAAAATGAGCCGTAGAGTGCTATGGTGAGGTTGCCGGCGTCTGTGCAGATTGGATCATGAACTGTGACAAGATAGGTGCCGTCTGGAAATGTACCCTCGACTTGGACTTCATGAACTGTGTCGCACGCATCGGGCAAAACATGTCGGCGGCCGAGCATCTGTTTACCCATGTCCATCAGTTGTGCGACAGAGTAAACACCATCTCGCATAAATTCCAACAGTTGGGATGCAATAAGGGCTGTTGCCTCTGCGTGGTTGAGTCTGATGCCGCGTGCGAGCCGTTTCTGAGCAAGAAACCCGACTATAAAGATAGATAGATAAATAAAATATGGATAATCGTCAAATAAGAAAATTAATACATAAAAAAAAGCTTATAATAAATATAAAATCGATTGTACTTTACCTTGGTGCAGCAGAAGCTTGTCGATCTCGCGAGGTACCAGACGCATATTTTTTTTCTTATGAGAAAAATAAATAAATAAAAGAGGAGAAGAAGAAGCAAAAGAACGCGATGATGGGAATGGTCAAAAGTCAAGGTTAATTTTTAAGTGAACGCTTATCAGTTTGAACAAAATGAGTTTGATAAGAAAATGAAGAAGATTGACTGGTTTAGGCTCCCTTTTTTTTAAAAAAAATTCTTAATATGGAAGAGAGATAGTGGATTGGTTTGCCTTTTTTGTTAAAAACTGGGGCCCTGTTATCTTTTGTTGTATATATATAGCTTTTAGCTTATTAGATACACAAGTTATCTTGATTTTGGCTTGATAAATATAGATACATAAAAAATACTATATATCTGCGAGTATAAGAGTTGCTTGTAATAGGTATTTTGGGTTTCATTCTATATTTTATTGACCAATCACATTCCTATCCTTTATCTCTTTCTCGAGCACATACCATCTGATCGAGTAAATTAAATATGAAATTTGTTCTTTTTTTTTGTTAAATCCTTTCACAATTATTTTCAAATGCAATTCTACTGCGCACACAAGAATCATTGGGTTTTTATGCTACTCATCATATTCATCTTATATGATTTTATATAAACTAGCAAGGATAGTGCCTAGCATATCGTATACACACTCGTAGTATCGGTTCAAGGGTGCACCAGAAAGGTGGAGAGAGTATATATATATTGCATATCTTTCATAACTTTTGTTAAATATACATCTTTTTTTATTTATTTCCATATTTCAATTCCATGGACTGATTGAATCTATGGACGCTTAGGATATGTCAAAGGCTCATCATAAAAATCTGGTATGATTCTTATTTGGAAAGCCTTTTTCTCGGTTCTCTCCAAAGAAAGTTTGATTTTTACCAAATTTATAGTTTAGAAATACAAAGTCTTTCTTTCAAAGTGCCCTCTGCAGACATCATGGCTATTCCAATCTCTTTTTTTAAAGTAATACACATGAAAAATAAACGCATAAATGAGGGAGCTCCCATTGACCAATAAGCACCAAAAAAAAAAGATTGCATAAATAATAAGTTTATTTATTTCTGTATCTCATATATAAAAGATCATATAAATTCTCTGCAGAGCCAATTTTTGCTTGGAGTATATATTCGTTAAACCATTCTAAAGGCTCGTCATCAAGGTAAAGGGGCAAAACATAGATGGCATCCTCGTCATTGATCCCATTAAAACGAAGATATCTCTTCATCTGTCCGATCCAATGACTTATAGAATTTGAGTGGCTAGGATACACCGATGGTTCGTCCCGGAGACCAAGTAGATATCGAGAATCTTTTCTCGCAGGTTCCCTTTCCGATCCTTGTCTAGAAAGCTCTATCTCGATTCGCTCCACAGATGCTTTGATTAGCTCCAAAGTAACCACAGTGTTCTCGTAAGCTTTTAGGTAACTTTGCTCTGCTCCCATAAGATATTTTATAGATTCTTAGTAAATAAAAACCAAAGTAAAGGGCTATTGAACAGTGCACCTTTATAGATGTATTCCAAGAGACTTAAAACCTTTCATTTATCATATAAATCCAGATGATTAACAGTACTATAAAGCTCACATGGTTGGTATAAAGATCTTGCTATAATACACTAGAGAAGTATATTATTTTATCATTCAAGTTGAAATAACATATCAAGCGAGTAATCTTGATATATAGTCGAGTTTAAAGATCATGAAAAGATTGATAAAGAAGAGCAAGCCTTTTTTTCCTCATAAAACCTAAAACAAAAAGTAGAATGTGAAAAATAATCAATTTTATTGGCTATATTTCTGTGACTTTTGATATTAATGTCATTAATTAAATATCTCTTTATTGGTATTCAAAGTAACCAAGCAACGGACACAAAGAGTGTAGTCATCTCTTTCTTTTCTTTTTATTTCTTTTCATTTCTTTTCCTTTCCTTTACTTTCTCTTTATATTTCTCCAATTTTGGTAATTATCTTTAGAGCAAATATTATTACTATTTTTTCACTAAAAGCATGCGTTTGTCTTTTTTTTTCACATCTTTATGCTTCTTGATAGATGACTCTTTTTTGTCCAATATTTACCTTTATTAACCACATTTAAACTGCAGTTTCTTGATTACTAATGCTGTACTTGTAATATATGACCACAAAACAGCTCTTTAAGTACATATAGCAATATGATATCAATACATGCTGAGCCATCTGGCTTCTATAACCCGACACCTGGCTAATTAATATACTACTAAACGGATTATTATTCACGTTATAGCTCGAAAGTCAAGTCGTCAGAGTTTTGTAATGTCAAAAAGGTATCGTGTAATTCAACTATTGGCTACCAAAAAAAAAGTTCTTCTTTATATGATCTGGATGAAAGGGTCTATTCATCAAAATATGATACTGATCTAGTTTTCCCCAAAGTAAATGTCTATTAAATGTTTTCAAAGAAGTTTTGTCTACTAGCAAAGGGTCAATATGTAAGATTATATATCTGGCGTATGGTTCTCAGAAGACTCCCCCCCCCTAGATTGAAAGGATTAGATAGATCATACACAATTATATTTCACTTCATTTTATTTGCGCAACTAAACCCTAAGCCAGGTAGCAAGTCAGCAAATATTACTAATAGATGTAGAGAACGTACCACAATTAGTTTACATTAAAAATAAAAGAAACACTCACTGAAACGTAAACAGACTCTTCTCCGTACTCCAAACATAATGATCCCTCTCTTTCCCTTTGAAATATTGACCAAGATTGGAAGACTTCTCTCAAAGCAAGACCAAGCAGAATGTACACATGTCTGCAGAGCATGGAAAATCCCCTTCCAAGAATCCATGTGGAATACAATCGAAATACTAAGTGACGCAAAGTTGGATCAGATATGCAGCTCGACAACCAACGGAATGCCTTATCATAAGAATGGCCATCTTGTCCGAACCTTGTTTCTGGAAAAATGGCTCAAGGCAGAAGATCGTCAACTCTTTACGGTCCAAAAGCGTTTCCAAAAGATAAATCGCCTTTACATCCGAGAAAAAAGCGTCATAAACAGAGACTTTAACAATATGGCAGACTGGAGTCGGTGGAAGTCATTGACGCACATGGAAATATGCATTTCCGGACTGTACTTGGAAAATGAATCGAGAGATTTTCTCAAGATCCTCGAATGTCTGCCGAATCTTAGATGGCTAGAGTGTCCTCAAAGATATGGTTACGCGTGGCCCTATACGTTAGAAGAGTTTGACACGATCCATTCTTGTATACCAAAAATTGAATACCTCTCATTAGTCCTTGATCTTGCACCAATTACCGAAAAACACAAGACAATCATTGCAGAAACACAACCCACGAGCTACCTGAAAGTAATAAAACTTCGGATGAACAAGGTAGACCTTCGATGGCTGCGTTATTTTGCTCACAAATATCCAAATGCACACACTATCGAGTGGCATTCAGATATTCGGTCGGATACAAGCAACGCATTTCGAGAAGAGGCAATCTCGATGTTTTCTACACTCTCCTGCGCGTTTCAGCATTTGGAGAATATTCTGATAGACGGAACATCTGGACGAGAGTGGTGGTATATCACATTTTTGGATCTCTTATGCCATTTTAAAACCACGAAAGCAAAACGCATTGAATATCGTATGCGCTATGGACACAGCAACTTAGACCTCGAGAAAAGAATCATACATCAATGCGCACAAACTTGTCCCACAGTCATGTCACTTAATTTTATTTCAAGTGATCTCGATTTACCTGATCCAACTATGATCCCAGTAACAATCGATTTCTGCCCTAGTATTCTAGACTTGCGTATAGATGCCCTCTCTCTTCCTATTGCAGTTGACATTCTCTTGGACAAATGCCCGTCTTTGAAAAGGCTAAGATTAGCTGTAAAATCTCTCAGTATTAGCAAAGAAGCTACTGGAACTCATGGATTGCGGCTGATAGAATTTGTGGGATCAAAGATATGTACCAATGTATTTTCATACCTGTCTTTTCGTTGCAGATGTCTAAACTATCTGCGGCTGACAAAAATGGAGGTAGTTGGACCAATGTTTCAGGGAGGATGTGTGTGTCTTGACATGTCCTATACACATCTAGAGTATCTGCAGCTTACTTGCGTGACCGTTTCGGCATCAGATGGCGACGATTTCAATGTTTCTACTGTGATTAATCTGATTGCTCTCGATCAGCTTAATAGGGTTCCACAACAGGATAGTGTCATAAAGGCAGCATTAGCTACTAAAGATATTTATCCCGTCTTTTCCAAACTGCTCCCATGGGCTCACATGTATTGTATCTGGGACGGAGGTTATGAGATGATTAAATTGAGAAAATTGGTATCCGAGGAAGCTGCATATGTCCAAAGCTACTACCAGTCGTTCGAACAAAACAAGGAAACCTATGGTAGCGCTCATTCATTTAAAAGACGGCGGTCTTATCTTGGCCAGTTGGACCAAGAGCATTGGAAAGAAGATCTTGACCGAGGATTTGTTTTATTTCGATGTGGATCCGTGAGAAATTATTTTATTGATACTCTTGGGTACTACGATGATGAATTTTGGGAGAAGCTTCAAACCAAGTTTATGTAATATGCACTCACCAGATAAGCTTGATAATTATATATCAATATTTGAAATACAAAAGATGTTCAATGAACAGTCTGTCCATACGACATTACTAACACATAAATTTATAAAATAAAAATAAAAAAAGGTTCGTTTATTAAGATTGGTATTAATAAATACATGCATAAATATTTATATTGGGTGGCTTTATTACGATTATACAAGAGAAGAAATACAAAGAATATATAGGTATTGGGGATTTTGTTTTATTTTTACTTGTGGGAAACTTGAGTCTTTTCAAAACTGGATGACTCGAGTTCGATCTGACTGATTTGGGGTTTACCGTCTCCGAATTCTTCAACATCCACTGGCTCATCCACATATCGAACTATGTGGCAGCCCCAGATTGCATAAAACAGGACATATACATATGCAATCAATGGGATGACAAAAGAGATGTGAATACCAACGCTGTCCTTGATTGCCGCCTGAACTGGTGGGAGTAAAGCACCACCTCCGACACCCATAATAACTAATTGTTACAAAAAAGTGTTAAATACAAACATTAAATCCAAAAAATGTATCTAATTACCCATAGATGCTCCTCGTTTGTAGTTACGGCCCAGATCTCTGGTTGCTAGCGCAAAGATTGTTGGGTACATAACAGACTCAAAGAACAGTAGGGCCAAAAGAGAATATGTTGTCTTGGGAGTACGCATAGCAATAACAAAAATATTGATGATAGAAGCACATGCAGAAAAAACTGCCATAAGATGGTCTGCACGGAACTTGCGTAAAAGAATAGCTCCAAAGATACGACCAACGGTAAAGCACAGCTGACCATACGAAAGTAGCTGAGAGCTATAGGAATCCTTAAACCCTCCAACCTCATTTCCATAGAAAATGAAAAGAGAAGCAACACACACTTGAGCACCTGTGTAACAGAATTGGGCCAGCGCGCCAAGCAAGAGATGTGGAGAGGCAAGGGAAGCACGACGAATCGTAACACCAGTTGCAAGAGCTTCGGCAGCCATCATAGCCTCTTCATCCACTTCAGGAATCTTTGCAAAGCAAAACAGTACACCAATAACAAACACACCTATTTTTTTATATAGAATATATCAATAAAATATGATTTATTGACCCTTTGAAGAAGAAGAAAACTTACCACATGCGACACCAATATATGTCCACTTGACTGTTTCCAAGCTATCTGTGGCCCCTTCATCACCACCAAAGAAAGCATATGATGCAATAACTGGAGCAACAGCAGAGGCAATACCGTTGAATGCCTGGGCTACATTAATACGGAACGGTGCCCATTTACGAGATCCAATGATAGCAATATATGTGTTTGCGCCTTTAAGAATATACATGAGAATCTGATTTAAGAACAGTCGGTTTCGAAACAGCCTTGTACTTACAGTTTTCAAGTGTGGCCAAACCGCATGCAATAACAAATAGGGAAGCGACGAAACCTCCATACTGGAGTGTAACCGCTGAGGGGTAGAATCCGATAGCACCGATAACGTATAGTGCTAAACCAAAGATGATTGCGCGCTTATATCCAAATCTTTTTGAGATCATACCAGCACTATATAAACAACAAGATGTGAGAACCAAAAAAAAAAAAACAAGAAACATTACTAGATAATGCCATCTTGCTAACTTACGGTATACTGAATACAAAGTATGCACCAAAGTATGCGACTTGCATAAAGGTTGTTTGTGTAGTTGCTAGATAGGTTCCAACCGAGATCAGGTTAGGAGAACAGATCAAACTATCATAACATGAGTATTATGTACTTACTGATATGAAGTACATTTTGAAAGTGTTTATTTAAAGTATCGAGAAGTCCATAACTGAAACCCCATAAGAAAAACAGAACAGTAACTAGGGCACCAGGAATGAAGTAACTTGGCATTTCCGGGTTGTCCGGATCGACCTGTTTCTTTGCAAACACAGATTTTGTCTTTTGTAATAAAGTCATTGGAGATCAAGAACAAGTAGAAGGTTTGGATTAATGTACACCAAGCCGATATTGCGTTAAGGTATTTATATTTTTTTATTTTAGAGGGAAAAGAGCTAGATATATGACGAAGTCGGCTAATGTTCTCAAGTTTTCCCACCATTTGGAAAGCGGGGTAACCAAACGGAACACAAGATATTAGAGTAAAAGTTCAAAGACATTGTTAACTACTAAAATAACACAAAAAAGTCTGTAATGTCTCGATCAAGTGAACTGTAAGTAAGATTAAATCAAGTAGCCTTGATTAGAATATATTTGATGCAGCCCTTAATAGATGCTATCTTCCGTCTTTTACCAATCAATATTTTGGTAGTAACAAAAACAATTCCGCATGAGTTGCCTCTCTGCTTTTACTACTCGGAGATTTTTTACGGAATAGTGCAACCTCAATACAATATTACCAGCCATGGCTGATCAATTAAAAGATCCCTGTTATTTACCGTATTAGTCTTCGTGGGGAAAATGGTCACTGGGTCTTGTAGCTATTGAGTTAACCTTGATTTTCTTGTAATAGTAATAATTGAAAACACTACTAATAGGAATACCGAAAGAAATAGGAATATCAAGATAAATAGCAATGCATCGCAGCGCAGTTGCTACATTTGTAATAAAATAGAAATGTTTTCTACAGCTCCTAAATATCCATTTATTTTGGGAAATCAATTTTTCTTCATCTCTATAGTATAATACTCTTAGTAACATATTGATTGACAGAATTGATCCTTGTTGGAGTATGCAGAATAAAATGTTTACATAATAAATCACGGGGAACTTAATAATGATAAATTCAAAGTGAATCAGGTGACCGCATAACATACCACAGTATCACGGTGTGCTACTGGCAGGGTAACAAACCTACCTTTACAGAAACAATATGTCGAGAATACAGCCAATATCTCCAACTAGTCCTGAATTCAAAGGAATCTTGGAACTCAATATTATCTACGAAGCTGGTAACAACATTCCGTCACACAATTACGAAATTAACCCAAGAAGAAAAAAATAAAAATAAAATAAAAATAATAATAATGCTTGTTCAACCCGTCTAATGCCACTCAGGTCTTGATAGTGAAAGTAGACCAATTTTAGTATTATGCGCAGACAACCTCCCAGACCCAAAGGCAATCGACTACAACCTAATTCTCGGGTAATTTTTTTATACTGGTACATTTGACAATGAAGCAAAAACTCAATCACTTTATTATAATTCAAGATTTATCTTGGCAAGACTGTAAGTTTTATTACTGTATTTTATCCTACGCGACTGCAGGGCTATACGACTACTATCATATACGACTATTATTATACATGGCTACATGACTACATGACATGATTTTATGACGTCTCATTGACTTAATATTAACATAATCATGAGTCTATACGACTATGTGTATATCTTATAAAATGCATTCGGGTGCTTGTAAAAAAATATTGGGATACCAATTGATGGGGGTGGGCTGGGGATATATTGCAGGGTAACTGACATATGCTTATTTGGTAGAGACGAATTTGTCGAAAGTGATTATGTGCTTGTATTTTTTTCATCACCAGCAAAATTCCGCCCTTCCTGGCTGTGGCTCTTACAAGCCTATCGCTCTTTAGATAGAAAGTAATATAAATTAATACGCTACGTTTATAAAGAAGAAAAAGGGAAATTAAATTAAATATTTATATATGTAATCTCTTTACTTAGATACAAGAAAAACCTAAAAGCTCTTTATGTACTTCATCTCACAAAAGGCTATCGTATCATTTTCAATCTCGCAAATAAGATCACAAGGTAATTTGAAAATAAAACTAAAAATAAAAATAAAAATGAACTTTGCTAATACCATTATACTCACGTTTGAAATAGCCCAAAGTTTGCCAAGAAGCTGCATTATCTTTCATCTCTTAACGAACTTCGCTCACAAGTACCAATCCCCCCTAATTTCATTCCACAGTCTGTTGTCAAATATGATCGGCAGGCAGCTGTCAAACCATATGTACCAAAAACAAGAGAGGTCACCCCAATGCAACATGTATCATCGAAACCATCACTTGCTTTTGGGAGAAGACTGGAAGATTTGGCGACAATTGAGGCCGATGGCAAACCAGATGTCTTTGTTCCCAAAGTAGTCAAAGCCCTCGTGAACCATTTGCGTCTTCATGGTAAAAAGATAGCGAAAGAGAGAGAGAGAGAAAGGTAGAGAGGTATATTATACATATTTTAACACAAAAACTTAGGAATGGACAAGGAAGGGCTGTTCAGAAAGTCGCCCTCTAGTAAAGAACTACGTGTAGTAAAGGAAGCCTTCAACCGTGGTAAGAAAAGTTTAATTACTGAATAAATATAAATATAGATGATTAATTACTGTAAAACATAAACCAATTTTTGTGTGAATAGGTGAATCTGTAGACTTGTCTCAGTGTGGAATAGAGGTTGCTGCTTCACTACTCAAAGTGTTTATTAGAGAATTACCAGAGCCTTTGATATCCATTGATACAGTGCAAGAGATTGGATTCATTCCAGGTGAGAGAATATATTATATTTTCACAATGAAAACGCGCCGCTTTAAAAGAGGAAAAATAAAAGAAGACCTTGGCATGACTAATTTACCATCCCGTCCGTACTCAATAACAGATACAGAATCTTATTCGACCGAGCAAATCGAATTGGTCAAAGCAAAGATAGAGCCGATATACATCAAAAAACCCTATGAGGCCGCTCTCTTAAAATACCTCCTGGCCTTTTTAAGAGAGGTTTCCGAGAATTCAGACAAGAACCTGATGACTGTTCACAACCTCGCTGTCGTGTTTACGCCCAATCTGATTCGAGTCACCGAAAATAATAAGGAACACTCAGAAATTGATGCAGCTGAGGTTGAGGAGATGGTTTCTGTAAATGCAGGACTTTACTTGCATCAAATGAACCAAGGGATTGGCTTGGTGCGGCTTTTGATTACTGAGCGGGATCGTCCATTTGGTGTGTCTTCCAAATAGCGTTATCCGTATATGACTTTTGTGTGTGTGTATATGTATGTGTGTGTGTATTGTTCATACCGCGTTTATTTCCTTGCCCAGATCAAGCGGAAATATGTTTATTACCTATCCAATAACCAACGCAAACTCTGTTGCTTATACCCATGCCACATCTATTATTATTATTATTTTAAAAAATTTTAGAGATCGCGATAAGCATATTTTTCAACCTAAAGTCTAATTTTTTTTTCTTAAAAAAATTCACTTAATTCTTTTCTCTCTCTCTTTTGTTTGTTTGCTTGTTTGCTTTTTTCTCTTATTTAAACGTCATTACAGAGGCGTATATTTAGAGAAAATGTCCAATTCCTCGCCCACATTTAAGCAGCAATCAATTGACGCGCACAAAGCCGTCAATGATGCTCTCAAGGCTGACCCTAACGGAAATACAGTATATTCATTTAACCCAGAGCTGTCGCCAGAACAAAAGAAGGCTCAGGCCGAAGAAAGTGCAAAAAACAAAAATTTACCTAACACAAAGTTAAGCACACCAAAGGCAGCCGAATTGAAAACAGATCTCGACACAACAGATACACAACAAGTGAAAACAGTATTAAAAAGCGCTTCAGTAAAGCCAACTATAAAATCCACGCCTGATGATAAAGCATTGGACACGACGCCTGGAAGTTTTACAAATAAATCACAAAACGGAATACCTGAATGGTACAGCGTAGGGTGGACGGCATTTTCGACTTTACCGAATCCAGGCGATGAGAAAGCAATCAAAGAACTGTCGCAAAAATTAGGACCAGATACAGTTGCAGAGCTTTATAAAGGCTCCCGAGCACAATCTGGAGCGGGGGATCAAAACGATCTACTCGCACAGATTATTAGTGACAAATACTATGGAAAGTGGTTCCACAATGGAGCTGCCCTGGGGGCAGCAGTAGTCTCTACATGGCTATTGACAATGTTTGGATTTGGGTTACTGTCTTGTCTTATAGTGGGTGCATTTTTAGGTAAGTGTGTGCAGATCTTCCAAACTTTAATATCTCATGCAACTTACTATTTTTTTCATATATCCTTTTTTCTTTGTCTCAGCCACTTATTATCAAACCTCGATTCGCCGCACCAGGCGTGCTGTTAGAGATGATATCGAGCGCGAGATGATGTTGACCCATCTTGATACTGATGCAGAGTCAGTCGATTGGATGAACTTGTTCCTTGCTCGATTCTGGTTAATCTACGAGCCCATCTTGTCTGCACAGATCATTGGCACTGCAGATACCATTTTGGCCCAAAACACTCCGTCCTACCTTGACTCTATTCGTCTGAGTTCATTCACCCTAGGAACCAAAGCTCCCCGCATTGAGAGCATCAAGACTTACCCCAAAACAGAACCAAATGTTGTCGTGAGTAAATAAAGTAAAGTTAGATAAAGTATCATATAATGTTTATCTAATTTTCTCTTTAATGATTTACAAGTGCATGGACTGGAAACTATCCTTCACGCCAAATGATATATTGGACTTGAGTGCTCGCGATCTCCAATCCAAAGTCAACCCAAAAATTGTTCTTACCATCAGAGTTGGTAAAGGGATGGTTGGAGCGGGTATACCTATCCTCCTGGAAGATGTAGCCTTTAGTGCTCTCTTGCGCGTCAAGATCAAGATGTTTAACGAGTTTCCTCATGTAAAGACGGTCGAAGCCTCATTTTTGGAAAAACCATACTTTGACTATGTACTAAAGCCAGTGGGTGGCGAGACATTTGGGTTTGATATTAACAATGTAAGACATGCCCCAGGTTCATTTAGCATGTTTATCAAAGTCTTTGTTTTCTTAGATTCCTGGTCTAGAATCATTTGTAAAAGATCAAGTTCACTCTACTCTCGGTCCCATGATGTACTCTCCAAATGTATACACTTTGGATGTAGCAGGAATGATGGCAGGCACATCAGACAAGGGTAATAATGAAATTCATATAAGCTAACTATTTATGCTATACTAAATTAATCAATATTTACTGTTTGCAGATTCTGCTAATGGAGTACTTGCTCTCACAATATACTCTGCTAGTCAACTCAAAGGAACAGATATATTTGGATCGCTTGATCCATATATCACTTTTCACATCGGTAGTGCAAACCAGCCAGAAGTTGGGCACACATCTGCTCATGAAAATACGTCTAGCCCCAAGTGGAACGAGACCTATTTTATCTTATTAAACAACTTATACGACACTCTCTTCCTACAAGTCATGGACCGTAACTCGGGCCGCAAAGATTCAGAAATTGGTATTGCTAGCTACGATTTGAAAGAGATTGTAGACTCAGATAATATTTCTGAAGGCTTGTAAGTACAAGATATATTGCGATAAGTCTACATACATTTACATTATGTGTGTGTATAAACAATAGGAACCTTTCTGTATTGAGAAGTGGAAAGCCAGTTGGTGAGGTAAAGTGTGATATGCGATACTTTCCTGTATCAAGAGCTGAGAAGCAGGAAGACGGGTCAGTTGTTCCACCTGAAGAATCAAGTAAGTCTCTTATTCTTATACATAATACATACTGGATTTTTTCTAAAAGAAGCATTATCATTATAGACAGTGGTATCCTACGTTTCACTATCAATCAATGCAAGGAACTCGGAGGTGGTTCTAAAAAGAGTGGCTTTGGTCTTCCTTTGATCGCTGGAAGTGGGGTTGATGTGGATACTTATGCGATTTTGACTGTGAACGGCAAGGAGAATATGCGTACACCAGTGTTTAAGCACAGCATTAATCCTCGCTGGGACAAGTCAGTTGAGATATTTATTGCGGATAAAACCAAATTAGATCTTGGTGTGAAGATTCTTAATAGCCGTGACTTTGGTGACGATGATGTCGTTGGTCAATGGTCGTCCAGTTTGACGAAATTTGAAGACCAGATCGTGAATGAAAAAATGGACTGGTGGAATCTTCAGAATGGCTCAGGAAAAATTCATTTGAGCATGCAATGGAAACCAGTGGCCATGACAGGTTTTTCTGAAGGTTTAGGTCACGGAGCTTATCGTACGTATAGTTTAAGGCACACATACACACATACACACGTGCAAAGAGTCTAAATATTAACTATTTTTTTGAATAGGCCCTCCTGTAGGAGTTGTCAGAGTCGAACTGTTCGGTGCTACAGACCTGAAGAACGTGGAAGCTTTGACAGGAGGAAAGTCAGACCCTTATGTTCGTATATTGTCGGGGATGCAGATCCGTGGCCAGACCGAATATGTGGAAGACAACTTGAATCCCGAATGGAACACCGCAATATTTGTACCTGTCCATTCTGTTCGTGAAGACCTTATATTTGAAGTTATGGACTGGAATGACATCCAAAAGGACAAGTCATTAGGAATACACGAATTTACACTCAAGAGTATCGTGAAGGAATCAAAGACCGATTATGGTCAAGCTGTGTATGAAGCCTTGGAACCAGTCGATAGGTAATTTAACAAAGAGCGACAAGAAAGCATATACATAATTTATTTATAACACAACTTTTTATAGTTGGGTCGATCTTATGGGTAGTGACCGCAGAAGAGGAAAGGGTCGTATTCACTTTTCTGCAGCATTCTACCCTACAATGGCTTTAGCAAAAGCAGCAACGGCAACAGATAAAGCATCATCAACAATAACGGAAGGAGAAAACAAAATAGCAAATACTAAAGACAAGGGTAAGAGCTCAATTGCTGCACCAGTAGCAGAGTCTTCTTCAGAAGATACCTTCAGCAGAACAGCATCTGGAGATCCAAGCGACCTGGAACACCCTGAGAAAGATCTGCACGGAGAGGTGATTCAATACTCTAAAGATGGATCCAAGATCGATCTTCTTGCGTACGATGCTGGTGTTTTAAGTGTCACAATTTATAAAGCAAATATCCCCACACGTGAAAAAGTTACGGCCGATATCCTTTTAGACTCAAATGATCCACAGTACCGAACCGCACAGATCAAAGGCTCCAATTTGCCTTTCAACGAGACAGGTGATGCATTCGTAAAGGAAATGGACTTTTCACGCTTGGTTGTTCGCATCAAAAAAGTTGACGAAAATAAAGACGACTCTTGTATCGGTTACTGGGAAAACTCTGTAAAAGACATTGTACGAAACCTTCAAGACCTTCCTACTAGCTCCGATGAGTCTAGCGAAGAAGTCAATGGAACCGATTACAAGTTGCTAAATTGCCAAGGTGGAACAATTCGATTGGCTTTCAAATACACACCCGTAGTACAATTTAAGCTGGATCCTCGCGACAGTCTTGAAAGTAAGGCAATCATGATATTCTTTTATATATAATTGTATATAGCAAGTACTTAATACTCTTTTTTTTTGTTATTTTTCTTTGGAATTATTGTTTTTTATCATATAATTACAATCAATAGATCAAGGCAACCTCTCGGTTACAGCAATTAGAGCCACCAATCTCAGAGCAGTAGACAGATCCGGGACCAGTGATCCTTATGTTGTTTTTACTCTTGATGGAGCAAAAGTGTTCAAAACTCAAGTCTATAAAAAACAGCTCAACCCGATATTTACCAAAGACGAGAGCTTTGTGCTTGCAGTACCAGGTCGCATTGGAGCTAACCTGGAAGCGGCAATTTATGACTGGGATCAGTTTGGAAAAGGAGATCTTATTGCAAAGGCTAAAATTCCTTTTACGGATGATGTTCTTGAAAGCTTTTTGGCAAAAGAATTCGAAATCCCACTTGAAGGCAATTCTTCTCTTACTGTTCGACTTTTGTGGCAGCCTCAGCTTTTACCTCGCAAGCGGGCCGATTCGAATGTTCTTACAGCTACGACGCGTATGTTGACATCTGTCCCTGGAGCAGGCGTTCATTTGGCCGGTGATGTAGTTGGTACTGGTTTGAACGTAGGCACTCAATTGGCTAGTGGAATTGTTGGTACTGGATTAGACGCAGGTGGAATGGTGCTTGGTACTGGTACCAAGATTGTCGGAGGTGGTGTTTCAGCTATAGGAAGTGGGATCAGAGGTATTGGAAAGTTTGGAAAGAAAGACAAGACTGTCGCCAAACCTTTATCTGAGTATCCAATCCCCCCTGAGCCAAGAACACACAATGAAGTGCACGACCATTCAGATGTACAGACTTATGGAAGCTCAGGGTTTGATTCTCCAGTGGACAACAGATCATTGAGACAAAAGTCGATTTTTGATGGTCATCCTGGAGGTAAATAGTGCCTTGTTTTCATATATATATATATACATATAGGCACAAACAGGTTGTACATCTTTATAGCAATATTGATTAATCTCTTTATTTATTTTTTGTGATAGATAATCCGATTTCTATAAAGATAACCATCATTGCTGGACGTAACTTACATCCTATGGGTAGAGAGAATATGAACGATGCTTATGTGCGTGTACGTATTGGAAAGCGGGCAGTATACAAGACACAGCACATCAGCAAGACAAATAATCCAGAATGGTATGTGTTTTTTTATCATTAATATTCTTTTAAAAAGAAATTATAGCAATAATAATAATAACCTTATCCACTTTATAGGAATGGCTCATTCAATGTGAATGTGAGCAAAGACAAGTCTGTATTGAACTTCAAGGTTAAGGACCGCCATTTATTTGCCCACCTTGACGGTGGAGATGTGTCCCTCAATATGTCAGAGATTCTTGTATCTCCAGATGAACCTTTTGATCAGTGGGTTGAATTATCACCTAAGGACAGTGGATCTCTTCATATTCGTATCGAAGCTATTTCTTAATTTGCATGATGTTTTTCTTTTTTCTTTTCTTTTCAATATTATATAAAGAGCAGAGCCTTTTTGTTAAATAGTAGATGGGTTGCTACCTAGTCCTTTAAAGTATCGGCTTAGGCTAAGTGGATTACGAAATTTGCAAAAATATTCTAATCCTAGCGTTGATTCTCTTGAAGTTCTCTGTTTTTCGGTATAGAGAATATCCCGTTCTTTTAACCATACCTTATTTGCTTTACTTTTCCAAGACATTTTCTTACAATTCTATCAGTCGTGCCTTTAAAGAAATAAATGAGCCAAAAGTCCCTCGACTAGCAGTGAGCTATCATATTTTGAATTGGTATTTCTTGTTGCTAATCATTGTATTCAAAGGACACGTTGTAGTCAACTTGCCTACTGCTCTTTTTTTCTTTTAGTTGAAATGTTTCTTCAATCAAACAGGATCACTCTTTACTTGGAAGAAAGCACTAATTGATAGCATTAGTAATCCATAAGTCTCCAATCATGTTAATTTCTATATAAGCATATATTTTATTACGACGGACTCTCCATCATAAAATAAAGGATTTTAGAGCCTCGTTTCATTACTCTCTCTATCTTTTATTTTTTACCAAGCCGTTTTATAAAAAAAATACCACACTTCTAAGCTTACCTGATTCCATATTTACCTGCTTACATATATATCCTTATGTTCTTTTCTATACACATACGCACAATAGTGAGAATATGGTTTAACAGACTTGTTTCTTCTTTTTCTAAATTTTTCAAAACGACAATCATTTTATAACAAACCGCCAATCATTTCTCAGCTAGTGCCACTTCTTTTTTGATACCCGACATTTATTTTTCTGAAATCACCATGTGGGTGTATGTGTATGTGTGTAGTCTATTCAATTGGAAAGCTATCGATTTTCACACCTTGGGCACAAGAATTCACACACAAAGCATTTGATTTCTCTCTCTATATTTCTCTTCAATCAATTACATTATATGTAAGCAACTTTGTATCCCCACAAAGTCCAAAGCCTTCTTTCAAGGAGTTTATATAAAGATATAAATATGACTAATACCAAAAATATACGATGGCTGTACACCTTGGCGGGAAAACTAGTATTGGGTAAACTCCGGGAAATATATATATATATGTGTGTGTGTGTGCGTATATTTGTATCCTATACCATTACACTCCTTCTCCCCAATTTCATGTATTGTATGTGAAGGTAAAATATATATGCCATGTTAATGAGAAAAGCACCTTATATTTATATACATATAAAAGAAATATTCCTATAATCAGAGTATAGTCTTTTGGGAGAAGAGGCATAAAAAAAAGATGATATGGTTTTTATTCATTTTGTTGTGTACCTGATCCGAATTTATCGCCACGGAAACAGTCTAGATGCCTCATAGTTTATTTTACATATATATATAAATGTTTTACCACTAATAGAATTAGGAGAGAGTTCCATAAATAGGATTAGAAAAATGTAGGGGAGCTTTTACAGTCATTTGGCCAGCTACGGTTTCATTTTTTGTTTCTTTGATTAACTACTACTTGAAAGGCTTGTAAGTAGTATTTGAAATATGAATTATAAAGTCTTGGCATCCTTCTTACTATTTGACCAAGTCTGTATGTGGTGTGAATGTGGGTGCCTTGGGTTAATAGGTTTCGGCCGACTATTATGACTTATATAGTTAGATCAAGCTACAATAGAACCATCTATATGTATTATATATTAATGAGTAGATGCGCCACAATTGGATATGAACTGATTGGTATACCAATATTAGCGGAAAAAAAAAACAAATACATAGGCATGATAAATGTTTCTAAATACTGACACACAAAACTATAGTCGTGCAAAAGAAAATAATGATGGTTCCTTTTCTTTTGATACCAAATAACAACTGTCAGCAAAAACTCTGTTGAAAACTATGTATAGGCTTTTTTCTCTTTCTCTCTCTTTGTATGTATAATTCTATATAATGTAACTAAATGCAAATGGCCACATAGTAAATATAACCTTTGTATCAATAAATTGAAACATATATTTTCATTGTTGTTTTTTTTTGGCCTTTATCTTGAATAATCTGGTGTAAACATTAAGTATCTGTACATCTTTGGGCAAATGTAATTTTAATCATTTAAGCTATTCTCAGTATGACGTGAGAAATTTGGGATGCCCTTAAATACATGGGTAATTCCTTTATTATGATTATATTAAAAAATAATAATATTAGGGAACTCTGAGGAATAAACGGTAATCAGTACGACAGAAAAATTAGATATATATATGCATGATCCATGGCAAGTTATTTTTTTTTCTCTCTCTCACTCTCTATATGTAAATTGGTTTCTAGTACAACCTTTAATATAACCTATATAATCTTTGATTTGGCACATGAATATATTGACCCAAAGAATAATCAAAATTGAAACAAGAAAAAAAAAGAACAATGATAGAGACATTTTTAAATTAATTAATATAAATAAATAAATAAAGGGCTTCAGCAGTACGATTTTTTCTTTAATATGTCCTTGTAGCTAGGAGATAAATGACACTAAATTCATTTTATTTGACGATATTAAAGGTAAAATTATCTGTAAGAATACATTTTTGGTGCCTGCATTAGTGCGAGTACCTGCACAATAAGTATGATATTATATTGGTTGCGGAATTGACTTGACTTTACAAGGGGTGAAATAAAAATCAAGTAATTTTGACGTGTCCTTATATAAATATGTGTGTAATACTATTGTTTATTTATTTGTTTATTAATTTATTTATTTATTTTAATAGAATGAGTTCCGAGACGTATCATTCTCATTCTAATATCCTTAGTGGTTTGACCTGAATATATATATATATACGTATTTATATATGTGCGTGTGGCGTTTTTGATAAGGACTTTAATCCACATCTAGTATTATACTTGCTATTGACAAACCTGCTGTGACATTACTCTCAAAAAGGGGGCGTAATAATGTACATTTCAACTCTGATCCAGTTACTGTTCCAGAGTGTACTTTAACTTCCCTGCTTTTATGATCATTTAACGTGGCAAAAATCAAACACTGTACCATCAGGCCCCCTTCTCTCTCTCTCTCTTTTTTTATTTATTTATTTTCTATTTATTTTCTGCCTCCTTTGTCGAAATTGTCTTGGCCTTGTATGGCAAAAAATACAATGAACTCACAACGTGTTTTTGACAAGCACACGGATATGAGCCATTTTCGAACTCGCTTTCTATAATACGCATATGTATATATACAGGGTTAATCCAAAGGTTTATGTAAACCTTTACAACAGCCAAGAAATAAATAATAAGAATAAGAAAATATACTAAAAAAAAGGTACTTGGCGGTGCCTGATCCTTGTGCTTAAATTTCGTCTTCTTCTTGTCCTTTAATAGGCTTGTGTTTCCTTGATCCCTTTCTCTCAGTTAATGAGATGCCATAATAGGCGCATTAGTGTAACTATCAAACTTCACCCGTATCAAACCCCATCGGAGGTAGTCTCTTCCTGTCCTCCCACACCCTCTCTCCTTCTTCTTTTTTTGTTTTTTGTTTTACTTACTTTAGCTTGTCTGCTATCAATTACCTCCAAGATAGTCAATGCAAACGTCGGCATATTCTCTAAACATTTTCTTTATTTCAAACAAACTTTCAACCACCAGACCTTGGTTTTTCTCCGTGTGGAACAAAAAAAATAATATTTAAAATTAAAATAAAAATATATATAAAAAGATGAAAGTGGAACAGGCGTGACTGTCCATCCTCTCACTCATTTGTGCGGTGATGAAGCTTGCACAACTGCTTCTTCCCAAAAAACAATTAAAAAGGCCAACGCGCCCACCTCATTTGGTAACCAAGCATCCTGCTTTCACTCTATTTTTTTCTTCTTCTTTCCCCCCCTCTTTATCATACTTGCATTCACCAAAGTCTTAAAACAAAAACAAAAAACATATACACACACATACATTCTTGACAACAACTCCTCTCATTAGGAAACTCCTCCTATCTACGCTGTCACTTTAGAACCAAAAGAAAAAGAAGAAAAGAAACGAACCTCCACTGCCTCATCTCACCTTCCTCTCCCCTCTCTAACCCTCTCCAACTCGTCCCCCCTACCCCTCACACATAAAGCCACCGATTCTAGAACCCTAATGTCCTCGCCGAGCAAGCCATCGGCTCTTCACCGATCTCTCTCGGGCCATCTCCAACGCCTTCATATCTCCGGCTCAACAAATGTTCCAGACATGCCTGAAAAGCGTTCAGGTATAAATAATAGTAAAACAAAATAATATCAATCAAAGCTACACACACACGCATATTTGAATACATATAAATATATACATTCATACATTCCTAAATTCCTACATTCCTACATTTATACATTACACATACACATACGCATACAATCACAACCATAATAAAATATGAATTTTCAAAAACAAAAAAAACAACAAAAAGAAACCAATTATTGCGTCCGAGAATCCTATTTCTGATGATGTTTTCCATTCTAGTTCTGGGACGCAATACATCTTCTAACCGCCCAGCTAACGACAATGGCACAGACGTCTCTAGCACAGCAACAAATTCACCACTTGGAACACCAATCGGAACACCACCCCCACTCTCCCCCGTCTCAACCAAAGAAACCTCGGGCTCGTTTCTTTCCAGAACGTTATCCAGTAAACGCAACAGATCCGGCTCTAGCAGCGGCCGTACACGCCATTCACCACCCTTGCCACCCTCTACCAGCTCTCCTCTCATGAAACAATCTACTCTAAAACATGATACCAATCTATCCACACAAGAACCCCAGCCAAAACGCATTAGTGACCAAAGTGACGAATCTGGGTCTGGCAACAGTGCGTCTTCGCCATCCAAAGAAGTACTCAGCACTTCGGCTGGAAAGACAAAGGATCGAAATGCGTTTAAAGAAGTATTCGAGAAAGTTGTCGGAAGCTTTAATGGTAGGTTTAATCGTTGTTTTCTTTTATTTCTTAAATATATAAATATCCATATCTATACATATCTATACATATCTATATATAATTATCACTAGTGTATTCTCTTGTTGCCATTTGAGGTCTGACAATGCTGTAGATTTGATTAACAAGGACAACAGTTCAAAGCAACAGGAGAAGGAAATGGAAATTTCTGGTCCTTACAACGCAAAACACGTTACACATGTCGGGTTTGATTCAACTTCTGGAGAGTTTACTGGTCTGCCTAGTGAATGGCAGGTTCTCCTGAAACAAAGTGGAATCACAAAGACTGAACAGTATCAGAATCCTCAGGTGAGCGCAACAAACTAAACGGATCGGCTGTGATGTGGCATGCACAAGAGAAAGAAAGAGAGAGAGAATGAATAAATAAAGAGACAAAAACTGATGTTGAGGTTGTGACCAGGCTGTATTGGATGCTATTGGATTTTACCAAGAAAACCGAGACCACGATGATCAAGTCTATCACAAGATGGAAAAAGCACATGCACAGGGTAGTGCCACAATCCCTTTGCCTTCTACAGATACCAACGGCACATCGAGTGATCAAGAAGTCTCCTCTCCTTCTACATCCAATGGAAAGATTAGCGGCTTCCAGCATTTACCCACCTCCCCTACACCCGGAAACAAATACAACAATGACTATGACTATGCTGCCGACTCTAACAACGACAATGGTTTCTACCTTGACGGCCAGGAAACTCCCGGACACCCAGCTTACCAAAAACCCCAAAACGAAGGAATTACGGTAAGTATTCGATACAATAATAATAACAAAAAAACGCACGCACATACTCGTATCTAATTTTACTCGAAATTACTTTCTTTTTTTTTTTTAAAAAAAAAAGCACTCTCAATCGACAGGTGTACCAAGCAAAAGTAAGCATTATTTTGACAGAAATTTAATTAACAATTTTCACATACTAATTACTTCCTTATTTTTTTTTTAAAAAAAAGATCTCGAACGCCAAGAACCACAATCAAAGACCAACGAACGATTTTATGCCGAGTTGGGTATTGAACCTCCACGATCCAGTCCATCGAACAGCCAGCCAGCTCGAGACTACGATATCAAGCGAAAATTGAGCAACAAACAACGCGAGAAAAAGGAAGACAAGACAAAGATTGGAGCCACTACTACCACTACCACCCTTACTGCATCTCCAGGTACGGTCAAGCAGCGAGTGCCCCGAGAGCCCCGGACAGCTATGAGAGATTCTCAGGTGATCTCAAAACTTCAGACGATCTGCAAGGTGACCAATCCTCGCCAGGCATATATGGGAATGAAGAAGATCGGACAGGGTGCTTCGGGCGGTGTTTACACAGCCTATTCTGAAGGTGGATCCGGACCTGTTGCGATCAAGCAAATGAACCTCGAGCAACAACCCAAGAAAGAATTGATCATCAACGAAATCTTGGTTATGAAGGACTCTCACCACGACAACATTGTGAACTACATTGACTCTTACTTATGGCAAGGTGACCTGTGGGTTATTATGGAGTACATGGAGGGAGGCTCCCTGACAGACGTTGTGACCTGCAATATGATGATGGAAGGCCAAATTGCTGCAGTCTGTCGTGAGGTCTTGCAGGGTCTGTCCCACCTTCACTCACGCGGTGTTATCCATCGAGACATCAAGAGTGATAATATTCTGTTAAACATGCATGGCGAGATTAAACTTAGTAAGTTGTGGATTTAATTGGACTGAATTTATTCTTTTTTCTTTTCTTTACAAACAGAAAAGAAGTTGGAATAAAGTAGAGTAGAATAGAGTAAAATAAGAGAAAGATCATCTGGTTACTTACCTGATATTTTCTTAGCTGATTTTGGATTCTGCGCACAGCTCAACGACTCACAAACCAACCGTACCACTATGGTCGGTACACCTTACTGGGTAAGAAACTTGATCAATCTTATATTGTATATTATTAGAAACAAAGTGAGAGAAAGACATTAAGTCTTTTACTCTTTCTCTTGATTTTGTTACTTTTAAACTCATGTCACACACACACACATATATATATATATATTATGACAACAGATGGCACCAGAAGTTGTTACTCGCAAGGAATATGGACCTAAAGTGGATATCTGGTCTCTCGGTATTATGGCTATTGAGATGATCGAAGGAGAGCCGCCTTACCTCAACGAGAACCCTCTCCGTGCACTTTACCTGATTGCTAACAACGGAACACCTACTCTCCAATGTCCAGATGCACTCACTAGAGTATTCACTGACTTCCTTTCAAAGTGTCTCTCGGTCGATATTGATCGTAGACCCACAGCCGATGAGTTACTTCTTCATCCCTTCCTCAGACTTGCTGACCCACTCCCAACTCTGAAGCCTCTCATCAAGGCAGCAAGAGATGCGGCTAGACGTAGTGACTGAGTTGTATGATTTTTTCCCAAAGAAATCAAAACAAAACAAGTTGTACATGCATATTTCCAAGTATTGGGGAACTCTACAAATCAAAAAATTCAAATAAGGGTTTCACATTTCCTTCCTATCATTCCGCATTGGCTCCCTCCATCTATCTATCTATCTCACTCTCACTTCTTCTTTCCTCCTCTCCTGTGCTCATTTCTTCCCTCAACCTTTTCTCTCTCTTCCAATCTTTCTCTCTTTTTATTATTACCTTGGTGGCTTTTGTATATATATAGAGATTTAATAAAAATCATCAGTCAGTCTCACAAGGATTGTTATTACAGGGAAGTGTACTAAAACAAAATGAATGCTAAAAAAAAGAAACCATGCCAAATCCATTAAAATTATAAATGTATATGTGTTAAAATTTGGCATGAACAGACTGAAAGGTTCAAGAAACTCTGGCTGATTGGTCTTTTTCCATTTCCAATTGAATTGAAAAGAAGATCAGGCTTTTGATAGAAGAGATGGTATTATTAGTACTTAATTTTATCGAGATGCATTTGAACTTTTTTTTTGAACTTTTCAGTCTGTCCACACCAAATATGTTCAAGAATAAAAAAAAAATAAACTCCGGAACTCATGAACATTAAGCCCAAAATCAACCAACAAAATAAAATACAAATACAGACACAAAAATTAGGATACATGACCTAAGCTGAATTCATCGTGATTTCTTTATTGTTATTTTATTTTTATAATTGGTGTTATTGTAGCAGCAATAATGACACAGCATTCTACTCTTTCACTCTCAGAAGTAAACTTTTTGATTACTTTGTTCATTCATTACATTGAATACATTACTCACATTTTAAGTCTAGTTGGCCAAAGCCTTGGGTTCTGAAGGCGCATCTGCCTCTCAGGTCCAAGGTACATCGGTAAGACGTGCAATCTATTTTCAAACACTTTACACGATCTACAAGATCAAAATTCTGAATATTTATTTTTCTTTATTCTTTATATATAATAATAACTATAATATTACATGTAATAATCAATTAATTAATAAATAAATGCTATATGTATGCATGTATTGGAGTAGACAAAACCGCTCTGTGAAAACATATTTGATGTTGAAAGAGGAGATCTATATGATGTTTTGCAGAGATTACGAAGTGCCTTTTGGGCTGATTCTGTACAGAATACCGCTATCACACCCACGCCTTTAGTAAAACCTACATCCCAACCTACAGACTTAGAGAAAACATCAAAAGAAGCAAAGAAGGCTTTGGAGAATATAAAGGTGCTATCACAGACATTAGCAAGTTCACCACGAAAAAAACAAAAAACAATGCTAGTTACACCGCAACCTCACCTTCAACAACAACAACAACAACCTCAATCACAAGCACAAGCACAAGCACAAGCACAAGCACAAGCACAGCCACAGCCACAGCCACAGCCACAGCCACAGCCACAGCCACAGCCACAACTGCAACTGCAACTGCAACTGCAACTGCAACAACTGGCTCCAGCCCCAGCTCCACAACTACAACCGCGACAGCAAAAACCTGCGTTAAAGATCAAAAAACCAACGGCAGCTCTACCAAAATACGTCACCACAAAATACTCTTCATTGTGGCCTTTGAAAGCCCATATTATGCGTCAACTGAAGATGAGTCAAATGAGTAAGTGAATAGATTAGAATTTAATTTCGTTTGTAATTATAAATGATAATAAAACTAATAATAATACACGCACATATATTTATATGTAATCTATCTCCTCTCTTTATTTGTTATTTCCAGATTACAAAGAAGCAAAGGTATTGAAGGCACTGTCCGAGTATGAGCAGACACTCGGTGTGGTTCAACGGCGTCAATTGGCAGTCTATCTATTACCAGTTGCCACTGGATTCAGAAAACCTACTGTTGAAAAAGTATTACAAAAATGGTGTTGATTTCTATCTCTATCCCTATCTTTATCTCTACCTCTTGCTCTGTATTTTACACAAAAATGTGACATTCTTTTTTTTCTTCAATTGTGAAACTCAAGCTCTTTATTCACCTAACAAACCCCCAAACAGAAAGAAGAAGGTTGCTTTGTAAATTTATTGCATTTAAAGTATAGATATATATATGTGTGTGTGGGTGTATAAAGCTTATCATTAGAGTGTACAAAGATAAAGATTTGTATTAAAATATCAAAAAAAAAAATACTGACTACGATTAATTGGCGTGGTCAATATAACGAAGATACATCGGAATGAGATAAAGTGAGCCTCTATTGCAACATAATAAATTATTGTTTGTGATTTATAAAGAAATTTTTTTTTTTAAAAAAAACGAAGGCACCTCACCGGAAAAGGCTGGGAAAATATAAAAGTTGGAAAGATAGAGAGAAAGAAAAAATGTAAAGATCAAAGGAATGGCATGGTGGATTAAGTTCAAAAACAGAATCAAACCCTATTTGATTCCTAGTGATTTCAAAAAGTACGTATAGAGGTTTGTGTATTTATGGTATCCCACTGCTTTAATGCCCAGGATTCAATCTTGTACATCTCTCTTGGACATATTTATAGAAATTTACAGCTAATGATATAATGTATAAAATAGCAGAGCTGCAAATAAGTTTTTAGTAGATGTAGTTAGATATTCTACGCAGGTAATATGATGATTTTATTCATTGTTATGTTTGATATATACCTTGTTTTGATCTTTTGCAGTTTAAATATAGCGATATTCGAAATTATATGAGTGAATGTGTAAAAGAAGTATATATACTTTAACACGCAACATAGGTTAATTTGGAGCTATATGGCTGATGTGATTGTATCATATAATTTTGTAATTGAATTGAATTGTCATAAAAAAATTCTATGGGAATTTCCCCCCAAAAGACTGAGCAATAGATACTGCCATAATAAGAAGCATCTACTGATAGATCAAATTCAAGATTTTCTATATATTTTGAAACAATAATGCTAAATACTTGACCCGATATTGCAAACTTGATGCTGGTTTTCAATGTTTATATCACTTACTATTCCAGTATTATTGTAAGTCTTCTTATCATTACAAAGTGAGATACAAAACTCAGCATGGCCAATTGGTTCCTTGTACTTGTTTTTATAAAGCACGGTGTCATAAAAGAAGATGACTATCTGTAGAATTGAATTATACCTCGAGCCATTTTGAAGATAATTCGGTATGCCTCATAAAATGCACGAAAAACTTGTACAACAATTGAAATAGTCCAGGTACGCTTCGTAGCATTTTTCCTTTTCTTCTTTATTATAAATGGAGCACCAGATTCTTCAAGATAGACTAGAGGGCTGATATATCATAATATATACAGGTACCGGATTTAAAGAGCTGTAGGAAGAGGGATGATATTTAATTGCGGAAAGAAACAGAGCTTCATGTATTCTTGCTGAATTTGTTATTTCTGCTCTCTAACAAAGAGAGACGAAAATTAAAAAAACATCTTCTTTGTGTACTATATATTATATTTTTACTTTCTTGGTTCTGCTGTGAGCTTAATATAATTAAGAGATGCAGTACTATTAATTTTAGTAAAAGAAAAAGGGCAAACGCAAATAAATAAAGTTCAATATTATTTATATACTTTATTTATGTTAGAATTGGGAAATATGTCAACTTTCTGCATACGTGTTGAGGAGCCGGTTTAAACACCGAATGCCATTTGGTGCGATAAGTTTATCTACTATAGAATGCAGGCAGTCATATTTTTCCGAACCTGAAAGAATTTGGCAGGTCCGGCACAAACTCGGTGTGGACAGACTAAAAGTTCGTAAAAAAAGGTTCAAAAAAGGGTAAAATGAGCTCATCTTGAACTTGGCCAATCAGACTAATTTAGGACTGACCACACCTTTAAAAAAGTTTGAAATTAGTGGAAGTACATTTAGATAAAATTGTACTTATAATTCCTTCCCTGTCATTAAGTAAAAACCTATTTTTGCAAGTTATTCTAGATCTCACATTCTATGGCACATTGTTGCTATAAAAATTGATCTTTTTTTGCCCTTTGCCCTTTTTTTTTACCTTTTTTTTTACCTTGAAATTATCACAACTGGACACCTTTATTACACGTACTCCCTTGATAGGCAACTTCTTCAATAAGCCGGATGTCATTTATACTTGGGCTCATGTTCATACAATATTCATCCAATATTCGGCTTGAGCAACAATTTATCAATTGATTGGAACTTTTGATTACGTCAAACCCGTGAGAACTACGCATTGGATGTTTACCTCTTCGTTTTCTTTTTTTTACCAACAAAAGAAATCGTGTAGAAGGGCCGGTGAAAGACTTGGAGGAATCCTTCTTCATTTCGATGAGAGACCGCGTATAAGAACTTGTCAAGCAAACTAAAACTCAAGATAAAACAAGTGAACTGAAAAACAAGCTCCTAAATATAAAAATTCTACCTGTAGCAATAATAGCTAACGTACCACAACTTACCAAGTTGGACAGAAAAGAAATGCGCTCACATATGGAGCACCACCCTGGGATAAAAAATGTTGAAGAATGGAAGTTTGTGTCTCAAAACCTCGACAAAATAGCCGAGGCTGCCATAGGTTCGATCGTAAAAGACATAGCTAAAGAATACTCTTATGCTAATCCACCAAACAAACAGCCTCTTCAGAACGGATCTCCCTCCTATTGTAAAGACATTTGTGTGTACTAGATTACAAGATTCGATGGTTACCTCAACATACTATACCCGTTGCCTTTCGGCACTCGTAAATATGACAATCAGTGAGCTGAGGACTAGCGATTTTTTCTTTGACAACAATGATATCAAGATTAAAAAAGTTCATGGCTTCAACCTCTCAGAATTTCTGCCTTTTGTTACAGCCACCGAGCCAAAACATACTACCCAGCCGCTGGACAAGAATTTAATTGGCTCTAAGCGGTTTGATACTGACTTCAAGTGTCTCTTCACAAGCCAGAATCTGCAAGTCATGTATAGCTACTTTTTGGTGCCTGTGGTGCTAAATAAAACGTTTTAAACGCCATCCCTATGCAGAATAGTCTGTTTTGTTTTTTCAAAGAATCCGGTCTTAATAAACAGAGCTTCTGTCTTGAAAAAGGGTCATAATCGGCAATGGTGATGGCTCTTAAAAAGTACCTGGTCAACTTTGAGAATATGTGGGACGGCAAAAAAATAATCGACAAACTTTTGGACAAAGTGATACTAGTGCTACTTCGCCACAATCTTGCCCCCCCTCCCCCATAGAGAATCAAAGCGTATCTCAACCACAACAACAAGGAAACCACCTGGAAAGGAGGCTATGAGAAACCATACGCGTTATTTTTGCCGTGCAGAGGATAAAAAGCTGAAAATTTTGATACAAAAAAGGAAAAACTAGAAGAATCAGAAGGAGAAAAGTGGACAATTAAGCTAAATAGTGCGAAGCAGCGTCTAGCAAAGTTAAGCCATACTTTTAAAAATATAAAGTGGAAAAGCTCTTTATTGGCTTGAAATCGCCAACTAATGCTTCGTTTTATTATAGAAGATAAGCTAAATGCTGAATAATAGAAAGCAAGCTTCTGCGGGACACGAGCTCGTTGTTCAGGATCTAAACATCGCGGAAGAGCAACAGGATTTTTCTGGAAGAGGAAGGGACTTTGGATGATGATGTTTCAGAAAGGAGATTGAATCAACTCAAGTCCATAATCAAACACTTGGTTTTTAGCAATGATACGCCTGTATATTTAGAAGATGTCAAGCATCAGTCTCCTGAGGCCTCCACAGTTAAACAGTCAGTATGCTCGTTAATCTGCAATATGTTGAAGAAGTTCCTGCCTCCGAAAAAACAATATCGCGTAATTGCGTATCAGATCTATTTCTGTATATTCACAAACGACGTTCTTAAATATGCACGTCATACAACTTTTACTCGCGCATTATGTCCGTCAACAACATTTTCGTGATTAAGTGCACTATACCCGGATTCAGTTGCATTATATCAGTTATTGACCCAGAATCCAGATCAAAAAAATAGGAAGAACCATCATTACATACCAGCCAGCAAGAAAAGAAAGGGTATAGTAGAATGATACTCTATGGGTATAATAGGGATGAGCTGATAGGATCTCAAGACAAAGCGCTTCAAAACAAACATGCCACATTTAACGCGGTATTTGATATGGGAGATATTCAGAGAGCATGTGAATTGTATAGTCTATCTTTTGCACATCGGACAACATGTCTACCAGGAATAAAAACAATACGATTATTGGGATCTAAAATAAAAACCGATGGCACCGTAAAGAAGGGGACAAAACAGTCATATGAAGCACGAGTCTTAAGAAATCCAAGCATTACACAAGAAGGACGAAAAACAAAGAATGTTCTTTTTACTTAGCTTCGAAGCTTAACAGAAGAAGTCAAGGCACTTGAATCTGCCCGTAAAAGAGAGTTAGAGCTACTAAAAGATAGCAGCTTCCGAAAGAAAATCAAGGAATGCAAATCAAATTGAGGGAAACCAGATTACAAGGATCAGTTATACTGGGCGATTAAAAGTCATAAAGAATCGAGATATAGATCTTATATGACGGTTAACAAGACCAGAAACGAACTCGCCGAAAAAAGACACCAGCTATATTTCCGACAGATGGCAATTCGCTCCAAATCAAAGCTCCACGATGTTAAAGATGTCCCTCAAGGTAGTAGAGCCCCAATTGAGAAATGGGACAAAGATGTACCTAGGGAGGAGAACCGAACTGTTGCGAGTCCTGGTGACTTTAACTATGCGGGTACTGACAATGGCACGGTAAATATGACAACATCAATATTGATGTTGTTAAAAAGACTGAAATTTCACCTAGAGCTTTTCAACTATTACGCCGCGTTAAGCAAGGACTCCAATGAAGACAGTATCAGCTTAAATCTATCTAAAGAAGAAGAATTATTCCTACATTTGCCATCGGTTACGAGTACTAAGGCTAGGGATGATGATGTTGGCTGTGGGTATTTTCGTCAACGAAGATATTTAGAGAGACGAAAGAAGTATATGAATGCAGGAGAAAAGGTCCAGTTAATAGAAGATTGAATGAGAGAAATAGAGTCGACCCCAATCACTTCTATTGACATGGTCCTCCAAAGCTTTCGTAATAAATACGAAAAACGACGAAGACGGCGGGATTTCTACAATTCTCCAAAAATCATCAGCCAAAAAAGACTTGTAGAAATCCAACAACACCGTTATTGGCATCACCTCTGTTGGCGAGAGAGATTGGAATTGGAGAATTTAGAGAGTAATAATTTGTTACCAATATTAGTGTTGTATTCGATTTTTATTAACGCATATTATTTTGGCTCAACAGATAAGTCGTCTTCTAAAAAGCCCTTGATACTCTTCATTGGTGATCAAGGGACCGGTGCCGGTTTTCAAATCAAAGCCTTTAGAAAGTGTAGTGGTAAGTGGAAGCAGAATATACATGGGGAAGCAGTTAATATCTGCATCACAAATGAGTGCAAGACCTCCCAATCGTGTATATTATGCTTTTCGCCTTTAACCAGCCCGAGGATTCCTGGTAAGAAGGAAGGAAGTTACAAAGTCAACAAAGGCACCTTCCTTTGTATCAATCTTCGGTGCATAACTGTCAAGAATCGATGTTCAAGTAGCCCGAGAGATGCACTTTTAGCTCTCGCCATTGCACTGGTAGGGCTAGGATCAGTTATATTTGGTGCTGCGCCATCTCCTTTTTACAACGTCAGTCAAATAACTGCTGAAATTATACAGAAACTACATCTGACTTCTGTACACGAAGAGACGGCTTGGCAGCTACGCTGTAGCTTTAGAGGTAAATACCATTGCATAGTACCAATGCCTGTATGAATTTTTAATTTATTAATTATTATTACCATTTTTTGTGGTAAATAAAAGCACTCCATTTATGGCTAATTTGAATGAAGCTCAATTTGATTCCTAAGGCCATATCATTAGTTACAGCTTATCAAAACACTGTAATATACTGATAAATAGTATGTTTATTAATATTTTGTGGCTTACGCTGGTAAACACTAAAATTCATTATAACAATTGAATATGAGAGTCTATAAATACATTATATGGCTTGGAATAATGTGTAGGTTAAATAATTGTATAGATTAAAATGCTTTCAAATGCTTGCTTTAAGAATAAAAGCAAGTAGATATTCGTGTATCCATATTCTTTTAGCCTTCAGTCCTTCCGATTTGTACCGAGCTGTATGAGAATAATAATAATAGTAATAGCTGAAATGTATTTGACTGATGTGTCTTTATTTATTCATGTTACACTCAATTATACAAGCATTCTCTCTCTCTTTCTCTTCTGAACAAATAAGTTTTAGCAGCATAGTTCTTGATCTTCTTCCATAGCTCCTTGCACATATTAGGAGCTTTGATATTTTGCTTAGAATATTTTTATTCTATTTTTATGATTGTGTATATATTTTATACTATATAGCAATAAAGCATTTAACTTCTAAGCACATTTTATACTAGATAGTACACACTACACTCTGTACATTGTTTACATAGTAACATTGAGATACTGGGAAATTTTTACTTGCAAGCATTTAATTGAAATGTAATTTCAATTGCAACAAAAAATAATAAATCAATCAATAAGGGTTTTTTTAAAATATTATGGCTTGTTATTTTGTGACAATATCAAAAAGAAGCAGTCTTTTGAGCTTTTAATACCTCTCCTCCAAAGATCATTGCTTATTTGTTGTTCTTCATAAAATCCAAAGTTTTAAATTATGGTACAGTGCAGTACAGTACAATAAAAGCTATTGTATTCTATACTTTGTTCTGACGTTCAAGGGCAATTGCTTTCTCATCAGTGGCGTAAAGGCTCCTCCTCCTACTCATCATGCCTAATTCAGTCACATATAAAGCGTATGCATGACATTTAAACCTACGCTGTCTCGTTAAATCAAGAAGTAAAAAGAAGAGTATGGATATCTAGAGTAGGAGGAGGAGGAGGAGGAAGAATAGGAAGAGGAAAATTATATCAGAAGAAAAATTTAACTTTAAAGAATAGCAATCGATCCTACAAGTTAAACCCATACACCTATACATTCCTCTCTTTTTTTTCTCTAGGAAAGTATATAAAGAAATATTTATTTCTTTCTTTTCATTTTATCTATAATTTGTATCTATTATAAATGTATAACATTCAGTCAGCAGCACAATCATCTTACTCTGCAGCGCCTTCTACCATTAGAAACTATAGCTGGAAGTACAATTCCGGATCTTCATATGTGAAATTTGATGAAGGCGTCCAGGAATTTCTTGAGACATTGTTCATCAGAGGTACCAGCGGAAATGTACAACTGCCCTCCTTCGACGACAGGCCAGTCTTTGTGGATCCTAGCTCAGGCATACTAAAGTACGGCAATGAGACCTACCATATGGTCCGTTTCTAAGACTATCAAAAAATGCTCCTTCTCCGCCGATCAATAACTCATCAAACACTATCCAAAGTAACAGCAGCGGAAGCAACAAGAGCAAAAAAACAACAACAACAAAAGCAACAAAAGCAACAAAAGCACAAAAGCACAAATACTATCCAAATATTTTGGAAAAGATCCCATTATTGAGGGAGCCATTTTATTATTCAGTAACAGAAAAATACGTCTTTACACCTTAATTATTAGTTCTTACAACATATACTTATAAGTGGAATAAGTAAACCCTCAATATGCCTTTACGACTATTCAATACGTACCATTATCATTATTTTTGCTCAAAAAACCCCTACAAATATCCAAACATGCATTTCTTCTTTTCTTATTATATTTGTAATTTATAATCGTATACTGTATGCCATACTTTCTCTATTTTATATGCTCTATTCTCGCTATTCTGTATGCTCTACTCTCGCTATTCTGTATGCCTTACTTTCCCCATTCTTTATATATAGCTTTTTATCCTGTATATATGTAAATGTATGCATTTAGAAATATAATTTATTATTTATTATTTATCTTTATCTTTATCCTTGTTTCTTATTTTAATTTTCCATTTTCACAAAGCAAAAATTGTTAAATATATAAATTACTCCAATTGAACACACACACACACACGCACATATATATATATGATTAGAAAGGATTGAAAGCTTTATATATCATATTATCGTGTATGTGAATAAACGCTTTATTGTATAATACAAATCTACTCCAAGACTACGGGATAATGCTAACAAAAAATATGTCTTGGTCGTAAAAACAGCGTAAAATATTTCAATTACAGAGTCAAATGTCATTTATAGTAATATATAATAATAATAATAATAAAAATATATAACATGAGCTATTGATACGAGTCGCTTCTAATAAATAATACACTATTCACAGAGTCATTGTACATTTTTCCGATTATAAGATGTTGTTCTATCATATTTGTATTAGAAAACACATCTTACTATTATTCTTATTCTTATACATTAATTGTTCTGACAGAATGACATTTGACTAATGAGATCATGTGGCAGCAATAGGGATGAATGATGTTGTTCTGGCATAATAAGTCCCATCTCTCTCTCTCTCTCTTAGACAGAATATTAAGAAGGTGTTGACAAAAACATAATCATACATATTATTATTAAGTATTAAAAAATGGCTTGGAAATCAATAAAAATTTAAAGTTTGAGAAGCCATATTATTATCAGTTATATTATAAGTGATACACAAATGTTTTAATCTATAGTTTATTTGCTTGATTTTTAAAAAAGGAGACCAATGACACCATGCAGACTAAAGTTAAAGCCAAATAACTTTACAAGAATACAGTGGTCTTGTAGACTTCAGTTTTTTTGTTCGGGTAAGTGTCTGATGAGAAAATGGCGAGAATTCAGAGTCTAGAGTTTGAGTCCAACTAAAAACTTTTGGAATCTTTTGGACAGTTGTGCGCTCAATATGTTATTTCACCTCACAACTCCGAAACAAACGCGGTAGAGAGAGCAAAGCCATGAAAAGAAAGGAAATTACAAACGAACCGGTTTAACCAATTGTAAAACAAATTTTTGTTTTCTTCTTCTTCTCAGGATTCATAATAGTATTGGTATCAATAGAAGGATAAGAGGCTGTAATTTTGACAAGCATATTGCTATAAATTTATCAACTGTATATATCTATATGAAGAAATAAGAAAAAAATGTAAAGATAACTTAATTAACACCCATCTCTGAGATTAAAACAAGTAAGACCACTAGTTTTCCTTCTTTTATTTTAGATATACATAAAACTATGGCTTCTACACAAGTAACCAAGAAGATACTACAGACCTACGCTTATATACATTTATATATATAGTAGGTATTTGTTGACATTCTAAAGAATACAAAAGGCAAAATACAAATTGATGGTACATTTGTACTCTTGAATATATTACCATATTTATACAAATAATATTAATGGAGATTTTGAAGTAATTATTAGATAATACAATAACCCATATCTCAGACAATTAACAATCCTGTATTTTTTTTAAAAAAAAAAAAAAAGAAAAAAAAAACCAAATTCATACATATATATAAATATATATGTAAATATGTATGAATGATCTAGACTTGTCTAATATTACAAGACCTGTAAAACGCATCTTTATTGGGATTTTTTCACATGTCTATTATATACATCTCTGAACTTTGGTCTTTCTACATAATTATTTTTTTATAATCTTCTTTTGTACATGAAAATAAATAAATTAGTAGACAATTGATGAATATAATGGATAACTGAAGGTCATTCATAGGACCATATCAATCTTACTCTCTAGTTTGTGTGTGTAAGAGAAAGTGTACATTTTCAAGTATGTATCAAGTATAGCGAATCAAAGTAAAACACAAAACACAAAACACAAAACACAAAATAAAAATAAAAATAAAACCGGTGTGCCGTTTGTTCCGAGAAATGGTATTAGAAAGGTAGGAATGGTATTTATACATATATATATATATATATATATTAAAAAAAGTGAAATAAAAACATAAAGTCTATTAAGTGGTTTTTGATGATCCCCACAGCATGTTCTTAACTGACTGCCGCTTTGATTTTATGCTTGCAGACCTTGAACGCTCTAGTCTTGTTGGAGGATGAAGAGGATCATTGCTATGGCTACTATTGGACTGTGGTACTGGAGGAAGTGGAGGAAGGGGTTGTTGTGCGTGAGAGATGGAGTGGAGTGAGTTTCCACGGTGGAGTGAAGGTGGAACAGGGAACTCTGAGTGGATCGAGAACTGATCAGAATCATGAGGGAAATCAAGGTGGGCATCATAGAACGATTGACTTTTCTTGTTTTCTATTGTTTGAAATGAAGGCTGCTGTTGTTGTTGGTGTGGTGCTGATGATGATGATGATGATGATGTTGTGGTTGTGTTTGTTGTTTTCGGAGGAGGAGGAGGACCTGTTTCCGATTCTCGAGGAAAAAGGGAATTTTCGGAAATTCCGAGAGTACCGGATTCTACATTGGCCAAGAGAGTGTGGGGTGCAATTGAAGGGTATTCGAATGAATCTATATCACTTTGGCCATATATTCCCGGCGAAAGCAAAGGGGAAGACATGATTCCAGTTGGCTTGGCGTCTGTTGGAAGACTTGAGATAGTCGAGGCAAGGTACGGATGTCGGGAGTGAACATCGTACGCACGGTCCTGGTGAAAGTGAGGATCAAGAAGACTGGCCGATATTGCGGCCGAGGAAGGTACTCCAGACTCAATTGCATATTCTCCATAGCTATTGTCAAATGCTTGCTGCTGATTTTGCTGTTGTTGCTGTTGCTGTTGTTGTTGTGTAGAACGATCGTTTTGGCTGATCGACTGTTTGGAAGTAGGGTGTAGATAGTGTGTTTGATTAGCACGTCGGTTCAATTCCACTGTCCACTCGCGTTGCTTCCGTCGTGCTTCCTCGAAAATGGCAAACCAATTGACTGGCACTTCTACACGTAAATAACGGGTCCACAAATGTACAGGCGGATTTCCGGCTTCATCAAATGCATTGTAAGCATCGAAATCACCAGGGAGATACCTTTTTTTTTAAGAAGAAATATTAGATTTAGCCTATCGCATTTATTTTCTTTTCATTCGATATTGTTAAAAGTTCAATTGACAAAAATCATGTGTATTTTGCTTGCCTTGCTTCTGACCACCGCATTGGGGTTGCATCCATGCCTTTTTTTTAATAAAAAAAATCAATTCGATTCAATTTGATTCAGTTCGATTCAGTTCGATTCAGTTCGATTCAATTCAGTTTAATTCAATCACCCAACTAACAAATAATATTATCATGTAATAATAAAATACTACTACTACTAATAAACAGCTTGTACTTACGGAGAACTGAGAAGCAACAAAGGTCATCGTTCCAACCTAGATTTCAGTAACAAAGAATATATAGATAAATACATAGTCAAATAGTATTTTAATAAAGAAAAGAAAAGAAAAGAAAAGAAAGAAAAAAAAAAAAAAAAGGGGGGGGGGGGGGACCTACCCTCAAAGAGTGTGACTGATACTTGGTTAATCTTTAGGATATAAAGAGAGCCTTGTTTCAGCTCATCATGTTCGAGGGATTCCAAAGGACCATCAAAGATAGATTGACCAGCATTCTTCTTATCGGCTTGGGATGAGTTTGCCGAGGGATGCCAACGGGCAAGTTTCTGAAGTGCGCTGGCGTTACTATTTCCTCCGCGCGATTTTCCTTCCAACATTTGTATGGGTGATCTAAATGAGCTTGCAATAAATAAGAAAGGAAAAAGAAGAACAACGAGTTTAAAATACAAGTATTTAAATAATTATATATGTGTATATCTATATAAATATACACTTTAGTTTATCAGCATCAAATTTGAGTATCAGACTCAAAAAATACCTATTTACCAATGGCCCAACTGAGAAATCCTGAACCAGGAAAAAAAAAATTTAGATGAGACGGAGTGAAAAAAACACAGTCTGCCCATACCAATTAATCTGTTTAAGAAATCCGTGCAACTTGGCCAACATACACACATACATACCTATGGACTTGACGTATCATATTCGCTTTCTCAGACCAACTTATGAATCTTTCACACCATTTTTTTTCTCTCTTAAAGATTCATAGTTAAAATGAACCTATATCACAATTTTATATCAAATTATCCGTCAATATTTAACATTATTCTGGTGTATAGATAATACAGTAGCACCGATTAAAAAAAAATGGTTGAACACTTTATAATCAAGAACTTTTTACATAACTGTAAGAATCAACAAATTTGTTCAGTATAGCATGGATCCAGTGGTTTGTACCTCCAAAGTGCATACCACACCAGCTGTGTCTACCTAACCGAATATAATGCACACATACTTTCTCTATTTCTATCTCTTGATTTTTTTTCGTGTTTTTTTTTATTATTATTTTATTTATAAAAGAAAATAATATATATATATAAAACCGAAACATTGGAGGGAGGAAAGGATGCGATAAAAGAAAAAGAACAAAACGAAAAGAAAGGGAAGGAAGGAATGAGTGATATTTGGTAAGATGTTAAAAGAAAATAAAATAAAAAGTAAATTGATCAAGATTTGTTGTATGTACATAAAACGAGGTTCTCCAACAAGGCAAAAAAAAAGGGATAAGAAAACACTAAAGAAAAAGAAAGGAAAAATAGTAATAGTAATGGTAGTAATAGTAGTAGTAATAATAGTAATAGTAATAATAATTGTAGTAGTAGTAGTAGTAGTAGTAGTAGTAGTAGTAGTAGTATAGAAACAAGTTTTTTTCTGAGGTCCAAATTCCTCTTATGCAAGATGTGTATGATGATAGAAAAGAATAGCAGTAATAAGAGAAAGAGGGAAAGAAAACAACAAGTAGCTTCAACGAAAGAGAGATAAATAAAGAACAAAAAAAAAGACTTTTATCTTGGTCGTTGCCATAGCCTTCTCAAGCCATTTGGATCATTTGTTAGGCTTCTTCGTTTGCCTTTAGGACCATGTTTTTGAGGAATTTTTGAAGAACGTGGCGCATGCGCTGAGGAGTCATTTTGGGCGAGTATTTGTGCATGCGATACTCCAGACACCGACTGATGATATCCTTTGACACAAACGATCGCTGAGACTGTTGGTCTGGTCTATTATCATCCTGCTGAATATGGTCTCCGAACCGTCTCTTTTTGGGCAACACAACCGAGGTGGCAGGACGACTGTAGTAAAACGAAGGCGACATCCAATTTGCGTGCGAGTTCTTTTGTGTAGATGCCGAGTACCACGATGGTGACATCGACATGCTGGGCAGAATCGTATTGGTAAATGAAGGCTGGTAAAGTGGCGGTGGCGGTGGCGGCAGGTGCGGTTGGCGGGTCGAGATAGACATTGAGGTCGTCGATCGATCGTCGTCTTGGTTACCAGACTCACCTGGTGGGGACGACGGTTGAGGAGATGATGGTGTGGATCCCGATACCGATGCCGAGGATGATGCAGCCAGATGAAGATAGTTGTTTCGCATGGCAAACTCTGGTGGTATGATGTCCAAAGTGACCGCATTCGTCTCGTGGAGGTTCTGGATGGCCTGAAGTATCTCTGGTACGTACACATACTCTAGAAAACATCTGTTCTTGAAGATCTTCTTTTCTTGCATGCGCTGGATAATCTTCTGCCAAAAGTTGGTGCGTGTGCTCCAATAGGGCCAGCCATACTGCATTAGCACAATCATATTTCCTGCTTTCTCATCCCATCGCATTGCAGAATCAATCGATGCCATTCCGCCCTTTTGTCCGGATTCGCTATCCAGACTGACAATCAAGTGTTTGATGCACCGAACCATCAAACCTTCTTGGGTTACTCTCATCATACCAAACTCGTGGCCCTGGAAGATCGTGGCAGCGGTGTAGCAGTCCTTTTCATCCGCAATAAAATCGTTTTCATCAAGTCCATTCGGTGTAGGGAATACAGAAAGAATAATCGCAATCTCCAATGTCGATTGCTATAATTAATATTTAACACGCAAACACAAAACATTTATAAGTGAGTAAATTAATACCAATATATATATATATATATATATATATATATGTATCTTACCTGTAGGCTACCAACCAGCAGATAGATCACTCCAATATTATAGAGTACTCGAAAGGCAAACATAAACGGAATCTCAAACTCAAGTTCGCTTGCACTATCTTTCTTCTCTCGTCTTCTCTGAAGCTCAATACGATCACAGATCGTCTGGGACAATTTAAGCGCCTTTGCTAGGTTTCCAGGAACCGAAGGCTTTTAAAAAAAAATTAGAATAAAAATTCAACCCCGGTCATTATAGATATATAAATACATATGCTTACTGATGAAAGGGCAAGATCGCTTCTGACTAACAAGACAGCATTGTGGATATCAAATGGCAGTTTATAGGTATCAATAGACTTGCAAAATTCTATGCAATTTATAAAAAGATAAATCTTGGTTAGCCTTGATATTCCGAATACTACTACTTATATATTGGGCTGTATCAAACAAGCAAAAAATAATAATATTTAATTTACCTTGTTCCCAGCTGCCATAAATGTTTGCCCAGTTTGTGTTAGGTGCCGCAACATTAGCCCACTCCCAGAGATCGACAATGTGTCGCAGGCAGTCGGCAGCTTTACTTAAGATCTGAAGTGCTTCGTCCACACCACGCATACAGTAGGAATCCAGTCCTTCTCCGCGTTCTAAATTAACTCCCGCTGCTGTTGATGTTGCTGGCTCCATTCTAGCCTTTTTTCGTTTGCTACTGTCGTTTTCACTATTCCCATTTTCGTCTTGTATTCGACTTTTGTCAATAGAGTTGGCTGTTTCGGTAGAGTGAGCATCTCCTCCCATTAACGTATTGACAGGCTTTGATTTTTTGGGTCTTTCTTCTCCCCTGTTACTGTCATCCATACCATCATTACCATCGTCGTCATCGTTACCGTCGTCATCGCCATCATCATTATCACAATTAACACCAGTATCATTCTTGTTGTTGCTATTGTTTTCTTTATATTCATTTGTCAAGAGTGTCCGATGAGGTGCAAGTGAGGGCTGTATAGCACACACAGGAATCAAACACGTCTTTTCGTCTTTGTTGGGCGCATTGTCATCCAGACCACACACTGCTCTGTAGTACTCGTGGCTAAATTCGACAAACTGGGCCGCCACTGCCATAAACTCACACATGAATGCCACTGCCACATGAAGCTCTTCGTGGTAGTGTGTGCCATCAGACGGAGGTGAATCAGACTCGCTGTCTTCGAGATCGAGTCTGATATATGATCGTTGGTTTTTGAGATATTGGAATCTGTTGACATGAGATTGAAAGCATAATCTACCAAGACGAGCATATCTAATAGTGATAATAAGATAAGATAAAATAAAAGAAGATAAATAAAGTTAATATACATACACAAGCACAAACACAGATATTCCCTCTCGTCCTTTTTATTTTGTCCCTGATTTTCCTTTTCTTCAGTACTTTACCCGCTACAGTCCAACATCGCACAAGTGAATTTTGTCAATTCTTCCCATTCACGTTGTTCAATATAATATTGCTGGCCAACCAGCATGTACTGTTCGAATAATTTGTAGGATATGACGATGTAGTGTTTGCTGTCTGTAGATTTTATGGACGGCTGCTTATCTCCTCTTGCCAGCATCACGCGTTGTTTCCATAATCGAGGTAACAGTTCGGTAACTATTGATATTAAGATTAAGATTAAGATTATTAGTATTGGTATTAATATTAATATTAGCGTTATAAATATAAATAAATAGTGCCAATTAAGCCCTATTAAACTTAATACAAATAAGATTGCACAAATAGTATACTATACAATAAAATAAAATAAAATAAAATAAAATAAAATAAAATAAAATTGCTTACCTAATAATTTGATGCATTTCTTGCTGGCATCTGGTTTCATGGCCTGAGCACACAAAATTAGTAATTTAATGGAGCGTATCTAAAATAAATAAATAAACACACGCCAAAAAGAAAGAAAGTGGCACAATTGGTTAATTTTATATCCGGATTCACATTACAGTAATTAGCAGAAGAAATATATTATATATATATATATATATCTTTTTACCAAGTATTTATACGCGTGTCGTGGGTATGCTTGAATATAATCAAATAAGACGTGGAATGCACGAAAGGTATCGGCTTCTTCAAGATAGCCTATAACCACCACACAATAATAATAATAATAATAATTACTATTACTTTTACTTCTTCTTTTTTTTTCTCTATTTTTTTTTACTTTACCTGTTGCGCTTTCTACTATGGTTGACTGGATCAGTGCAGGAAGAGAAGCAAAGAAGCCTAATGATGTATCAATTATCAAAGAGAAAACAAAATCAAAAATACTGGATTTTTAGATAAAGAAAACATCTTTGCTTGAAGAAGAGCAGCAAAAAAGAAAGAAAGAAGATAAAGAAGAAGGAGAAGAAACGAACCTCTTTCTCTTTCTTTCTTTTTTTGTTAATTCATTAATTCATTAAGTAGATATATAGATAATACTATGATACATATCTCTCTCTCTTTTTTTTTGTTCATGCTTTGATACTTACGGGTCATGTGGGTATCTTTGGAAGGGTCAATATGGTCTGCAATAGTAAGAACGTATTTCTGGAATACGGGATTATCTGAGCTGTTGGTTTGCCTGCGAGACAAATTTATGTCAGAAATAATATGTTGCTTCTTTTTATATATTTATATATGTATAAGCCATAAGAACAAATATACTTACAGCATAACAAACGATTGTATAGCTTTTTCAAAGTTGCTTTCTTTTACAGCTGCCTGATGACTTAGGAACTACAAAAAAATGAAAAGAAATGAAGGGTCAAATTAACTACACCAACTAAAACATGTATACAAAGAAAAGTAAGGTCTCGGAACTACTTTCTTACTTCAGTCTCAAAGTCATATGTCGATGATGTGTAGGTCCGGGATTCATCGTTTCTTTGTCCAGAAGTCGTGGCAGGACGGCTAATAGACGTGTCTTTAGGTCCTTTTTCTGCCTGACCGTCAGATGAATCAGGGGCATGGGACATGGCAGCAAAAAGAGGAGTGGAAGGGTGTGTATGTGTGTTCAAGAAAAAGTACCAAAAAAAAAGAGACAGCAGATAAAAGCTGTCCCACGCATGTGTCGATTTGAGCGCTGAGCAACAAAAAAAAAAAAGAAAGAGAAAACTAAACAACGCTTGTTAACCGAGGCTTGCTTACCTAAAAGATTTCAAGGTCCGGATAAAATTCCCAAAGAAAGAGGAGAGCACCAGAAAAAAAAAAGATAGCCTTGCAAAAAAAACAAAATATGGAAAAAAATGGAAAAATAAAAAAAAAAGCCAATCGAATGTCTTTCACAACTATGTAGGGGATTCAATTATAATCGCAAATATGTCGTTTACTGAAATATATTTTTTATTACGATTTTATTTATCTTGGATATTAAGTCTATTTAATAAAATAAAATAAAAAGTCAGGTTGAATCAGTCTTTTATACTTTAGATACTTCAACCTTCCTTTACTTGTATAAAGGAGAGACAACTCAAATAAAAATCCGAAAATAGAGGGAGAATAAGGAATATTAAATGCCTTTTGCCTTGAGAAGCAAGAATGATATCCGGTTGGTATTTAAAAATAAGTGCGAGGAAAATACAATGGCAATATTATTAGAGAAAAAGAAAGTTTAAGAAGAATGGCAATACTGCCTTTCTTTTTTACTTGCTAACAAGCACCAAAGCAATGACAAGCTGTCTAGATTAGTATAGGAATTTACTAGGCCAGGCATTTCATTTACTACAAATCTTTATTTTTGTTTTATTTTAAAAGAAAAAGAAAACGTAGATTCTAGAAGTGCATTTAATTTACTTTTAAAAAAACACAAATTCACATTTTTTACGCTATATTTATATTTGATTTCAATGTCCATCGGATCCAAAAGCAAAACGCCAAAAGAGGAAACCTAGAATATTCTTCTTTGCTGTACACACACACATGGGGCCATCATTACACGAACAAGGCATCTATTTGCCTTGATTTATTCATTTGTTTACTTTGTACGAATAGGAAAGACGGAAAGAGATAAAGAGAGGGAGGAAAAAGAAGAAGAAGAAAAAAATGTAGATCAGAAAGCCGGGATTGATTGGTTGTCTAATATTCTTTCTGTGTATCCAGTCCATTAATACACATACAGCTTACCTAAGCTACTCTCTTTCCTCGGACCACTGTCAAAAGGTACAAATCCAATAAAATGTAGTACAGCTAAATCCAATATACACACACACACACTTATTCACATTACTCGCCATTAATCAATATTAATATATATATATATATATACAAGTCAACAAACATTGAAAAAGATCATAGGAGTAAGAGTAAATATAATTCATCTCTTCGTCTCACTTATTTATACACTTTGTTAAGATCAACTTTTGTATCTATAAAACGACACTCCAATATATGTATATGTATATGGCCTTTATATCAAAAAGGCATTATTGTTACTATTATTTTAATCTGTCGATGCCTCTGTCGGAGATCGTGTTCCACGCTTTCGACTCTTGACCTGAACAGGTCCTTCGCTAGAATCCAGCAACGGACTAGAGCTTGTGATCCCACTCGACAAACCCGTGGACTCTGGCACAGAAGAGTTTACAAGCAATGGTGCTGCCTCTTCATTGTCGTTAGCTTGCCTATCTACTCCTCCCCCTCTTTCTCTTTGGGTATCCAAGGTAAATGGAAGTTGTTGTTGGTTTGGTGTTCCTTCAAGACACCCAGGGCAGCCTTCCAGAATAACTCCAATTCTATCTGATCTAGATCGTTTTCGCAGTAAGCCGTGTTTGGCTCCTAGCAACAGAACGTAGCCCACATAAGCCGACCAGAGCCACAAAATACTCTCGAAAAAGTAAGGCCAGAAACCACCGTAGAAAGCTGCAAGCGCCGCAAGTTCGGATATCCGCCACAACAGATAGACGATCTCGAAACCCTTGAACCAGGCCCGTTCATAAAGCTGCTGAGAGCGGTGGCCATCGTTACTGTTGCTATTGGGGTTACTGCGACAATAAAGATCACAGGAATCAACTGTACGCCAGGCAAACAGGAGAACAAAGACAGCAATGTCGTCGCAAAAGTGCATGGTGGCATACATCCAGGTGTCGGAGAGCGGAATCCATTGTTGATTGAGAACAAGTCCCCACATGTAAAAAGTTCCCAGTCGTTCGTCGGCCGTCTCTCCGGTGGGGATAAACTCTGCCCTGAACCAAGGCAAGCACACCAGGCTAAGGATTGTAATCCAACACATAAACCAGCTCAGGAAGTCAACCTGGGGGAGTCGTACGAAGCGCAAGTACCACAAGAGACACTGTCTGTAGAGACCTTGATAAGGACTCTGGTCTACCTGGTCCAGTTTGTGGATTTCGACCAAGATCTGGTCTCCTTTAGACGGGTAGATATCTGCCCACACTTTTGGCACCAGCAGCAAGGTCAGTAAGCCAACTACGGCCAGGATCGAAAGTCCTCGCAGGGTGGTCGCGAGCTGGCCCTTCATGACCAATTTGCCAAAAATGCCTGACTTGATGTAGAGGCGCGAATGATCAACTCGGAACAATACCTCGGATTGGCCTACTTGTCCATCTGGTGCTGTGACCTGAACAACCAGGTTGTGGGTCTGAAAGTCATTAAAGTCGTTGGCTTCCCAAGAAGACACCCAGAGCGGCAACGACGAGTTTCCGACAAACAAGGCCGGGAATGGGTGGCGGTTTCCGTCGACAGACAGCCGGACTTTGAGCTCATCCGGGCTGTATTCAGAGAAGATGAGCATTCGGATATGGGTACTTGTGCCAATTCGAGCAATTGGTTCTTTGTGGGCTAATGTAAACTGGGCGTCTTTTGGATTGGTGATCAAGATGACCGGCGCAGGTTTGATAGGCGGATCGGGCCACTCCAGTTCCGGCGAGGGTTCAAAGGCTCCTATTTGCGCCAATGGTAGGTCAACGTCCACAAATGAAACCAAATCGTGGTCGACGGCGACAATTCGGTATGCGCCATGGTCCTTGAGGTCTCCAACCTCGAGCTCAAGTGTGTCGGATGTTGGATCATAAGATTTCAATACATCGCCTAGACCTTTTTATGATTGCAGATAAATAGATATACCAGAAAAAAAATGAAAAAAGAAAAAGTATATATATATGTGTGCGTGTGTGCGTGTGTGCATGTGTGCATGTGTTTGTGAGCTTTGAATATCTATGGGGTCATTTTTTGATGCTACTGTTATTGCTGTTTCATTACCAGCAACAAGACGATGAAGATGGCCACAAAAGTAGACACTAATATGCTGGGCAATGTCGTGGTAAGTGTGGCCAGTTGAAGAAGTACCGAAGAGTACAGTTGTGGTAGGATAATGCACAAACTACCAAAAACAGACAGACAAAAGAAAGAAAGCATAATTATGTATTAGTAACAGATAATACTAAACTAGATTAATAGATGAACACAAAATCAAAAGTAAGTTGCAATAGCAAGGTTAGTTAATAATGACAATTACAAGAAAAGTGTGGTTGTATGATCCTTCCAAGACTTCTGCCTCTAGTCGATCCATAGTGGTTGAAGGCATGTAACCGAAAAAGTTGAAAGGTCGAGCTGGACCCTTTTTGGGACTAATGAATTATAACATATACGCACACATATATACGTATATTATTTGTTAAATGAATCAATTAGCTATTAACATATATATATATATAGATATTCTTTACGGCTTACCACACATCAGCAGCAATAAATTTGTATTGTCCAAAAGTCTTATTGGCGCTCCAGCTGTAAACTCCCTGGCCTTGTTCTACAAGTGAGGCACTCTTTCCGTATTTGCGATAGAGGTTTTGATCGGAGGACCAGGAAGCCATGTTGAAGCAATCGTGGTTTCCTCGCAAATCATACCACGGTGTGTCTGATCCTCTTTCTTTTACAGCTTTTTCGTAAATTTCCCACTCTTCGGCTGATTGATAAGAATTCACTCCTCCGGGATCTTTTGCATCTGTTAAATCACCCGTAACAACCACAAACTCTGGTCTATATATATGTATATGTAATAATAATAAAAAGGGACATTATGCTTAGTAACTAATTTACTAAAAAGTTGAAAATAAATAGATAGAAGGAGACATGGTAATAAATAGTGTATATATATTTGGTGTGGAAGTAAACAATACTTGATGGTTGGAAGCGATGACTGGAGAAAGTGTAAAAAGTTTTGAGTATGGCCTTTTGTCTTGAATCGAGAAATGTGTATGTCAGAAACCTGAAACCAAAAAAAAAAAGAAAGTTTTAGATTACGCGACATTTTTTTTGTATATCTATATCTGTCTGTATTTTATTGAAACTTGCTTGGATAAAATAGAATATATTAGAGGGTTTGGCTCCAATGACTAGTGGATCGTAAATTTTTTTTCTCGCATTTAAGAGGTCGAGATCATTGTTGTCTAAATGACTTTTGGATGGACGAAGACTTTTGGTTGAATCACGATACAGATTACATGCTCGTATAAATGCGATGAATGTAATGACAAGACAAAAGAGTGTTGATGGTGATATTCGTTTATTCCACACCATAAGTGTAAGCAGGGAAGTCTATATGCGTATATAAAATACAAAGAAAAATGTTTATAGGAACAAAGAAAACCAATACCTATAAAAAAAAGGGTATTTTATTACTATGGTTACTGAAATAAAACTATTACTACTACTATTATTATTATAATTTATTTTAGAAAATTGATTTCATCATTGCCAATTGAGATTCAACTCTATAATGCCTCTTTTTTCTTATCTAAAATAGTTCGATTGTCTAATATCTCTATAGTATATATAAGCGCTTAAATTATCTTTGCTTTCTTATCACTCTTGTATTTATAGCATTTATAAAGTAGAAGAAGAATTCAAATATTGTAAGGCCAAAAGCCTGAATCTTAACACCTATACACACGTATTTATATAGAAAAGTTCTTTTTTTTTTCTCTCTCTTTATTTTTGGTCTGTTTGTTTGTTTGTTTATTTGGATCTACTCTGTATCACTTCTTTACGGACAGTTATTTCTCTTCTTCTCCTGAATAATTAAAGGAACAAAGGAACAAAGGAACAAAAGGAAAAAAAAATAGCACGATGCTTTGTAATAAGAGGATTCCTCACATGTACACAGTTAGAGTGTCTAGAATGTATATATATATATATATATACACGTCTTTTATATTTTAATGCTGTATATAAAAAAGAGTATTTACTGTATAGTCTAAGACAAAATGCATTTATGGGTTGATGTATGTGTGTAGGTTATGTAGGTGGATGAAGTGAATAAGCATGTAAATAAAGTAAAAATAGTAAGTTAATGTAAAAATAAATAAATAAATAGAATAGAATAAAAGAAAGTAAAGGAATATTATATGTACAAAAGAGTTGGATTTTGTGTAAAGTGCCTCATTACTTTGTGGGAGTTATATAAAGTTGGCTCTGTATTCTAATTCACTCACGCATCTATACACCCATACACGCACTCGATCACGCACTCGATCACTCAACTTCCTCACACGCATACACACACCAACTAAGGATGTAAAGTGAAAAGGGAGTGTCTGTTTTTTTTTTGGTTTTTGGAGGAAGGGGAATAATTCCCCTTAGTCTGTCCATGATATCCGGGGTGACATTTGGCCATCAAAAGAAAAATCTTGAGTTGATGCTGTACCGTCAGTATCAACCAGGCTAGGTGGAATGGATAAAGTATCATAGTTGCTGCTGTTATTGTTGATTGTGCTGTTGATGTTGATGTTGATATTGCTGCTATTGCTGCTGCTGCTATTGGTGTTGTTGATGTTACTGTTGTTGTTGTTGTTGTTTTCTTGGAGAGATTTAAAAAATCCCAAGACATGGTTACGTGTCATGGGTAAGGATGATGTGTCATGATGTGTTCCTGGTAAATAGGCCATTCCACGATCAGTTGTCTTCCACCATCGTACCCGCCGAGTCCTCAGCCCGCCGCAATCACCATCACCACTGTCACTGGTGTCCGGATTGTCGGTAGACTGCATGTACCAAATTTCTACCTGGACATCAAATGAATCCTTGTGTTTCAAAGTGCGCTCCTCAAAGAGGTTGTGCTGCATTAGATTCTTATCAAATCGAACGTCCATCTTTGAAAACCCTTTCTTGTGTACTGCATCCAGGTCTGCGGAGGTTTTGGGCTCAAGTTGGAGCCATCGCCCGTCTCGGTTGTACTCGATTTCGTATATAATCTTATGTGGCTGGATCAAACGCTTCAGTCTGTATTGAACATTTTCTAGTTTTGCCAGGTAACGATCTGAAACGAGATTCTTAGCGGGTGGTTCCTGAACTGAATCGGTAACTAGTTTTGATCGTGCTTTTGACAGTTTTCTAGATAACCAGCGGTTACAAGGATGCTGTGCGTGTGATTCTGTATTCGATAATGATGATGAGGTTGTTGGTGACGCTGATGAGATTTTTGCTGGCGTTGTTGGTTCTGTGGGTGTGTATATGTGGTAGGGCTCGATGACAAGTGAGGATAGATTGAGTGCCCGCATGCTGTGAGGGACACAGCGGGAGGTAGGCAGGTTGATTTTGAAAGAGGGGGTGTCTGTCTTTTCGGCTGGTTCGTCAAAGGGATCGTTGGAGTTTTGTAGAGAGTTGGCTGAGGAGTTATTGGGACAACTGGCCGACTTTTTGAGTTTCGAAATCGCCTTGAATAGCATAATTTCTTATGGATGGGGTGTACGAAAGGAAAAAGGAATATAAAGCAAAAGAAAGCAAGAAAAGGGTGATTTGAGATATAAAGGATATCTAATTATAAATATGTATATAAATATATATATATATATGTATAAATCTTTCTAATTATATATAAATATAAATATAGATATAGATATAGGTAACTAGGCAACTAGGTAACTAGGTAACTAGGCAACTAGGTAACTAGGTAACTAGGCAACTAGGTAACTAGGTAACTAGGTAACTAAATATTTGGCTGATTTGATATTTATTTATTTATACTAGTCGAGTAGATTCTTCACCGGAAACTTTTTTTTGAGTTTTCATGGCCTCCGTTTTGATCTCTTGGTCTGCGTGGTGAGGATTTTTTTTTGGGCTTGTGACAATCGGTAATAAAAACCCCAAAAAGATTTCTCTCTGTGTTTGTGTGTGTATATTTGAGTGCGTAGGTTTGTATATGATTATGTGTATATATGTATATATGTATATATTGTGCGTGTGTGCCGGTAGTGTGTTTATGTGGTAAAACCTGTAAAATTGTTTATTGTTTGTTTTTGAAAAATAAAAACAAGAATATTTATATATGAATATATGTATAGAAATGACAGTCTTTATATTTACACATATACACACATACACACACACACAAATATACGCATGTCATCACAACTTCTTCTTCTTTTGTGTTGATAGGGGTGTATGGAAGATGTTAACGATATATATATATATATGTTTGTGTACTTATATCAAAAGTGAGCAATAATAATAATAATAATAATAATAAAAACGGGGTGGTTTTGAGAATAGTTTCATAGTAAAAGAAAAAAAAACCAAGGCGCCTGCCATTTGTGTAAATGACTACAATACGTTGCAGGAGTATTGAGACCAGCTGTTTATTTGATCCGGCATTTGGTGTATAGTGTATAGTGTATCATCCCTGACCACAACCACGTTTTCAGACACTATCTAACCTTTTTACCCTCCTTTTATTATCAGTATCATTATTATTGTTGTTAGTCCCCTCACCATTAATATATTCTTTTTAAATAAAGGGTTGATAAAATTACAAGTCAATAAAAGTAAGATAGTAGACATTAATTTTTTCTTTCTTTTCCTTTGGCTTGGTTTGGCTTATTGCTATTGATATTGCTATTGCAGCTACTATTACTGTTATTATTAACAATTACCTAACCTTAAGATTTCCGTTGTCATGGAAACAATTCTATGTTACAGTATGATGTCATGTCTGAAAAGTCAAAACATATAAAAGTAAAAAAAAAACAGAAAAGAGAAAAAAAAAGCAAGAAGCACTCTCTTATTTAAGGACAAGCTTAATACGCCATATCCCATGACACTACATACTAGTCAGCGAAAAAAAATCCCCTCAAGCTTATGATGCTTGTGCATAGTTATTAAATGAACCATCTAAAATACGAAACTTTCTCTCTTTTTCTATTCAAAACCATTAAGGATTCAGATTCAAGCCAAGCTGAGCCTTTTTAGCTTCACAATTGATATATATATATATATATATATATATCTTCGTTTTCTAAAAACAAAAATCATTTCTTATTTTCTACAGAATATAATATCATATTGCTTTTAAGTATGTGTATGTGTTGATGGATTAAGGTTTATTAGAGCATAGATATAAAATTATAGCCAACTTCTCTTCTTTTTGTAGATAATTTAAACAATTTCTAGAAACTTTTCTTCTATGTAAGCCCAGTGTGTAACATTTTTCAATTTTTTTTTAAAAATAAATAAACTTTGTCCAAAGAGTAAAAGAAAAAAAAAGAAAGAAAAAAGAAGAAGAAAAGGCTTGGCGTATCACAATTTCTTTCTATATGCGTGTGTGTGTAATTTATGCATTTCACCACCACCAGCTCTTTACCTCTTTCTTTAATTTCACTTTTTTAAAGGAAATATATATTCAAATAAACCAAAGCCGGATAGCCTAGTTTATTTATGAGAGCTGGTCTAGAAATGGGTTACTAGTATAGAGAATGAGAGGTATGTATCTCACTTGGAAATAAATGATCTTAAAATTACAACAAACGCAATTTATATCAAACCACATAAATTAATGAAGATTGCCAAAAACTAAATCAGATAATTTCTTGTATTGTTTATTGGAAAGTAAAGACACAAAATCAGATAAAAGAGAAACTAGAAAAGTCTATAACACAAAAAGAACATTAGTGGTACAGGGATTATGAAAAATTAAAAAAATTAATGAAGAAGATCTCTTTATGTATGTATACGAGAAAGGAATGCCAGTGCGTGCTGTAGCCCTGTAAGTAAATATCGGACCACGTATAGCCAAATGTTTGGTTCAAAAAGATACATGTATATCAATAATGAGCCGACAATATCAGGCTGTAAAGAATATGGGAGAGTGGTAACCCTCCATGACCTCTACCAAGCTACAAACTAGAGCGAAGAATGCTATTGACTACTATTTTAACTTTCTCTCGTGTATAGTTGGTAACATAGAGAAACACTAAATCTCAAATTTTAAATTGTATTAGGACAAGATGAATAATGAGTCTTTCCGCCAACACAAAAATGGCAACAGCTATATAATTAAACCATTCCGGTTCGCTTGGGAAAATAAATAAATAAAGAAAACAGAGATTAGGGACATATAAAATTTCACATAGTTTAATACAAAAACAGAAGCCTATGATTATAACAGATAACTTGACCATTTGTTGTCATGGGAGATCCATGGCAATAGTTTGCAGTTAGCCCACTATATATGCGTGTGTGTTCAAGGTGCTGGGTTGTTTGCTTATAAATTTTTGTTTAAGAAAGAATACTAATATTAGTAGTAGTATGTGCTATTCAGTTAGTACTCGAGCTAAGGTTTGTTGAAAACAATCGCTTTCATTAACCTTGATGTTTTTGCTTTGTTTTGTAATAATAATAATAATAATAATAATAATAATAATAATAATAGATATATTTTATCAATTGGCAAAAGGTTCAAGTAGCATAGGAGTCTGACACTTCTGATATTCACAGTTCTCTTACGTTGAATAACTTTAAGCAGCTCAAGATATCATCAGCGAAAACTAAACATCCATAATATTTATTATTATCTTTAAACCCTATAACTCCTTTTTTTTGTCTCCAAAAAACTCACAGAATTCATAATATATATATATATATATATATTTACACATATTTAGAGCTGCTTGGCAATCTGTACTGTAATTTTATTTCTGACAAAAGAAACAAACAAAAGGCTGTACTCCCAACTCAACTCAACGCTCGCTATATTTACCAAAGAAAGATCTTCAGCTTAATTGATTAAAATTTTCATATTTTGCACTACCCAAAATTAAAGATTATCAGAATCATTGTTACATTGTAGCCTCGATATTTTCCCTTTATTCAAGTCCGATGAATTAGACGTTTGATCTTCGACTTAAATTGAAGATTGCCAACGAGTTTACAAGGACAAAAACAAGAATAAGAATAAGAATAAGAACAAGAACAAGAACAAGAACAAGAACAAGAACAAGAACAAGAAGTAAAATATAAAAATATAATATCAATTTTTTATCATCATTATTGAATCATTATAAGTTTAATATAAAAGGCTTCTTCTTCTTCTTCTTTTAATTTTTTTTTTCCTTTTATCATATCCTTTCATTCTTTCCTTTGTTTTGTTTTGTTTTGTTTTGCGTTGCTTAGCATCACACTTTGCTTAGCAAGAAAATTAAATGTAAGAAGAAGAAAAAAAACCCCCTCTTTGTCAAAGATATAGAAATAAAAAAGGAAATTTATATAAAAAAAGAAAAAAAAGTGTAATCGTATTTTAACCTAATGTGAAAAAGGTATTATTTAGAGTGTGCACGGTTAAAAAAAGCATATTTTTATACATATGAATCGTATTATAAAAATATAAAAAAAAAATATTACTACACACACACAAACACACACACGTACACGCGCATGTATTCTTTATACTACTGAGATTATAAAGCTCTTTAAGATTCAGCAATATAAATTTTTCTTTTTTATTAAAATAAGGTTTTATGTATAAAACAGCAAAATTCTATTAAAAACCGCAAGGTATCAAAAAGTACATAAAAAATCAAAAATCAAAATAGAGTATTATCCGAGAGAGTAATTATTTTTCGAAAGGCGATAAATTTATCCATGTATGGAAGTGCCGCTATACGAGAAAATCTTATACTATATATGGATAATCTGTCATTTGTTTATTTTATGTGTGTGTGTGTGTATGTAGATGTAAAACAAATTAACAAAATTCAGGTACGGGTTTTTCTCTGAGCAATAGACTATAGATCCCCTTTTTTTTGAATTTAAGATGTAAATCTACATATCAAGGCTTAAAATTCTGTGTCATAGATAAGTTTGACATACAAAAAAGGAATATATTAAATATTACTGTATTGATGTATACTATATATATATATATATGTGTGTGTATTAAGAAATAAACATGTATAGTCTATCGTTATCTGTCACCAATAAGCAATCTATTAATATGTAATATCTTAATCTGTCTTTTTTTTTGCCCCAAGAAATATGGGGTGTAAAACATAAAAAGACTCACTGTGAGCATGGATACTTTCCTTTTCTACATTAAAATATCCACTCCTTTCTCAACAAGAAACAATGAATTGTATAAAAACTTATATATATATTTGCGCGCGCATTTAGAAAAGGTTCCTTACTTGAAAGAAATGTTACATGTGTAGAGATAGTCTATTCAAAATAGAGAGAGAGAGAAAGAAAAGAAACCAATAATAAGTGTAAGCGTAACATTAATAGCAGCAACAATAAAATATTTTTCTCAAATAATGATTAAGCTTACAAACTATTTGTATCTCTTTAACGGAAAAATTAGAAAATCATTTTTAATGACTAAACTCATCAAATCCCTTCTTTTTTTTTAACTGAAATAAGAAGCTGAATACACCGGGCATATGATAAATACATATGTGCCTATATACATTCTCACACACTCTTTTCTCTCTCTCTCTATCGTTTGCGGAACCATCAAGATGTTCTTTTTAAGACTTACTACTTATACTAATACCATTTCTACCCCCTTACAATAATAGAGGAATTAAATAAATAAATAAGTAAATAAATCTACGCTTTCCTATCGCTTGATTCTAATTCGTCTGAAGATTCCAGACGCTCAATTGTCCAACGCTGTCTAAAAAAAGCCTTATGATTTTCACCTGTAAAAAAAAAAAGAAAAGAAAACGAGGATAGAATGACTGTTACATGAATGAATTCTAAAGGACAATAAAATAAAAATAAAAGAAAAAGAATAAAAGAAAAAAAGAAAAAAAGAAGGAAGGAAGGAAGGAAAGAAGGAAAGAATTCTTGTTAAACCACACGGTTTAATAAAGCCAATAGAGAACAACGACTGAAAAGCCGCTTTTTACTATTACTATTATCGTTTCTTTTTCTTCTTAATATTATTACTATTATTTACATACTCATGTATAATTAAAGCATTCTAGAGCTTGTTATGTTTCGCATAGAAGAGTTTCAAGATTTGCTTATTGAGATCCAAATCTAAAACACATTCCTGTTCTCTTTTTTACTGATGTAGTTTGGCGGACTCTTTATATATTTATATATCAATCTTATTGTTCTTGCTTGTTGCCGAAAAGACCGAGAGAATAAGACAAGACATAGATAAGGCGTGTTTAATAAAAGAGTGTTTTGTTTGTCCCTCTGATAAAAAGGCTCAAGAGGCGATATATATATATATATATACATACATATATTATTGTTTAAAGAGATGATCTATAATATGTAACAGCAGTAACAACAACAAGATATAAAGTATAAATGTAAAATGCAAATGCAAATATAATATAGTATATTACAGAGATAAATAATCTAACTAGTGAGATTAGAAAATAAAGATTAGCACCAAGGCTTGTATCTGTATTTTATTTTATTTTATTGCCTAGCAAAAATTGACAAGCAGTATTGGTATAAATAAATGTATATTCTCTTAAGATAATAATACAATAAGAAGTTTAGAATATCATAAAATAGCTCAACATCATTGTTGTATATTTCAATACCCAGAAACCAAATAATTATCAGCCAATACTTTTTTTTTCTTGGCTGGCTGGCTGACTGGCTGACTGGTTAGCTTTATGAATACAAGTATATCATAACTGCACCATGCACATACAAACACACATTGATTATTATTATTATTATTTTTCTAATATTACCGCGCAGTGATTATAACTGTGCCGGTCATTAAAATTCAAAATAAAAAAGAATATTTTTGTGAGATCTGAGTATTAATTAAAACGTTGAAAATAATTTATGTGTGTTTTGGCTGTATTTTTTGTGCACAAACTTGAGCCACACGTTCAATCGCCTATTGTAAATTTGTGTCCAATCCAAATTAGTATTGAGTCCGAAACCTTTTCTCAATTGAATGAAGGGTTGTGTTACAATAAAAAGAAATGTGTTTGTATTTCTTTTAAACTTTTTTTAGATTTTATAGTTTGTACTTTTTTTTTTAAAGAAAAAAAAATGGTATTGTAAATGAGCCAGAAACACGGTTCTGTTCTTTTTGTTCTTTTCATTATATACGTATGCCCAAAGTAAACTCCCTTATTTTCGTCCCCCCCCCCCCCCCCAAAAAAAAAAAAAAAAAAAGAATGAGTAAACCCTGTTTTTAGTTTCATTTTTCTTTATTATCACACATAGATATAGACAAAGCTAATACTTTAGTGAGTACAATTTATTAAAGATCAAGATATCATTTTTGTAGTTAACTATTTACATATATACTTTGACTTGATTTCTTTAGCTTTATCCTTAAAACAGATGTGTATAATACTTGATAGGCATGAAATTATATTATTATTGTTCAGTACAGAAAAAAAACTATTCAAAATAGTTATTTATACAAGTGGTGTGATATAAAAAAAAAGGATTACAGAAATATTAGTAAGAGAAACGATCTATGTAATTATTTCACAATTCTATTAATCTTTTTTTCTTCTTATTTTAGTTGGGTTTGGTAAGGAAAATGAGCTTAAAAGATAAAAAGGTTAGTTTGAAAAAAATAATAATGATTTAATGAGTGAAGTGTAGGTGATGAAGTGAACTAGATATAGATATAGATATATACATATACATATACATATACATATTCTAGAGTGTTGGAAAGAATATAAGGGATGTGCGTTTGCCTTTTTAGGAGAAACGGATATTTCTGCAAGGATAGAAAAAGGACTGATGGTAAAATAGACACAAATGTATACAATATAAATAAAATAAAAATCCTGAAATCAAAAGATACAAAGATACAAAGTGTTCTAGCTGGTTGTATGGCTGTATATTCAATGTGTTGTGTGTGAATACATACATACATATTTGAATATGAATATTGGTTTGTTTTACAGAAAATATTTTAGAAATTAGATGGGATGATGTATAAGATTGTTTTTTCTTTTCTTTTCTTTTTAATTATATGATTATAGATCTAATGATATTTAAGTTTAATAGTTGTAGCTTTAAGTGTAGGTATAGCTGTAGGTGTGAACAAGGAACAAGTCGATTTTTTTACGATCACTCAATACGACACAATATAAAATAAAATAAAAAAAAATGTTAAAAAACGAGTATGCGGTGTGCGCGTGTTTGAAAAGTTCTTGACAAGCCTGCCTTATTGTTCGCTAATTAGGAAGTAAAATAGAGTGAACAGACATTCAGGAACAAATAGGAGAACAACAAGGGCATTCAATTGGTTCTATCATTCTTTTTTTTTTCAAGTCATTGTATAATTGTATGATTCCCTGTGTTACCATTGTACATCAAATGGTAAGAAGAGAAAGTGTTTCAGAGATCTTTCTTTTTATATCATACTGTATTGTATTGTACTATGTCTACCTAGCTACCTTGTGTATGTATATTGTATTTTTAACATGGATATTCACATTCTTATTGTCTCTTGGTTATTTTGTGTGTGTATGTATGTCATTCGAATTCATGTACTCCCCGACTAGTGTGTTTAAATAAATAAAATAAAAAAGGAAACCAATGTATCTTTCATAATCATAATCATAGCCATCATACTTTGTGGCAAAGTCTGAAAAGAATAAAGGCATTGTACACTTGTATAGAATGCTTACATACATATAGCCCAAGATATAATATATATCTTGCTTTTTAAAGCATTTTTCATGATTGCATTGATCTTTTACAAGGATTGTTACTCAAGAAGAAGATAAATTTATATAATATAAAAAAATAATAATAATATATTTGTCATGAACGGCATGTCATTTACGCCCAGAAACCATTTTCTCTTTTCTTTTCAGGTAACACCTTCCATTTTAAAAAATATATATAGAATATAGATAAAAATAATAAAATAACACTTTTCTGAAGATCGAAATTTGAATAGCATTTTTTCGATCCTCACAACAAGTTGGTTTACAAATCAAGTTAATTCAAATATTCTATATACTTGGCTTAATTTTATGTAGATTACTACAATTACTTAATCTAGAAAACTACCACACAAGTACACACACGCTATTTACACCATACACACACGACACACACTACACACACTACACATAATAATTATAAAAAAAGCAATCTATATAAAATAAATCAAATAACATCAAATTCATAGAGCTATATACACCCACATCAATTCAATCATTCAAAACAAAGAATTCACACAATGAAGAAGAAAAATTATATCTTAGATAGATAGATAAGTTGAATTATTTTTAGTTTAGTTTATTGAAAATAATAAGGATGATAAAGACTTGTTACATGTACTATATATTGTTCGTATTCGTATTCTTATTATTATTATTATTATTATTAATATTAGTATTTCTACTAGCAAGAAAAAAAAATTATATATATATATATAATTTAGACTATGGAAAATCGAGGGTTTGGGTATAAATCAGAGGTAAAATTAGGTGCGCGGATATAAGACAAGTTATAGAAAAATTTAGCTATATTCCTAGTATAGACATTTATGTTTCAATAAAACAATAAAACAATAAAACAATTATAATAATTTTTTTTTTTAAAAAAAAAAAAAACACTTTATTCTTCAATTGTATTTATATGTGCTGTGTGTATGTAGATTTGTTTTTGGCATAGTAAATGACTTTAAAAATATTTATTTGGTGTATTTGTGTGTATGAATTTTTTTTTCTTTTTCTTTGGTTTTAAATATATATATATATATTATATATAAATGTGTGAAATCAATATGCATGTCAATAACAGTAGCAACAACAACAACAACAACAAAACAAAAGCAATACAAGGTAATAGTAGTAAAAATAAAATAAAATAAAATAAAATGAGGAACATGCATGGATAATTTAAAATAAAAATAAAAGTAAAAATCAAGAGGGTATGTACAATGCAATAATGGAGATATCTGTTAAATAAGAAAAGGGTGGATTGAATCAAAAGAATAGTCTGCAATCCAGTGCGACTATTCAGAGAGAAGGTAATATGAGGGATAAGAAAGAGAAAAAAGAAGAGTTACTGACTAGCTTAGGAGATTTGGGTAAATATATAAATAATGTGTGAGAATAGTTGAATTCGGAGAGCATGTATATATATATATATACAAGCATTGATGAGAGAAAATAATGATACGAATAAGAGGAAGAGGTAGAAAAGGTTTGGTGGAAAAAAAAAGCAGTAAATGCTTAAAAAGCCAAAGCAAAAGTTAAAAGAGCAGATTACTGTTACTGCCGTTGTAAACAAAGGAAGCTTCTTCAGCAGGCATGTAGAGAGGAGGGTACACAAATCCATCAATGGTGTTTGGGAGAGGAGAGACTGAGCTGGGAAGGGAAATCATCTCGTGAGGATAGATCGACATTTCATTAAAGGACATCAGATCTTCAGAAGGCGAGAGATAAGAGTTGAACTGATTCATGCTATTCTGAGCAAGCTCATCGATAGCCTGGTAGGATTCAGTATCAAGAGGCCATGAAATACCGCCAGGAAGAATATCCTGAGGAATAAATGGCTGGTGTTGGTGTTGGTGTTGGTGTTGCTGAAGTTGAAGCTGAAGTTGCTGAACATGTTGTTGCTGAGCTGCGGGCAAGGCGTTATTTTCAGTGATTGTGTCAAGACTAGCCATCAATGGAATTTCTGGAATTGGTGGGTAATTAGCAATCTGAGGGATCTGCAGAGTGCTTGTTGGCGAGCTAGTGACATTTGGGTGGCGAGACTCGTTGGCGGTAGTCTCTGGGGTAGGTGGTGGTGAGAGTTGGAAGACTGCCTCCTTACTCTGCTCAGTGGGTGAATTATTGGATCCCTTGACATTTGACTTCTTGGCTTTCTTTTTCTGAACTGGAGCAACAATAGTAGTAGCAACAGAAGATCGGCGAGAGAGAGGCGAGCTTCTCTTCTTCGACAATGCCTGTGATGCTAGAAGGGCCTGTTTGCGAAGACGTTCATTCTCCTTACGAAGCTCCAGAATTTGAGCCTTGAAATCTGATTCTCGCAGTATAGTATTGGAAACTAAATTAAAATTATATATTTAGATATTTAGATATATTACAGACAGAGGCATATATATTATGTTTGATTCTCACCAAAGTCAAGGGATCGTGCAACAATCATTGTCTTGCTTGGGCGACGCTCGGTCTGAAGGGTTGGTAAGGCATGTGCCAGTTGTTGAAACTTTGTGTTCAAATGTTCGCGTCTTTGACGTTCGAGAGCGTTATGAGCTGTACGCTTCTCGCACTGAGAACTATGATCATAAGATTATGAAAATAATAAAAATAATAATACATATATTGTAAGTATCGATGATTTAATACAAATAGTAATAATTTCTTACCTTTCATCCAAAGTCATCGAAGAACCATAAGGCATACCTAAGGCACCAAAATTTTTAAAAAAATTAAAATTAGAAACAATAATTCATTAAACTTTATGTGCAGTAATATTATTACCAATGCTGTAAGGTGAAGAAGTACTAAAGGTACTGATAAAGTTGTTTGTAGAGTGACGGAAGGGACGTCCAGTGCTATTGATTCTGAATTTCTCTGAAGACATTTTTTGTATTTGTATTTGTGATTGTAATTTAATCCTTCTTTATGGTGTAGTTGGTGTTGCTGTAAAGAGCAAAGAAAAAGGAAGTAGGTTTGTAAAGGTGGGAATGTATTAAAAGAATGAGAAAGGGAATTAAAACAAAGGAGGTTTCTTTTATACTCTTTTTTTTATTTTTTTTTATTCTATTCTATTGTATTTTTTTTATTTATTTCTATTATTCATAAAAAAAAACAGTGTACATATATAATATATATAATATAATATAATATAACATAATATACACACAAAATTGTTTGAAAAAGTCGTGGGGGAGGAGTAACAATACGTATCAATTGAAAGGGGGGGGGGGGGGTCAGAATAACTGCCGAACAAAATAAGAATACAAAAATGATTGCAAAGCACCTCAATATGGTATATTATAGGCGCAGATTTAAATTATATATATATAAAAAATTGCGCTCTATTTTTTTTTTTTTTTATATTTTATATTTTAATTTATTTTTAAAAAGAAGTAATGTTCTCAATATTTTGAAACACTTTGCGCAAAAATTATCAAAGAGCTAAATTTTCAATAGAGATGTATATTATAGAATACGCTATTCTTTACAAATTTCCTCTTAATAAATCTATTGCGAAAGAAAGAAAAGATATCAAGTATACAGATAGTTTCTATTAAGAAATCAAATTTCTCTATTGTTTATCAACCCAAAATTTGATCGACCATAAAAATATTCTATTTGCGCGATTTAAATACACTCAAAATATATTTATATTTATATGTAATACGACCTGTTTATGATAGCCCATTTTATGGGTAAAGCCTCTCTCTTTATTGTAATATGGATACTGGGTAGAATATTTGTAAACTGTGTAACACATAAGCATATATAGAAGTGTGATAGTATATGTGGCTTTTAGATATAAAAGGAACTTTTGTCTGTCGCACTGTTGATCTTGTCGGTCTGAGAAAAATAAATGTCGTTTTGCCAAAAAAATAATAATCGGTCTTTGAAATACATGTCAAAAATCATTTGTTTTGTCGGTTTTTTCACAAGAGCGTCATTTTTTTTTAAATAAATAAAATATTTTCAATGATGCTTTGTTATATCATTAAATAGCTTGGCACTTAGAGTGATCATAAAAGACCTAACAGTCACTAACGGGTATGCCAGCAATTCTGCCTGGCAATTCTTCTCCAGTCATCAATTGCTGGTGTCTCAACTTCCCCTTTATTATAAATACCTTCATATTTTTCTGAACTTAATTCAATCGAGCCTTTCTGGTCAGTTATGATGAGCAAAATAATACACAATAAATCACTGGAGAAAGAGACTTCGAGAACGAGAATGGAATATATAAAAGTAATTCATGATTTTAACGATCTTTTAATGGGAATTAAGCGATAATCAAGATGCTGCAGCACTAATATATTTGTAACAAGCTTCTCTCTTGAGAAAGCAGGAGTTTTATTGAGTGTCTCTGCACTCTCAATCAACACAATATTTAAAATTTTGTGATTTCTACACGGAGCACACTAACCTCACATATGGTTCAACTTATCAAAGCCACTAGATTAAACCATTTGTGTTAGTAGTTAGTCCAGCACAGTATTTCTCATCAAATACAAGATTCAAAGTCTCGTACTAGCATCCTCATTTCTCGCTGATTTGCGTACATTACAATTAACTTAATATCCACCCTTTTTTCAAGTCTCCCATTTGAGCTCTGTGTTCTTGGCTCACATTCAACGTCTTTTTTTTTGGCTAATGGTTCTGCGTGTGTATATATAAATACATGAATATGTGTTCACGCGCTGCGAGAGTAGACTTACCCCAGTGTCCTTTCTTAGGTATCTAGGGCAATCGGCGCCTTGTACTTTGTTCATTATTTAATACCAAGACTCACCACCATAAAGGATTTGGGGCTTTGTTATACAAATGACCCGAATCTTCTAATGCTCATATCACTGACGAGAATGCAATTCAATTCTTCAGAAAATCACAGGTATCCTTCATCGCTGACAAATGGCTCAGACTAGTAATTTTCCAATCTTTGTATCTCTCTGTTTTGTGTTGCTATCACTTTTATTTGCTCATTGTAAATGTTGGGTAGATATAATAGTCTTTAATCTTTTGACAAGAAATACATTTCAATATGCTGATAGTTTAAATACAAGTAATATTGACATTTATATTATTACTTTTAAAACGCATTATAAAACTAGTTTATGGAATAAATTTCAAATTGTGTAAAAGATTGTATTTGTATTTTTTTCTTATACATAACTTCAATTTAACTTGGTCATATGTTTATACGAATTACACTTGACAGATCCAGAATGGAAACTATCAATAAAATAATATTAGAATAACTACCGCTCACTCTGTCAAGTTCATGAATAAACTTCTTGGGGTCATGGGATTTGATAAAAGCTTAAAGAAAAGTTATCTTGCTATGGATAATTGTTCAATCCATAAATCGAGGCCAATTATTAGAAAACTGGAAATGATATATTGTGATTTACCTACCCCCTTATTAACCTGAATTAAATCCCATTGAGCAGTTTCGAGTTATAATAAAGGGGAAGTTGAGACACCAGCAATTGATGACTGGAGAAGAATTGTCGAGCAGAATTGCTGGCATACCCGTTAATAATCGTTAGGTCTTTTATGATCACTCTAAATGCCAAGCTATTGAATGATATAACAAAACATCATTGAAAATATTTTATTTATTTAAAAAAAAATGACGCTCTTGTGAAAAAACCGACAAAATGTGATTTTCAAAACCGATAATTTTTTTGGCCTGAATTGATAAAATACATTTTGATTTATGACAAATCTTTCAACGACCGTCAATTATCTTTCTCAAACCGACAAAACAAACAGGTTGCACTGTATATGCAATTACATGTAAAACAAATAAATAAATAAAACCCCTCTCCCCCCCCCCCCACTTTTTTTTTTACTTTTTTAAGATTTTCTCTATCTATTTTTGCCGATCAATGAGTCAATTCTTATCCTTATACCGATTCTATACAAGCACTTTCCTAAATTAAAAGTAGCACAGCCTCTAATTGCCATTTTTGGTATTTTCCTGAATAGTAAAGAGAAAGGACTCATATTCCTGTAGCTGACACCTTTTTTTTCTCCTTAATGTGACGCCACTCACATTTTATTTATCTTTCTATAGATTAAGATGATACGGTTGGTGTTCTATTCAAAGTTCAGCGACAAAAAAAGGGAATTAACTAAAGTCCAATGTTCTTACCTACGACAATATTTTTTTTAAAAAAAAGGACAAGAGGAGAAGGAGGGATACCCAATAGCAAAAAAACATAATAAATAAACTTCAAAATAGTAATGACCACATTTAGATATATAAAAAAGAAAGAAATCAAGGTTTTTTTTGTTTCTTTTTATGCTATGGTTTAATCTACTCTGCATATGCAATGCAATGCAGTGTAATTCAACTATGCTGACATGTCAAGTAGGTCAGTTTTCCTTTACTCTTTTCTTTTGCTCTTTTGTTCTCGTTCTTGGTCTTATTCTTATTCACTCTTGTTATCGTTCCTTTTTAAAAAGTTTTTGTCAAACAACCATGTCCAATAAGTCGCAATCAAACATAATAGAGATAGATCGATATATATATAAAGGTATGTATATAATAATATAATAGAAAAGCCTCTTTCATTTACTATTATATCCTTCAAAAGGACCCAATATTCTGATACAAAGAATACATATACATATAAGAATACCATAGCTAAATTCCCTTTTTTTTTCTTGTATACCAGACACACACACATATATATATATATATATCCTTGTACGTTTGATCACAAGAATAAGAACATTTTATTCCTCTGTGAATTTCAAGATCATGTGACACACTCGATAACTTTGTGGTATATATATTAATTACGCGTGGCTACAAGGATAGTCTCGGTTCAAAAAAAAAAAAAAAGAGAGAGAAAATATTAATAGATTTTTTTTATGTGCACCAAGAATAACAATAACAATAACAATAACAATAACAATAGCAATAGAAATAGCAATAGAATAACTTTATCTATTGTTATTTTTCTTACAATTTTATATACATAAAAGTCTTTCCATGTAAATATTTTTTTTTAAATAATAAATATATTGATCTAATTATTATCGTTAAAGAGTTTTGTTACATATAAATTATATATATATATATATAAAAGAGACCTTTAAACTAACAACGAATATTATCTAGAGTAACAGAAAGGCTTTTTTGTACTCTTGTAATACAACCACAACCATAACGACAAAGTTGTGCAGATCAAACAAAGAATCATACAAAATGGATTTGGCTTTTACGATATTCAAACGGACATTAAATCCACTTTGTAAAACTACAAGTTTTATTCCTGAAATGTAAATGATGATAATAATGGTTCAAACATTATAAACACCGACCGCAAATATTTGTATCGCCTATTAAATAGTTTTTTTTTATAAAAAAAACCTTGACAGTTCAAATAAGGACAGCCCGCCAACAGAAATTTATTCTCCGGAATACAAAGAAAAATATAATAAAATATAATGAAAATAACAATTATAATAATTATAATACTAATAATAAGAAGAATTACAATAGATTTAAGGCGGAAGAAGAAGAAGAAGAAAAAAAGGGTCCTTTCTGTAAAGGTATACTTATAATTATTGTGTATGTATATAAAGATTAGCATATGGAGATCATATTCAGGAGGTTTATTCTTTTGACTCAACTTATTTCAGTTGTCTATTAAGTAGCAAAAGTAAAATGATAATAATCCCTTAAATTGAATGAATGAATATATTTTTATTTTTATTTTTAGTTTAATTATTATATTCTATATAATGTTAGAGAATTCCCTAATGATCTCTTTGTTTCTCTCTCTCTCTATTATTTGCTTTCCAGACATAGTCAAGGTTACGTGACACTCTGTGGAACCCATGCAGTTACTGAATGGGTTGTTACTGGACAAGTGCACTTTTTTTTTTATTTCTCTCTATTTTATTGTACTGTACTGTACTATACTGTACTGTACTGTATTGAATCTCCCTTATTCCATTCGATCGGTTTTGTATCATATTATCTAGTCTTATTTTATGGTATAAATAAATATCTAAAAGACAGTAGATCAATCGATTCATGTTCTACACACTAAATATATTCAAATTCGAACAATTGAATTCAATATATATATATATATTAAAAAAAATGAGTGAAGAAACGAACGAATGAATGAATAAAAGAATGATCAAAAGAAATAAAAAGGTTCCTTATCTTGTATGAAGCAAACGCATTGCCATAAATAGAAAAAAATCAAGATGCGCGGACCAAAGAGATTTTCAAAGTATGTCCTCAGCAATATCGCCATCATTCACGAACAATAAGAATAATAATACTAACAATACTAATAAGACTAAGAATAATAACAGTTGATACAATTTCCGTCAAGCCCGAATCACGCTTCAAATGCATGGAAACCGCAATCGACTTGAACCTTTGTTTGCGCGTGTATGTGTATGTGTACATGTACGCGTAGCAGATCAGATATTCTGAGATATTTTTATATATTTTTATATATATTTATATATATGTACTTATTTTATATAATTTTTCATATACTACCACCATCATTATCACTATCACTATCACTATTACTAATACTATTAATATTATTTGTTATGTGCTTAAAAATAACAATATTACATATAGATTCTATTTACAATCCTACACACACACACACACACTTACATTCAGACATAAATATCCATCTCTCCTGTGTGTGTGTGTGTGTGTTTGAATACTTGTTTGTAAAAGCTTATACAAGATCAACGCCCTCTTCTTCTATCCGATCTGGCTCAGGAAGTCCGCCGAATCCCAAGTATTTTCCAAACATCTCCCTTTCCCAGAAACGTAACATGTACTGATCAACATGTCCCACGGCAAGTTGCATCTCATCTTCGTCTTCATCTTCGTCTTCGTCTTCTTCATCTCCTTCTTCTCCGTCTTCGCCCTCCTCATTTTCATTTTTTCCTCCTCCTCCTTCTACTTGATCAGTCGCATTTTCTTCTGTTCGTCTAATCTCTTCCCGAGAGGCCAAACGAGCAGAGGACGGGGTATTATTATCTACAGGACCTGGTGATGCAGACACACTGTGGGAACAAGAACCAGGGCTACTCTGACGACGTGGCTCTTCTTCTTCTAATGGTTGCTTCTGTGGCTGGCTGGCAATAGAATCTTCGAATTCAATCTCATCCATAGCCATCTCATTACGTGCTGCAATAGCCGCTGCTGCATCATTTTCATCACCTTCAGCCTCTAGTAGTGCCTTTTCAAAATCAACAGGCTGACCACCACCTCCGACATTAGTAATAGCAGCAGCAGCAGTACTCTTGCCGTTAATATTACTGTTATTGATGCTATTTGTAGTTGATGTAGCCCCAATCGCCCGGTTATCACTACTACCAGTCACTTCAGGAAGGTCACGCCACCAATCCATCCTATGGAAATAGTCTGTAGTAAAGGCACCATCTTGAATAATGACATTGTCAAGCATCCTATCAATATTGTACATTTTTGTTAGTTTTCTAATTATACAATAAACCTTTGCACAAATGACATCAACGCAAATCAATTGAATTGAATTGAATATCAGAAAGTAAAATAAAATGAGCGAGAATATAGCCACGTTTTTACCTCTTTTGGTTGGCTTTCTTAAAGATATTCTCTTCAATCGTGAATTCAGTCACAAAGCGGTAAATATGCACGTCTCGAGTTTGTCCAATACGATGTGTTCTATCTTGACATTGCTTATCCTATATATATAAATGATTAAATGAATAGATGAATAATAAGAACAAGAGCAAGAATAACAAAAGTAAATAGGGTATCGAGCCATGGCACTATACCCTATTTTGCTTTTGTTCTATTTTTTTTGTTATATAAATATATAAAGGCAGTACAATCCTATAATTGTATATCTTTAATATTACCATTGAAGGGTTCCAATCAGAGTCATAGAAAATAACTGTGTCCGCCCCAGTTAGGTTGATTCCTAGTCCACCACTTCGGGTCGACAAGATGAAGCACAAGATTCGCTTGTCATTGTTAAATTGCTCTGTCAAGCCCTGTCGCTGTTCAATTTTGGTTGCACCATCCAGCCTCAGATACCGATGACCGTGCATATTCAAGAATGTCTCTAAAACGTCCAAGACACGTGTCATCTGGGTAAAGATGAGGGCCCGGTGGCCACCAGCTGCCAGAACCCGCAGCAATTTCTCCAATTTCTGAAGTTTTCCACAATCAAATTGAAGTAATCGCTTATCAGGAAAGGCAATAGATAGCCGAGATTGGATAGGGTGAAATATATCATTGTCCAGAATAGTGCGCAGTTGAGAACTCAAGACAGGTGGACAGTATGGAGGTAAAAGGTTTGGCTTTGGACGGTAGATCACCGCAGGTGGAGTAACAAATCCATATCTCTCGAGTGTTTCATTATTGTCTTTCATCCTTTTTTCGTAACTCTGAACCATATTTCGAACACTCTCGGTTCGGTCAAGGAAAGTACGCTTATCTTTGGCTGACGGGAAGAAACGTTGGTATTCAGTATCTGCCACGGGACGCCGCAAGATGTCTATCAGACCAGCTCCATACACCGGCTGGCGACCACATCGGAATTGGTTGACACTCAACATTGACTGCCATCGTTGAGCGCACGCAAGATGTTTTTGAGTCTCTCGGTAGGCCGCATATTTCTTCAAGTCTTGATAATCTTTGGAGACAACCCCGCGGCTTTCGGCAAAATGGCCACGTATGGTATGGCGTTTAATCACATCTACAAAAAGAGGCGTGGCGTCTAAAAAGCTCATATCCTTGGCCACTGTTGCACTCATCTCCGTCTCATGTTGCATTAATATCAATCCCAAAAATCCAAATAATGTCTTCCGAAGATTTTGCTCTTGAATTGGCAAAAATCGTTTTCGCACCCATTTTTCAATTCTCTCGCCTTGGACTTGGACTTGATCTGTCATCGAAAAACTGGTCAAGATAGGTCTTTCTTCAAAAAGATCTGGGTGATTGCAGACTTTACGGAGTTGCATAAGACAATTGATGATACTCAGGAAGTTAGCACCTGAGAGGGTCTCTTTTGTTTTGGCTCGGCTCATAAAGTCGTCATAGAGATAGCGTTGGCGTTTTGAAAGACGGCAGTAAACAATATGTTCGTGTTTTTCTGGAAGTTGTTTCTCTACGTCCGCCTTAAGTCTCCTGAGAAGATAGGGTCTAAGGACTGTGTGAAGCTTCTGGATCGCCTGACGGGATTCCTCATCCATGCCTTGTTGACCTTCAATCATTCGGTCCACAGGATGAGAGAACCACTCCTGAAATTCTTTTAGATTCGCAAATCCGATGGGCATTGATTGCGAAATTCCATTTGGCATCAAGAAATACAATAGTGACCAAAGTTCCATCAAATTATTCTGCAGCGGTGTTCCGGTCAACAGTAATCTTCTCCGTGAATTGAAGTTTAACAAGACCTGCCATCGTTGGGATCTAAAGTTTTTGATATGGTGTGCTTCGTCAAGTACGAGGTATTGCCAAGCTTTACGCCGAAACGCCGTCTGATCTTGAATTACGAGTTGATAGGAGGTGATACAAACATGGAAGGCGTTTTCCTTGGACCACCCAAATCGTTTTTCTTTACGCTCCTTTGGGTTGCCGTAATAGGTCAAGATTTTGAAACCAGGCAACCATCTCTTGAATTCCATTTCCCAATTGAGGATTACAGAGGTAGGTACCACAATCAGGTGGGGTCCCCAGATCCCCTTCTCACATGCTAGATAGGCTAATAAGGCAATGGTCTGGATTGTCTTACCAAGGCCCATCTCATCAGCCAGGATACCATTCAAACCATTGCTGTAAAGGCTTGCTAGCCAGTCTAAGCCAACGTGTTGATATTCACGCAATGTACCGCGCAATAAGAACGGAATTGGGGTGTCGACATTTGTAGTTTTCAGTGTCGTTCCGGTAGGAAGTTCTGGCTCAGCTAGAGTAACCAGTGCAGTGGACGAGGAAGTTTTTGAATTGACAGCGGTAGGCTCATCAGAAGTTCCTCCATTCTTACCCACTTTATTTTCACGTTTAATATCACCACCAGTGTTGCTATCACTATCCTCGCGGTCATCTTCTGGCTCAGACGATCCATAATCAGTCACAGTTTGCTCATCATCAAGATCATCCCCAGGCGCCTTGTCCTTTCCATCGTTATCTGCTTCATCATCTACTCCCATAATATCAATTTCCTCTTCATCGTCTTCCTTATCATTCCACACTAGTCGTCTGCGTTTGAGGACAGGTCCGTCTAGAGATTCAATTGATCTTCCCTTTTCGATTTTTCTTTTCTCATCATTATACAGCATAGACCTTGATCCTGCTACAAGTTCCTCTTGTTGCTCTTCTTTTTCCGCCTTCTTTTCCTCTTCTTCTTTTTCTTCTTCTTTCTCCTCTTTCTCTTCCTCTTTCTCTTCTACGTCATCTTCTTCATCATCTGCATCTGTGTCGGATTGCACGTAGCTTGGATTATAATTGTAGCGCTTCATCAATTCTTCAACTGACATCTCTGCTTCTTCTGCTAGTCCATTGAGTTCAACGTCATCATCCTCACTCTCTCCATCGTTCTCAATTGGTATATCTTCCTCTTCGTCATCAGCTTGTACTCCGTACTCGTCATCGTGGTTCACAGGCTGTGTCCTATTTTCAGATTCTGAGTCCAAGGACAAAGTCTGCTCGTTATCAAAATTTTGGTGCGTATTCCCGGCTTCTGAGATATCCGTATTTCCGGAATCGCTTTTGGCGCCATTTCTGTCCGACTCACTATCCTCATTGGGTCGGTAGTTGTACTTCTTCATTAGTTCTTCGACTGACAGGTCCTGGTCAGCTGTCAGTTCTTCCAATTCCTCGGCATCGTCCTCGCTTTCCCCTTCCTCTTCAATTCTGTGGTCTCGTTCGTCCTCTTCCCAATCAGGCTCTGGGGATCCAACGTTACTACCACTATCTTTTGACACCGATAAAGGTTTGTGAGAAAGTTCTTCCATTCGCACACCCAGCATTTGTTCCGAGTGTTCCAAGATAAGTTCCAAGTGGCGACGTCCCTTTTTTGCCTGCTCTTCCTTTAATAGCTCCTCGTGACGTGCCTCACACACCCTCTCTACCACCTTCCACTTTTTCTTCACTTGTTGAGCTGCCCACTTGGCAAGTTTAGCCATGCGTCGAGATTCTTCTTTGACCAACCGTTTGTCGTGGGTTCTAATCGACTCCCAGTACCGATCGACGGCTTTGGCACATCGTCTGGCTGCATTACGTCGATATTTTGTATTTGATTGGAAATTCTTTGCGGCTGCGATGCAATGTTGAACAAGTACATCATGGTGTGTGTCTAGGGTTCGTTCGATTCCAGCAGGTCGTCGACTGGCTACGGCCTGGAGTCTGGTCGAGAACCCTCCACGAGCCTGCAGAGCTTCGAGCCGTTGACGGATGATGATTTCTTTTTTGAAGAGCTCATCTGCTTGTTTGGGTGTAATGTCTTCGTTGTCATCAATAGAGACAAACGAGTCCATATAATCTCGTAGGTTGTGGAATTGTCGATGGTGGCGTCTGATTCCAGTGCCGGTATGAACAAGGCTGGTGTATGCAGGTTCGAACGGCTTGGGTGCGTCAGAGGATATAAGGGCAGTGTCTTGGTTGACAGAGTTTTGGAGCAGTTGAACAATAGAGGTTCGACGTTGGGTGAGTGGTTTTCGAGTATTTCGTGAAGATTGATTTTTTTGGAAAAGATGCTCATCAACCAGATCCCACAAATCATAATTTTGGGTAAACTAAGAAAAAGTGACATTTGTAACGCATTTATATATTATGATTTTTTATTATTATTATGATTTTTATGATTTTTATGATTATAATTATGATTATAATTATGATCATGATTATGATTATGATTATGATTATGATTGCTGGTGTTAGTATTATTCTTATTCTTATTCTTATTATTCAATGAAAATAATCTACAAGTAGCTTTGTATTGTCGTCTCTCGTATATATGTATGTGTATTTGTACACAGTTGTTGTTATTCTTATCTGTTCCTTTCTTTCTTACCTTTAGCAAACGTTCATCATTATTACGAGCCATGGCTTCAGGATTGTATCCAAGCATGGTTTGATAAACTTCTAGGTGGTAAAGTTCTCTCACAGTAGCATCATGGCGTGAAAGAATAGCCTGTAATTTCTTCTCTCTTTCTAACAGCCACTCATTTCTCATCTGATCCAAAGGTGTTTTTGGTATTGAGAGAAGTGTGGCAGTTTGATGGTTTTGATGGTTTTGGTGATTTTGATTGGTTGTTTCAGGTCTGCCCCAACCAGGAAGTATCATAGGCATGGACAAACCGCCTGAGCTGTTTGTACTGCTATTACTGTCACTACTTAGAGACCGTGGACGGCCTTTTGTTGTATGTCGTTTTGATAGACCTATATCTGCTTTGCGTCGTCGCTTAGGTGGCTCTGGCTTTTTAAAATCAGCCTTTTTGGATTGAATATTCGGTTTTCGCCCAAGAGGTGGTCGACCAGGCTTTTGGCGTGGTTGTTTTTTGACGACAGCAGCAGCAGATTCAGAAGGTTCGGGAGAATCTACTTTGCGTTTTCGTGAATTGCGTGTTGACAAGGCTGGGCTACTGGTTGGTGCAATGATGTTGTGTGTGCTGAGATCACCATCGGTGTCAAACAATGAGCGTGCCATGACACCCTTGAGTTTGGCTTCGATTCGTAGGGCACGTTTGGATATTCGTTGCCGTTCTGTACGTTCTGATTCCGAGATTGTGTCCTGGGAAGTATTCCTAGCTTCGACACGTGTCTCAGAAACCAGTGGATGGTTTGACTGGCTAGAACATAGAGATGATAAGACCAAAGTGGACTGAGAAGAGTCATTGGGGTCGTGATCAACCATCGTAAGCACTCTGATTACGTTATGGCCTTCTTAAATGAGAAATATGTCAGAAAATAGTAAAAGTAATAGTGGAATCGTATACAAAAAAAAGAAATGTAAAGAAATGAAATGAAAAATGAGAAAAAAAAATGACTGAGATGGACAAAGCGTCGTTGGATAAAATAGTTAAAAAATAATAATAATAAAATAAAATAAAGTAAAGTAAAGTAAAATATAAATTATGGGAAAGAAGTTTTATCTGCAAGTCAGCTGGGATTTAAATCTTACTGGGAGGAATTAAAGCCTTTACGAATCAAGCTCAGTTTTTTTTAGTGAATGTTTGTTTGTTTGGTTGTATATATATATATGTATTATAAAGCACACTCTAGAAATAGGATATTCTGCTTTAAAGGAGAGACAGTTAATAATATAAAAAGAACCAGATCTATCTTTAGTCTATATTAGGGAATTGTTAGAAAATAACTGTCTGTTTTCTCATTGATTTATTGTAGTAGTGCGTGGAATATTAGAATCCATGAAGATCAATTATCTACAGCAAAAGATTATACTCAAAGCACCACGCGCATAATGTACACATTATAGATCTATTGCTATTTGATGCTCATGTCTTTCACAAGAAATTACAATTTATTCAACAATACCGTCCAGTGATAATAGTTGATATTCAATAATTTCTATATCTCTCTACCCCCCTTTTTTTTAAAAAAAAAAGTCTCGGTACTTACTATCTTGAGCTCTTCTTGTATAATAGTCTTGATATCTGTCCTATATCTTTTTATAAGCTGGTCCATGTACTGCTCAAAATTATCTCGGCAACCGCTCAAATATGGCCTACAAGATTCAAGGCAGCACCTTAAACAACCTAATTTACAACAAACCTTTGATTATACAGATTTTTTTTTATTGATATTAATTATTTTGAACAGGAACTATTAGATTAATGAACAGCCTGTTCTCGAAGCCGAAATATTTTTACCTCAATTATTTAATGTATCTAAATTTAAATTGAACAAAGAAAACACGAGTCAGACTTTCGAGAAACTGATTCTAGAGTACCGTTCTATCAATAAAGACCGATATAAAGAAGATGTATGTATAAGCTTTTATCCAAAGGTAGCTTTGCAACCTTTATATTGTACTTTCACTTTTTGCTCTATAAACTATATATCAACCTGTTATATTGTCTATCAATATTTAGGAAAACTTTGATATTTCTATTAAATCTATCTACTGGGAGGTTGAGCTCATCATACAAAAAAAAATAGTATTGGCCAACTGTTCAACTACTTTACTCATTTGATTAGCTAAATAATTCTTTATTACACTTCATTTAGTGCGTGTGTAGATGTGTGCGTTCAATCGATTTTGTGATCTGTAAAATGGTACATATCCACATACTGCTTAAGAGATAAATAGGAAGAAAGCAATTTATATATTTCTACACATAGTCATTTCATTCTATATTAACTAAAATAACAGGATATTTTAATTGGTGACAAGCTCTTTCTAAACAGTCTGTACATATCGATTATGAATTATTTTATGCAAGTAGTAGTAATTTAATATTCTTTAAATATAACAGTAATTTATATATATATATATATATTTTAAAAAAAACAAAGGGTTGCTATGATCTAGTATGTGCAAAAGTTACAATGTTGTAAGACAGGATAGATTATGATTAATCCGAGTATATGTATACATTTAACGTATTTAATACGCTTAACTTTTAAGAGCCAAAGCTCTTTTATGATATACAGCAACTCTTTGTTGAATTCTGTTAATACTTTAAGGGTAAAACATAGTCTATTTTATTATTTACATAATGTAAAGAAAGCCTTTTCGGTGTATTAATATAAAAGTTACTGCAAACAAGTGATAATAATTCTAGAGAATTTGAATAATATTATCAGATATTTATCTGTAAGGATTACTTTTATAAATTCAACATGATGTCGCTATTATTTTAACAATTGACATCCGAAAAGTAGGCCATGTTATTACAGCCTATTTTATTGAACAGATGAAAATTACTCTGACTTAATAAAACTTTTCATTTCTTTTTTAAAACAGGAGTTACATTCATCAAAAGCTAATACTTCATTTTAAATCATTTGGCTTAAACACGGAAAGCTTTCTAAGAATAGTTTCATAGGGTCAATATATCGCTTATAATACTTTTTATTATTTATCATTTATCCCAAAAAATTGTTTGGAAGGCCTTGATTAACCTTCCCTTCAGCTACTGTATTCCATTGTATAGTTGAACTCTTTCGTAACACTGCTTTATATTGATACAAGTCGTAATTACGCTGCACAAACGAGTCAATAAGAAGAGAAACTAAAGGTAATAATACGAAGTTACAAATATCTGCTCACAACTTTTAAATAAAGAATATAGATAGATAAACAAATAGACGTAATCACAAAAGTATAAAATTTGACAAGAAGTGTTGTCCCCATTGTCTTTACCCAAAATAATAAGAATATCAAGGGGATGAAGAATTGAAAATGGTGTTCGAGGGGTTGATCTAGGCTAGAGAGATTAAACCCCTTTCTGCACTCAATAATAGCATTGATGCAAAATATAAGATATTTAGAATTCTTGAAAGAATACTTTTTCTCTCAATTCTGTAATATGACCCTGAAGAGAAAATCACTCCAAATTGGAATTTATAAGAAGACAAGACCACATACAATGCACTCGTGTCATAAAAAAAACAAAGATGGCATTAACGTTGGCACTTTTGAACAACTTCCAAAGAGTCTGGTTTTGAGTCCAATAGAGAATTATGAAATATTTTAAATAACCACACAAGATCAAGTCATTGTCAACGTATAGTCCTAAATAAAGTAAACAACATACCAATTGAAAAGTGCTAGGCAACCAATTAAGTTGCTTACCCAGAATATTACTTTAGAACTCATAAAAAAAAAAGAAAGAAGCAATAATAGAAATGCTTTATATTAGACAAAAAAACTCGTTTTTTTTGGATAAAGTACATAACCTGAGTTTAATAATTCTCGTGTTTTAGAGTTATTAAATTTGTACGAGATTAGTGAGATAACTATAAAGATAAATCATTTGTCTTCTATTTGTATTTGTGCTTAAACGCTTGTGTGTCTTTGATGTAGCTGTAGAGAAGCGGGACTACTTACTGGCTTGTACAAAATGTGTTTGGCCAAAGTATAATTGACTCAGTATAGGAAGAATATAACTCTCTCTCGTATACCATGGGTAAAAGTAAATAATCCGATGATAGTATATTTTAACTTATGACAATTAGGACATGTAATTAAAAGTTAAGAGTGATTCGATTTGGTGTCATAAAAGATAACCACACAATAAACATATATTTTTATAGAAGTTATAAATATATCACAGCCTGTTTTCGACAGCTTTCATAATCAGGAAAGGATACTAAGATTAATGTATGTATTTAGGCAACAGAATTTGGCACAAACTAAATCCTGAAAAGATGATATTGTATATATTTATAATAATGGATTAAAATCATAAGTTTTTTTTTAAAAGAGTTATTTTGTCTCGGTACTTTCAGTCAACTGTTCATTTGCTCTCCGTCTTGTAGTAAACTGTGGCAAAGTAGACTCCAAGGGAATTGATTCTGACGTGTCCTGTTCATCCTTGTCCTTGTGCACCCATCGCTTCAAAAGAGGTACTTGGAAATTGCCGATGAACAACCTAAGATGGACAAGCTTGGTCTCAGGCATGATGTGAATGATAGCTGCAAGGGACAATTGACTTACTGGCAAATATGATACATCAATAGAGGAAGAGAAAGCACACCGACTACACCAACGCTACTGTCAGCATAGAGTACGTTGATCAAAGGGATTCCCATGGATACTGTTTTTGTGGCCCCGCAGTACTTTAAATTCATTGTAATTCGCATGAAAATCTCCTTAGTTTTTCCTTATTCAATTTTGTAGTTATTTTCTCTCTCTCTTGATGATTATACTAACCATAATAGCTACTGTGTCTTTCCGTGAAAATCTCCATCTATCTAACCATGCTGGCTCCTGCATAAGTTTATGGGGCCATGGAAGACGTCCAACAACAATGCAGGCAGTACAACCAAACAGATACATAAATATATCGACTCCAATCATGGCTACGGTATCTGAGGCGCTCATTTTACTAAACGCGTGGGTTGCTACACCGTCACAAAATACAGACCACACCATACAAAGCAAAGCGAGACTGTTGATTATAGAGAATTTTAGTTTGACTGCAAGGTACTTTATCTGGACAGGGAAGATATATCTTATAATCTGCCCGACAACCAAAGGGAGTAAGACAGTTAGGCCAAGGTTCTTGAGTACATTTAGATAATCAGGTACTCCTTGTGCTGATCCTGGGGGGAACAAGAGCTTATCGTTTCCAAATACTACACATTTTTTTTTAAAAAAAAGATAATAATAATAAGAATGAAAATTAATTCTGAAACATATTTCATCAAAATTTCTTACCGGTCATGAGTGCTGGGGAGATAAAGATACCGAGTGTGTTTCCTAGTGCCGCATTAAGTAAAGCTGCACTATCATTTCCGTCTGCATTCCTAGTCATGACAGCATTGGACGAAACCGTGGTGCTGGTAGACAGGGCAATAATAAGACCCTGATAGACAACAGGATCTATATCTGCATTTACCGCGCTTAGAAAACGTACGATGCCGTAAAGTACAAATGGCATGAGTAGAAAACTGATTGCTTGCACAAGCAAATGAAGTCGCCACCTCAAAATTGTTCGCACCATGACCTTTACTTCAAGTCCCAAGCCAGATAACAAAAAAATCAAGATGACAGCCCCCCACTTGACTGTATATTGAGCTTGTATTGAGCCATGGGATTTTCCGACCTGTGGAAATGCCCAAGCAAGGCCAATTGCAATTGCAAGTCCCAGAAGAAACCAATAACGGAAATAGAGCACCTTGGCCTTTTCGAATAAGATCTTGTATTTTGAAGATTGTTGTTCAGCTTGTGATGGTGTTCGGGAAATATTTTCAGCTCGCACAGTGATGACTGTAGACGCCTCTGAAGGCTGTAACATAGTGGTTGACATTGTAACAATGTTTAGTCAAGGAGGAGGAGGGGTAGATCAAACCCAGAGTAAATGTAAGAAAGAAGATAGTCGTAGACAAAAAGCAAAAGATCAAGGGAAATAATATAGGCAAAAAGGCAGAGTGTATTAACTATGGATTTTGTATCACTGCATGATGTACAAACACAGAGCCAGTTAACAAGTGATATTCTTGTACGACGACAACCTTGATCTATTGAGTAAATTTGACTTGGAAAGGCATCATCATCAATTTTAAAAAAGGATTATGTATTGCATGGAAAATATAGATCTTAAAAGTTACAGTAAAAGATAGAAATTCAAAGTATAAAAATCTGAATTAAATACTGGATAGCATAGTTATAGCAGGGTGTTCATTAAGGCATTACTTCTTTTTCGTTCTTTTTTTTTTAAAAAAAAATGTATATGTATGTGTATATCTTTATATATATATATACATACATATATATTGTGTGTGTTTGTACGTGTGTTTTTTTTGTGTATGTATGTATGTGTGTATGTATGTATGTATGTATGTACGTATATCCGTTTCATTTTTTTAATGTAATTCACTTGAAATGAATATGACTTTTGTTTTTGTCTTTTTTTTTGTCTTTTGTCTTTTGTCTTTTGTCTTTTGTCTTTTGTTTTTTTTTGTCTTTTGTTTTTACAATATAGTTGGCAAATCTGCTGGGGAAGAGAATTCCATAGGCATACAGTGATCAAGAGGAGAAGAGATATCAGCCATAGGAGTGGAAGTCATGAATTCTTCGTCAAGAGCACTGCTAAACGTATTATCTGAAAACAGCAGAGAAGGCGTTTGATGCATATCCCAAGGAGTGTCTACAAGGGCTGAGCCATAGGTTGTAATAGGCTCATCTTCACTCAATTGGCTCCATGGTTCTGGAATAGAGTTTCCTAATGTTTGATGTGGTGAAAACAAAAAGTCATCCCAGGCTACCTGGGATTCCTTTTCATATTCAAGATTATCATCTTCAAAATGACCCCACACATCATCGTGGTCATCTTTTAGGGCCGCTTCTACCATGGGGTCTTGGACGAGTTCATCTCCGAACAGATTGAACATCTCTATGAAGTCTTTGCTTGGATCTGGTTGCTCTTGTTTACTTTCTTCAGGACCGGTAACATTCTCTAGCTTTTGCAAAAGATCTCGCCCGGGATTTCGATAAATAATATTTTCCAGTAGGTCTGGTTCTGGAACTATGGTTAAAGGTGTATCTGCGCTATTGGCGCATCGTGGACAGCTGTAAATATCATCCAAGGCGCCTTCATTAAGACCAGTACAGTCCATATGAAGCCATACTCTACACTGGTCACATTGGATCATCATTCCTCTGTCTTCTTTAGCGTTATCGCATATACACATGATAATTGCATTCTTTTCTTCTTCTATTTCCTGTTTAACCAGGATTGCGCTTCGAGACTTGCATCGATCCAAGTGGTACGTAAGACCATTGCGGTTCTTGTAGCGCTTGTTACATGGCTCACACACGAATTTGCGAGTTCCTTATTGTTTTTTTTTAATTAGATGAGCCATTATCACCACAGCGACAGAAATAAATATATACATATATAAAAAAATCGTGCATTGATTTGTCTTTTTTTTGTTTTGCCATTACCATCTTCAACTATTACTGGAGAGACATTTACGGCTGGTGTACGTCTTTTTGGAGTCGTGCAAAGCTTTTTCTTGATAAGTTTTGGCGTGCGTGTCTTTCTATCCTTGGGAACCTTTTCAGGGTTGCTAGTCAGTAGAGATGTATTGGTGATCTTCATACAAGGTGTCGCCCGTCGCCTGTCAAGAACATCCGCCATGCGAAATCCAGTCCGCTTCTTGCGTCCGGTGTTACGTGTGCCAAATAAGCGGCGTCCATTCCCAACAACAGAAAGGGAACAGGATTGGCTACGTTTTGATGATAATTTGATAGGAAAAGGACTAAACCAGCCACTTTGGTGCTGTTCGGTCAACGGGTTAACTGTATCCGCACCCATGACTCTGAATTTAGCTTGTGTAAGTCGCACTTTAAGAAGTTCACCAAAGCTCTTGATGGAGTCGTGGCTAAAGTCTCCCAAGTGAGGCTCTCCCTTCCAGAGGGTCGAACATGTTTTGAAGAGACTAGATTGTTTCTCCTCAGCTTGGAAGTCAGCAAGAATTGACATACCCGCACGCTTTCTAGTATGACTGTGTAAAGAAGGTAATGCTGGCTTAGTTGGTGAGTCGTGTGGTGATGCGAGAGGAGCCGCTGGATCAATACGCCTACTGAGAAGCTTGAGTTGTTCGGCTGATAAGCGTTTCTGCCTACGACTGGAGGGCGCTGGTTGGTGATGTTGGTTGTAATTGGATGTGACGGGCAATTTTCCGCCAAAAGTTGTTCTTGGACGACTTGCCTGTACACGATCCTTACTAATATTCTGGTTGACGGTTTGAATATCAGATAGATGAGTATCACCATCTCTACTATTTTCTTTTGAGATATTCAGGTTTCTTTGATTTAAATTTGATCTCAAATGCGCAAAGGGATCTTCATCTTCAGAGCCGATCTCCACTTTTAAGCGAGCTTGAAGGGTCATGGGCATGGAGTGATCTAGGTCTGTCTTGGGCTGTATGATAGATGCAGTATTTTTAAGAGATATTGAACCCACACTACCGACTGTGGGAGACTTTTGACGCTTGCGATGATTAACAGTTGTGGTTCTTTTGACTGAGCCCAACTCTGATAATTTTCTACAAAAAAATAACAATAAAAAAAACAAACAAACAAAAATAAAATAAAATAGTAAGTTTAGATTCCAAAAGACTCGCTCGATTGATTCATCAAGTGCTGCGCAATTTATTGTTCAGTTTAAGTTAAAGGTGTACTTTGGTAGTGATGGCTTTGGATGGGTCACAATGGACACTGGATTCACCGATTCCATGATCAGATAAAGAGAAAGGACGAACAAAACAGGAGGAACGCATTCAATACTTGATATTCATTTGGACTTCCGCCATGGTAAGCAAATGCTCTCATTGTATTGTGACGTACTCTCATCGAGGACGACCACCTGTGTTGCTCCTATGGTGAGCAAGTAGATGAACTAGATTCAGTGTAACATTTAGCGGTTTCCACCGAATGTAGAAGTTTATCGATGGTCTTATTTCTTTAAGGAGAATGTACGCTATGAGCTACAAGAATATTAATACGGTAGCTGGGCATTTAGTTGGATGAAACCCCACAATATCCGATGTCGATTTGTTATATTTAATATATCCAATTGACATCCAGATCATGTCAAAAACTAGTCATTGACCGAGCCATGCAGCATAGGCCACAGTACGAGCTACTGGGTATTCTTCTTATACGATAAGCTGATGGTTGTAGCTTTTAATCCATAATACATTCAATGCAAACTTGACAGTTTAGCAGTTTTAGAGGAATTCAACAAAGGACACAAAGTACAAACTTGGTGTGACAATCTATTTCTCCTTTTTTGCTTGCAGCACTTCTAAACCTGTCATGTATAAATATAAGCACTTTTGATTGTCTAGGATCTATGGTTTTGGTCGAGACTAGAGATAGTTAAGCCTATGTCCAAGAATGTGTTTAATTCAACAAAAATAAGTTGGTATGAATAAATATATTCTGGACAAAATTCTGCTTTGCCGGAAATGTCGCAGGATTAAATAAAGACCAATAAAAATAAATTTGCATAAATGATACGAAATGATGTATAATTAAAGAAGTATTTAGTAATTCTTTATATACACTATTGAGAAACATCAGCCACACCCATATGTATTCGAATTGCGGGAAAAAGTGATTCGAGACCATTCATTAGCCATCTTGAACTAAACGATTGGATATGCTTTATAGAGAAATGAGAGCCGTGCGCAGAAACAGGATCGGGCGGTCTTTTTGTACCTTCTTAATATAGAAATAGTAAATAAACTCAGTGTACACAGTGTAACATGAAAGATAAACCCAAACGCATATTCTTCCAGCCTTGACAGGATTTGCACACTATCTACAGTTCATTGGAACCAGTCATAGAGATTAGCTTTCCAAACTTTCAAGAGATATAATAGCACACATTTAATGAATACATTTGACACATCGTTAACATTGATTTCAAACCGAATTTGTTTGTAAATACATATAGGACGACATTATAAGCAAGTCAGGTCGTATTATAATTAAAATATACATTACCAATAAAATTATCCTTTTGACCCAATGACTGACTATGATATACGCATATAATGCTGAAAGTACTTTAGGAAAATAACAATAGAGTCGGATACAAGTAATCTTAGGAAGTATATAGCTTTTTTTTTGAAAAGCATAGCTATACCTAAAGAAACTTAATTACCCTGATACTACGGGAGATGAATGGTGATTCCGATGGCGATTTCGAAAATAAAAATACCAAAGATACTTTCTAAAATCACCATTGGAATTGCCAAATTTCCCATAAAGTGGGGTTACTTATGCAAGGAATTTCGACGTAGCTTAATATTTTGATAATATAAATATAATAGTAGGTCAACCATAACCGGATCCTTCAAAAATACATGTCAATTTATCCAACACAGCAAGTACGGCAATATACACTGTTACTGAGTGTTGTTTTAATTTTGTCAGTAGTTATTAGCCATTCCTGGTTAGTACGCGGAAATAAATGACAGCTACATCATTACAAACAAGTTATTTACTCACACAACTTCAGCCTTTGTAAAGATTATTCAGAATCGAGGATGCCATTGAACTCAAACTTCAGTCATTTTTTTATTGTTCTCGGTTCACGTGGGTAAAGTTGGTCCGTTTTCAAGAATAAAAAACAGAAAGATTGTTTTCTTTAAGAATATACCCTTATTTAAAGGAATATTAAAACTTTGGATAATTCAGCAATAAAATATCAAAATTTACCCTATTATGCAGTGAGACCCAAACGCTGCTCACAGAAATAATGCATTTTCTTTAAAGATGTGTCAAATAACTGGGGGAATAGTATACTACGGTATTACACTCTCAAGATACACCATGCCCATGAATTATTTGTTTACTTGCAGAGAAATACTGTACATAATTTTGAGATTCTACAATGTATAACATACGGATTCGAGGGTATTTTTATATACAGTAATTTATAAGATATGTATTTCTTTCTCTTTAAATGCATTCAAATAATCTGTGAAAAAGAGTATTCTCTTTAAACGCACTATAAATATTTCTCCTAGTGCTCCTAAACCAAGGCTTTATAATAATAATAAAACAATGAACGTTAAAATATTCAAATCTAATATTCTATTTGACAGTCTTGTGTGAATGCGGATACAACTATTGCATAAATCATTATGTGTCTTTTGGTGAACTTGAAAGGCACACCAAAGATAAGCACTTTAATGTCGACCGAGATAAGAAATGTAGGGTTACATTAGAAAACCCTACTGTCATTAAAAACGGTTCGGTAGGTAAAAATAGGCTCTGAATTCATTTGAGATTTCTTTTCCTTTTGGATTATGATATAGGAAGATAATATTTTAACCCAAAAATAAATAAATAAATAAAAAGTTTTTTTTTTTTTTTTTCGTTGTTGAGAATTTTGTACGCGACAGTGACGATAAATTATGTTTTCAAAAAATCATAACCATGCAGGATTTAGAAGTAACAAAAAATTCAGCAATCCTACGAGCACGACTTTCCTATTTAACCGGACCAAATAATTGTGTCTATTTGTCCGGGACCCAGTGTCCTTCGCTAATCCTTCAGAGCAAAATAGTGTGTTCTGAAAAATACAATATATTCATTGTACGCATTAACATACCACTTTATTCCCAAACCTTTTGTGTTTATCTATCTCTCCCCAGGCACCTAACTCTCATTCTTTTAAAAGTTAAATCCTGCCTTTGCTTAGCTTAATAATGAAACACTGTCTCATACAAAAAACAAATCCTGTAAATTCAATAAGTAGCCTTACATCTAGACTTGACCATAAAAATACACTATATCAATAGTCAGCTATAAAGACGATTATAAAAAGTTATTATTATTAATTTGTGGTGCAATCTTGTTGGTTATTTTACTATTTATTGGTCTTCTTATGCTTAGGATGTCTTTCTATTTTTTCACCTCTTGTATCTATATTACCAAAGTTTGAAAGTATCAGCCGGTAAGTAATCCCTATCTACCCCTTTATTTATTTATTTATTTTTTCAAAGCGCAAAAGATTTTTTCTTTACGAACATTATGTGTCCTGGCTTGTATTAACTATTATAATATTAATGAACCCTTAGGGACCAGATAGAGTTATTCTATGCTGGCAAAAAGGTTGTATTGTGTGGTCCGGTAGAGCCAAAATATCGTGTTCCACCACAAAATGTCGTCCCCCTAAAATTAACGTTGTAAAATATGTAATAGATATAATGTGCAAAGACTGGAGAAAAAGGCCATTTTAACAAAAAGTTTTTAATTTGCACCAAACAAGAGCTTCCGTCGTTAGCTCCAGAAGGTATGTATCTTTATAAACTTCTAAAATATCTAAAACTAAATATATTAAATTGCTAACCAGTATGGTAAATTGCGTATTGTATATGCAACTCTTAGTTGGCATGAAAAAAATATAAGTGAATCTGAAAACGCCAACGAAAAGAGGTTAAAAGAGGCCGTAAGAATAAATAGTCTACTTACTAGTGATAACTCAAACGCAATTACTCAAGTCTGATGCAAAAGTTGCCGTGGCCTAGGTTACTCAAGCGCAAAGTCTTAAAAAAAAACTTCTGATATAGTGTAAGCTAGCTCATCATTGGCAGAAATATCACAAATAAGAAAGCAATATCTGATGATTTGTTGGGTTGTTGGGATAGTCTTAGTAATGAACATAATGTATTATATTCTGCTTCAATGGAGAATGGCTACAGTCAATATCTTTCGCCAGAATGTATTGAAATAGCTACAGTATATGCAAATCATATAGTAGAGCTATTTGAAAAAAAACGTGTACCATTTTCATTCAAAAGCTCAAGGAAATACTACCAAAGGAGGTATAAATCATTTAATTTGATAATAACATCTCTTATGTACTAAGATCTATCTTATTATTTGGGCACAAGAGAGAGAAGAACTATAGCAGAATAGTACTGTTACAGAAAGGTTTGTGGACTTAAATTAATAGTTGGTCAGAATAAATAAAAATCCTTATCCGCAAGGTAGAGGGATCTTGCTGAAGCAGTTTGTGATGAACTTCTGCGAATTGTAGTACAAAATAATGGCACACCTGTACAGCTTGCTTCTTACCTTGGTTCTTATATTGCGATGCAATGGTATATTATGTTTGAGCATGAGACAGAATATAATCAAGAGCTGTCCTGGAAGGAGTTAAAAAAGACAGGAAAGCCTGATAAAAGCAGTAAACAAGACGTTGCTCACAAGAGCGATTTACTCAAAATGTTCGCTTTGACACCAGAACCTTCGTTCAAGTTCAGATTTATCTCCATTAAACCTACCGGCCTAAAGGCTTTCACGACATGCTTCAAAAAAATATTTTTAGCATTCAATCATAACCAAGGTATGCTCTTTAGAGTGGTAGACTTTTCGAAACCGAATCTTAAAATCTATAGTGTCATAAAATAACAATGTATAAGGGCGTGTAATTAATACGTATTGTAGTTTTAAAAAGCAAAAAGAAAGTGGGCGTAATAATGGGCAGAATGTTTTTGCAAACCTTATAAAACTATTGTCTTCTCTGCTGATGTGGCTGTCTACAAAACAAGGCCCGAACACTTTGCTAGTAGCAAAATTGACTATTTTATAGAAAACTTGAAGCATTGCAGCAAGGTGAAGATATGAATGCTTTTTGTTGTATATGTTGACGAATTTCGGACGTCAAAGGTAAAACCAAATATAGTGTTTTATTGTCAGAAAATATATACCGTTTATGAATAGGTTTTTCATTGCTGCAAACAAGTAAGCATGACCTCTTCAGTTTCTTTTTGGCTTCGGCCTAAGGACTCTGATTTTTATAGGTAAGAAAAAAAAGATGAGCATTAATCTTTACTTGCCCAAACCAATTTATTTTTTGTCTGAATTTTATTTTCATTTCGTCCAAAACATTTCTCAACTTGTCTCAATCTCAAGTAGAAACATTGAATCTATGGAAGTTTATGGAATAATTTTTTATAGATAGTTTTTATTTAACTGGTATAAAATTACAATGGAATAAAAGGAAATATTGGACACGCTCACCAGAAATATATACTTTGAAAAAAAAAAAACACAGAAAATATAAATTGCTAGGTTGAAAAATGCCTTTGTATAGCATACAAGAAACCTGGTTAATAAAATAATAAAGTGAAAACAGCACGAATAGCTATATTACAAAAATGAAATATGGAAGCATGGTAATATACAAGGAAATCTATCCATAAGCCCATGAAATGAAAGAATACAATACAAGGTAGAGAAGTTGTGTGTGTGTGTGTGTGTGTGGATTTCGTGGATTTTGTGGCATTAGAAATAGATGCGTCGAAGATCCGATGGTGTCGTAATTTTCTGGCATTGGGGACATAATTTTTTAGAGCCCAACGTTTGTAGCCAGCACTGCTCACAGTGAACGTGCCAACAAACGATTGAAGCAAGAGGAGTCTTGTATCCCTCAAGACAAATCAAACAGCGTGGCACCGAACGTGAGGCAGCTTCCTATTATTGAATAAGTATGGATAAAAGTCTAATGGGTGTGGAACTTACCAATTGTTGGATTCTTGCTTTAAGAGAATCTACTACTAGTCGCGACTGGCCTGAGTTGGAGTTCATTTGATTGGAATGTGTCAAATGGCGCTCCCACCCAGCATCTGATACCGTTTCTTCAAATCCGCTTCGAGGAGAATCGACCTCTCTGTCAATTGAACTTGCATTTAGAATAGTCCTTATATAGTCCATAAAAATAGGTTTAATATCTTACCCTTCATCCCCATCTTGCACAGACGCAGTTGCCGTGGAACCTCTTGTCATTCCACCAGATACCATCTCTCTTAAAGCGGATGCATTCTCATTATCATCATCAGAATTTACAACAATATCTCGTTCCGTATATTGACTTTCTCCAAACTGAGCTGCATCATCATCTTCTACATCGAGATCCTCATCTACATCCTCTTCCTTGCTTGTAGTAGCGAATCCAGCACCTACAATATATGTCAACAAAGTGCCGAAATGACAAACGATTTACTATAGTTATTTGTCCAAGTACCTCTATAGCCTCCTTCCATCATGGATGTAGCTCTCACACGAGTCTGACCAGCCCACTCGTATTCTTCCCACCTAGCTGACAAAGGAGAGGTGCCAGCACCAGAATTCTCCCTTGACTCATTTTCAGTATTATCTATCATTGGCTCGTCTTCTGTATCCTCGGGTTCTACCGAAGAGTTCAAGTTGGCTAAGCAGTGATCGATATGGAGATTAACAGCATCAGAATCCCCATGCAGCGCCTGATTGCAAATAAAGCATACTTGAGCGCTACTATTTGAGTTTGAATCTTGTCTTGATCCTTGCTCTTCTTCATACAATGCACGCGTTAAAGCAAGTGTTTCATCGTAAGCAGCTGCTGAATCCTCTAATTGTCTCGGGGAGTCTAATTTGTGTACGTGTGTGTATGTGTTTTTTTTAAAAAATAAATAAGTAAACAAAATAATATGTTAGATAAATCAATTGTACTCTTTATCCAATTGGTTGCTGATATATTAATATAAAATTCCAAGTATTGTCTAACCTAGTTTCTGGAGGACTTCTTTACGGTGGGCACGGTTCTTCTGAATTTTCTCGAGTGTACTCTCATATGCTGAAGGTGCTCTTTTCTTATGGTTCGTCTTTTCAAGTTGTTGACGTGCCACAACTGCTGCCCCTCTTTTTCCTCGGCTACACAAGAAGGCGCAGTTATCAGGAACCTGACAAGACAATACAAGCATTGATGACATGACAATGCCAATCAACTTACTTTTTGTTAAGAGGATTATTATAGATATCTGATTCAAGTTGACCAAGTCGTTCCAATTCATAATTAAAATGAATTTCCCAATGTGCAGGGTCTATTCGGTGCTCGCAGATTGGGCATTTCGGTTGATCGCGCTTGGCTACACAGAGAAAAAGAAAGATAGAAAATTTAATACATTGGTCAAATAAAATTTATTAATTAATATAGTCTTTCTTTTTAATACCTCGTTTGCCATTGTCGTCAACCAAGAATTGAAGTTCGCGGTGTAGACCCTTGGATCGTCTCTTGGTTGTTGATCGCGACCTAGACAATGAATGAATTGGGGAGTGAGTTTTCGGCGGCTCGGGTCGGGGCTTTTTTAAGAATCTCTAGATAATTTTTATCGTACTTTTGGGCATTAGACAATGTTTGAGGTGGAATGGCAGGGTCGGGATTCGTGCTAGATGAGGACATTGTCAGGTGTCTATAACGTCTGTGGGTCTTTCGAGAATAATGGTTGGCTAAGAAGCTTTTGGACGGTTGGACGTGTTGAAGTAAAAATGGATGCAAATGGATCGTCAATCCGATTCACAACCGTTGGTAGTTCCCAATCTAGTATTTCTTAAAATAGTAGATACAGTCACATAACACCCGCACTGTTTTTTCGTTATGGCACGAGTGGAATGAAACACTGTATCAAAGAATTAGGATTAATTTATTTATCCATATTGACCTCTTTAAACCTTATAAACATCCACACATATATTAGTGTTTTATAGTATAAGTCAAAATTAATTAATAAAAAGAAAAGTCTTTTGAGTCAATGCGTTTATCTTTTTTTTGGCATGATTTTCACTCGTAGGCTATCGTATTCTTAATTTCAAAGGGTGATAATTGTTATGTACAAAATGAAATGGAGAGGCACAAGCAAGAGGAAGCAAATAAAATATTAGAGTAGGGAAATAGACAAGCAATAAATATATGCGTTCATGATTTAACTAGAAAGAGAGGCCGTCAAAACGCAAGTATGACCACAGCCAGTAGCACACAAGGTCTCCTTAGAAAACCACTCTCGCATATGCTCCAAATGACCACCATGATTGCAGCCCTGACACCATACATATAGACCTCGTACAGTTTGATGACTAGGATCATATTGCATGAGTATATTACATTACATTAATGGGAAATTTCTTACCAGATAGAGCAAGGATTCAATAAACGACGGCATTTATCACACGCCCATGAACCATTTGTTGTACCCATAACAACTTTGAAGCAATGGTTGCATGCAATATGTATAGTAGTTGCATTCTATACGACACATAAGTAATAATATTTCTTTTACTTTTACCCGATCACTTACCTCATTACGCTCCCGGACTCTTTTTACTCTACACGCCTTAATCATAACTGTTGCTGGCGACCAGAGCTTAAAGCGGTGGAGAAGATCTATTTGTTTGTTTGTTTGTTTGTCGCTTCTTGATTAATCATATATTTCGACGATATACGTAATGTAATATGCTTACCAATATAAGAAGTGAACCAGTCTTCGACTCGGTTATCATCAATGTGAATATAGCGTTCAAGTACAAGATATAAAGTTACACACATCTGTACATCGCCTTGTTCTGTATAATAATCGAGGAGCTCCATAACTACGCCCTCATGCTGCCATGTTGGCCACAACTCAGCAACCTCAGAGCAAGAATCACTAAATCTTGTAACGACACTCCTTTTATCTTGATCTGTATTTTGATCTGACTCTTCCGAATCTGTTTCACTGGATTCTCCACTGTCTGTATCTTCATTTTCAATCTAAAGAATTTTAATGGTTAGTAAAAGTAAAGCTTTGCCAATGAAATTAATATACATCCAAAAGACCACGTTCCGGTCCAGTATCTTGTTGTCTTCTATCATCAGGCTCAGATACTATGTTGAAAAAATAAATCCTATTTTAATCACAATGATTTGGGAGCATAGTATATGTGTATTACGTTCATCCTCTGAATCAAACAAGAGAGCCACAATTTTCCATGTTTGTGATGTCCGGTATCTACCCATTTTCCAGGCAACCTAACAATGTGCACAGTTACATACAGCTATTGTGATCTTTACTGGATCGTTTAACTTACAAGACTATTATTCTCACAAGAGGCAGCAACATCTTTTCCAGATACTTGATAGTGTTCAGCAAAAACAGAGAATGCTTCAAAGTCGAACAAGGGAATATGGGCAATTCCACAATTCTGTGACGGTATATATTGAGTAAACTAAAAAAAACTGGGTTAGTTACTATGACTAATGTACACAAGACAGTATTAGTATACTTCATCCTCTACTGCAGATTGCTTTGTGGGTGGTCGCCGCCATTTTTTAGACATAAAAGCCGCCGTTTGTGGTAATAGTCTGTAATGGGACATTTTAATATAACCGAGTAACAAGCAAATAATATGAAGAAAGACTCACCCTTCATCTACAAAATTTTCACGAGAACTTTTATCAATTGCAAAAGCCAGATCTCCCTGGACATTCCATCCAATGGCATTTCGTTTCAAGAGGTCTACAGGGCGATATGCAGCTTGAATTTCTTGTCGGATGAACCATTTGTCTTTTGCAACCGAATATATTGTATCTGAATTTAGCCACAAGAAACCTAGAATAAACATTTAAAAGTATATTAATAATCAGTTTTTCCTTTTCATTTTTGGATTTCTATATTACCTGTAGGAGTTGTCTCATGCTCATCAAAAGCATATTTGGCTATATTAGGACGTCTCACATCCCAAACATGAATCCGACTGTCTGTTAGCAGAGCGCAGGAGGCAATCTCATCATCGTATCCTGGTCTCCATTGAATACGAGCTACAGCTGCCATAGTACGAATAGAATATAGAGGTCTTCGACTGTCCGCGCTCATGTCCCACACCTTTATCCTGGTATTAGCTGCGAGCTATAGTCAGTAATACGCTTGCCTTGATAGTCTTATCACGTCCTCCACTAGCCACCATGCGTCCTCCGTGATGCCAATCAACGGTTAAGCAAGGACCATTGTGAGCGCTCACTTTACGCTCATAAATTGCTTTTGGATTCCGCATATCCCATTTCTTAAGAGGAATAGGTAATAATTAGAGAAAGTTTTTTTTTAATAAAGTAAAATAAAAATAAAAATAAAAATATTACCTGGATAGTGCCGGTCTCAAAAGCAGCTGCAAACTCATATTGAATGACTGGATTAAACTGGACATCACGTACTGCTTCTGACTTTCCTTCAAATGTATGGAGAGCAGCATTCTTAGGGTCTCTAAGATCCTGGAATCCAGACAGCTTCTATTAGTATTTTTCTTTGATGTTTATGGCATTGTTTTACCCAACATTTCATGCTACCATCTTGGGAAGCACTTAATAGAATATTGCCATTTTCTGGCTGAAAACACACACGATTGACCGCACGCGCATGTTCATTAATCACGCGCTCAGCTGTGGTAAATTTGTTGAGTTTATGGATTGATATTAACACATCTCTACTCATCATTATCTTTTTTTTTTCTTTTCATGATTTGTATAATATATATATATATTGTATATGTGATGTGCATAATACGGTTTATATAGTAATATTTTACCTGCTTTTCGTCCTACTTTGTTCAGGTCCCACAAAATAATGGCACCGTTTGTTGCTGCAGTGGCCACCTTGTTTTTGGTGGCTATTTATGCAGAAGAAGTTGCTTTTCTTCTTTAGCTGGCGTAACTTGTGAAACTCTAGTGCTGCCTACCATTGTTTCCCCATTTGACGTCGTTACTACTATAATTCAAGTTCAAGTGACTTCCAGCTCTCAAGTTTAGTGTCTCAACTACTTCGGACTTTGTCACCGCGATGATCTTGAGGACTATTTAGTCCCGCATGAGCTTAATGAAGTCAAATGATGTTTATGTGTAGAGTTCATGTAGATTTTTTTTTAATAATAGGTATAATATTACCTTCTCTTCCTGCAATAGCTACTGATTCACCATCCGGGGATATACTTAGGGCATTTAGTGCACCTGACATGCGTGCTCTCAGAACCGTTGTGGAATCATTGGATGGATCAGATTCTTGGTTTTCATCCAGACCAGACAATGGCGATGAATGAGATTCCGTAGGTTCTGAAGAAAGTCTTGCAGCTGCGTACAGACCTGCTTGAGAAACAATGCGTTGCATTCTTCCACTTCCAGAAAGCTGGTTCTTTGCGTGTTTTTTCATCAAGTGCAAACAACAAAACAGCTCTTGAGAGTCTGCTTGATTCTGTTGCCTTGAAGGTGAACTAAACGTGAGATGATACCCTTTTTTCCCCCAGTTGTGGAGGGGAGAGCGGTCACAATCAAAAAGACTTGGCTATTTTGTTTCTCACACATTACATGTATGTTTTTGTGTGGCAAACACATAGATTTTATTTTAAATAATATAACATGGTGATAGAGAAGTTCCGATTAGGCGTAGCTTATTTCAACTTTGATGGCCAATTATATGATAAAGAGTACTATTTTTCTGTTTATATAATAAAATCTTGTAATACGATCATTTATTATAATTATAATCTTTTTATTATTGTTCTCGTTAATTGAACTGTAACAAATTTCTACACCCACAAAATGAAGACGTGTATTTATCAAATACTTGCAACATATTGTGGGATACCATCTATATTTTATATATGTTATGTGCAAACGAGTTGGGTTTTGGTTTCCCTTTTTTACAAAAAAGGAAGGGATCAATTGATTCAAGCTGACTTATATGCATACGCTATCAAATAGATCAAATATTACCGGAATGAACAAACAATATTCTTGCATGTATTTGTTCATTATATCAGTACTATTTTTTGTTTTGTTTTGTTTTGTTTCAAAAGAGTACTAATTTTTATTCAAAGTACAGTAAAAAAAAAGAAATATTTGTATATAAAAAGAGAGAGAGATAAAGAGATTTATAGCGATTGTTTGATTGTTTGATTGTTTGATTGTGTAAAATTATACGCAAAAAGAAATAGTTAGGAAAAGAAGAAAAGACTCTGGCTTTTCTGTGTTGTTTTTTTTTCTTTTTTTTTCTTTTATTGCTGTCTAGAACCTAGTTTGTGCGAGCTACCTTGTGATCCATCTAACGCAGAAAATGAAAATATATCGTATCAATGCATTTGTTTCAATATCTCCAAAACCTTAATTATTAATATTAATATTATTTACCTCAACATCGCCTTCTTCAGCCTTGCGCTTTAAAGAAGACGGGATATTATTTACATTATCAATCTCCTGCTCCTGTGGGGTTATGTCCATAGAAGAGTCTCCAAATACCAGTGTTCCACTCTTGATTGCATCTGCATGACATGTAGCATGGTATATCTAATATACTGACATAAGTCATCTTGACTACTTCTACTATTCTTATTCTTATTTTTGTTCTTGCTCTTGCTCTTCTTCGTATTCTTATTCGTATTCTTGATATCCTTATTATTACTAGCGCTGTTACTACTGTTACTGCTACTGCTACTGCTACTGCTACCCCTGTGATTATGATTACGATGGAGATGATGATTATATTAAGAGTATTTACCGTATTTTCTACCAGAACGGCATTCTTGTACATCCACTCCTCCTCCTCATCATTCCAAAAGTCTATAAAACGTTCACCACAAATAGGACAAGGCTTTCGTCCATCATTGGGCATCACTACCTTGTGATCCTCAGCCATATTTGCATCTTCTGTACTTCCATGTACACCACTACTCTTTTCATTATTATTAAGATGACCACTACTCTGATCATTCAAGAAAGCTGGGGCTGAAAACCAAAAGAAGGAAAAAGAAAGAGACGAAACAATAATAATAATAGTAGTAGTAATAAAAATTAGAAGAAAAAATCAAAAGTGGAAATAAACAAAACAAACAAACAAAAAATTAGCATGCCTCCATTAGTCAGGTAAGATGATCAAGCTTACCTTGTTGACTAGTTACTTCGCCACCTGCACCACTGATCCATTCTGATTCAGTTACAAACCAAGATCGTGACAATCCTCGCTTGACACGTTCCTTCATGCGACGATTCTGTCTGAAATGAGAATCAAGATGGGCATCCATCTTGGCTTGGCCCTCGTCTGTTTTTGGGTAACGGAAACCGCATTGCTTGCATTGCAAAGGTAAGTTTGAATACAATAACTCTACTGCACCTGCTCTTGGTCTAAAGTATAAATTGATTTTTGTAGGTTGAAGATGGTGTAAGGAACGACAAAATAGGAAGGTTGGGGTGAGCAAAAATGACTTAGAAATTAAATTATAGACACTAAATTCCAATACACACATTTGCAAATCTTTGCTGTCAAAACTGAAGGGTCCAAACACATCTTGACTTTTGTCTGCTATTCTCTCAGGTGTAGAAGAAGGCGTTGCAATTCCATTGGTAGGGTTACCTAGGAAACCCATTGAAGCAAGGTTTTTTAACAAATCACCTGTATTAACTGGAGCTGGCTTAGGAGGAGGATGAGATAAACGAATAGGCTGTGGGACTGGAGGTACAAAAGCAGTTTGTGGAGTAGCAGCAAGAACCTGAGACATGTACTGCTGAATAGGCGCTGCTTGTGAAGACGCCAGCGTAGGAAGAATTGCCTGAATCTATGCTCAGTCTTACTAAATCACTTTTTTTTCTTTTTCTTTTTAACTTTTATACAAAATATTTACTTGTCCAAGTAGCTGAGACAGATGATCATTATTGGTAACAGCTTGTTGTGGTGCCAAAAGTGCTTGAAGAGCAGGTAAGATACTACTTGGGTTCATTGGCTGTTGTTGTTGTTGTTGTTGTTGTTGTTGTTGTTGTTGTTGTTGTTGCTGCTGTTGCTGCTGTTGCTGCTGTTGCTGATGTTGCTGCTGTTGCTGCTGCTGGTGTTGTTGTTGTTGTTGTTGTTGATGATGATGTTGCTGTTGGTGTTGATTATGCTGTTGATTATGTTGATTATGTTGTTGATGTTGGAGTTGTTGCTGGATTTGTTGATGAATTTGTTGTTGATGCTGATTATGGTGTTGATGCTGTTGACGTTGATGTTGTTGTGGTTGCTGCTGCTGCTGCTGCTGCTGTGGTTGTTGTGGTGATTGTTGTACAGGCAAAGACTGTTAATAGTCAATAGTCAATAAAAAAAAGTATTATTATCATTATTATTTTATAACCATTGTCTTCATTATTATGACCATCATTATATTCATCATCCTTATTATAATTATTCTTATTATTATTCAATTGCAGGGATTATAAATTATAAAGCTTATTACACTCTATCTTAAATCAGATCTTAAAGCATAAATCTCAAGGTAGATCTTAAATTTTATCATATACACATTATTGTATCTATCCCTCTATTGTATATTATAATGTATTGTTCATTCATATTATAGTGTTCTATTACTTTCTAATTTATTCTATTTTGCATGTTATTTTATATCTATATCTATATATCTATAGCTATTAATTTTCTTACTTGAGCAGGAGTAGAGAACTTGGAGGATCTAGGATCTCTTGAAGGAAGGCCATAATTGTTGGGACGAATACGAGGATCACGGGAAGGCTGCTGCAGTTGTTGCTGCAACTGCTGATGCTGATGTTGGTGTTGGTGTTGGTGTTGTTGCTGTTGCTGGTGATTATGTTGGAGTTGCTGCTGTTGACAACTTACAGTTGGTTTCTCTTTCTTTTTCCGGCAACAATATAATCAAAACCTACCTTTGGGGGAGAGACGAAATTTGGATTAACATGAATTTGCTGGTTACGTGGCGGCTGGGTAGGCTGACCAGCAGCACGAGGAGGACTAGCACTCTGCAAATTATGGCGATGAGGTGTGTGGATGGCTTGTCTCTGATTATCTCTCATGTAGTTCAATGCCCTCTCAATTGGCTCAATAACATGACGAGCAAAGACTGGGCCTCCAGCTGGCATCCCATTTTTCCAGGTTTGCAATACGCGCTCAAAACTGCGTCGCATCTGGGGGTCAGTGAGAGTGTAGGCATCCAGATAAATTGAGCCAATATTTCTTGCGAAATGGCTGATAAATGGCCCTCCTACGTTCTTACAGATCGAATCGATCAAATACAATACAGGTAACTTCTGGTCGGGTGCATTCTGTAATCAAAGGTTAAAAAAAAACCTCATCTCCTCATTCAGAATACGAAGGAGAGAAACAACAAGAGCAAATGAATCGCGATGGTTTACATCTTTATTATCATTAAGTTCAATTGTCCTCAAAGGGGGTTTCTCCCCTTTTTTTCTTTGTGTATTTCTTCTTCCCCTTATTTTTGGGTCTTGTTTGTATCTCTCTCCCTCATAGTCAAGTCATAAAGCATCATGTCTCCAAACTTACGTGTCTGATTTGCTGTTCGATTTCTCTCACAATTGTACTGGCAGCATACTGATTCTCTTGGGCCATTATTGTCAAATTGGTGATGATAGGCTTGGAGTTGAAGGTGAGTTCCGAGAGTGCTGCCCTATAGTTTCCTCGAACGGTTTCAATGTTGGCTGGTTGTTGTGGAGTTTGCTGAATAATGCCACTCAAGGTGGGAATATTGTGCAATGACATTGCGCTGTATTGATTTTATAATATTTAAAGAAGAAGAGAAGAAAGAAAGAAAGAAAGAAAGAAAAACAAGGGCGTAACAAAGAGATGTCTTTGAATAGAGAGTAACCCAAGCTGATGAATGAAGAAGAAATGTATTGGAATCAGTCTTTTTCTTTTGGCCTTTTATTTTTTCAGACTTTTATATTTGCAGGTTTGTGGATGAGTAAATGGATTGATGGGATGAATAGATAGATGGACGTTATTTTTGTATGGGATTGTATAAATGTCTTGTCTGAGGTATACGAGATTGTTCAGAAATGTATTGCACGTTGGTTCTGTTTGATTCTTTCTTTTTATTGTATTCTTTTTTGCTTTTTTTTGTTTTGTTTTTGAGTGCCGCCTTGATGTCGGATTCCTACCTTCTTTATTGAAAGATTCCAGGCTAGAATTGAGGAAGAGGAAAACCAGAAAAAAATTAAAAAAGGATAAATCTTGGCTTCTTAATGCTCAAAAAAGAAAACAAGTGACGCAATGGCTGACTTGGATTGAAAAAAAAAGGTGATTGGAACAAATCATATTCGCTGTACTTTTTTTTTCAATTAATTTCCAGTGTCGCGTGAAAAATATTGAAACAAAAAAAATATAATGTGAATATTGAAACAAATTTGAAAAATTAAAAAAAAAATTAATATTTAAATCAATATTTTCTTGTTAATGCAATATCTTAATCTCTTTCTCTATAATTAACTTTATACACAATGTAAATAATAGCAAAAATATTACTTATATAATATTATGCCTTTTGTGCTATATATTTCTATATCGATCTAATTATCTCTAATCCTTGCGCCTATAGGTCTGACCCTTATGATCCTTATGATCCTTATGTTCCAAATGTACAATCTGTAGCAGCAACACAGCAAAAAAATGAGAAAGTAAACAAGGTCAAGGCACAAGTTGATGCAGTAGTTGATGTTATGAAAGACAATATCGAAATGGCCAAGAATCGTGGCGTTAAGCTAGAAGATATATCCAAACAAACAGGTACATAAAATAGGCACATGGCAATATATATTCTGACAATTGATCCACAAAATAGAAAAACTAGAGAAAGACGCCAGTAATTTTCGTAGAAGTGGAAATGAGGTTCGCAAGAGGATGTGGTGGAAGGACTTGAAGTGGAAAATTATCATTGCCTTGACCATCCTAATTATTCTTGGTGTCATAATTGGTAAGAGTGGCTCATATCAGATATTTACTATACTAAGCCTAAAAATTGCATTATATTTTACAGCTTCCATTGTTGTCACACAGGTAAATATAAAGGTTATATATGAAGCCACTTGTTACTCATCCAATTCTGTAGACAAAAGCATAATATCACTGAGGCATAAACCCGGCAGCCACAAAACACGGGTTGTACAGAATACAACATTTTTATTGTTCTTTCTAAAAAAAATAGTCCCTCTTTCTTCATTTGCCTTTCTTGGGCTCTTCTTTATTTCTCTTCTTTTATACACACATACACACATATATATATATTCTACAAAAGCCTCTTTGTTCCTTAGCCACATTCTAAGCACATACCCTATACAGCCTCCTTTTCTTTTGCTTTGTTAAAATTACAGTCTTTCCCTTTACCAATTAATATACCAATAAAATGTTTTAGAAAAAAAAACTTTCAATTTTTTGCATATACTGTGTATAGGGTTTGAACAGAAATCTTGTGCATTTAAAGCATTGGTTATGAAGTTTGGATCTGTTTATCTTTAAATTCACAATAAAAGATATACAAGCCATGTAAGGGTATAGCTCTTACATACCATATAATAAAACGAACATGTTATAATAATACTATAATAGGGACCTTGGTGAGACGATAAGAGACATTTAGGTGCCGAGTTACCAAATATAAATTTCTGTCAAACATTTTCTGTCGGAATATCATGTCTCAAACATAGTATACATTTGGTAATCATTGCCTGTCGGAAAAGGAGTAGTACTAAGCTCACGAACAATGCTTCATATAATCAAGCTAATGAGAGATTCGTTAACTTCTATTCAATAATAGTCATTTTTTTCTTGGTATTATGTTAGAACAAAAATATTAATACTAATTTTATTAAAGAAATAATGAAAGAAAAATAAGTAGAGAAAAGTATACTGAAGGGATGCTTATATTCTTACATGCATACGTTAAAATTACAACTATTAAAATTTTCAAGCTTAATTTTTTCGTGCGTTTAGCAGCAAAAAAATAATACAACATGATTGGCCTATTATGTTTTACAATGTTTGAAAAATTTCTTTCAAGTTTGACAAACTTTTGAGAAAATTTATCAAACATTCGCGTTTTTCACACCTAGATTTCTTTATACGGATGATTTAAACTCCTCAAAATGTTTTACAAGGTTTCAACAAGGTCTCTAATATTTGTAGAATATGGAATATATCCAAAGCTGTTGTTTTCTAGTACAGTTAAATGATTCTGCGTATTCAGACAGTATGTTTGATAAGTGTTTTTCTTTGGCAATAAAATTATACTTTTCTTGCACTCATTCTTGTATATACCTGAGAGTGGCTGTCTGATTTTTGGGAGAATAGATACTATATTTGGTAAGGCTTTAAACTTTCTCGAATGAATGAAATACAGAGCTGTTTTATGACCGATTTAACACATGGCTTATACCCGTTTATGAGTTTTAGCTTGTTGGCTTGTTGGCTTGAGCGTTGTCTTAAAAGATAAATTTAATCTTTTTTGTAGCTGGAATACTATCCAAGAAGGGTAAAATATGTTTCTCAAAAATTCCAGTGTACTTAGGATCACCCAGGCTGTCAGATATAAATACAAGTTGACCAACCCCTCTTGAATAGATACATCTCCAAACTATAGATACACCTCTTTTTTTTTGGAATTTTTGGGGTGAGACAGTTGGCTTTGTACTTTCCAAAAGGCACACGCCACACATGGCTGCGTATGCTTGCCTTGTACATTGTCCCGCTTGATTCGCCACTTCATACAATTGTCTTCCATTCTGAATTCCAATATTTTACTTTAGTTGAACCATTGTCATCGTTCTTTAATATGTCTTTCAATGAGCAAAGGGTTTTGTTTTGGTATGTTTTAGTGGATATCCATATTATGGAATATTCTGCTGATTATATCTTGGTTAACAGGTATCTCTATTTTTTGGGACTATGTGCAACATCTGTCCACGTTTGTCCTGTATCACTCTTAACATTTGAAAGAGTACAGTAATATTCTCTAGGCCACATTATCTTGAAACTTCATGGATTTCCCTAATAAGCGATAGACCCAGATGATTTGCGTATTGTTACTACACGGCTCTTTTTGTCTTCTTTTTTTTTGTTGAAAATATTGGCTTTAGGCGCAATGCCAGGATCAATAGTTTGGATTAAATGAAAACTTAAGTTTGTGCGTTTATATATATTTATGAGTGTAAGAGCTCTGGGTTTTAAGCCTAATGATAAAGACCGTGTTTCATTTCAAGAGATTGAAATAAGCTATAAGGGTGCGTATAAAGGAATCTGGAAAAACAATTCTAAATAACAAAAGTTTTTGGAGGGACCATGTATATAACCAGCAAAATCTTTATCATAAACCAATTCAATCTTCAGCCTTTCAAAAACTTGGTTTTTATTCAATTTTACAAGCGAAGGATGTCATTCTGGTAGGTAGAAAGAGATAAAAGTAATGAAGACAGTGTTTGCAATTTTTTTATGAATTCCTATTATATATGTATGTAAACCATACGCTCAAGTTTTCTTTACAGAATTATTATCAAAGCCAAGAAGTTAAAGGAAGGGGAGTTCACCACATACATACATATTTTATATTTTAAAAAGAAATATAATTTATGTAAGATGGCTGTAGACTTATGAAGCTAAAAAAAATCCATCCTCAAGCATACAGACTGATGCAGGCAATTGAAAATAATAGTAATAATAGACATGTTTTAAGAGGTATTCAATAAGACATATGTATTTATTGGTATTTGAAACAAAAAAAGTTTTCGCAGCTCTCTTTTTATTGTATTTTATTTTATTTTACGAGGTTTCTTTAGGGTGTTTAATAGGCTATGATAGGCTTTCTTTATAATGTTGTATGTACAAGGTAGAGGGAATGCTTTTTTTTTGTGAGTTTGACTATTATACATTTTTTGTTTTACAGTGTGGTGTATATACAGATTATTGAGATAAAAATCGAAATCGATTTAAGATGAGCGATAGGCAGCTGGTTTAATGCGGACTGTGACTGAAGGATGATCAAAGATAATTGAATCCAGGGCCATGGATTTTTCAGATACTGGGCAAGATTTAGAAAAGTTCTCGTCATCAGAAAGGTCAGAAAGATAGGAGTCATTGGAAATCGTCGATGAAGATGAAATCAAAGAAGGTGCGACTGTGGTTTGAACTTTGTTACAACTAAAGGCTTTCTTGAATGAAGCGAGGCCTTTCATGCATTGACCCATCGATGATGTGAATGTGGAGGCACGACTTGTGGTATTGTTAGTTGAGGATTGGCGACGCTGGCACTTTGAGATGATACGCTTTTGGATAGAGAGAATCTGCATTGTAGAGTGCGAAGTATGTAGTATTGAGCGCGGAGTGCAAAGGTAGAAGAGGAAGAAGGCTCGGTAGAAGAGATGAGGTTGAGAGAATGTGTAATAAAAAGAAAAGAAGTGCACGAATGTCAAGCCTTTATATACTATTTCAAAAGGCCCGCGCTCTTGGGGTATGAGTGAAGGATTACATGTTTCTTCTTCACTTTATTGCCATTTTTAGGACAAAGACAAGGGGCCATCGTATCTGATGTTTGGCATCTATAGGAAAATACAGCCAAAAATCCTGATCCACAAGACCACAGCCAAAAGCAAGATCCATGATCCATGGTTCCCCCTATCGAGAATCAAAAATGAGTTTGCCTCCTGTATCAATTGGTTCACATCACCTTAATTATGATCTGTAAAAGACATTGAACTTTTCGATTCCGAGCTTTTGGTATCTCACGATCTAACTACTTTATACATAAGTTTATTTTTAATATTAAAATAATCATTGCCAGGTCTTCACGTAAAATTGTAGCTATTTTTTCTCTTATATATATATATAGTACACTTATCATGTAAAAGCTGTTACAATTACATGAAAAGAGTTCGTTATATAATTGTAAGCCTACTCTCTGTTAATCTTCATATATACAACAGTATGGACTACGAACAAGGTAAAGTATTTTATCTTGGGTGCAATATTGGTCAGAGTTACTAATGACTAATATCAAATTTTTTAAGAAAAAACTAAGATATAAACCACACATTTATGTAAGAAAATATTTTTATTTAAACGTTGAGCTGGTTTGTACAAAAGGAGCAAAAATAATAGAGTGATTTGTATATCGAATGTTTTTAGTGACTTTTGAATGTAATTGAGAACTAGAATACAAACAGAATAATAGAAATACCAAGTTTCTGACCCAATATACAATGCAATCTTCAGCAAGTATTATCAAAATCAAATGCTTTTTAAACAGATTAAGGCATTTCTGAAATCACCTTTATTCAATAATTTATATATGGTAAGATGTAAAAAAAGACAAAGAAAAGTTTTTTTTTTCTATCAATTTAGATTAATAGTTTGTCTTTTCTCAATAGAAAAGCAGTAATTTAAAGAAAATTGACAATTTTGAAATAGCAAAACTATAGTTTATTTGTAACCATTCTAGCAACAAACTCAGGAAGACATATATCATTAACCAGCTACCATACTCCTTTGCGTGTAAAGCTTATGTCAACTAAGTTAAGCAGTTTATGTTTTATTCTTTTAGGCCTATTTTATTTCTTAAACATATCAATACCAAGTGATCTCTTATTTTCTTTGAAAGTAATCTAATCATCGTATGGTATTTCTTTTTATAAAGTATAAGTTCTATTAGAGTAACTGGTTTAAGTTCTTGTAAGTAAAATCACCAATACACCCTTAACTGCATATATCAACGAAGGGCCAAGCCACTGCTGTTGTAGAACCGAAAGTACCTTTGTCAATTACTCGACCTTGTTCATAACCAAGTCAACATTGGTCTTGACTAAACTGACGATATAATTAGACTATCTTTTTTTTTTACTATACTCTTAACAGAAAATCTAGTATTTAATTTTTACTACATAGTATGTAATAGCTGGATTGCCAATTCCAATTAGACATTAATAAAAGGATAAAATTCGATCTTTTCAGTAGCATTTATTTGCAAAGTGCTTTCATTTGTATTCGTACATGACTACTATTAGTATCTAACTTTCTTAGAGCAAATCTTGAAAGTGTTTATTACGTTCTGCGCAATAATCTCTAAACATCTTATGGCAAGCACTTGTTCTCTTGGGAACTCATCTTAATACTTTCAACTATCGGTACAGTCTCATTTCAATAAAACTCGTGCTTAAATCCAAAATTCCGCCACCTACCGTATTATTATAATTCAGATGATATACATGTATACTTATCGCTTAATGTTATTTTGGAATATATGTGGGTTTATTTCTTAATGGCTATTTGGTCCCTTTCGTGTACTTGAACAAAAAACGCACAGGCCACTTTAGAGTAACCTACAAATCGCCGTTATAGAAACTTGTACTCCACTTTGAGAGTTATTTCTACACAGATCTAAACTAAATTCTTCATCACTCTTTTTACTTCATTGCTTCTTTGCTTTACTTTACTTCGATTTGAAAGGTTGTATTATGTAGTAATTTTATTGAGAGTTATTAGCTGCCCCTTTTGCCGTAGAATAGTTACACAACTTCAGTAAAAGGAATATATAGCTATATCACGTTTGCTCTGACGTGGGTACCTATGACTGACAAAAAGCGCAGTCGTAATCCTTAATCGCAGATGCAAAATTTTCTGCTACATATAAAACCTCTCCAACGCGCGTCGTTTGTTTTTTCTCCTTGAGCAACAACCACTGTGGTAAATGGCAGCATTTATAACTCCGGACTCATAGGTTTCTACGAGCTCGTATCACATTTACGAGCCCGGAGTTATAAATGCTGCCATTCACAACAGTTAATTTTTGAGCAAAGTGCTCATGATCCAGAAAAAGTAATGTTATCGTGACAGGTTTTGCCCTCAAAATCTTGAATCTGAGCAAATATATAATAGTTGTACGTTTTTCTTGAGCGAGCCATGTTGGTCTCCAATCCTGCTTCAGAACGAGCGGGAATCAACGCAAGAACAGCTCAGGGATGGGTAAAGCGAATGAACAATGATCCAGAATGGGATATATACGGCAAGCTTACGAACAAAGTCAATTGTGATGAATCTCAACTACAGGAAGAGCATCAGTATATTTTTTTTGAGTTTTAACATTAATTTCATTGTAATCGTAAGAGTGTTTCTCAGGGCCTTTCTTGTGTTCTTATTTTATATATATATACTATGGGGAAAAGTGGCGATTCCGTTGGCGATTTCGAAAAGTAACTGGTTTAAGCATGTTAATTGATGAAAATTCACCACATATTGTACCAATTGTTGATTAATTTTCATTATAAACTTCGGGAAGGACATCAGGCCAAACTGGCGTACCTCCGTAAACCTACTGATAACAATAATAACGAACAATATTTTCTATAGGAACTTTGTTTGGCTAAATTCAGAACATATGCGTTAGTTATTTTGGAAGCAATAATATAATTTTGTATATATCTGCACCGTGAGTAATTTCACACTATTATAGAAGGTAGACAACTTTATTCTGGATTCAAAGCATTCCACAATGGAAATTGAGTAGAAGGTAGCTATTTTAACATAAAAAGATGTTAGACAATGTGAGTAGCCATTTACAAATGATATAGTATGAGTCACAGAATGTCTTGGAGAGAAATTATTCCAGAAAGTCAAGTAGTCACTTTTCATAGTCTTGGTGTTGCTTGAAAACTTCTTTAACACTAACTGTGTTACAGATCACCAAAAGTTTCGTGTAAAGTCTTTCTTTTCCACAGTTTTGTCAGAATATTTAATCATATAGTAGTACAATCTCCCAATAGTCCTTGTATTTCTTCTTGCTTGCTTGGCGTATTATTCGTACACTCTTTTGATCTGCGAGCGTCTATGACGCCCTTAATGGCAGCTGGAGAATACAGGGCTTAGTTTTACACGATCAACCTCATAATTACGACTTTTTGTATTACGCTTCTGTCCTTTTGACTCGGTCATTTTGTATTCAGGAGGACTTTTATGATTTGTACCAGCTATATTATGCTCATAGATATTAGCTATCTACAGCTCTACGTTCTATGCCATGTATTTAATAACACAGACACACACACATATATATATATATATATTCACCATATATCGAAGTTGGCTCAAAATACTCGCATTACCTGTACCTGACTTTGGATAATACATAGAGTGCATTAAGTTACACATAAATATGGAAAGTTATACCACCTATGACTTTTACCTTGTTCTGATTCAATTTCTTCCTTTCGATTCATTATCTTGTTTAATGTTTCATAATTTTTTCTCTTTAAATATTGTTTAGTCCAGGTGTTTAATAAAAATATAAAATAAGAGACATATTTGATGTTGTCAAAAAATGAGAGATGAAAGTGTGTAACGATGGTCATAAGGAAGCCATATAAGCCAATGGTATCCCTTTGTGATCGAAGATACTAAAATGCATAAGTACGAATTTTGTTAAGCATATTTGCCATCTCAATTTGCGAGGTGATATTGTCTAAAAGAATAGTATAAAATGTCTAGATCAGCCTCAAAAAGTGCTTAAATATTAAACCTAATTTGTCTACAAAAAATCCAAAGTCGTCGCAATCTCAAGTAAGCATACTGTAATAACCTTTTTGTGGGTCGGATCGGATGCTTTTTAGCAGGAATGGCCGCAGTCGAGAATACAAAGGTACGGGCGCCATGACGTAAAATAAATTTAAACTCAGAGACAACGCGTACAGCAAAGTAAGGAACGTGTGGAATTATTGAAAAGGAGCGATTCTTACTTTCTTTTCAAAATGTCCAACATGAACATCGATTCCGAAAATACTATTGATGAAGGCCTCTACTCGCGCCAGCTGTAAGACTATACCACAAAAACAAATTGCCTTTTTAATCAAGTCAATATTTACTCGACTCGTATATAGTTATGTACTTGGCCATGAGGCCATGAAAAAGATGAGCGGTGCTCATGTTCTCATCGTTGGTCTTAAGGGTCTTGGTGTAGAAATTGGTAGGATTAGAATTTACTGAAATTTTAGCACTTAAACTCAACTATATAAACCATCTGCTCAGCCAAGAACGTTATCCTGGCCGGTGTCAAGAGTGTTACTCTTCACGATGATACACCTGCACAAATTAGCGACCTGTCTGCTCAGGTAAAAATAAAATAAAAGCAAAAAATAAAGCCATATATTGCAGTAGATTGGATCATATCATAGATTACCAACACAAATCAATAGTTTTACCTCAGACCTGAAGACGTTGGCAAGCCTCGCGCCCAGATCTCGCAGAAAAGATTATCTGAGCTCAACCAATATGTTCCTGTACATGTAATCGAAGGTGCTTTGACCGAAGAAATCCTGAAGAAATACAAAGTTGTTGTAGTCACCGAGAGCCCCTTGAGCCAACAGCTTGAGATCGGTGAGATCTGCCACGCCAACAACATTCACTTCATCTCCACTGAAGTTCGTGGTCTGTTTGGGTAAGATAAATAAATTTGAGACTTTCTTTAATGATTTGGAAATGAACTCCAAAAACTGATTGCAATCTACATAGTCGTATCTTTAATGATTTCGGGGAGAAATTCGAGGTTTTGGATGCCACTGGTGAGGAGCCCTTGACTGGCATGATCGCTGCCGTAACAAAGGTCAGAAGACAATGGTGGAAGTATAGCGACAATGAGCTTCATGTTGACATTTATTCTGTACTAGGACGAAGAGGGTATTGTGACATGTTTGGATGAGACACGCCATGGCCTTGAAGATGGCGACTATGTGACCTTTAGAGAAGTTCAGGGCATGAATGAATTAAACGATATCACACCCCGCAAGGTCAAGGTTTTGGGTAAGAAAAAAAATCGGGGCCCTTTTCTTTCTCTTACAAATAGCATAATTTATGGCTTATTAATTATTTTGCGTTATTTTAGGTCCATACACTTACAGTATCGGAAACACTTCCTCATTCGGTGATTACAAATCGGGTGGTATTTTTACTCAAGTGAAGTTGCCTGTCCATGTTGATTTTGTGAGTGACAAAAATCATCTACCACAGCACTTTTGTTTTTTAAATATATGTAATCTTTTACTGACCTTAAAGCATATACTTTCAACAGAAATCTTTCAAATCGTCCTTGTCCTCTCCTGAATTCCTTATTTCTGACTTTGCAAAGTTTGATCGACCCATTCAACTCCATTTGGGATTCCAGGCTCTCTACAAATTTGTTGACTCCATTGGTCGTCTCCCTAAACCTCACAATGACGCCGACGCCGCTGAAGTCTACAAACTGACTGTCGCTTTAGCTGAAAGCCACGAAGACAAACCCGAGATTGATGAAAAGCTTATTAAGGAGTTGGCTTACCAAGCTGCTGGTGAAATTTCACCTATGGTAGCTATCTTTGGTGGTCTTGCTGCTCAAGAGGTTTTGAAGGTATGATACAATATGAATATAGAAGCTTTTTTTAAAATGGCCAAGCTCACCGTTCATTATCTAGGCCGTCAGCGGAAAATTCAACCCAATTCACCAATACATGTATATGGATGCTCTTGAGGCCTTACCTACCAGTGTAGCACGTACCGAAGAACTATGCGCTCCAGTAAGTATATATGTATTTATATATAGCGTGAGAGGGAGTGAATAAATAGATAGTCTAATAAGTGGCTGTAGATTGGATCCCGCTATGATGGTCAAATTGCTGTATTTGGTCGCGAATTCCAAGAGAAACTGGCCAATACCAAGGAGTTCCTTGTTGGAGCTGGTGCCATTGGTTGTGAGATGCTCAAGAACTGGGCAATGATGGGTCTTGGTACTGGTGAGAATGGTGGCTTGACTATCACCGATATGGATACCATCGAGAAAAGTAACTTGAACAGACAATTCTTATTCAGACCTAGTGATGTTGGCGTAAGTAAAATAAGGGCAATTAAGATGGCCTTAAACACGTTTACTCACTTCTTTTAATTTTTTTACTGCTTTCAGAGCTTGAAGTCTGGTGCCGCTGCCGCTGCCGTGTGCAAGATGAACAGTGATTTGGAGGGAAAGATTACTATCCACCAAGACCGCGTTGGCCCTGAAACAGAAAGTAAGAGAATCAGTAGCTATCATTTTTATGAAAAAATGGAAACAAAAATAATATGTTTTACTAATATTGGGATACTTATGGTACATAAAACAAAAATAGACATCTACGATGATGATTTCTTTGAGTCATTGACAGGTGTCACAAATGCCTTGGATAACGTAGAGGCTCGTAAGTTCACAATGCATATTGGTAATTAGTGCAAAAAGAGTGCAAAAAATAAAAGTTGAAAAATAGGCAAATATATGGATAGACGCTGTGTCTACTACCGTAAGCCTCTCTTGGAATCTGGTACTTTGGGAACCAAGGGTAACACACAGGTAAAATACATCAAGAGTATGGTAATTTTAAAACCACAGCTAACTTTATGTCTGTGATTCCTTACTAGGTTATTCTTCCCTTCTTGACCGAGTCGTACTCTTCTTCCCAAGATCCCCCAGAGAAGTCTATTCCTATTTGTACTCTTAAGAACTTCCCCAACGCTATTGAGCACACTATCCAGGTAAGCTCTATAAATAATTATAATATAATAAACTTTGTTTATTTTTTACTAATTCTTCTTATTTATCCAGTGGGCACGCGATTTGTTCGAGGGTTACTTTAAGCAGCCCGCAGATAACGTTAACCTTTACTTGACTCAGCCCAACTTTGTCGAGACCACAATAAAGCAGGGTGGCAACCAAAAAGAAGTCATTGAGACTGTTTACAACTATCTTGTCGCCGACAAGCCTTTGTCCTTTGCTGACTGTGTTGCCTGGGCTAGACTAAAGTTTGAAGAGATGTACCACAACAATATTTTGCAGCTTCTGTTTAACTTCCCTACTGACTCTGTAAGTGTCTTTCTTTCTTTTTTATTTTTTTATTTGTAAATTTTCATATGGTTGTGGTAATTATTAATTTATTAATTTATAAAATACACACACATATATATATTAGGTTACTTCCACTGGACAACCCTTCTGGTCTGGTCCCAAAAGAGCACCCGTACCAATCGAATTTGATCCCAACAACCAGATTCACATGGACTTTATTATTAATGCTTCTAATCTCCATGCCTACAACTATGGCCTCAAGGGTGAGACCGATCAAAATTACTTCCGCCGCGAATTGGAGAATGTTATCGTTCCCGAATTTAAGCCCAAACAGGGAGTCAAGATTCAGGTGGTCGAGAATGAAAATATTGCTCAGGATGACAGTGGTAAGTTGGAATTTATTCATATATTTATTGTATTTATTTATGCTTGTATACTTTGGCCTAAATATTGTAATTATTTTTTTGGTCGACGTTAGATTCGTTGGATGATGTTATCAACAGTTTGCCTGTACCATCAACCGTTGCTGGTTTCAGATTGACTCCTGCTGAATTTGAGAAAGATGATGACACCAATTTCCATATTGACTTTATCACAGCTGCTTCTAACTTGCGTGCTATTAACTATGGCATTGCTCCTTCTGATCGTCACAAGACCAAGTTTATTGCAGGCAAGATCATCCCTGCTATTGCTACCACCACAGCTCTCGTGACAGGTCTTGTGTGCATTGAACTCTACAAGGTAATATATATATATATATCTCTCTGATATAAAGACTAACAAAAATATATATCTTAAATAGATCATTGACGGCAAAGACGATCTTGAGCAGTACAAGAACGGTTTTGTGAACCTTGCTTTACCATTCTTTGGTTTCTCTGAGCCCATTAAGATGCCAACTATGGAATATAATGGAAAGGAGTTCAGTCTGTGGGATAGATTTGACATTACAGGCGACATCACTCTTCAGGACTTTATTGATTACTTCCAAAAGGAACATAACCTTGAAGTCACAATGGTGTCTTCGGGTGTATCTATGCTTTACTCATTCTTTATGCAGAAGAAGAAGGCAGAGGAACGTTTGGGAATGAAGTGAGTTTATATATAATGTGATTCTTCAATCTCAAATTTCGACACCAACTAATGTTATTTTTTATAGGCTCTCCAAACTTGTCGAGACTGTTTCAAAGAAGCCTATCCCCTCTCATGTCAAGTCTCTGATATTCGAGATTTGTGCTAATGATCCCGAGGGTGAAGATGTAGAGGTGCCTTATGTCAGAGTAAAGATCAGACCTTAAAGTGTATGTATATGAAATATTATATATATATATACGTGCTTGTGTGCGCGAAAGCGAGTTTTGGTGCATTAAATAAATAAGTAAATAAATAAATAAAGATATACATTGGATGATCCCATTTCATCTCGCTCTCTTATTTTTATACTATAAAATATACAAAAGTCACGAAAGCAATGTAATGCCAAATCCAACATCATTTTAGCTGTGCTTTTTTTTTTCTTTTTTTTTTACCTGCTCAATGTCATTCAGCTTCTTACCCTACAGTCTACTGGGTAGTCCAGGACCCCTAAGCCAGCCTGGAACATCAACCTTCTATGCCGATATTATGCTACAGTTTACCAAACAAGTGATGCGACCCCGTGTCCTGCTCCCAATGCTTCTTGTCATTGTCTTGCTCTTTGATCTGGACGACACATTCGATCTTGATGAAAATTATTTTGATTTGGAAGACGAAGAGGAATAGAAAAAAAGAAACGATAGACTTGATCAGGCTTTAATGTCATTGCTGGCTCATGGCAATAAAGCAAGCATACTTGACTGAATGGCTGGAATACTCAACATCAAACGATATCAAACTATGTTTTAAACGTACACATACATACACACACACACGCATATATATATACTGTATATATATATATTTATCTTTGTATCACTTGTAGTCTCAATTATTTATTTATTTGTCTGTTTTCTTTAATGTTCAAACAATGCATACACTGCATACCGTCTACGGTGTATTTCTATATATATATAAAACAGAAGAAAAAAAAAGTCAAACACTTTCTGTTCCAGTGCGAACGGGGTTGATCTACGTCACTGTGTGAATCAGATAATTGAAATTATGAATTCTCAGATAGATCATAAGCTTTGGTTTATCACTTCATCATGTACAGCCATCTCAGTCAATCTAACCCCGTCGTAGTCAACCGGCCTTTTCGATCCAAGCCAATGGACTCTTCAAGGATCCATCCCGCATTTGCCTCTTCACATTGCCACCGTCAACCCACAACTATTCCTTTTGACGCTGCAACCTGTAGTCCCGTATTCTTTGGTTATAGAACAATTCCCAAACCAGAACCTCAGGACCAGTCAAGAAGCAAGCTGTAAACTATACAATCTACTATCAAAATAACGTTATATTACATTCTTGCAAGAGAAAGAGAAAACATCTCGTTGCTTAGGATATATATATATATATATATATATATTTCCATTACCCAATTTTCTTTTCTTTTCTTAACAAAGCACTTTTATGCATGTTGATATTATATATGCATATATATATACTTGTGTGTAGATGATGTATGTACGGATTTACGTATGTGTATGTATTTATTTTTTCTTCTCCTTCTAAATCATGAAATAATGCAATCTTCTGGATTAGAAGGGCGTTTATCACTTGGTCGTCTTTGTTTTCGTCTGCTTGCCATCATCGTATCTGTTGTTTCATTATTTTCATTTTCACTTTGGTCTGTGTAACCTAATGTTGCGTGGGAAGAAGTTTGAGAGAGAGATGGTGTGGGGTCATCTTCAGATATCTTGATTAAGGTTTCATGGCTTCGAGCGCTACGCGGCTTGGCCTGATGAGACTGAGACGGATGGCCTGATGGATGGCCAACAACTGAACTGAATGCTCGAGTAAGTTTTTGAGTGCGTTGACGGAGTTGAGAAGAAACAGAAGACGTTGGGCGTGGTTTATTATCAAGCTCCTGGAGTGTCTTGATGGCTTCATGGCGAGGAGGTAGAGAAGATAGAGAAGTCTTTGATCCAAAAGTTCCACGTTTTATTTTCGGAGGTTCTGATACTGGCCGAAGTTTTTCAGGGTTCTTTGAAGTAGTAGAGCCCATGCGCTTACGTTTATTGAAAGGGAAAATGACACAACCATTTTAATATAAAAATCCAATAAAAAACAAAGCAAAAATTGTCGTTCTCTTCTTACCTCATATTCTGGTACCGGATATGTTACCGAACTGTGACATTGAGACTCTGGTTTGCACTTGTCATGACATATGAATCCACACTCTAATGAAATAGAATCAGTTTTATTGTCACATTCTATATTTGTCACATTACTATTTTACCTTCACAAACAAGCGCTTTTTGTTTAATAGGGAGTTGACAGGCCTTGCAACGAATAGCAGCTAAATACAATATAATATAAAGGGTGTGTATGTTGATCACCAATGCAAACGAAACGAAATGAAAATGAAAGCTTACATTTGGCAAATGATCCTTTTACAAAGTGATGTTCTCGTTTCGGCAAAGACTCTTCCTTTTGTTGTCGCTGGACTAGATGTTTCTCGTGCTTCTGTACAAGAATACTTGGTATCTGCGGTACAGGGTGGGACAGGGGACCTTTATGAGGTGTTGATTTAGATGACAGTGGCTCAAATGAAGCTGCATTACGCAAAGATGAACTTCGCGTGGTTTTTGGAAAGGAGGATGGAATGCGTCTAAGGTCTACTTCCTTAGCCTGTGAGCCTGGTATAATTGCTGGTTCTGATGCTATTCTTTCACACGCGGGTCTGACATTCTTTATGGCATCTAATTCTCCTTCACTGAAGGACGCAAGAGACATCCTCCTGCCATATTCCATAACACCAGTGTTTCTAACCCAGACGTGGTTCAGCAGTTCACCAGCCGTGGGCCGATCCATGGGAGACTTTTGAAAACAGAGTTCTAAGAAACTACGCAGGTCCTAAACCGTAGGATTGTATCTGATGTCAATATTATGTTACTCTGATTAAAGTGTACCTCATACACACGAACCTCGGATATTGACTCTGGTAAAGGTGGACACTCATCTTCTACAATTCTGAACAAGGCTGTCATTGGGTTTACATCCGAATAAGGGGGTTTGCCTGTACACAGTTCAATAATCGTGCAGCCTAATGACCTAACCAAGTGTTTTTTTCTGGGTGAGAACGGAAACAAAAACAGAATCAACAATAACAATAACAATAACATGGATATTGTTGTATACTTTTCTTCTTATTATTATTATTTTTGATATCTCATGTCATACCATATATCTGATTTTGTAGTCGCTCCCTTTAATTCAATTACTTCCGGGGCCACTATAATATTGTGTATTGGTCAGAACGCAGCCCTACATAATCAAAAGCCATTCAACCTACTCCAGTTGGGTGTTCCAGCCACTACACCTGCTTGAGCATCTTTCAATTTGAGGTTCAGGGAAACTCCAAAATCTGAGAGTTTAACATCACCCGCTTTTGTCGTCAGTATATTGGCTGCCTTTAGATCGCAGTGCACCACATCTTGTTCGTGGAGATAGTTTAACCCCTCTAGGATCCTTTGGCAGTAACCAGCTACAAGGGCCTCTGGAAAGCTATTAAAGGCCTTTAAAGTGCTCAATAAAGACCCATTTTCCACGTATTCTAGAACAATATTGATGTGTTCCGATGTTTGGATAAAACCCTTGTATTGTACAATGTTAGGGTGGGTCAATGACTGTAAGATGTGTGCCTCTTGCTAGAAGAAGGAGAAAAAAATTTAAAAAAAATATCGATATTCTTATTTTAGCAAAGGGGGGTTAAAATACAACTGTGAAGAATATGAATCTTACCAAGACATCACTGACATCTTCCTTACGAGTTACATTGAGTTTGATACGCTTGACGGCTACCATTTGACCTGTCCTGAGATCAAGTGCCCTACCAATACATTTTTCCAGAAGCATATATATATAAAAGTGAGTCTAAAGTCTAACGCTTTTATTCTTGTTGTTTCTTATTCAGCTTTTCTTTATTTGAATCCACAAGTAAGGCCACAGACTTACCGATGCACCGTACCAAAATGTCCTTTCCCGATTGAGTTCCCTAGTTTCTGCAAGTCATGTTCAGTGTTGTAGCGATCGCAGCCGAGGGATTGTTTTTTTTCTATACACACTTTGCACTTTAATACAACTTACATAACGAGCTACCGTGTGACCAGTTTTATCTTGAAGCTGAAGATACTCTTCGGAACCTTCGGCTGATTGAGGCGGAGTAATGGTCCCAGTAGACTTCCTTCTTGGTGTCAAGGACATGTCGCCTGGAAATAGAAGTGGCTGGGGTGTACCAGGTGAAGAGTGCGGTGGACTTTTCGTTTTTTCCATATTACTCAGACTTGGGTTTCGGACCACGGCGACCTTTTTTGTATGGTGGGCTGCTGAGTGGTCATGTCGAATTTTGTGCTTTCCTTGTGGGTATGAACTCTCTTGGTTTGGGATTGAAAATGCTTGGGTTGGAATGTCTTTGAGAAGCGGCAAGGAAAGCGACGCGCTTGGGCCAGCTTTAGAGAGTGCTATTGAAGTATTAGTATCCTTAATTTCGCACCTAGGTAAACTGTCTGAGCGTGGTCCCTGAATTGGAACAGACGAATTGGGATTGTCAGGTGAAACGACGGAAAACTTGTAAAGAAATGCTTTCTCGGCCATTGAAGCCGACGAAATCTCATGAGATAAAGACGGGTTAGGAGAGTCGTCTCCGTCCTGTTCTTTTTTTAATTTTTGATCTGTCCATTCTTGATACCTCATATGAAATGGTACAGCTTGACGGCTGGGTAGTTTCTTTGCAAATGACAGCTGGGATAAACGGGTCAAGCGAGAACCACTGTGTTGGGATGCGGACATTGAGACAGCCATGGATATTTGGGAACGTACACTAGCTGAGGGACTGCGCGCAGTCGACTCTATAGCCTTTTTAGCGAATGTAGAGACATATTGGTGAGGTACAGGGTGTGGATAGCGTTCTGAGCTTGATTGGTCCGAGTTGTTAATCTCAAGATCTTTTGCGAAGTTCTGGTCAAGAGGTTCCTTCTCTGTATCTTGAGAGTTATGCAAAGTGTTTAAGCAGGTAGGATTAAAAAGGGAGGCCAGCTGCAAGGGCATTGGCGGGGCTGAGCTTTGCTCGAAATGTGGTGTCCCACAAGCGTGCTCGGGATTTGTTTTTGTCGCCACCCTGATGGAATCGTAGGTGGTCCCTGGGGCTGGTGAGAGACTGTGGGTCGGTGGGTCGATATTATGATTGTCATGGAAAGGCTTGGTCTCAAAAGGGGTTTGTGATCTCAAGCGGTCTGAAGATGTGTGGGCAGGATTAGGTTGGCTGAGTGAAAACTCTGAATTGTCTTCTGAAAGGGTGTTTTGGGTTGTGTGGTCGTGATTGTCTATGCAGTTTGTGAATACGGTTGTGTCTTGCTGATCGTCCTGAGATGCGCGTCTTATTAAATTAGAATTGGTTATGTAAGAAGTAGTGCTGTCTATGGCCGTTGTTTGGTATGAATGCTCATCTGTTGATGATGCGGTATGAATGTTTGTGGTCTGCAGTATTCCCAATGGTTGGTATTTTCTAATTGAAGAATCGAAAACATTCTCTTTCTCATCTATTGGTTCGTCATCGTAGTAATATCGATCTAGTATTTCGTCTTGCGGTGATATTGGTGTCCATTGTGCGATTGGCGTGTCTGTGGATAGTCGACGAGAAACAGATAGTCTGTTTGGGGACATATGAGAACCAGTCCATGGCTCTGTATCGCAAATAGACACCGTCATTCCTCTTGCTCGCCCCCGACGCTGTTTATGCAAAAGGAGAAATGAGAATTTAAGATAAACAGAATTGCTTTCTTTTTTTGGGCCCGTTTGATTTTACCACTTTATTTGGAGACCATTGTTCAGAGTCTGGTCGTGGTAAGGAGTTATACATTCGCTGTTTGACCAGATCAGACTCTATATCTATTGAGGCTATTATTTCACTGGACAAGTCTTCAAGATTGAGATCAGAAAGAGCCAGGATTGTGTTAACGACCTAAAAGATATGAGTCAGGCTAGACTCATGGGTAGAACGATCAACATACAGCTTCCATATCCCTTCCTTCCGCTAGGTCGTATACTTGGAATAGTTCTGTGCTAGACAATCCGAGCTATCATGGGAAAGATTAAGAAAATATGCTCTTTTGGTTGGTACATTGGATGACAACAGATGTAATTCTCAAAGGATTCTAGCCTCACCTGGTTCCCTGCTTGAAGGAATCGGCGAATATTTGCAATCTATTCAAAGGGGTTTTTTTTGGGTTTTTTACATTGTTAGAATACTATTGGTTTGAGAGAACAATGTACATGAGCAGATAGTCTACCTTGGAATATATTTTACCGTCCAACCCAATGATAGGTATTATTGTGGGTTGTAACCGGTTGATTAGCCTAAATACAATCGAAAGGGAACCTTGTACATCAGACATCGCTTATCCTATTTTTTTTCTAAAGAGAAAAAAAAAGTATTTTTTCCTCTTTATTTTCTCTTCTTTTGCTTTTCTTGACTATTATTAGGAAAGAGATAGATTTGACTGACTTGCATAGAATTACACCATCGCTTAGAATCGAGTAGAGATCATGAGTTGGAAGTTTTTGTTCCAAGATTGTCTCAATCCACTTTCTTGCCATTCGTATTTTGGTCTGTTTTTCAAGGCGATTGAAATCGACATGGCATGTTTTGGGATCTATAGGTCTCATTACGTTACGATAACTTGTGGGTCTACTCATGATGCATAAGACGACAGAAGTAATGTAACCAGCCTGAGTTGCAAAATAAGATAATAGAGAGAAGAGGAAGGAGAGACCAAAGATCAGGTAATAGGAGACTTTGGTTGTTTTCTCGAAGGAAAAGGGGATAAGGTGGAAGAGAAAGTCGAAGGGGTTATATAACACGGAATAGATAAAGCGTGTAATACACAGTGCGAGTTTAGCACTCGTGAGTTACTGCTTCTTTCTGCAAAGACATCCACTGAAATTCGAAATACAGACATCTCGACTGTCACACCTTTATATTTTTTTTGTGCATGTCCAACATTAGCAAATGGCTCTCTGTGATTGTTCTGTTTCATATTATTATAACTGTTATCAGACAATACATACACATACATGTATATATCTTTTAAATCAACATGTACTTTTTTTTGGATATTAACTGAGTACCTTTTAGTACATGATTATTTGATAGTACTAAATGCTATTATATTAAAGAAAAAATACCAAGAAAAAGAGAAAGACGGAATAATAGATTTTTAATTATTCTGGTGTCATTATATATACAAGTTCAAAAGCTTTTATATGAAATACAAATATGTACATTTGCTCGAGGATTTAAGCACGGACTATGTTTTATATTATATTTTGGAAAGAATTCCTTTTTTTACAATATTTTTAAACGTTGAATAAATACAACATGCTATTTCAATCTTTTCATCTTTTTTATATCTATTGTGATATCATTTTCTCTATTTCTCTCTTTCATTTTATGTATACATTTGGATGTGTATGCAGTGTGTAGTGTGTGCGTGAGTGTGTGTGTGTGGCGAATGGCCAGTTTTCCGAAATAAGCATCTGTGGCGGCAAGGAATTATCTTTGGTTGCTTGGCAACAACGAATTTAGTACGACCAGAATCTGTTAATGGGAAACTACCATTTTTGATTACCTTAAGTAGGCGATTCAAATAAAGTTTTTAGAAAAGAAAAAAAAAAGATCCATAAATAGGTCATCGAAGATGAAAAACAGATAAAAAAAAACACTTTTTCTTGCCAATTCATTCCATCTTCTTTCCGCACTCTTCTTCTTCTCTTCTTCTCTATTTTCTCAACTATTGACCCATGCTCTCTCGCTTTGCCATTGGAGCTCTCTTGGCTTGTTCTTTAGCTGTCAGCTCAGCACAGCAGCTGTGCAATGGATACAGTGAATTGTGCGCAAAACCATACGACTCCCTCACCTACGTCTTGACACACAATTCATATGCTTTCTCAGCCAATCCAGCTGCAAACCAACTTTGTGGTATCAATGATCAATTGGCTGACGGTGTCAGAGGTCTCAAACTGTCAGCTGTGAAACCCGTCAACTCTACTAGTAATGATGCCGCTGATGCCATTCGTCTCTGCCATACCTCATGCTCCATTCTCGATGCCGGCAATGCAAAGGACACTCTTACGTCTATTACTGCTTGGGTCAAAGAGAACCCTAACGAAGTCCTGACTATTATGTGGAATAACCTTGGTGACTTTGGAACCAGCGATTTCAACGCGCTCTATGAGGCCAGTGGTATCATTGAATACTCGCATGTCCAGGCATATGGAAACCTTACCTGGCCAACACTGGAAGAACTTATTTCTTCTGGAAAGCGTGTTATTAACTTCTTGGATTTGGGCGCTGACCAAAACATCTTACCTTGGTGAGTATGACTAATTTGTTTAGTATTTGAGGCATATCGAAACTCATCGGTTCTTTACAGGATCATGCCTCAGTTTAACTATGTGTTCGAGACTCCTTACAACAACAGCAATGAGACTTCGTTTAGCTGTGTGATCGATCGTCCTTCAGACCCCGAGCAGCCAGAAGAAATGATGTATGTAATGAACCATTTCTTGTACGGCTCCCTGGTCATCGAAATCCCTCAAAAAGGAAGCGCAAACGTCACCAATGCCGCTTCGTTACTGAAACAATCCAAGACATGCACGACCACATTCGGCCGTCAGCCGAACTTTTTGGAGGTCGACTTTTACAACAAGGGAACCACTCTCCAGATTGCCGCCGAATTGAACAATGTTACTTATACTGGAGGCACTCTTAAATGTGACACTGACTCCAGCTCTGGTGGAACCTCTTCCTCAACCAGTACTTCCGATGCTTCAAACACCCAAGGATCTCGCGTGGCCATTCTTTTGTTTATTGCTGCAGCTGTCCTTGTGTTATAGACTTTTTTATATACTTTTTACTTTATCATATTTATACATATATATATGTAGTATTATCACATACTACTGTTCTTCATCTGTATTTACAGCCCCCACCCAGTCAAACAAAAATTCAGTCAATTACCCACGCCACAAGGCACAAAAATAAAACAAAAATGTATCATTAGCAATGTTTATATATCACATACACCAGAACTCAACACGTGCAAAGACAGCTCCGAGGATGTGATTTTGGTAATAGTACTATAAATATTAGACCTGCTTTCTATTTGTGACATGCCAAGAGATACAGAAGAGCAAGAAGTAGAAAAAGGTCTTTGCTTCGCTTTTTATTTTATTCAAATTATATTTAATTACTCGTACAAAAAGAGAAAATAAGTAAGTAAGTAGCAGTAGTAATATAGTTTGAAATTTCATAATAACTTGCCTACCTTTGCATAGCTGTACATATATATCTAAATGAAAGCAAAAATTAACCTCACTATCTTTTACCTTGTTTTGATTTTACTGTTAAAATTAATACTGAAAAGCTATTATTAACATGTGCAAGTAAAATGGCATAAAACAACACTATATATATTAGTCTGCCCTGATGACAAAATAGAAAAGCTAATTCTAAAAAAGGGTTTAGAATAGATTGCTATTTGGTCTGCCTATTTTAGACCTCTTTGCCAAAAAAAAACACAAAAACACAAAAATAGTCTATATATTCAACAGGTCCTATATTATGGTTGTTCATAAAGAAGTAAAAATAGTACACGGGTGAAAGGAATACCAGAGATGGACTTGCTTTTATTTTTCTTGAACCTATTCTGAGAAAAATTCTGTAGACTTGACCAAGAAGTCCTGAATATTTAACAAGTTTATTAGTATTATTCGCTTATTTAGTTGGACCTAAAGAGGTCTGAGTTTGGGGTAAAAAGCCAAAACAATAATATAAAGGGGTAGGGGGATTGGATGAGGGGCGAAATTACTATCCATTTCTTTAATTTTTATACTTGAACTATATCAAGGCACTTTAAAAGACTGCAAGGTGTGTATTTATACAAAGAACATGCCCTAAATTGACAAGTCTAAATTAGTTTGTGTTTAAATTGGATTGGGTCTGCGTCTATTCGAAAAGTACACTCTTATTGGACAAAATCTAAGATTTGATATACGTAACTACAGCGGAAATGTAAGTAAAAGTTGCGTCAAAATGGAGAATTAATTTGTGCAGCCTTGATCATTTTACTTCAATACTATTTTACTATCATTGTTTTATTAGTATTTTATGTTATAACGAATATAATGATGTTATATCCACCACTTTACCTAGACTATTATTCATGATTTGTACATGAAAATAAGAATAATAAGAATAATCTTAGAATTAGTAGAGTGAGGACTTGGAGGAGGAGGAGGAGAAAAAGCAGAAAAGAGCTGTAACAGAAGGGTTAATAATCTTTTGTAAGGCTACAAGAGAACAGTGATAAGACAGAACTTATGCAAGAATTGGGAGGCAGGTTGCTTATTTAATAAGCTTGAGATTATTGTATTTTCTATATTATATTCAAACAGTATGATTTCCCCCCACCCCCTTTTTTTTTAAAAAAAAAACGCTATTATTCTTGTATTGTTTATCAAGGGCATTGTATATCCTTATGTATATATATATATATATATAGTGTGCTTGTGTGCATTGCATTTGTATTTGCATTTGTATCTGTATTTGTACTTGCATTTGCATTTGTCTTTGTATATTTTTGTAGGCGCAATTCTACAGTAAAACATTATACAAGGCGCACATTTTTTTTTTGCTTTATTGGTTGGAACACAAAATTTATTTTTATTGGTCGCAAATATTCTTTTTATCTTTTTTTGGTTGGACGCAAATATCATTTTTAAGCCAGCACATATAATTCTGAAAATTACATTTAATCAAATATCCTGTTTAACATTACAAAACCGTGCTTTCATATATTGCAATAGGGATCCTGTGAAAACTATTGGTTACGATAAACCGACTATTAATGTCAGAAAAGTGCACTTCTTTATATATAAATATAATAGTATATCTAAAAACTTGATTTTACCCTCATAGTTTGAAAGATCTACAAGCAAATATTAGTAGAAGAAGAGGAAGAAGGGGGCAAACATCCAGGTTAGTTAGTAACGATATTACAATGGAGTATGTATATACACCAATACCAATACCAATACATATAATATTAACAATAAAACAGCCTATTATTTTCTTTTTGTCGTCGTTGATGTTGTTGTTCTGGTGAGCATCTCATTTAATTACTTGGTTGAATAAAGCAAAATTAATGAAATTAACCAAAAGTTGACAGTACTAAGGGCGTCATATGCACCCACTTTCCCCATTTGACCACATCTAGTCATCTTATTCATAATACTTATATATTTCTCCTCATCACCCCCAGAAAAAAAAGACTTTTTGTTACCCCCCTTATCCTTAGCACCACTTTAATCCGATGAACTACAATTACTCCATTAACACACACATATATATATATACTTGTATATTTGTATATAATGCACATCTCCAGTGCGACTGCCGATTCTCTGCAACCAATTTCTATAAAGAGCCCTTGTTCTTATTCTCCTTCTTTCAGCTGCCCTTACTACAATATGGACCTAGAAAACAATATCAGCTTTACATCAATTTCATCAAGCCTCACTCAGCATAGTCATGAAGAACATCTTCAATCTCATCAAAATACACCTAACCATATCACCAGACGCCATCAACTCAAAAATCATAAAAAGCTATCCTTGAGTCTAAATCTACCACTCGAGAATACTCGCTCTACTCCACCCACACGATATCTCACAGACAAATCAGAATTAGACTGTGCCCAGAATCTTCTATTGAATAAACCAGCTACAGATACCAATTTACGAAATTTAGGATCACTCGACAGTTCAATCTCGAATTCGGCACGACCATCTAGTTCAGAGGCGGGTACCTCATTTGACTGGAATGGCGATATATCTTTTGAAGAGCAATCTCATGATCCAGACCCTTACCGGGAAGGTCCAGCACAAATCCTACCAAATCTCTATCTTGGGGCATCTTACAACGCAGCACAAGATGACCAACTCTGTGCAAACAAAATCATCTGTATCGTTAATGTTGCAAGCGAAATAAAAACCCCTACATCACAAGCATTTGATATCATCACCCAGAGATCCCCCGAAACTTTACAAAATTCTCAGACTCAGCTGTCAGAAAGTACACCCAAAACAAGCAACATTTCCGAAAAAGCCTCATTAGTTCAATATCATCATCTACGCTGGACACACGCACAAAGCAACCTGGCCTATCAGGAGTTTGACCGAGCTATCCGGATATTCGAAACCTATCAAAATGGTACTAGTGGCAATGTACTTGTACACTGTCAGTGTGGTATCGAACGCTCAGCAGCACTAGTCATTGCATATGTTCTCTATCTCTCCTACAGACCTGCAAAGTTTAACAACCCTGCAAAGTCAGATCGCGATAATTTTAAAAATCTAGCAGACAAGAGGCTGTCGGTATCAGAAGCGTATGAATATGTCCGTCAGCGTGCACCCTATATTCGACCCAACCTGAAACTGATGTACCAATTAAGCGATTTTAAAGAAAGTCTGTCACTTGGTGACATAGGCTCACTCCCTAGACCTTGCTTATCTAGTGAGCTTTACATAAAAAGGTCTGGATCGGTAAAGGCACACATGTCTCTTGCGAATGGCTCTAGTGCATACCGTAGGCCAAGATCATCCAGTCTCCGTGAATTTCGTGGTCAACCAAAGTCATTCGAAATTACGAAGCACAAACAAATTCAGATGAATACTTTGTCAGATACACCAAAAGGACCTGTCTTGTCTCAAGAGCAGGAGACCCCTTGTGTGCCCGAGAATATAAATCAAGCTCAATCAAAAGATGACCAATGTATTGGTCATTCTCCAGTAGTTATGAGTCCTATATTGTTTCGTAGGATATTCTCAATTTGCTAAACAAGTACTATTATTAATTATTAATTATGAATTATTATTGTTGCTATTGTTATTATTAATTAACTATTAACTATTGGTTATTATCTGTTTTTTAGTTTAGTTTAGTTTAGTTTAGTTTGATTTGATTTGATTTGCTTTGCTTTGCTTTGCTTTGCTTTGCTTTGCTTTGCTTTGCTTTGCTTTTTGTTTGTTAATAAAGAAGAAAAGAAGAAAACCTATATTTTAATAATATAATAATTATGTATTGTCCGTATAAAGAAAGGGGTGTTTTAAGAGTTCTTCTGCTGTGGGTCGTTCTTCATGGTTCCTATGTTTAATATGTTAGTTTTTATATGGTTTATGTGGTTTGGTTTTACTAAGCTTACAATCTGAATGTGCACTCCAGAAAGTCTTTTGCATCGTCACTGATATGAGTTGGAATGTTTGGTGCCATGTAGCTACCAATCTAAGGAGAGCATATATTATCATTAGCATAATTACGTAGTTATTTATGATTGTTTTATGCGTAAATAAAGTATATATGTTTAAAGCAATAGCTAGTTATTATTTATATGGTTCTTTAAAGAGAAAAATATGTATGTGCATATGCATAGAGTAAAATAATTATAGAAATAATATGAACTCGAAAATAAATAGCGTCAAATATATGTATTATATCCATAAATTGTATATTTTCGTACCTGGAAAATGGCCTGCATTTGGGAGAACTCTGGAAATGGGTGGTCACCTGTAAACATCTCTACGATCATACATCCCAACGACCATACATCAGCCTTTCGGGTATAATGGGTCTGTTTAACTACTTCTGGTGCCATCCTAATAAGACGAATTTGAGTATTTTTTTTGTTTGTTTAGTAATTAAAGATACAATCATATTAATTACCAGAATATAGATCCTTGTAAACTTGGTCGGTGAGGTGCCGATATTTGTAAGATATCTAAGAATAAAAAAAAAATAACAACAACAACAGAAATAGTTTCAAAGATTAGTTGCTAAGCTCACTTGCACATAAAAACCATATTCATTTTCTTACCTTCTTCAACTTTTTTGGAGATTCCAAAATCTGTAATCTTGACACCAGCCTTATTGTCAACTGGAGATTTATTTTTCTTTAATCAAACCATACACGTTGAATATATAAAGTTCGATATTTACCAAGAACATTGGCTCCCTTGATATCTCGATGGACAATATCTTTTCCATGAAGATAGTTCAGACCCTTTAAAATTTGTTTTACGAAGCTTTTTACAAGTGGTTCCTGGAATGCTCCATAACTAGATAAGAGTCCAGCCACAGAGCCTCCTGGAACATACTCCAAAAAGATACTAAAATGTGCATCATCTGTCTGCGAAGCTATATATAAACAAAATTATTATTGTAATTATAATAAAATTTATAATAATAAAAAAGACACTTACCCAAATACTGAACAATATTTTCATGGTGAAGTTCTTTCAAAAGTGTAATTTCTCGATGTAATGCTTCAACCTATTCATCAAGAAGAAAAAAAGAAAACAAGAAAGTAAATACATACGACCATTTATCTACCTAGTTTGCTTAAACTAAATATATATGACTAATAGCTTTCCATAGATTTCTTCCGTTCTTCTGTAGCTGAATTTTCTACAGGGAGTTCCACTTGTTTTACAGCCATCAATTCTCCACTGATTGGATTTAAGCCAAGATAAACGTCACCAAATGTGCCTCTTCCGATCAATGACCCCTTCAACCATGGTATTGAAGACCCATTAGCTAATATATATATATATATAAGATTAATATATTGGTCTACAGTAAAATATTCATATTTTTCACTTACTACCCGTCGCAGTTGGATTAGCCTTTGTCCAAGATTCTCTCACAAGAATCTTTTTTACACCTTCATTTTCTATTTCTTCGTCTTGCTCCAAAAGTGCATCATCTGATAATGATAGTAGTGATATAAATTGTAAGTATGAGATTGAGAGATTAATGACAGTTGCACGTAATCGTATGCTCAATCTTACAATCTGCTATTTCTGCCAAGACAACTTTTGTTTTGCTTTCGTTAAGATGTAATAGGCTAGAGGAGCGATTTTGCATTGCCTTTGTGCGAGAGGTTCGAGTAGATGGTATTGATTTTAGGGGTGTAATTTCATCCTCGTCTTTAAATATTGATTCATCGCTCTCTATCTGTGAATTTGCGTCTGTTGATTTCAGTGATGTAGATAAACCACTGGGGTTTATTTCATCATTGTCATTGTCATTATCATGTACAGCTTGTTTGTGTCTTTTGCCTGCTTTACTTTCTTTTTCGTTTTTTTCGTTATCGTCTTCTTCTTCATCATCATCATCATCGTCATCATCGTCATCATCATCATCGTCGTCGTCGTCGTCTTCTTCTTCCTCATCATAATCGTATTCATAATCTTCTGTAAATTTACCCAAATCTACTCCCAGAACAGACACAAGTTCTGGAAGCACACTGTTCCTGAAATCGTGCTGTGATTCATGTTTAGTTGATACAGAGTATCTTCTTGTCATCGATATCCGTTTTGCATTAATTCCAGCTGTTTCGAGAGTTTCTCGTTTGTGGTTTGGGAAGAAAGAGGGTAAATTTGACGAGATAATTTCAGACGGAGGGCGTTCACCAAAGAAACGTCTGATTCTACGATGGTTCTGGGAACGGAAGGATCCAGCACGTATAGGTCCTCCAACAATAGAGGGGTATTCATATCGTTGTTGTTGATTTACAAATTCAGGTGAAGAAAATCCGGATTGAAGGTTTACACTATTTCCGGTCCAGGGAGTTCCTCCTCCTACATTTGAATCCATTGGAATTAGCCTATCGCCTCCTCCCCAGCCATTGAATGCCTGTCCAGATCCATCTCTGGGTGTACTGATATGACTAGACGCATAATCTCCTTCTGACTGAGACTCGTCTCTTAATCGTTGAAGTTGTTTTCTAGCGTTTATCGTTCCCTTTCGCTTGAATTCTTCGTGAGTTGGGTAAAGATGACGCTTTCTTAAAATCAGACGTTCTTTCTCAGGCCGATCGGTAGAACGACAAATCTCGATAAGTTCTTCATCTGACAAGGCGCGAGCTACAGATATTCGAATAGTAATGATAAGAATAAGGATAAAGAAGGGCGAGTGTTTCTGCAAAATTTTCAAATTAAAATAATTTTCTTTTTTAAAAAATAAAGCGAACGAACAAAACCTTCTCCATTAGTACCGGAGCCTACAAAAATACAAAATCTGTTTGCACTGCCTTCGTCGATGCCAAATTTGTGTAGAACTTTGGCCATTATCGTCTTTGCTTCTGTCGAATTGTGAACATTGACGATTCTTGTCTGACCATCTTCTCCAAATACTTTAACACATGTCTGCTTTACTTTCTCCATTGACATAATTCCACCTTCTAAAGAATTACGCTGTACACAAAAAAAACAATCCAACACAATTCAATTCAATCTTAGTTTGAGTGTCAAAAATACATCCACTTTTTGTCAAAAGAGGATACACGCACCTACCTTCTGCACAACTTTTGGACTGGGAGGTAGTGGGGGAGTATCTTGGGGTGGGTTGCTGGGAGATGCGGCTGCTTTCTGTGATTTTTTTGAATCCGATCTGCCAAGAAATCTGGAGAAAGAATTGGAGCGGTTCAAGAGACCCTTTGTTTCGGTTGACTTGGACATCTTGTCGGGATGAGGGCTGGTGATATTAAAGCCTTCATGTCTTCCATGATTGTCGACATTGGTAGGGAAAATATTGTTTTGAAGATTATAAGGTGTAGTGACTGGGGTGGTGTTGTATAGAGGCGATCTGGTTTCCCAATTGCCTGCTCTTTGTTCAGAGCTACTGCAGGCTTGCTACAATATTATATATATATATATTTGATAAGTAAATAATATATATGAATGTATACTTATAAGTTGCAGTAAAACAGTCTGTATAATTTATTTTACCTTTGCCCGTGCTGCCTTAACAGCTGATGAGTAACATTCATGCCGAAGAGATTTTATAGCTACTGAAAGACGGACACGTTCACCCACAGTTGGGACATCTATTGTCTTCAATGCCTCATAGTCTAAATCAAGTAGGACTGACCCCGTAATGTTGTTTTCTAAATTGAATAAATATAAGAGTCAATGAGTTGTGTTGAGTTAAGTTGGGCTGATTTTATTTATACTCTTATTCTTATTCTTATTTTATATATATTGATATACTCACCAATAAATACATTGCCTAATCTTGGCATGTTTGGCTGGGATAGCCATTCAGCAACACGGCTTTCAGACCAACCCCGCACTTCTTCAAGTGTGTGTCCCTTTTTCATGGTTTCTGGTGGAGTTGGAGTTGTAGGAGAAGACATCCTAGAAGAATAGAGAGGGTTTTGTCGAGTCGATGGTGACGATGGTTGGTGAATTAGATTGGCAGGTAAAGACATGAACAAATAAAAAAAAATAAAAAATAAAAATAAAATAAAATAAAATAAAAACCGAAAAAGGTCTTTTAGTTGTGTGGTTGCGCGACAGAGGATCAAAGGAGTTTTAGCGGAGAGTCAAACAACTTTATAAACCAGTGAACAATCTTTCCAGTCCAATGCGTGTATGCGTGTTTTTTTTTTTTTTACTTGAGATTGAGACAAATAAGACTTCATTTTTAGACGAAGAAGAGAAGACTATGAATGATTGCTAGTTTATTTGTTTATTTTTCAAATATCTTTTTCTATTTTTAATGGTCTGGATCCTGAGTAGAAAAGCTGTTTTTGATACAGCGATTGGCTTTAGCAATTAATGTTTAAAATATGCTTGCGATCTTACCATTTCCTTTCCAGCTGGAAATACTTATGGACATCATATTATAAGAGGAATTGATAGTGCGTCGTCACAGTGTGTTAGATATCTTATAATCATAAACACTATGAATTTTTCATATGGGTCAACATTTAAAGAATAAGCACCACAGTGATCTAACATTCTAGAAGGCATGTATTCATCGATGATCAGTAAGAGCATATCTCCAGCAGCCTCTCACTTCTTCAGTGGTTGGTACAGAATACCAGAAAAACCTACATTCTTCCTCTTCATTTTCAGGATACCTTTTCCATACACGGACAAAATCACCTTTTTCTTGTCTTTAATAAATTCCTGTATTTTTCACTCCTTTTCCTTCTTGACCTACTAATCTTTTTTCTGTTGTAGCTTTTTCAGGTCAGTTTTTGAACCGGTGGTATGGTAATATTACCTTTTTATGTACCGGGCATACCTGATACTGACGGGTACCAAAGTTAACAGCTGCGGTAAACACACTTTTCTACCCATGATTAAGGAAGCTCGGTCTGTACAACTTTTCAATTTCTTCAAATGTAAATCATTATATTACATCCTTTTGCTTGCCCACACTTGGGCCCCCGTTGTTTCTTCACAAAAAAAAAGGGACAACAAATTCGTTAGTCTAGAACGTGTTGCAAAACAGGCCTTGGTTGTTTTTATCTAGTCTTAATTCGTCAATACTGAAGTAATGATACTTGGTGTACAATATGATAATGATCTGTATGTAAGCTTTGACAAGGTAAAACACCGCCACTTCCCCGTAAATATGCGTCTTTTTTGACATCTTATTTTGCTGCCCTTTTTTTTTATACAGAACCTTTTCTTACAATTTAATCGAGTATGTTTAGCATGGTCTTATACCCAAAGCTCAAGAGAGAAATGGGTCAATAAAAAAATCCCAAGATACAAAGGTTCGTGGCAATTACATCTTATAATAAGATTTATTTTTCCTTTTTATTTTAAAATAAATGTATGTATAGCTACACAAAGGTTCATCTTATTCAGTTCAGTTCTTTAAAAGATATAACATAAAGAAGTTGATGTATGCATTAGGGGATAGAAATCAAAGATTTCGTTGGTGATTTCTAGTTTGAAAGTGTATGATTTGTATTTTCTGGGTACCCATCTTGCCAGCTTTGATATCTGTCATCTGTCTGTAATCTTTCCTTTTCATTTGAACAGGTCATACCTCGTTTCAAGCTGATATAAATGACTGCTTCATCAAGAAAGGCGCAAATTTCCATGAAATCCAAATCAATTCAGTTTGCTGCTACTTGTGTACCCAATCATATCCTTGTTAAATCTTTTCTTCCCTATTTCTTTGTAAAAGATGGAATTGTGCCCACTTAACAGACATATTACACTCAGTAGTCATAACGCTATATTGACTATAGGAAAAATTAAGATTCACAAAATTTTGCATTAAAATTTTTGGTGCTTCGGCTTCAACAGCAGAAGGATTATTATCAATGAAGTTTAAAAGAAACTGCCTATGTTACTTACCAAGAATACGACACCGACTTGACTTTTTCTTCTTCTCGAAGATGCTTTCAGGGTCCTCGTAATAATATTTGATCCATTTCTCGCAGCAGCAGGAGCATTTAAGCATTTGCTGAAAAAATAAAGGAACATATCTAGTCCTGTCTTCATCAGAGTAATCTATGTAGCATTTAATACTGTATAGCTCCATAGCAACATCATTGCTCCTTCCATCAGTAACTGGAAGTATTATGGGGTTAGATGGTATTTCAGGAGGTTTGTTCATTAGGAATCGAGTGCGAGAATTTATTGTTTCAATAGCGAGTAACTCCTCGTCAAAAACATGCCCTAAAGTGCTCACGAACTTCTACTACGCAGTAAAAATTCTTGAGCACTTAAAATGTCTTCAAGAAAGCTTCAACGCCGCTATAAATCAGCCAGATTATCCTAACTTTGAAGGTATAAAATTTTTTTTATTCAGAGATCTTAGAGTATCCGTAGCAGTTACAGTTAAATTCACCTTTGCGATTGGTTTAATATTGATTATTTTTTTCAACAAATCGTCTGTAGAGGCTACATTTCAGAGCACCTTTAAATAAACCATGGGTGCCATTTTAAGCCCAGAATCGTTAAATTGGACGATAATTGAAATGTAATCGCTGCAGATGCTCTAAAACTGATTGATTCTATATACACTTTTTTTTCTAAAGATTAGTTGGGTACATTTCATTGGAATTTTACAATAAATAATATACATATTTGTGGCGAGATACTGCCTGAATAGTCTTGGGAAAAGTTGCGTCTTTATGAAAAATAATAATTAGTTTCAGACTATGCATTTGTAATTAAGTCATTTAATTTTCAAACTATAATAATAATAATAATAAAATAAATGGTATCATGTCCGACAAAGCTTGGCTATAATGTTGGATTCAAGAAGAGATTAAATACTAACAAAAGTTACTGAAGAATATTTTTGATATCTTTTATATATTTTTTCACTTTTATATATATATGTACAACTACTCTACAGTTGGAATTCCATTACCTTTTGCTCTTAAGTCTTTTGGAAAAAGTTCATATCCAAAGCAGTACTTGGAAAATATACTTCTTTTTCATATTAAAAAAGGAAAGGTTGGTTCATTTGCGCTTACCAAAATATATATATATTGGTCCGAAATCAATTATACATTATTTTCTATTATTAATATAACTGTTCCTTACTCACTTGTCTTTATGTATCTATATTTATATATCTAAATACACAGGAATCATTATTCTTTTTAAGTAAAAATATGGCAAATACAGAATGAGTATTTAAATACATGGTCTCATTCACTCGATTTAGAGATCCATCAAGGTTAGCACTACCTTGGAAATTGGTCTTACTTTGAAGTGTTGTATATATTGCTTTATATACAATAAATATACAATTAATTAAAATAGGTAATTAAATAATTAATTATTGAAATTTGTATCAAATTAAAGAAAACCAGTGTATACGATTCTTAATATTTGTGTATGTATGTATATATATAATACAGAGCAGCTGTACCGAAACAAACGATGATTTAATAATAGAAATAATAATAACGATGAAGAGAGTCTGGGTACTAGGCATTTGTTAAAGGAGTGGAAAAGGTCTCTTTTTTTTTGTTAAAAAAAAATCGACAGATAAATAAAAAAATCAATAAATAAATAATAATACATTGTGCTTCTTGTGTCAGGCTATTTTCCATTGAAATTTGAGTGCCACAATATACTTTGAATGTAGATCTTTTCTAATGGCTGCACAGCTTATCTTAAGCAGGTGACTGACCAGGATTCTGGTTATTGCTCTTGGGAGCTGTAGGTTGGGAATAACCAGAAGGTGGCTGTTGAGGGTAGTCATTGTATTGTCCAGCACCCACAGGGTTAGCAGGAAGAGGGTGTGATGTATAAGCTGGATTACCGCCGCTAGACTGGTATCCCTGGTTACCACCTCCATACATCTCTTGATCGGCTGCTCCATAGTGGTGCTGATCGTAGGGCTGCTCTTGATAATAGTTGTCGTGGCCATAATTACCACCGTTGTACTGGTAATCGTCGTACTGTTGGTGTTGTACACCTGGATCGGCATACATTGGTTGCTGTGTCATTCCACGAACGTCGTGCGAAGGCACACCTGGTGCAGATGAAGGAACAGAATCCTGATAGGTCTGGTAATCGTGTTCGTTCACGCGGTTTACATGTTGATAGGGTTCCTGGAGGCCATCATCGGCATAATAAGCTCCATCTTGCTGGCGATAACGATGGTCCAGATGTGTCATGGCAATACCACCTGCTGCCATGCCTTCAGGGCCTGCAGATGCAGGAAGATTGTTGTAACTCAAGGCTGGAGACGCTTGGTTAAAGGCCTGCTCACTAAGCTGTGGTGCGTAAGATTGTGGTGCTGCCCGGTAAGGATCTTCATAGCCTTGTTGTTGAGCATATCCTCCATCATAATAAGCGGCACCGCCTTGCTGATGATGACCTGCATCGTAGCCCATGCCATTGTTTCCGTAATCTGAAGCCATCTGGCCATTTCCTGCAACACGTTCAGTAGCGCGGGGAGATTCCCAAGCAGCACCAACCGCGGCTTCTTCATTGGTATGATTTCCGCTATAGCCATAACCCTTGGCTCCACTCGTAGGTGCAAAAATCTCGTCCATGGCACGACTGGCCCGGGTATCCTGGTTATTACGTCTCTTACGACGAACAATCATTGCTATCAATGCAATCAAAATTGCTGCACCAGCAATACCACCCACAATACCACCAATCAGCGCACTGTTGGTTCCTCCACCGGTAGAAGGTGCTGCTGAATTAGAAGGCAATAATCCTGAAGAAGTAGCAGATGGTTGAGCAGTAAATGAAACACCAATTGATGAACCAGGAACTGAGGCAACTACACTAGGAACATTTTGAACAGAGGTTGGAACTACAACAGCTGGTGTGGTCGATACGGCTACAGGAGGGGTTGTCACAATAGCGGCGACGGTGGTGGTAGTAGATGCTACAGGATCCGGAACAGAAGCTACAGGTGCCTTGGTAGTCGTAGGAACTGCTGCTTGAGTGGTTGTTGGAACTACTGCTTGAGTAGTTGTGACAACAGGTTCCAAGGTAGTTGTGGCTATAGGTTGATGAGTGGTTGTGGCTATGGGTGCGGCAGCTGTGGTAGTAACAGGAGCATGTGTAGTAGTCGGTACTGGATTTTCCACAACAGGTGTATCTTTCGTAGGTGTCGGTTTTACTGTCTCATCAGCCTCCTTTGTGGTCGACTCTCCTTCTGTAGTGGCAGCTTCTGTGGAGGCAAATGCATTTATAGAAGGAGAATCGGCGGTAAGTTCTTCCTTGTCGGCAGCTGTTGTAGTTGTGACAGCTCTACTCACAGGGGCAATTTCTTTTGTTGTTGTTTCGACAGCATCAGGAGTGGGTGCAGAATCAGCAATGGAATTAGCACTTTCTACAATGGCGGTTTCGGCTGGCATAATGATACTCGAGATGAAGAACAGTGAGATAAAAGTTTACGAGGACTGCCCTGTTAAATGAATACATCTTGTGAAACATTGCCGTGCAAGGGTCTAAATCAAGGTGCCTGACTGGAGCAAAGTTATTTTCAGCTCACTCTCGACACCGCTCGTACAAAAGAAATATTACTTGGTTTGGGATTTTTGATCACCGGTCACACACGACCGTCTGGTTACAGCCTGCCATCGCTCAAGAAGTATTTTTTTTTAATCTGACAAATGTTTACAAGCCGTTCAAGGAACTTTAAGAAAAATGTATTATTTACGTATGTATGTATACATTTATGTATGCGTAAGATGTGAGTGTAGCGTTTGAAAAGTTTTTATTATAATTCTTATGGATCCCTTTGTTCTTTCTAGATTTTTAGGAATATTGTTTATGCGACGGGATATTTCAAATAAGTGGAATTGGGCAGTTGTAACAGCTGAACAAAAGCCTGCTATGGACGTCTGTCCGTTGGGGTTCAGTTTAGCGGGTCCCACTCAGCCATCTTTTTGATTATCCTGTAATATTCATCAAAAAGCTACTTTGCTTGTGCGTGTGCGCAAAATAATTCGTTTTTATACACCATTGTAGAATAATTGTTTATACTATCTTTATATTCTGGACTTGGAAATAATTCTATAGTGACTATGGTTTTGGTGAAGAAAAAACTTTTGGCTTATATATAAAGATTTTTTTTTGTACTTATGGAAGATGTACCATTCATATAAGAGGATATATCGTTATAGGTATCTTTTCACGTTTTTTTTGTATTATACTAGTGTGTTATACTCATTAAGAAATTAGGGAGCACCATTAGGATGTAGAGAGAATTTTCTAAATTTTTGAAATATACATATATATAATTACAATAGTTTAATATCTCTTTTTGTTGTTCGTAGTATCTTTCATTGAATACTACCGTCAATATGAAACCAACCATATCAACCAAAGCACATCATTTTATTGCTGTATTTCTTGATTGTTTGCGCTCTTTGAAAATATTTACATACTGGTAAAAAGTCGGATTTTTCGAGTATAAATATATATATATATATTAAGTTAGAGCCATTATACATTGTTGGCTCGTTGTTTGACAGCCTATTTGATGGTTTATTTCTGTTTTATTGTGTTGTTTTTACGTAAAATAGACTTTATATTATTTTTGCTATTTGAAGCAATAAGAAATAGAAAAGGTGTCTATGTTTCGACAGAGAGAATAAATAGAATTTTGACTAAAAATAAACCATCTTCTAGATGTAGTTCAGTCTTTGTGACTAAGAGAGGCAATACTGAAACAGCTCGTTTGTTATTTTAGGGAACCTTTAGTATTGTCTAGATATTTCCAGGTCAATATATCTCTTTGGAATAGAAAATAAACGAGGTTCCTTGACCAACCTTGACACCATTTCGAACGTTGTACTACTATTTGCAAACAAAAATAACTGACTTTTTGGATTTTTTGTTATTTCTAATATGATTTGAACACAATCATTTCAATTGAATTCTCACAAGACCAAATTACAAAGCAATGGAAAATATTGTTTAAAAACAATTACTCTCCCATAACTTAAAGTTCGGTAGACCATCAAAAGCATTTAGTTAAACATAGACATATTCACCTGAATTAAGCTTGATTTATTTTATATATTGGTGAGCTTTTAAGGATAGAAAGAAAGAGGAACAGTAACTTGAACTGTTTGTGAAGTATCCATGGATTGGAGTTATACAATATAATAAAGTTTGGATTTCAAGACAAAGATTGTTTTTTTTTTAAAAAAAAAACATCAATAAATAATAACATATGAGGGATAGCTTAGGATATCCCGATTTTTTCATGAAGAATACGGATATTAAATATATATATGAGGGTAAGTCTTGATGGTTACAAAATCTCTCTGATGTGTGGTTCAATTTTGTGTACATATTAAATCATATCATTGTGAGATTGATAGTGTATCTGTGTGTACCCACGGATAGTTATTTAAGGTGTAATAATCGCAAAGCCTTTCATCGTTGGTTAATCAGTGATAGACATCGTGGAACATTGAAACCAGTTCTTTTGGTACATTGTTACACTAAGAAAACTTATTTTTGTTGTGAATTAATCCCGACCATTTCACATGAATTTGGTTGCAGATCATCATTCCTGCAAAATGGGCACTGGCGTCTGTTCCTTTTCCAGTCGTTTACACTCCATTCAAAGAAGTATAAAAAGGCTAACAATGCAAAATATTACAGCCGTTCGCTATTTACATCTTTCGCTTTGCGTTAATCAATTGTCCACTCAACGTGCAAAAAAATCGGTTATCCTATTACTGTAATTTTTGTTTACTGACAGCTCTTGTTCTATACTATACTATGATTGTATCTCACTGTTTCTTTTTGTTTTTTTTAAAAAAAACGTTTTTTTTTCTTCTCTTCTTTTTTTCTTTATAGGGCGTTTTCTCCAGTAGCCAGCTTTCTCCGTTCTAGAGCTTCCAGCATATGCTGTCGTTTTTGTTCTGGTCCAAGATCATTAAGTTCGTCAACAGACATATCTTCATAATTTGGTGAACTAGTTTCCTTTAACTGGTTTTTCTCTGGCTCAGCAACATTTTCAGTAGGAAGCAATTCTGCCTTTTTCTCTTCTTCTTTTCTCTTCTGCTCCTCTGCCAACTTCCTGTTGAGTTTAAAAAAAACATTCCATAAGCCAATCATCCCAAATCAAGCCAAAGAAAAATGACTTCCTTAGACTTACTTTCTTGCTTGTAGAACCATAAACTCTTTACGTTTTCTCAACATCTCCTGTCGCTTATCAGCACTAGCCTCCCACACTTTAGGTGGCTCGGAAAGAGATTCCTTTTCTGTATTTTTAGAGTCGAGATTATAGCGCTGAATGAGGTTGGTGTGTACAGGGGATTTACGGGCACTGTTAGATGAAGAGCTACTTCCAGAAGGTGGAGTGCTGGAATGACTGACAGGCTATAAGAAAGACAAAAAATAAAGACAAAGAGAGAAAGATATTAATAGTTGAAAACAAAAGTAAATCCATGTCTAAATTCTCACCATTGGGAGCCCTCCATTGCGCAGTGCATTATCAACTGTTGTCTCAACAGCACCAGTTCTTTGAAGATCAGCTATAATTGCAGGTTGGGGAATATCTGGGAACATGGCGAGAACCATCTCCACCTAGTAAAACTAAATTTTTAATTCACTGTCCAATATGTAATAGTACTAAAATACCATCTGTGGTGTAACTCTGTGTTGTCGTCGGGCGATAGGTCTACGCTGGCCTGGCGACTGGTTGGTTGGTTGTGATCCTCCTGCATTATAGTAAGGAAGAAGAAAAAGGTGTATAAATTAATTAAAATAACCAGCGAATTAGTGTAGATGAACTGTACCTAACATCCATCGCATTGCGATGAGAATGAGAATCACTGCTACTATAATGGATACGCCGTCATTCATCGCTTTAAGCTTCGAGAAAAAGAATATAAGAAACTGAAAAAGAATACCAGCACAGCTTTAAGGGGTGAAGGAGGAGAAGAACCCGGAGTACAAAGATTAGAAGATTGACGTCACGCGAGTCCGGTACATCAAATAGCCGCAAAAGTGTCGCCTTGCCTCGCTCGTTCTTGCAAGCGTTGGCATCACAACACCTGAATCAAGAACATTTGGGTCTCAAAGCTAGCATGAAACACACGATTGACACAGAACTTAGCCAATTACAGATTTCAGATACATTGAGAAAAAATGCTTCCTTTATGAAAATTATAGCTGCACTTTTTTACCATGGTAACCAACCCATGAGTGCAGCCCAATTAGTAATGGCTGTTCGAAGCATGAAACTTTTGGCATTAAAGTAAGCCTCTTTGTTTTTTACTTTTTTATTTTTTGTAAAGTGAGAATGGAGAGAGCGTGGTTGACAGGATCGTACAACTGACTGACTTGTTGGCGCAATCATTGTTCTTGTAGGGGCGAAACTCCGAAAAGTACCGTACAAGGCATCATATCTTTTTCACGCAAGACAGCTAGACAGCTCGAAGAAGAAGATCCTTTTGATATTGACAAGGACGAGTCCGGACGATGGGTTACATATCGTATTGCCTCGACTGTACTTAATGGTACCACATTGCCAGATATCAAATGCATCCCTCAAGAGCCAGTCACAATACAACCCTCTTCAGACAGCTCCGATCCTATGGAAGAAGATGAGAAAGAAAATGGAGAGTTGGAATTGAGCGGTAAAAGACAGAGAAGAACACCAGTATTTTACTCTCCGGAAACAGCAGTACGGACAGATCGACGAAGATCAAGAATAAATAAAACACGGGCAAAGCCTATTCATCGCAAAGCTCCCGTAGACAAAGAACCAACGTAAGAAAAGTTCCGTTGGTGGAGATAGGTACAAAAAAGAAAAGGAATCCAGCGAGATTAAATTTATTGCCTTGGGAACAAGGGTAGAGAAATCACCCGAGGTAGTGGATGAGACAATCCTAAGCTGGTCTTTGGACTCATGCCCTCCCGAATATACTGGATGCATTGAACCGATACGTAAAGAGTACGGCATTGCAACACAATTTGCAGCATCACAGCAAACAGGATATTCTTATCCACGATTCAGATCTCAAGAAAAAACCAAAATTCGAAAATCACACTGTGAAGATAAGTTCAAAGTAGCAGAAGTTATCCTACCAATCAACAATACACAAGTTTCTGTGGGACGCATGTTTATCCTGGCAGATGGACACGGCGGCCATGGGTGTGCCGAATTCTTTGTTGAAAAGACACCTGCAGCAGTACGAAAACTCTGTGCTCATTATTCGCCAGAGAACTTCAGCAGCAAAAGCATTCATATTTGTTTTGAGCGTGATATTAAACTGATGGTGAATGAGTTAGACGAAGAATATCTCAGGCTCAAGCGTACACAGCTCCAACATAATGGTCAAGGGGACAATGATGGATGTACATTAATAATTAACATATTCTTTGGAGATTGGATGATCAATGTAAATGTGGGTGATTCAAGGACTGTTCTAATGGAGAAACCATCTGTTGGGAAAGATGTACAGTCAGGCAGTGATTGTGCCATGGAAGTGATATTTGCATCCCAAGATCATAAACCGTATTTAGAATATCTTGCAAGAGAAATTATTGAACACGGAGGAGAATTTGTCGATGCTGTCCAGAATAGGGTGATCAAAGTAGATTTTGATACTTTGAAAGATAAATGCAATCGTACGGCCCGTCGCATATCTTTAAAGCATGCCCGGATTCGGCCGCGAGATCATCCTGGTATTATACAATGCGATCCATTTCCAGAGCCAAAGAAGATCAAAAACCCCTTTGAAAAGATACGTTCAAGAGAGGCCAAAGTTCCTTCCCTTAACGTAGCTCGATCGTGTGGTGATCTTGACTTCAAGATGGACGACTCCAGCAAAATCATTTCGTGTGAGCCAGACGTCAAATTTTTCAGGATCGCTCGTAACGGGATTCGAGAAAAAAAGAATTTTTTATTTATGAGCACAGACGGTACATTTGATTATATGTATGAAAAATCTGCAGATCGACAAAATAAGGCCATCGCACGTACACTCAGTCCCTTGCTTACTCCTACAATTACCAATGAATCATTACTCTACACTACCCGTTTATTTGCTAATCGAGAGAGCCGCCATGGTTTTTATGATTCAACTCTCCAGGATTATGACGACTGTACTGTTATATTGATAGAAGTATAACAACCCTCTATTTATCTCATCTAGCTGAGATTGTACATATACGTATACAATACACTGCAAATTCCATAAGTTCAAAGCAAGCAAATCAAAAACTCATTTTCCAAAAAAAAAAAAAAAAACTTTCACTGTTCTTGTTCTTTGAAGCCTCTCTTTCTCCCTTTCTTTCTTTATCACACACATACACACTAGATACACGAATATGGTCGAAACCATAGATTATCCTTGTGATATTGGAATTCTTGCCTCTTACTTTGTCTTGATCGGACTACTGGTTTGGCGTATCTGGCCATTGGTCTACAATTCTCTTCGTCAGTCTACACTTGCACCATTCGGCTTTATTGCACTTGCAATTCTGGCATTTGCTTCAACATGGACCTATATGCTTGCTTTTTTCAACCACAGTTATCAAACCTGGAACGCTTCTAACCCTACGCACATCGAAAGTACTCTTAATAAAGTGTCCCATTGGCTTCATGACGTGTCGCTTTTTGATGATGCCTGGAGAACAGTTAATGTGGGAATTTGGCAATGGTTGTGGAGTCATCAGCTGTGTACATTCACTGTAGCAGTTTGGACGCCTCTTCTTGCTATTGAGGGTAATGCAAACATTATGACCCGTCAAATGACTCATCAACTCTTTTAGGAGCACGCCGGAAAATTCCTTATGCATGGGCATTCATGCTATTGGGCCAAGTGGTAGCCATATCTGTAGCTACAGCTCTCTTTTTTGCAGTTATGTGCATCTCTCCCACAAAAATCCCATACCAGCCTTCTAGAAAATTCTCTGTCGTGCTGCTAGGATCTGTACTTGGTGGACTTGTGACAGTAGTGTTATCGCCGTTTGTTGCCGAAACGCCTCAATTCATGCCAACTCTTCTTGTTATGCACGCTCTTTTGATTATCCCTCTTGTATATAAACCTGATTCAGATGCCAAGTCGGCAGAAGGAGGGGATCTTTTATCAATTATTGTGACTATTGCCACGTATATGCTTGCTACAGGCGCCAATCTGATTCTGTACTGTCAACAATGGTTCGAAGCGATCGTCTCTCTGCCACCCAAGAGTACTGCAATGGATATTATACACCAGCTATCCGCGACTTTCTTTAGTCATCCTGCACAGTCGAGTATCAGCTCTGACATTCTGTGTGTCAACCTTATTTGTATGTTCTGGATGGCTGTTGACAGCGTCAAAACAAAACAGTCGATCCCATATCAAGTTCTCGCCTTGATTGTTCTTACTCCCATCTTATCTGCCTCGGTTACACTTCCTGTATTCTTGGCTTGTAGAGAGTACAAAGACTATGTTTCCCACCACAATAAATCAGAGTAAATAAAATAAATAAAGATGTTTTATGTAAATTTGAAGAGGTAGAGAAAGTTTATACAGTGGTGAATAAACGCCATACACCCTGAGCATACTGAACGATTTCAGACATGCCCATCTTACTTTCGCCATACACGCGGTCAACAAATGTAATTGGCACTTCTCCAACTGAGTAATTGAACTGTCTTGCACGCACAATCATCTCCATCTGAAATACATATCCCTTGGCCACTGTCGCGTTTATCAATTGATGCAATACTTCACGCTTGTACAGTCGGAAACTTCCTGTAAGGTCAGATGCTCGAGGACGCAACAAAAGGGTAGCCAAGTAATTAGCTCCGCGACTACAAGAATACAATTATCATAATTTCAGTCTTCCAGTCTATACATATATTTTTCTTTACCTGACCAGCTTGCGCTTTAAGTCCCATCCATAGACACCTCCTCCAGGTCTGTAACGTGTCCCACTCACTACATCATAATTGTTCTTGGCTTGCATTCTAGCACAACCCGCCGACTTTCGATCAGTTCCTTTTCTCTCTATACGAGCTTACAACTTACTGAATCATTTCTGGAATAAACTTGGGCTGAATAGATATAATAATATAAATAAACGTTAACTTCACAAGAAAGACATTAATGAAAATAACGTACATGATGAGAAAAGTCGGCATCCATAATAATCACGTAATTGCCAGTAGCAAATTGAAGTCCATGAACGTAAGCGGTTCCTTTTTTTTGGAATATATTTGTGTAAGTTAAAAAAAAGTGTTCTTCCTGCTGTCTGTGTAAACACGCCTCGTAGTATTCTTACCAAGTCCTAATTTGCCTGCTCTAGGCTTCAAGAGCTTTTGTGGTGATGTATTAGCCAATGATGTGATGAGAATTCAGGACTTACAATGCGTTCTCCATATACTTTTTGAAGCTCTCTGGCAACTTCTTGGGTTCCATCTGGACTACCATCATCAATAATCACAATTTCCCAGTCGATCCCGTTGGTCTCAAAGGTTCTAGCCAACAACCAGGTGATGATGGGCAAGTTTTCGCGCTCATTATAGGTAGGTAAAAGAACAGAATATTTGTTTTTTGTCATCGCAGAGTCCATATAAGCAAAAGAATCGTCCACGTTAAGAACAGCGTGAGGTAAAGGGTCATTCATGATCGGTGGGTAGACCCTGTTAGTTCTCTAAAAACTGCATATCATTCCCGGCCGCCACCCCCCCCCCCCCCCCTTCTCTCCTCTACTCTCTCGTTATTTCACGTAAGTCCGCCAATCAAAAGTAGCGAAACTGTGCCTGATTAAAGAATTGTGGATTTAACGCACACATAACCTCTCAGTAAATTCCAAAAGCAATACACAAAAAAAAAGTAACTGCCAAAATATATTCAATAATGTGCATTAATTAAAAGAATTGTAGGAATATGCCTAATGTTATGTGATTGATATACGTGATTTTGTGTGCAATCGAATACAACTGTTATCTTGCTGTAGTAGACCAAGATGGTCCTACCAGCGATAAGTGATAATCTTTAGATGTTATGTACATTATGTGATATTAACACGCTCCAGTAGAGCGCAAAAAAGAATTTAGGGAACATCAGATAGAATATCATTTGATTATTGGTGCCAAAGCTATCAATAAAATGGCATTTGATATTCGGGCAATGGCGCCGGACAAGCACATATATATGTGTGCGTATGTTTTTTTTATTACACCAAGGTATGGAACATGACTTTCTTTCTTTTGCTTTCTTGCAGATAATGGTTGTACGTGACTATATATGAAGGCAAGTAATAGTTTATTTGAGCTTTAGATCCATAGTATTGAATAATATAAATTGGCTTTAAGCACAAAGACGTGTATTTAATATGAGCTCCGTCTGATGATTTGGGAATGCAATCTTCGAGGGATTATCTATTCTATCCAGTAAGACGATTGGGGTACATTGAACCCTCGGGATGAATCCAGGTTTGGACAGATATCAATAAAATAATAGTGTCGAAGATTAGATATTTAAAATTTTCTGTCACCCCCCTTTTTTTATGTATATACCAAAGAGAGAAGTATTTGGCATGTTTTCTGTACGAATAAAATAGTGTGTGTTATGTAACCATTGTATTATGGGGAATCGCTTAGGAATAGATCTATATACATATATTGAATCTATCCAATTGTTTTTGTAAGGAATTATTCATTTATTGCATTTCACAAAAATGCAGGGATTTTTGTTTCTTGTTACTGCGACTCCAAAAAAATAAAATAACAGACATGTAACATGTAAAAAAAAATTAATGATATATAAATGCAAATGCAAATGCAATAGTAGTAATAATAATAATAATAATAACAGTAATAATAGTGGTAATAATAATATAATGGCAACAAAATAACAAAACAGTGCAGAGTAGAGTAAGGAGATATATAGAGTGGTGGGTGGTGAATATGCAAAAAAAAAAACAAAATACAGTGAGGAACAAGTTAGAGGTACATAAACTGGTGCTCTAGGTTATCTTTTTGTTTTGGGTTTGGCTTGAAAAAGTTGACGGGTGAATTGATTGATGCGGTAGGCTCAAGAAAAACGCCACCGCTCCTAACGGGTGGGTCTGAAGACACACTGCGCTTACGTTTCAGAAGTTGGTAACGAACCTGTTCTTGTGTGGGGGTTTTCTTTTCAAGACAAATAATAAGCCTATCTTGACAACGTGAAACATCATGATTGATGCTATCAACTTGGCTCTGTTCGCTACCAAAAATATCAAATTCGTTTCCACCGTATATTTCACTAATGCTGCTGCAGCCACTTAGTGGACTGAACGGCTTTTTTCTCAACAAAAGATTATTAGTCATCACAGGGGTATTGGACTGAGACTGGTTGGAGTAGCCCTGCCAAGATGTAGTAGTGTTTCTATTGTTCTGATGTGGATTGAGAAGGCGATCTGAAGGAAGAGGAGATGATCGTTGGTTATTGGTAATCGTGCCATGATGAAGATAATGATCTCTTCTCCACATTGTTTTGAATGTATTTTTGTATATAGCTTGTAGTAACAGAACAGAACAAAACCACCAAAAAAAGAAGAAAATAAAATAAAAAATAAACACCGCTCACGTATATGTTGTGCAAAAGATGGGACTTGATGATATCATAGGTTTCTTATATATCTTTATAAGGAAAACAAATATGGTAATCTAACCAGCATATTCTTCAATGTAGTCAATAGGGACCTTGGACACATCATATAATTTTTTTTGAAACATTTAACCATATATGTAGTTTTATACGGTCTCATGTTTCACATCCAAGGCTTCCATATACAATGAAAATGTGTGATATTGCATTTATTGGCCATGTTAATTTACTAAACTCACGAACTTAAAATCATGTAATTAGTGCGAACCAAAGTTTGTTACTTTTTATCCTCAAACTGTAATAGCTGTTTAATTTTTTAGACATTAAAGCTAATAGATACTAATTAATATTTGTATACGTAGAATGCTTGCGCAAATAATGGGGAAAAAACCTAATGCTGGGGCTATATGGACTTCTTTATATGCTTACTTGAAAACATAATTTGTTCTTTATTTCAAGTTTTATGCCATCGTTAGTTTAACAGCACAAAATATCGAAAGATGATTGGTCAACACATTTTATATCATCTTTTTATATGATGTAAAATATTTTATATCATGTTTTTATATCATATAAAATAACGCGATTTTGAAACACACTATTCCTTTTTAAGAGCACAATCTCCGTCTAAATAAGTTTTATATGATGTGTCCAAGGTCCCTAATTTGTTACTATGGAAACAAAATCGTATTAATTTAATTACATTTAATTAATAATAAATAAAAGTCATTATCTTTAACCTGTTTCTTTTGAATTCAAGCCTTTCAAAATACATACACACACACACACACACACAAATGTGATCAACACAAGGTTATATCAATACATGCCAGTCAATATCAACCAAGAAAGATATATAAATGCTATGAATTTGTGTTCCATCTAAAAAAAAAAGACATTTTTGTTTGAATAACCGAACGCTTTTAGGTGAAATGTATAGGCTATTGACCATTGCATTTGGGATCAGAAAGATAACGATTAAAGACTCTAGATATATATAACAAACACATGACCAACAAAGAAAAGGGGTTTCGCTTCTTGTCCTTCCAGAAAAATAACTCAAACTGGTTGAAAAAGATAAGGCGGTTTACGAACCGGGGATTCCGGTGGGGTTGTACGATGGTATAAAATCAAGTAAACATGGTATTGGTAAAGTAGAAAGGAAACAAGATGGCAACACAAGTCTCCATGCTTGGACTGTCATGATTCTATTGGATAACCTAGTTTTAACATAAAAAAGAATGAATTGTCTTGTCGAGATACCGTCGCCCTTGGTGATTGGTTACCACTCATCGACCCGAAAACAGCTGCACATTCTGATAAAGATCTAACGTTTTTGGTCACCCGCAATGCCTATCTTGCCCAAATATCTCTTATCAATGATTGACACCTAAAAAAATGGTGAGCACAAAGGTTTCCCCACACATATATATATCCAAGCCCTCTTCTCTCTGTCAAACTCTCAACACTCTTACTTCTTTTTATCAAATGGATACACCAACACCAGAATACTCTCCAGGAGACATTGGATGGATCCTCACCTCTACAGCACTTGTATGGCTCATGATACCCGGCGTTGGCTACTTTTACTCGGGAATGGCCAGATCAAAAAACGCACTCTCGCTTATTGTCTGTTGCGTACTCTCTCTTGTAGTTGTCACTTGTCAGGTAAATACTAATGACAATGCCAATACCTACTATATATATATATATATCTAACCATCAATACGTTTTATAGTGGTTTATATGGGGATACAGTCTAACTTTTAGTAAAACCGGCTCTATTTTCCTTGGAAATCTTGACAACGCTTTCTTGCGTGGAGTATTAGGAGAACCATCTATTGGAAGCAGTAAACTCCCTGATCTTGTGTTCTGCATATATCAATGCATGTTTGCAGCCCTTACACCTGCCCTTGCTATCGGATCTGCAGCTGAGCGCGGCCGTCTGTTACCAATGGTTTTGTTTATGTTTATTTGGTCCACTGTTGTATACGACCCCATCGCTTACTGGACCTGGAATCCCAATGGTTGGAGTGCCAAACTTGGTGGCCTCGACTTTGCTGGTGGAACCCCTGTTCACATTTCCAGTGGATTTGCCAGTTTAGCCTATGCTTTAGTCCTTGGAAAACGTCAGGGCCATGGTCATTCTAATGACTTTAAGCCTCACAACATGTCCAATGTTGTGCTGGGTACTGCACTTCTGTGGTTCGGTTGGTTTGGATTCAATGGCGGCTCAGCTCTTTCTGGAAACCTCCGTGCCGCAATGGCTTGTGTAGTCACAAACCTTGCTGCTGCTGTAGGTGCAATTACCTGGATGTGCATCGACTATCGTATTGAGCGCAAATTCTCTGCCCTCGGTTTCTGTTCAGGCGCTGTAGCTGGCTTGGTGGCCATCACTCCTGCCTCTGGCTTTGTCGGTCCTGGACCAGCTGTTGCCATTGGCTTTTTAGGGGCTGTTGCCTGCAATTTGGCCGTTCACCTCAAACACTGGCTCAACTTTGACGATGCTCTCGACGTATTTGCTGTGCACGGCGTTGGTGGATATATTGGCAGTCTCTTGACCGGCATTTTCGCTGAAAAATATATCGCTGCCTTGGACGGAGCAACTGAAATCGAAGGTGGTTGGATGAACCACAATTGGATCCAGTTTCCTCATCAACTCGCAGATGCTACTGCCGGTGCTGCATGGTCTTTCTTCATCACCTATCTCATCCTAATCATCATGGACCGTATTCCTGGTCTGTCTCTCCGCGTCGATCTTGAAGGCGAAATCCGCGGTCTGGATGCTGCCGAAATTGGGGAGAACGCCTACTACCATGTGGACAAAATCGTAGCTGTTGATCCTGCCACGGGACAACAAAAGATTGTCGCAGAACACATCAGAGGAGTAAATGACCTCAATACTCCCCAAGGAGATATGCAAGAAAAGTAGAATTTCTGCACACTTTCATTTTTTATTTTATTTTTACTTTATCCATAGATACCCATTTTCATGATCCCTTCCCTAAAGCCTAGTACACAATCATCTGTATATTCCTCTCTATTAGTTCGCTTTTATTTTGTATAGCCAGTCTCTTTCTTTCTGTTTCTCTATCTATTTTATAATCATTTATAAAGAAAAAGGAAAATGAAAAAGAAAAGAACGTTTAATGTTTCTTCAATAAATATTTATAATATAAAAAAAAAATTAATCGGAACTCAGTTCCAACTATCTATTTCAATTAAGCAAATTTGTCTATAGGCTTTTTCATTGTTCCTGAGCTGACCAATACTGGTACAGTATTGTGTTGCTTCTTTGCCTTGGCATTTTCTTGCTTCTTGATATAGGCTTCCAATCCAATAGCTGTAAGAAATGAAAATAAAAGGTAGAGTTAGAGTTATAATTGGTTTTTTTTTGTTTAAGGTCCTTAATCTTACCTGAAAACACAAGAGTAACTCCAGCCCACTGACCAAAGGAAAGGACATGGTTGAACCAAAATACGCTAATCAACATGGTAAACAGTTTTCGTGTCACTGTTACAGTGACCAGACGCAAACTGCCGTACTTGTACAGTGTGTAAAAGATGAAGCATTGACCAACTGCTCCGCATAAGCCAAACAATAAAACATCTCTAATTACAGCAGGATATTCGCTAAAGAATTCGATTGCCTGCCAGAGCTCGTTGTTGTAAGGGTGAATAAGGAGGTAGGTGGCTGAGAAGATAGAACCAAATACATTCATGAAGAACATCATGTGCTGACCGCTTCCATGAGAGGGGTACTTGTGAAAGATTTGGTCTTGTGTAGCGTTGGTGAGACCGTCGATCGCAAGGTTGGTACACAGCAAGAAGAGACCCCACATGGAGTTCGTAGAAGCAGCCTTGGAACCTCCCTCAGTACGGTGGTAAAGCATGAACATAGACACACCGACAGTAATTAAAAAGACACAAATGTACTTGTGAAGAGGAAAGCGACGACGATAGACTAGCACGTTCATAAACATGACAGGTACAAGCTTGCAGGATTTACCGAGAATCATGGTAGGATAGTCGATGTGTCGTAGAGCAGCATAGCCAAACGGCGATCCAATGCAGTTAAAGAGTGCGACCTGCGCATACTTCAGGTATAGGCTAGTTGGGGTGCTGCTAATATTGAGATGACGGCCGGTGACCTTGATGTAAATGAATGCCACCAGAGCGGCAATGAGGGACTGGATGGTATTCAAGACAATGAAGAAACGGAACTTCTTAGGGTTCTCTTCACTACCATATGGTGTAGTGCTCACGCGTTCTTGGATAACTCCCCATGTTAAGAAACAAGCATAAATTCCAGCAACACACAGTGCAAAACGAAGCATAATAAGGAAAAGAGCAAGGATTGTGGACGTGTGGTCGATTTCGATTGGGCTTAAAGCTTTCTGTGTGACTCGCCTTGTCCTCGTTCTTCTTCCTTTTATGCACTCCACTATGAACACCAAGCGCCGCCAGAGCTCGGCTCACAGTGAAGAGCTCTTTGAATTTGTTGACTATACCTCGGTCTCGCATTTCGAACGACTCGTTACAGCGATCGAAGAAACAATATATTCCTGGGGAATAAAAGACGGGAGTGATGGAATTTTTTCTGATGAATGCATCACAAAGGAGTTTATTCAACATGAGCTACTGTCCGTCGGTGACGAGACTTATAAAATCACTTACAACTACTATCCCATTAGTCGGCAAAAAAGCCAGCGCCCCCTTGTGATGGACGATCTTTATTTGTTCACTGACAATGTCCCAAAGACTTTTCATCCTTTACATCGCTGGACGGGGTTTAGTCGTTTCTTAGTATTTGCACCATTATCGGACTCTCTAAAGTCCAAACTATTTTCTTCCACAAAGACGGTTGTTGATCTACAACAAGCCAAGTCTTTCATATCTGCGTGTGCAATTGCCGCTCAGAATACAGGCTGTCGTCTTCCGGTATTTATACAAGTCGGGCAGCTCCGGCATCATCTTTACATAGGCTACATGCTCGGCTCTGACAAGACAGAGATCCGCTTCAATACAATAGTTGCCTCTGCTGTATCTTCCCGCTACACACATCTTGATGGTCTCCGAAATCTCTTTCGACAAAAGCTAGAAATGAGGCGTGAAGATCAGGGTAAGCCTTCATTTTTCAATAAACCTTTTTCTCCGTCTATCCAAGAAAGTTTAACAATTACTTTAGGATTTCATCGAACAGCTGATTTGGGACCTGTGGATGCCATGGCTGTGTTTAGCTACAATGTAAAAAACTGGTTTGATGAGGACTGGAAGGATTCTGAGGAGGATCTTCTCGAGCCAATCATACATGATAAGCGAACATTGGAGAGACCGATTGTTCATGGTATCCTACCCTGTTTACCTAGCTTACCTTTTGGGCCGTTTAATGACCCCCTTCGTACTCTCACATTAAATGCCATCTTCCCCCTGACTGACGAGACTGCCTACAGCGACAGTGCACTCCACTCTGAAATGGATGCTCTTACCGCGAAGCACTGGCGCATCTCACATGAATTTGGACCTTCCAGCCAACAGCGTTCCTTCCTTTCAAGTTTACTCACTCAGGCAGTTTACTCGTGGGTAAAGGATCCCACAAATCGAGAATATCTTGCGCCTTACGATAACAACAACAAAGGAGATGATGCTGAAACTTATGGACAAGACAACGGACTTGTACGAAACTTGTTAAATGCAATGGGACAAACACGCCCAATAGCCCAAGGATCTAACCAAATCACAGTCGTAAAATCGGACCAACTGGAACAGGTCCTTAGCTCGCTTTTCCAGGCGAACCAAGAGCACCAAAAAACTGCTCATTTCACTCAAGAGCATATTAGAGGCACATCGCTTTTTAGTGCCCATGCTCTTGTTTTGCGCATCAAGTATGGCGCGGCAGTTCCCTATCGCTCTTTTCTGTGGAATTTTTTGGTCTATTCTCTCCATACACTGTCTGATACTTCCAAGCCTCATGCAATTCCATCGTATATGGGCTTTTTGCGTATCTTGTGGATAGAAATTCTGCGTCAAATTCGATGGCACTGGGAGCACCTAGTTCCCATCCCTAATGTCTCCCCTTACCTATACCAACCTTCTTATGCAAATGAAGGTCCCATGCACGAGAGTAGTGAGACTGTGAAACCTGATATTACAAAGACTCTTGGAATTGATTTGAGATTCAATAGAGTAAGTTGTATATATATATATATGCGTGGACAGGTGAATTCCTTAGTGACTCACAATACATCATTACTTTAGTTACATCAAAAGCTTGCTATGATCAATTGCTGTATTTATCGGCGTTTGCAAGAAGCCACAAAGAGACGCGATGCAACACCCAAGCGTAAAGTAAAAAAGACCACGGTAAATATATCTATATCTATATTCAAAGAATAACAAGGTAATTTAATATGTGTTTTTTATAGGGATCTCAAAAGCCTAATCGACGAAGCCCAAGTCTTTCCGAGAAGACTGAACAAGATTTAGTTATTAGTGACAGCGAGATATTCTTTGATTCGATAGAGGATATGGAAGAGATAGAGGACTTGGAGGAAATTGAAGACATGGAAGATATTGATGAAATCGCATCCTACCAATATCCAACAAAGGGATCTTCTACTGTAGAAAACAAACCTATTCGTCCCTCACGGTCTAACAGATCTTCTGTTTCGGATGTATCTGACACAGCTAATCCCCATTCCATGAGCGAGTCCTTTGTCCGTCTAAACTATTCGCCAAACACAGATTCCGATAATTATACAGCAGGACTTCATTTCCCTCATCACAACCCATCCGATGGTGGATATATGAACGACGTAGAGAATGAGATACAAGACGAACATTCGTTTGAAGGAAGAGACTTCCAGCATCCATCTTTACGCCTTATAAAAACGTATGAACCCATGTGGATCCCCCACACACAAGTAAGTTCATATATTTGCAAATAAAACCGATAATAATAACTCTTGACCAATTGATTCAGAATCCTGGGTTTATGACCGAAGACATGATCGAACAACAGACAGATGTTTTTGAGAACCTGGGAACATCCGAGGATGCCACCCATATTCGTGCTAAGTTACAATCTGCTCAGCTGTATTCTGATATGCAATCATTCAAGGCTGCCAATCCACATTCTACTTTAGAAGATTTTGTGCGCTGGCATTCTCCAAAAGACTGGATCAAGGAGGATATTCCAGGAAAGGATGATGAACAATCTGAAATCAGAGGTCAAATGAGTGCGCGAATGGGGGGAGCTGGAAATATTTGGCAAGAGTTATGGAAGGTAAGAATACAATAGTCAATCCAAACGTGTGCTCATATAAAGATGTATTGAAATACTTTGATATGCCATATATAGTGTTCTAGAAGAATACCTTGGGATCGTCAAAAACCACTTTTTAATACTTTGGCCGAGGGAGAAAAAGTAAAATGAAGGCTTGGGTGTTAATACTAGTATTAGTATTTAAAAAAGAAAAAAGTAGTGTGTATCTAAGCATGTGTACAATATGTAGGCTTTACACTATCTGGAAAGCATGCCAATTCATGAAACATTCTCACTGCAAGTAGAGCTCAACATGAACCATTTATGAAACTAATTTTCTTTCTTAAAATATATAGACTGCTGCCTACAGTAGGATTAATAGCGTATGATACACTCGTTTCCCATCCAGTGACAAGTCATTCTCAGCCTGTTATTGAAGGCTTGTCCAAGTTTGGAAAAGAACTTGTGAATTTTCCTTGGGAAGACGTTAGGTAATAATCCTATCATTCTACTCGACCGTTTTTGTTTATATATCTATTTCTTTTTATTGTAGAAATGGAAAGTGTACGATGGATAGTCTTATATCAATGGTCAAGCAACAGGAGACCTTGTTAGCCAATGCGATTTCCCTCTTGAGAAAGGTATTATTTATAAACCAACTTTTTGTAAGCATTTTACAAACTCTATGCTGTAGCTTCCAAGACAGTATTCCCTGGTAGATCGCCTTTTAGTTTCATCCCAAACATATGTAAAAGAAGGGGAAGAACGCGAGGTTGTCTTTAAATTCTTTAGAAGTGAACGTAAGTTTTTTTTTATTTTACTTTTATACTATTTCGTTTTATTAAATTTATTTCTTTTAACAACGCTTTAATGATCTACAGAAGGTACTATAGCTGAGCCTTATTCTCGAGAATATGTTCTCTACAGTGATGGGTCTGCATTGGCTATGGAAGGAAGAACTTTACCAGAGCGTCAATATACAATTATCAAAGAAAATGAAGTACGGATAATAGAAATGCATACAACTGACACTATCTGTTCCTAAAAAAAAGCTTTAAATAAACCAAATAATTATAGTAATAATAATAGTAATAGTAATAATAATAATAATAATAATAAATAGTATATTATTTTAACTCAAAATTGTACATAAATTCAGATAATTCAATACAAAAAGTTCCTGTCATCTTGTACCAAATTAAAAACTTGGAGCATTTAAATATTTTATGCATGCTTTTATTTACTCCAAATGTTTATGAAATCAACAAATACTATGGATACATGTTTATACAAAGTAAACGACATTGTAACTATCAATGTCATCAAATTCTGGGGTAGTACTCTGAACGGCAATAATGTGGCGATTTCTAGGGACATTTTCAGAGATAAAGATATCCACTGATCCAGCAGCAATATCAATGTTCTCTGCAAGGGTGTATTCTACTTCAGCAAAGTATTCTGGGTCGTCAGAGTAGTCGTATCCAAGAACCAATGATTTTGGAAAAGTACATTCACCAATGACGTTCCAGGTAACAGTATAGCTGGTTCCAACCTCCAAAGTGGATTCATTTACGGGATACGTGATTTCTATACAGTTCTCAAGAGGTTCGTCAGAGCTTGTATCTGGGGCAGCGTTTATGGAAATAGCAGTAATAAAAAAAAGTGTCAAAATTAAATAGAGCTTCATGATACAAGTTTTGTCCTGTTTTGTCGATAGAAATGAAAAGAAATAAAGAACTGAAAAAGGGGTATTTATATTAAATAGTCTACATATTATCCCTTTTCTAGAAATTTTCTTGGCACTCATTTATAAGTCAAATTCTTTATTTCTATATAAGAAGGGGGTCGGTTCAAGTACTTTTACCAATTTGATCGGTATTGCGTGTTTTCGGGTCGTCTCTGAAGGCTTAGCTATATAAACTTTCAGGTTGTACTACAGTCCATGGTTACGATTCGTTTTCATGAAAGGGAGAAAGAGACAAATCCCGGTTATTCCGTAAAATTATTTTTTCCCTGTTACAGTAAAAGCAAACGCCAAAGAGCGGGGAAGAAAAAAATAATTAAAGGGAGTTTTTTCTTTTTTAAAAAAATAAATAAATTGATGATTGAAGAGCAGTTTACCGTATCTTTAGAAGCAAGGAGTTAACCGATCCAGTAAGCAAATCAAGGCAAGTCTGGGCGACTCGCTGACAGAGCAATACGGTGAAATATACAATATATGGAAGAATAGTACTAAAGTCTTTTCTAAAGACCAAACCTTTGCTAGTAAAAAATAAGGTTTGAAACAAAAGTTAAAAATATCTGTAAAAGTATTTTATCCAAGTTTTTATTTGAATCGAACTTGCGTATCTATAGTAAAATCCAACTGTTTTTTTTTTTAAAAAGAAACATTCTTTTGAATGGAAAAGGTCGCGACTGATAGAAAGACAGGTTCTCCTCTTGTTCCATATATTACTCAGCCAATAAAGTATGGAGAATGCAAATGCTTTCAAAAAATATAATAGTAGTATAGACAGCTTGGATAAAAAATCAGTTTACCTAAATAACAGTAAAATTGTCAATAATGAGGCCAGAAATATACATGAGATTTTCAGTCTTTGCTTCCCTCCTCTCTTGAACCACTATTACAAAGAAAAGGTAGAAAAAGGGAGATCTAGTACTTTGGTTTCATACAAGAGGTGAAGAAGTAGTTGGAGGAGTATACTAGGGCCACGGAGGCAGCACAAAGCTATCTGTATCGTAAAAAAAGCAGTTGGCAGTTGTTTATCATGATCTTCAAATCCCAAGCGAGGAGTGTTTGAATAAATACAACGATGAGTTGAAGATAAAAGAAACGATTGATGTGGTAAAGCGTTTTAACAAGTCAGAAAAAGAAGTTAATTAAATATTGAAAGAAACATTTAATAAAGCTTATGATAACTAACTATCAATATCAGATCATAATAACCTTTATTATACAAGAGATTTGACACTTATATTTCAAATGCTTATGCAATGTATCTTTATGTTTTTTCAAATGAGACGTGCATCTCTATTCTTTGTGAGTAACATTTCTTTAACTCACTTACACTTGGGTGTGCCATTTTCATCCGACATTGGAGCTGCTAAAAATGTATTTTTGGTAGCAAATATACTTTCTCTTTTGATCCTGTTTAACTTCCCATATTTTCTGCTCCCAGAGTAGCCCAATCTAGATTGTCATTGTATCATCCATCTGATCAATCAAGAAGTTGGTCAGCATGACACAAATTCTGATCCATGCATTGTTAATTTACTTGTCATTCTGATTTCGTACTTTTATAGGATTATTCTTTAGGAAGGAATATTCTCTCTTTGAGGATCCCACAGGTGTGTTCAATCTTTTTCCTCATCATTGCGACGTGGATTTTGATTTTTTTGTCAACATTGGACATTGACTCCTTGATTACTGACACAAAATAGGCCTTTGTCGTGTAACCACCATCGGTCAAGACATTCTGGTTTCCACAGAAAAACTGCCCAGGGTGATTACCCATTTGCAACTCTTCAAGCACACAGAGATTATCCGTGTTTACAAAGTATCTACAAATATTAGTGTTTCCATTTGTGGTGATCATGTACGCCAAGAGTGTTTACATAATACGTGTACTTACGGCCAATTAACTCTTGCTCAATATAGCTTCTTGCTTTGATACATCTGCTATCCATGGTAGTGTCTTACAAAGTATCTCTATAAATATTGACGCTTCACTCAAGATTCTTATTGGTCATGCTATACTCGAGTTCTGCTTTAAATACCTTTTTAACAGGGCTGAGAATATCTTTAATGACTTTGTCTGCGCTTACAGAAATTTATGGGTTGGTGTATCAAAGGTTGATGCACTCGATTATAGTAGTATCAATTGTATATAGCAAAGTGGAAGGCGGACCAACCATAGTAATATACGCTCATAATTGAATACCCTTTTTATTTTAGTTTATTTGTATCAAACGGTAAAAGTTAAAAGGTTTGATTCCCTGAACTGTCAAAAAAACGACTTTTTATTATGTAAATAATACGAGCTCATATCCAAGATCCAGACAGGAAAGAAAGCAAGCTGAGCACATTGATTTTTGAAAATAAACAATACGTGATCAAGCATACGCTCTCAACAGAGAAAAAAACATGGAAACACTTGTAGAAATCATTGATTTTTTTCTCGGGTTTGACATTTACATAATATTAAAAAGCAATATGATAAAAAAGAAACGTATGTAGCCTATAATCTTGCTAGTAGTGCTAATTAAACAGCTTATTATGGACAAGCATCAAGTTTATTAGCTCACTTTAAACGAAGATATAATAAATATAAAATTTTATACTATGAATTTCTTTATCCTGAAGACTAAATTGCTTCCTTTTTTTCGTAATAGACCAAAGTGAGAATGATTGAAATAAGAATATCGCAACTGGAAAATAAGACCATGAGTTTGCATTACGATCTGTACCTCGAAGTAAATAATGAAGCTGTCATTTCTTTATTTGTCGTAAGTCCATTTGAAAATGGTAAATGTAAAATATTTAATTGCTCATCAATAGTTTTTTTTTGAATGTTTCATAGGGTCAGTCGTTTTATACAGCAACTTTGCAAAACGTCAAAATCGACTTTTTTTTTAAAAAAAAAATAGAAACCCCAATTTTAGTATTCAGTTAATAAAAAGCGCTCTTAATACGTGGAAACATGTCTACTGTATGAAAAAGGGAATTGAGCATGATCACTAAGTCATCTTATTCGGCTTGCTTTATTACAGCATTCTTGATTTTGTCCCAGCACATCAAAATGCTGGAATAATATCCATTATTTGGAACAGATGCACTGCTACCAAAGAATGCTTAAAAGCATTGTTAACTCTTGATAAAGCAGCTGAAAGTGAAGTTGGCGAATTGATTGATAGGGAAATTAAGAATATATGCGATTTCTGCGAAGAAATTATAAAGCGCAAGGTAAGCTCAAATTTGTGTATCATTTTGTTTAATTTAACTTGAATTATATAGGCCAAAAATAACAAAGGCTGTAAGATAATATGCAATAGTATATGTCGGTTAATCTAAGTGAAATTTAGGAATTTTTAGCGTACTGAAAGTATTATATCTTATATAGCGACGGACAGACTGAAGACAGTCTTAACCACTTTATCGACCTTTGTATGGACGAATATTGCTTTAAAGTGGGATTTGTATACAATTTATTTAGTAAATCATTTTTATAAAATATGTATAAAAAATGGCAGGCTTTAATAAGATGTCAATGTAGAAGCTACATCTTAACACGGTTTCTTTCTTTTTTTTACAGAGAAGAATCTAAGCTGTACTGTGCCATACAAGACCAGCACAGGGCCTTAATTGATATCCGAGGAAGAATTCTAGCTCTCACAACTGTCACAATCTTTACGATTTTCTTCTTCAGCAACCTTGTATTTTTTTTGTTATTGTTGAACTGGCTTGTAGACTTTCTTACGAGAATTTTGAGCACTTTATTGGTGACAGAAACAAGATTGCGAAAAAAAAAACTTTAAAATCTTGACGAAGCATATAATTTCCCTACGTGTAAAAACTGTACAATATGAAATATCTTATTTAAAAGTATATGCCCTACAAATATACAGTAAGCTTATAACTTGTAGGTGTATCTTGTAATATCATACCGGTTTCTTTTTTAGAAAATTAAGCCTGTATCTTTAGCTTGGCAAGTCCAACCAGCAACAAGTATATTTTCTTAAATGAAATGAAGTCTTCATTGCCGACAATGCTTATTCTTTTTGCTCAATATTTCCCGTTTTATTTTAACGGAAAATACATGGAAACTAAATATTATTATACGCTGTAAATATAAAGTTGTATGTAGGACTTACGTTATTTATCCCGGCTGATAGAAAATGAATTTGTTTGGTCGTAATAGTATCGCTCATTACATCATATATGAAGCACATGATAATGAGAAAGAGGAGGGTAGCAGTAACCTCTCATCTTCTTATATATTTCCAACTAAAAAGAACAAAACTAAATAACATTTTATCACTAATGAGATAGTGTAGATTATATGACTACCTGATGCTTATTATGCTCTCAAGATGTGATCTTATTCTGTTTATTGGCAACTATATGATTTGTACTAGTTTGTGAGATTTGTATTTCATTGAACTGTAGGGTGTATGCAATGTTTTGCACAATAATATATATTATATATACACAGTATTTCCAAAGAATCGTTTATAGAACATTGACTCCAAAGTCCAAGATATATATATCTTACGTTGAAAGTAATATCTACGTCAATAATACCACACCGTGTTTAAAAGTATCAGTAAGATATGGTTATACTCATAACTCCAAACGCGTATGTCTTATTTAATCAATGATATGTCCGTACTTATCTTGTAAAGGTTTGATATAATGTTCTGCATTTTAGGACTGTAATAAATTTCTGGTCCGATATTTGATATCATTTAGTCGGTCTTCTATAAAGATTAGAAATATTTTTAGCAAGAATAATAGAATAATAGGACATAAAGACAAATACTTTACAGAGTAACAGTAATAATAAAACAATTTTGTATTTTTTTTTAAAAAAAAAAGACTATTTGCAGATATTTGGATATAATAGGATTTGCTTACACTTTTTTTTCCTTTTAGCGGAAAAGCAGTTTATTATTCGTTCAGCTCTCAAGATGGTTTTCTGGATTGAAACAAGGGGTTTCTTTTTCAAAAAATAAATGGTTCCATAACACCAAAATATGATTCAAATATGCGAAACTTAGTAAGTATTTGACCCTGTTAAAAAAAATCTTCTAGTTTCTGCTAAAATCAAAGGGTTGTTTCGAAAACTCGTGTATTTTTTCTTACGGGAATAACTAATAATAAATTGATTTTTCTTTTGTATTAGTTATTGGGAGTGATAAACTTTCAAGTACGAAAGAAAGGCTGTATTTAGAAAAGCAAGAACCGATATCTTGGAAATGAATATTATAAACCCAGTTATATGATAAGGAGCAGTGGTAAAGATGCTTTAAATTATCGAGCGTTTGTGTATTATTGTCCAAGCAAAATTATGTGTCGTTAATATTTACTAATATTAAACTGATTAATTGTGCAATTGATTTTTACGTACTTATTTTGATTTATTTTGTTTTCTGTATATATATTCACAATTAAAAGAATGTACAAATTTACGATTTACTAAGAGGATATCAAGAAGCTGTATGATTTGTTTATTTATTTTTACATTGGAATGGTATTAACTTTAAATGGCATTGCACAACTAAAGTATCTTAATATGGAGCTATACCAATAACTTGTATTTTTTTTTGGTTTCCTTTGTTCGATAAGAAAGATTAACATTGGTATTATTATTGGTACAAATATCAATTTTTCTATACAGTAAAATGAATGTTAATTTTTGTTTTATTAATTATAGGTGGATAACGATATTAATAATATGTATATGTGTATGTGTATTTATTTACATGGTCTTTGTTGAAGGATCCAGTAAACCTTTATAATATGGTGTATGCATTACACTCTCTGGTAATGCGATTGGAGAAGTGTAGATACTATTGGATTCAAGATCAGAATAGGCAAGTGTAGGCGTACTAGATCGCCGATTGTCTCGATCTATAGGATGTGGTTTGGTTAAATACCATAGCTTATACAATTGACGGTCAAGAAGGCTACCTTTTCTGCGAGACAGTTCTAGCATCTCTTGTTCTAATTTTGCAATACTAGCTTGTAATGAATGTGTCATCTCTAACCGTGCTCTAACTTGACCTGTCTGGATTCCCAATGCGTTAAGTACTTTAACGTGTAACATCAAGTCACACCAGTCACTTACATAGAACTCATCCCATGCTTGCTTCTCACGAGCTTCAAACCATTTTCTGGCTGCTTCGTATTCAAGATCTCGTGTTTTAGTTACTCTTGCTTGGCGCTCAAGCTTGTCTCGATGAATATCTTTGAGCAGTTGCTGGTAGACTGGGTGAATACCCTTTTCAAGTAATTCTCTCTCTGGGTCGATTTTTTCGTTTTTTATTATTGGATGAGACTGTTTTCTATTCATACGTCAGGTTATAATGTAAGTAATATAATATGTATTTTTGAATATCAAAGAAGATGTATATATTCTACCTTGGCCGACCTCTTCCTCTACGGACAGTAGAAGTATTAGGAATTGGCTTCTCTTTTTCTGGTTTTCTAAGGCGCCGAGATTTTAAACGGTCTTTAATAAAGGTTGTCATTGATAAGAAATAATTTGGGGAGCAAAAATGGTAAAATAGAAAGAAAGAAAAGGAGCTCAAAATAGAATACCAAGTCCTTTTTTTTTTTCTTCTTCTTCCACTTTCTCTTGCTCTTCTTTGGGTAATATGTCACTGCATTATGTATGTATTTAAATTTATACTATATTGTATATTTTAATATACATTTTTATATACGTATATTTCCGAGACAAAATTTATTATTTTATTTTACACACCCAAAATAGGGAGTGGAAGAGGGCTTTTGGGAAATCAGAAGAGAGATGATTATCTGATAAAGACATCGATTGAGTCTACACAATCAAACAGAAAATTCAATGAATCTTTTCATTGATCTCTTTTTATTATTAATTTCTATAGCCTTGCTAAGATCAATGAATTCTTGTAATTTTTATTCTAATATATCATATTATTTAAATGATAGTATATTTTATGTACATAACACGCACACATATCAATACAAGGAAATACCCTTGGTTTATATTAGAATGATTGCTAGCTATAATCATTTACTGATATACAATAAATAGAAACTATTCTGTAAAGACACAATTCTTTAGACTTTTAATATTCTCTATAAACATTTTTTTTTTCCTTTCTTTAACTTCTTACTAGACACGCCATAAATATTCAATCCTTGTATGTATATGGGTGTAGATACACATAACACTATTAAAGAAACCTTCTTTATTGTTATTTTTATTCGACGTCAGTATTCTATATTTACATTTTGCTTTATCTATTTATGCTATTGAATGATAATTACAATAATATCATAATTACTAGTAAGTATATCACAAATGCAACTCTGGTGCAATTTAATTTCATGCTAATACTTGCAGACAATTCTTTTAGCTGTATTCCGTCCAAAGATAATCTTAAAGGATTTTATATTATATTATTAAGAACCATCATCATCATCATCATTATATATATATCTTTACTAAATAGAAAAGGGATCTGTTAAGGTAGGACCACAAATCTATTGGTTAAAATGAGTATATTTTATAGAATAATGAAAATACCAAAGAATAATTAATTATTTATGTACTATACTCACATACCCCCTCTCCTCCCTCTCTTTCTTTCTATTCATCTCCCTCCTTTTTGGAAAGCATCTTTATATATCATGCATTACTCTAAAGTCTATTTATTTATTTATTTTTAAAAAAATCATCCCTTTAAACTTTGAATTCACTGGGGATTTTTGGTTTTTTTTATGTGCCACCAATAAAACAAATACAAAAAGATCTCTAGACCTAAAACTTTAATATTTATTTATATTTATATATTAATTTATATTAACAATATTTTCTAATAAAATATTTTATATATTTTTGTTCACGTTTTTCTATAATGAGCGATAGTCCCGCACATTTATATTATTATTATTGTTCTTCTTCTTACCATTAATATATATATATATATATGTATGTATGTACTTGTGTATGTTCTTGTGCTTGTGTAATAAAGAAAGTATACCTAATGTCTGGAATTATTCAATAGGGCACATGAGTCTGTAGTCTCATCAGTCGAGTTGATATCAAGACAGTTACAAATAACAGTTTAGCACAAAATAGGTATTTTACAGAATAAACAAGGATATCCAATTGTTCAGCCTTTTTTCTAATTTCGTTATTCTAGACCAAAGGGCAAATTAGTAACGGTATATAATTGAATACCTTACTTTTGATTATCAAAGAAAAAATTGCTGTTTCTAGTTTTCAAATATATATATAAAGAATTATGGAAATGACTAATAGTTGCAGTATTCATTTCTATCAATTTATTTGCCATTAAACCCATGCTTTATATAATTCTTATAGGCAATAAAACAGAAAAATGTAATTTTTGCATTTCATACCAACAAATGTTATTATTATTATTATTATTATTATTATTATTATTATTTTATTGCTGTTCAATATACATAATATTTTCAAGCCCTAGTTATGTCATGCTTAGCAAAAACAAGGTCTTGAGTATTACCAAAAGTAATTGAATGTACACAGAATCACAATGAGATAGCATATACGCACACACACATACACACACACACATATATATATATATATATAGTGGTACATATTTACCAAACAGGCAACCAAAAAATATGTGTAATGTCTTAGATTACAATGAACCTCTTGTATACTATCAATTTTTTTTTTGCCTTCAGCTCCTCTCGACATTTACTTTAATAAACCCTCTTTGTATTCCAACCTTCCCACCCCCTGTCAAGTTTATAATGAACGCAGATAAATTAAAGCAGGATATATACATCATTATTCTATATTCGATTGATGGTATCCAGGCTATATAAATCCAAGATGTTTTGTGTAAGATTGAAAGGGGTTTAGGATTTGCAAGATTGGGTGAGCTTTAATCAATTTTATACATGTATTATTTTATGATGCAAAATAGCAAATCTACATACAATATCTGCAGAATATTTGGTATATATATATATAAATCTAAATAATTATTATTCGCAATTATAACCCCAGCCACTTGTTAATATACATATTCAAACTAGTTCATTGTTTGTCCTCTTTTATAAAATATATTTCTAATTAGACCCTTCTTCTTTATTTTACTAATCTTTGTAGTCATCGACACTTCTTGAAATGTTAAAGCAAAATGTCTCGGGTCTTTGAGCCATTATAAAGATAATTAGCCTATATTGGACACATTAATTTGCATTTTGTATAATATATTAGAGTTAATCCAGTGAGAAAATGATAATAAAAGAATAGATAGTACGAAATAACTTACGTAAAATATTAGTCTTATAAGTATTTTACATCATTATTATTGCGTCGCAGTGTATTCAAATGAAAATATGGTCGAAATAAGAGGGTCAATCATTTGTTAATAAATAATAATAACTTTCAAAAACTAGTTGAAAACATACAATAGGGACCTTGGGCACATCATATAAAATATTTTTGAAACATTTAACCATATATGTAATTTTATACGGTCTCATGTTTCACGTCCAAGGCCTCCATATACGATCAAAATGTGTGGTTTCATTTATTGGACATGTTAATTTACTAAACTCGCGAACATAAAATCATGTAATTAGTGCAATCCAAAGTTTGTTACTTTTTGCCATAAAATTGTAATAACTTATTAGTCTTCTAGACATTAAAACTAATAAATGCTAATTAATATTTGTATACGTAGGATGCTTGTACAGATAAAGGGGAAAAAAACTAACGCTGGGGCTATATGGACTTCTTTATATGCTTACTTAAAAACATGATTCGTTCTTTATTTCAAGTTTTATACCATCGTTAGTTTAACAATATAAAATACTAAAATATTATTGGCTAATATATTTTATATTATCTTTTTATATGATGTATCCAAGGTCCCTTTTATCTTGTCAAAGAAAAATATTTTTGCAGAAAAGTAGCAGATGTCTCACCGCAAATAGTTTCTAAATAACATTATAAATACCTCAGAGCAAACAGAATTCAGAAATATTAAGATCCCATAAAGCATTAATGTTTTCTAATTTTACATATAAAATTGTCGATTATAAAAAAAAAAGGTACACCATATCTAGTGTATATCACAAATATAATCCGAGATAACCATAAATATTTATTAATAAATAGTTCTAATCGACTAGACGTACGAACATCTAGCGTTATTGTCTTTTAAAAGTAAAAGAAAATCTTGTGGTTCTTTAGATAAATTCATTAGATTCCAATATCAATATGATTATTAAAGTAGAATAATATAACGTTAATGGTAAATGTAATAATAATAATATTAGGAAAAGTAAAAATATGCTGCAATAATAATTAATAAATGTAATCGACGCAGTTTGATAAGAAATTTTATTATTATGTCTCAATATAACAGGAAAAATATCCTTTAAAAGATGATTAGGTTTCAAAAATACACTTTGCGCTCGATATAATGGTATACGGTAGCTGTATGTTTCTTTACCATTGTTTTAATATAAAAACAAGTATTGATTAAGAGTAGGGAGTTGGCTAAAATGTTCAAAAAGGACATCACTGTATCAAACTTTGAGTGTATTATGTGTTAAACTTTTTTTATCAAGTTAAAATTTAGCACCATAAGCAACCTAATCCACAATTATGTAAATATATTGAGGAAATAATTAATATATCAAATATTTTTAAGAGCACTTTGATTTAAAGTATTATTGGCCATGCCTTTTAACAGAAGATAAAGAATAAACATTATAGAAAGTCAAGTTGTAAGTAAGAGAGGTGTGATTAAAACATGAAAGAAGGTGATACGTGATACTTTGTTTATTCAAAAAAAAACCAACTGAACGAACAGTTAGAAAGATAATTAAGACAATAATACCATGATATTTATACCGAAATATATCTCGTTGGTTAATGTATAATTGAAAAAGAAAAGTAGTAAGCTCGAGATAGGGTAATTTAAGCATTGGCGGGAAAGTAAAATATTGGGATTTGTCAATCCAATTATCATAATACTAAATTGTCAAATTTATCACAACCATTTCAAAGGAAAGAAAAGCTATATAATAGACCAGCTTGGTTTTGTTTTTATTAACTAAAGTAAAGAAAGAATGGAAGGAATTCAAAAGTAATAGAAATGTCAAATACATGTTCCTATCGTTCATATAGTAGTGTAATTTATGAAAAAGACATATATTACAAATTCACAATATAAGCCAAATAGCGTTCAGCTTGATCCTGGCTAGTAAATAGTCCCCCCCTACCGTTTAACATTTGCTATGTAAAGCATTGAACTAAATCAAACATTTACATTGTTGACCATTTCAACTTTACGACCAGAAATCTTATTTTTATTTGAATTGAATATAGATTTTAGTCTCTCTGACAACAATTTGATCAGGCCATTGCTGGATCAACATCTCCAACCACTTCCGGCGTGATTCTTCTGGAAGCTCAAGAGCCCATGCAGCGACTTTTGTGTTTTTTTGAATCATTGCCCACCTCACAAGAATTTTATCTTTCAAGACATCTCCCTGAGAAATCCCAGGTGGATTATTAAGAAACAGTGTGATGGGAAATCGAGCACCAGTTCTGATCATGCCTGCGCTTGGCTTGATAAAGTAACGCTCAGCTTGGATATCTCGTGGACTGGGGGCTTCTGAGGATCGTTTCAGAACCATGGGGATCGTAGCTATTGAATGTCGAACGGACGGTCGAGTACTGTTATTGCCAGTAAGGAACTTGAAAATTAATATGTAATGATCTGGGTGGGTATTGTTTAATCCTAACGTGATCGACTGACCACGGAAGCAAGGTAATGGGAATAGAAGAGGACTATTATTTAGACTATCATTTGAGGGAGGTGAGCTAGCTTCTTCACCCTCTTCGACTGATGGTTCAACATGCTGTGGTATGGCTGGGGTGTATATCGTGGGCTCTGCCTGGGTTGTGTCTATCCGACGAACAAGACTTTTTCTTCTTTCCACTTTAGCCATTTCTGGCGGGATAGGGATCGTATCGACGGTCATATAAGGTGGTGAAGAGGGCGGGAGGGGTGGTACATTCCGGAATCGAGGCACCGGGCTTGGTATGACAAAGGTGACTTTGTGATCCATGTCTTTTAACTCATTATTTTCGACCATTACATCAGGGTTGGTTAGAGTAGAAGAGGAAGAAGAAGAATTGCTGTGGTGCTGAGATATATTGTCAAAAGTCACCCGTGGCTGCTCTTCAATGTCGTCGATATCGCTGTCATTATTGTGTGTGTGGAAACGAGAAGGCCGGCATTTCTGAGCACGTATAAGATAGAGTCTTCGCTGATGACGCCGGTTGTTGAGCTCGGCTATAGCTTCTTCAGATTCATCCCCTCGGTTCCATAGAATACTTGGAATGCCTGGAGTTGGGTATGTTCTAGAAGTAGAGGCCGAATCAAGGGAGACAGGGCGACTATTGAGGGTTGGAGAGTCCTCAGTGTTGCCAGACGAAACAAAGAGGCGCTTGAGTTTTGAATAAGCGGCTGGTTTGTGCGGCGACCATTGTCTGAGAGTACTCCATGCACCTTTGTTTGACTGACTCTCTCGCGACAGAAAAGAGAGGAATGAGCGTGAGCTCTTGGTACTTGTTTGACTATGAAGAGAAGCTGCGTCGCTTTGGGTCATTGTATTCAAAAGGCAAAAAAATAGAAATAATATTTCCGCATTCATATAAACAAGAATAAGCGCTTATTCTTGACCCCCAAAATCTCACGCTGTGTCTGACTAAAAAAAAAGCACCCAATACATATGTGTGTGCCAGTTATATATATATAACTGCGTGTATGACGTTTATTAGATGAATGAAACAATGTAAAATATTTAAAGTCCAGGGAAGAGCTCCTTGAGGGTGCGAATGGTATCAGTGGGGGACTTGACGGCATGACCAGTAACATCGGGATGAGAGTAGATTTCGTAGTCATTTCCACCAGCAAAAGTTTTGTCACCAAAGAAATGGATAGTATCAAAGCCTTCTTGCTTAATATGACGTAAGCAGTAAGTTTTGTCCCAGCCAGTAGGGAAGATATCAAAAGATATCTGACCACCAATAGAGAATGTCAGAGCAAGGTGGGAGAAGTTCTTCTTAAGCTCCTCGACAAACTTCTTACGCAGACCACGCTCAAGGTCATACTTCTCAAACTCGTTACGCTCATCGCGGTTGCAGTTACGTCCAATGGGTGAAACGTTGATCATACCATTGCGGAACTCAACAAAAGTACCACTTCAAAAACAGAAAATCAGGGGTTAAGATCGATATTCAGTCTCCAAAGTCCCCACACTTTTGGTATCATTTTCTTACCGCTTCTTGGGAATATCCATATCAGCAATATAACGCAAGATGAAGTTAACGAGCTTGTTGTATTCTTCATCACCGATCCACTCAATAAAGCTCTGTGTTCAATATAGATATAAAATATATGCAATTATTGTGAGTAAGGAAATCAACAAAATTATTATTTTCTTTTAAGAATCCGTCAAACAAAAGAAAGAAAAAGAAAAAGAAACTCATGATGAGGATGATTATTTTACCTGGGATGCCAACTGCTTGCCAAGTCTGTATGCAGTCAAGCCGTTCTCAGCAAAACAATAGTCAAAGTCATTGAGAACTAGAGAGATTCATTATGTTAAAGATTTGTTTAAAATCCTATTAATTTCTTTTATTTATTTATAAATTTCATAACAAAAGACAAAAATTGATCCAGACTTACTGTTATCACCCAACTGTTCGTACTGCTTGCTAATGTCAGAGCCACCGACAAATCCGATTACAGCCTTCTTACGAAGGGCCTTGAGAGTGTCAAGCATTTCTTGGGAGACATGCTGATACGAGTATTAATATCAAGGCCAATATACGCGTTTATTAAGAAATTTACATTGCGAGCTGGAGTGAGGGTTCCGTCAACGTCGAAAAGAACGATAGTCTTGGGAAATTCGCGCTTGGAAAATTCGGTAATGGCAGACATGATGAGGATAAGAAGTGACAGGACTGGAGATGCCAAAGAAGAGACAAACGTTAATTATAGTGCTTGGCGAAGCTCCGATGGACTTCATTCCTAGAAAGGGATCCAATAAGGCTCGACCTCGTGTCGATCTCAACACACCGGTGCTAATTTGGCGCGTGTTCAATCTAAGTAATGCCACGTATTGCGACCCATCTTCTCCTTTCTCTCACTATTTTTGGCGTCATTTATTTTCAGCCAAGATATTTCTTAGCTCAGAATCGATATGAATTGTATAGCTAGACTAGCTTATGTTAATAAAAGAATAAATATTTTTAAGCCTGAAAATGACTGTAATTAAAGGAGTACTATTGTCATACAGTTGTACACTTGTTTATAAGCACAAGAAATCGAATATGAGTCTGTGTGTATATATATAGGTATATGGTCGTTATACACAAAATGCTTATTTATAAAGAAATTATACATTCTGTATTATAAAGGCTTGTATCTGTTCCTTAATAGAAAAAGAAAGAATCCAGTACGCTGGCCAGCCTAAAAACAAGCAACGGACATGCGCAACCAATTCATCAATAGTTACACTTTCCATCGGCCTTTAGCTTTGGTTGTAGAATGTGAGGGTGTGGCCGCCACCTGAAAATACAGCAAAATTTCAGTTTAACAGATAAAATTTATAATTTATTTTATTTTTTTTTATTTTTTTTAATACACACAATTTCTTCCATCATTTAATCATCTTATACTGCATTTATATCTTATTTTATTATCACATCTTTTTGTCCTCTCTATACCCCCCCTCCCAGCACCCACCATCAATCCACTTCCAGCAGTAATACAATCGAATCGAATCCCAAACATAACTTATTTGCGCCACAACAAACAACACCACAATAAATTATCCAAATACGCACATAAACACAAACACAAACGCACAATCACTTGTTCGGTTACTCGACAGAACTCTCTATATCTTACAAGAGTACAGTAAGATATGAAGCGTCGGAACGACCCTACATTTTCTCTTGGGCTGTCTCCAGCTTCAGCATCCCAGTCTCGATTTGCAATAGAACAAGACAGTGGAATTGCAACCGAGGGAGAATCCGACGCTGATCATTGTTTTCTTCGACCAGATTCCCATTTCGGTACCTACCTATTCAGCGATGACGACGATCCAGGACACAACGACACACAACGTAAAGAAATTTCTTCTCAATCGCTTCACCAGGTACTACGTTCAAGTGTGTACCATGCGAACCAAGCCGATCAGGCAATCCAGACAATGAAACAACTGATGCACGAAGACGACTGGAAAAAGGTGTTGAAGCATAAGAGTGGGGTAACAGTTTATATGATGCAGCCACGCTTGACAAAGGGTGCCGAAAAGGTGGCGATATTCCGAGGTGAAGCCGTAATCCAGAATTTCTCTCCTCAGGCTGTATTCTATGTGATTGGAATGCGCAAATTGTGGGATGAAAAGTAAGTCTGATAACCCAAGAAAGAAACAATTGAATGAATTAGTTTTGTGTATGTTTAGTTTTGAAGAAGGACGCCTTGTAGAGAACCTCAACGAGACAACATCTTTGACTTATGAATCATATCGAGCAAACAGTGGTACATCAAAGTAATATGATAATTACATATTTAAACAACAACAACAACAATAGCAAACAATTATTTAATTATTATTGCTTAAAAAAAATTGATCAGAAATAGAGATGTTTCTCTAGTCGAAAAGATCGAATGTTCAAGCGACGGGGTGATTATATTTGTGTGTACAAGTGTAGACACACCATCGATACCAAAGGTGGCAGGAAGAACAAGAGACCAAGTAAAGGTATAGAAACATACGCAAAGATACGTACACAAGTAATAATAAATCTAATAACAAAACCAATAATTTTAGCTCCAAGGCTGGGTATTGAAACCACTTCAAACCAGCCCACCATCCACAAAAGTTACCTATATTACCCAAGAAAGTGTAAAGGGCTGGATCCCTGGACTTACCAAGAAATCTCTGGCTAGACGACCATTAGTAATTGCTGCAGTCAATACCTACCTCCAACAAAAAGCAGATCGCCTCCGTGCTACAGCCGCCACAAATCCTACTCCACAGCCAATTCATCCTTCATCTGTTATCAAACCCCCACTCGTATCACTCCGTTCAACATCAACTCCTAGGTAAGAAAACGTTTGATTATAGTTCTTTTCTTTTAAAAAAAAAGTGGAACTTGTTTCTGATAAAAGAGTATTATATAGTCAACAGCGTAGATCGATTTATGCCCAACGAGCACCTTCTCAAGGGGCTACTCTTGGACAAAGTAACCACACCGGTATTCTTACTCAACCACCGCCTCGAAAGTCTTCTCTCCAGCCACCTACCAAGGAGATCACAACTCGCCAAGTAAAATTTGCCAACGATATCCCTACCCGTTCAACTTCTCCTTATAGCCGTGCTTCGGCTGGGACAACCACTGGTAGCACCACACAGTCATCTCGATCGTCTACTTCTGACGAAAGATCGTCTACTTCTTCTACCTCTGATACCCAATGGTCTATGTCTGATGCCCGATCATCCCAAGACACGCTCCAAAACATCGAAGACACGGTGGACTATAAAAAGCTACCCAGACCGCTCCCGAGTACCTTGCACAATCCAGCGGTGAAATTATATCCTCCAAGCCGACATCGATCCACAAGACGACAGTGCATGGATTTGTTAAAGCAATTGGCATCTGATGACCTGGATGATTGGAAGCCGAGTGGGGAAAAGAACAATGTGCGGCTTTATACGAAATCAGTCCAGGGTTCACCTCTGCCGATCATGCGAGGCGAGACGACTTTGAGTGGACCATGGACTGCCGAACAAGTATGCTCTGTGATCCAGTGTTTTGGTGCCCGCAAGTTATGTAAGGAGTTGGGGGTTTTTGGCAAGATGAATATAAATGTTGTTGAATGTTGTTGAATCTCATTTGACCAACTGATTTCAAATAGGGGACGACTACTTTGAGAGTGGCGTGTTTGTAGAACGGTTTTCACAAAAGGAGTATTTATCTCATGTACAGCTGCGGACCGTGTTTCCTATTCAAAGCCGAGACTTTTCTTTATTGACGGCCCTGGAGAGCGATGCAGCTACAGGAACAATTCATGTGGCGAGTGCGAGTGTGGCTGATGTATTGGTTCCTGAAAGCAAGGCATCTATACGCGGCAAGATGGCCCTCTATGGTTGGATTTTGGTACCCACGAGAAACTCTGAAGGTAAACTTGCGGGTATCAAGACAACGTTTGTCTGCCAGATGGACATGGCAGGACAGACACCGCTCCCGCCTGCCATTGTTCGCCTACTTACTAGCCAAGTACCGGCTTGCGTTGATCGCATGCAGGATTATCTTGATAAACATGGCTGCCCACCTTACATCCGCCGTGTTGCTGGCAAGATTGTTTACGAAAACTTTGACGTCGAGAGCAAGACATATCACATTGGTTACATTGCCAAGTGCACACCTTCTAGACAACACAAGTCGAATGCTGCGCTTTGGTGTACTGATATTCGTACGCATCAATCTCTGTACTCTCAAGGGTTTAGTATATTTAGCCGACCGACTAGTCAAATGAAGATAGAGTTGAGACCGGATGCTATGGGTATCTGTGTTTACACCGAAGGAGATGTCTTGGAAGGACATACGATTGAGATTATTCTGATGCCTAGCCAAGATGTACCCAAAGGAGAAAGTCGTTACAGTTGCAATGGACAATGTATCCGAACGATTAATACCAATACCAATACCAATACCAATATCAATCCAAATACGAATACTAAAGCCAAATCCAAATCCAAATCCAAATCCAATAACAATACCCTATCTCGGCCACCACTCACATTGGAAATCCCACCCTTGCCGTTTCCACGGAAAGCACGAAAGTCATTGGTTCAACCACCTGTAGAATTACTACCAGTACCACCATGGAATACTCCAAGTGAAAAACCTTTGGCAGTTGAGCAAAGTAAACTTGAAGAGGTAAGATTATACTTCTTTTATTTATTTATTTTTTTTAAAAAAAAAGGCCAAAGAAGATAGCGTGGTCCGATGTATAGGATGTGTACGACAAAAGAGATCGACGACTAAAATAAAGTATTGTCATTAATATTCTTTTCTGTTTCTTTTTTTTTTCTGGTGTACAGCCTGTACGAAGGAATAGCTATGTGATCATTCTGGGTGATGATCTCTCATTTACCGGTCCACAACTTTCAGTCATTGTGCTACTAATGGCAGTGTGCTATTATATGGGCAAGTTCTCTTGTCGTTGCTAAAAATGTACTGGGCAGTACTTTTACTATTGTTAAATATTTTATTTATTTTTGAAAATAATAAGCTTTTTATTTTATTTTTATTTTTATTATATATATTTATATACCTTTTATTTTATTTTATTTTATCATCCAATTTTCCACACCTTCCCATACACACAGATAGATAGTCAATATAAATTGTATGCAGTAGCTTTACTACTTTGTGTCTATATATCTCTCCCCGGGCACTTAACTCTCATTATTTTAAGAGCCACAGTTTGTATTTAGCCAACTTAATAATGAAATGTTATCTCATACAAAAAAAACCAAATCCTGTGTATTCAATTAATAACCTTGAATTTAGACTTGACAATAAAGAAATAATCGTTAGACACATATGCACTATATCAGTAGCCAGTTATACATAAGATTATAAGAAGTTGTTGTCATTAGAGTGTGACGCAATCTTGTTGGACATTTCACTATTTATTGGCCTTCTTACGCGTATCATGTCTTTCTCTTTCCTTCACCAACTTATATTCCCAGAGTTTGACAGCACAAACTGGTAAGTAATTATCATCCACTTTTTTTTGCAAAGCTCAAAATAACATCTTTATGAATATTTTGTATTCTGACTAGTATTAATTATTATAATAAGAATAGATCCTTAGGGACCAGATAGAGTTATTAAATGCCGGCAAAAAGGTCGCGATCTGTGGTCTGGTAGAATAAAAATGCCGTCTCCTTAAAATTAGCGATATAAGATTGTGAAGTTATACACCAACAAATTTGAAAAAAAAATCTTTTGACTGGATATATTCGCAAGTCTGTTGGATACGCAAAGCATAGAGGTAAAAATATTCAAAAGATGGTGGATAATCTATGCAATAGACGTAGAGTGGATATATTTTATGCGTCGTATTCATCTGAAGCAAGTAGCGATATCGACTCGAGATGTTAAAGACGATGTTAAAACATTAGCTAAACTAAAAAAAAAAACGTTCATGGCCACACCCAAGGTATTATATATGTATATCTCCATGTGTAGTTAAAAGCATTTGGTGTGGACAGACTAAAAGTTCAAAAAAAAGGGCAAGAAAAGGGTAAAATAACTTCATCCAGAACTTAGTCAATCAGACTAATTTATGACTGTCCACACCTTTTTTTTTAAACAAAAGAAAAGTTCAAAGTTGTGCTTATAATCCCGTCTCTGTCATTAAGTGAGAACGTCTTATTGCGAGTTTTTCTATACCTCTCATTATATGGCACGTCTCTATAAAAAAATGCTTCTCTTCTCAATCCTAGTGGCAACGGAAGAAGACTAGCTAATTAGAGTCGATTAAAATTTTTACCCTTTTTTTGAACCTTCAAGAAAAAAAAGAGCAAAAAAAGGGCAAAATTAATTAAACCTCTCGCCCAATTATATGACTTAAAAATTTGCTTTTTTTTTGCCCTTTTTTTTTTGAACTTTTAGTCTGTCCACACCAAGTTCATTGGAAAACGAAATTTGGGGGTGGAGACACTGTATATATATTTATATATATTTTGTGTACTTACCCACATACACTTCTTTACAGATATTTTTTTTCGTTGTTCTTTTTCTTCTTCTTTTTTCCTTTTTTTCTTTTTTTTACAATATACATATACACATATAAGTTTATTCATTTTCACACAAAGAAATATACAAAGATTTATATTATATATATATATATACATACATACAAAAAATATTATATTTTTCTCTCTCTTTCTCTCTTTCTCTTTCTCTCTCTCTCTTTGCTTTGCTTTGCTTTGCTTTGCTTTGCTTTGCTTTGCTTTGCTTTTTTTGTTACTCATTTTGTTTATTATTCATCAACTTTGAAATGACACCTGTCTCTAATGATCAAGTTAATCGCCCAAAGCCATTTTCTCCCTTTGACTTTTTGTTTCCAGGCCATAGACGACAGGCACTTTACCATAGTCTGTGGTCTGTAGTTCCTTTCAAGACAATCATTCTTGGTCATTTTTCTTATGAGTCGGCTGATATGGTCGCAACCAGAGCAGTGATGCTTAATAAGCCTTGTCCGAGCAAATTTAAACAATCTGATGTTATCCACGACAAGAAATATAGAATGTTTACAATTTTACTCAACGAGGCTGGCCTTCTAGGTAAGCAATTGCTTATATAAAAGAAAATATTAATTATTATTTTATTTTATTTAAAAAAAAAAAAAAAAAAAAAAAAGAAAAAAAGAAAGAAAAGCTTGAGCCTCATTATTATCATATTATATTTATTTATCTATATCTTTATATGTCTTTATTTTAAAATAAATGAAGCTGCATTGTGTTACCTGCCAACCCAATATCCGACTGTTGTGGAGTTTTATCACGTTGCAAGTAGATTTCTTCTCTTTATTACCATTTTACTGTCATTTGTTCATAGCATAGATTTATCTATATATATTTTTTGGCTTCTGTACTTCTTTTTCTCTTTTGTATATTTTATGTGTATTGTGTATGTATTGTGTATGTATTGTGTGTGTATTGTGTGTATTGTGTGTATTGTGTGTATTGTGTGTATTTTATGTATTTTATGTATTTTGTTCCATCTGTTTGGTAACCAATGACAATCATATGTGTATTCAATAGGAAATCCCGGTAGCCTATCGGCACCAAGCTATCGGAGATCTACTTGTTGGAACAGCACTTGGTTGGGCAGTCGACACTGGATATCAGGTGATCCCCACCTGTGAATTTGTACGGCTGCATCTGGAGAACAAGTACATCCGCACCCACAAGACTCTCCCCGCATGCATCAAAACAGTCAGTCAGTCAGCCAACCAACAACTAATCAACCCAGCCAGCGACCAAGCCAGGCTCAAATAAATATAATTAGCCTTTCAAGGTGTTACACAAACAGACCTCCAATTTGGCCCTCTTTTCTCTTTTCTCTTTCTCTTTCCCATTTTCCCTCTTAAATTTTTCTTTTATTCTTCTTCTTCTTCTTCCCCTTTTTGTTTTTTTTTATTTCATTTCATTTTATTTTATTTTATTTTATTTTCATGACCGCATCAGAATTATCTCCAACTACCGGTCCACCATGTTCAAGAGACCCCGAAGTTCTTGTCCAACGCTCCATGTCGGCAAGGGCTCACCAACAGGCGATTAAAGACGATCGAATTGCATCAGACAAACGCAAGATGCAAAAGATTCAAAATTATGTTATCTACCAAAAGACCTTGGGAGCAGGCAGTATGGGAAAAGTCAAGTTGGCCGAATGCTTGACAGATACGGACCATCGTCAAGTAAGGATATTCTTAAAGTATTGATTTCAAAAAATAAATAAAATAAAAATACAGATCAAAACTAAAAAAATAAGTGTGTGATCCAAAAGTATGCGGTCAAGATTATGCCCAAGATCGATCTCTCCATCCCCACTCCTGCCTCACAAGCTCCCCCCAAAGATCCAAAAGACACACCCAGTGAACGAGAGCATCGTACACAGAGAGAGATGGCGATCATGCAGTTGCTGCGTCACCCGAACATCTGCCAACTTAAAGAGTGGATGACCGAAGGTGACCGATACTACATGTTTCTAGAGTATGTAGACGGAGGTCAGCTACTAGATTATATTATCAGTCATGGAAAATTGCGTGAGAAACAAGCTCGAAAATTCTCTAGACAGATTGTCAGTGCTCTTGGTAAGTTGAAAGAAACGTATTTGGTATCTTTGTTCTTCCTGTTTTCTTGTGCACTCCAAATGATTCAGCTGGGGCTAATGTACTTGTGAAAACAATTCAACATAACAGATTATTGCCACCGGAATTCTATTGTACATCGAGGTGAGAACAAATAGAGATTGTATACAAGATAATTATAAAGATGTATTGTGATACACAAGAATATAAAATAAGCAAAAGAGAGATAAAGAATAAAGAGGCTGGCACAGGGAAAAGAGACGCAAAATAATTAATGAATTGTAGATCTCAAGATTGAAAATATCCTGATCACCCGGGACGAAAACATAAAGATCATTGATTTTGGGCTGTCCAACATCTACTCGCCTTTACGCCAGCTAAACACTTTCTGCGGCTCGCTCTATTTTGCTGCACCGGAATTACTACAGGCACACAAGTATATTGGACCCGAAGTAGACGTCTGGAGTTTGGGAATTGTGCTGTATGTATTGGTGTGTGGCCGAGTACCTTTTGATGACACAAGTCTGCCAGCCTTGCATGCAAAGATAAAAGCAGGCGTCGTTGTTTATCCAGACCATCTTTCAAAAGGTAAGTACATATTATATCACAACTTCGGACTGATCCCATAAGACTGCATTCATTTATTATCAAACATTCTTGTCGTCGATCCCCTCCAGAGGAAAGACCTGAGCTTTGTTCGCAACCATCCCTGGCTCAACAAAGGTCACGATGCACCTGTCGATAATCATCTCCCACACAGACTACCCCTAACCACTCCAGATCCTGCAGTAATTCAGGGCATGCAAGGATTTGGTCTTGGTACACCTGATGCCATCCTATCCAAACTCACGTCTATATTTGCCTCCAAGACTTATCAGGAAGCAGCCGCTCAAATTGATCATAATTATCAACTCCACCAGTTGCATATCCAATCATTGACAGCACCTCGCTGGCGGCTTCTGAGTACAAAGAAGCCATGTCCTACCCAAGATGATCCACAGACATTACCCGCGATGTACGATCCATTGGTGTCCATATATTACCTCGTTCAAGAGGCAAGACTTCATTACCAGACACGCTCAGACCCTAGCCTTACCCGTCGCCGAACAGAACGCATACCCAAGACAGCCAAGCATGAAGCCGTTCTCGAACAAGAATCCAAGGGGCTCAGCCGTGCGACTTCCATGCAGATTCCTACTCGCTCCACTTCTGAGAAAGCCAATAATCTCAAGGAACGCAGCAAGAACGCAGCCAGACGTCTTGGAGCCATGCTTCTCAGTGGACCCCTTCATGAAGACGAAGAAACCCCCACTAGCTCAGCTCATACTACTTCTCCTACATCTACCACTGCGATTATATCCACAGCTACACCCACAACCACTACTGCAACATCTACCCCAAAAACACTTCAAAAGACACTTAGCATCCTGCGCTCACATTCTGTCCATGACAAAAATAAAGCACCTCGAAGTAGGCCTCATTCAACCGAGACTATGCTGATTGGTCACAGTATTGAATCAGGTAAATTGTCATTATTTATTTATTTATTTATTTATTTATTTATTTATTTATTTTTAAAAATAATAATAACAATAATGGAAACAACTGTGCTATCGGGCTCTGTTGTACTTTGTTGTTTATCATGAGTTTTAAATCAAATGTTCGATTGTGTAGGATCAACTGAAATATCAGAAAACATGCCTACTGTTAGTGTGCACCCCAAGAGTCTTTTTAATTTTAGCCGTCGCCATCTATTCCGTGTCTCGCCCGCGCAGATGGCACAAGATCTTCAGTCTGTGCTTAGTAGATTGGCTGTCCAGACCCGTCCAACAGGCGAGCCGTTTACCCTTGAATGCGAGATCCTCTTCCCTGACTGGACACGTTTCACACAACCTATGGTGGATGCAACTACGACAAACTCAGGATTTTCCGGGCATTCTGATAGCACTCACACTCAAAACTCAAATGAGCCTCATGGACCATCAACAACAGCGACCTCAGCGACCTCAGCTACCCCAGCCTCACAAACACCAATACCGGTAGCAACCAGTACTTCTGCTCCACTAAATATTCAAACCAGAGAAGATAGCTTGCACTTTACTATAATGATATATCAAGCACGTTGGGCAGGTGGTCGCTTAGGAGTCAAGGTCAAGGAAGCTGAAGATGAAATCAATGGACAGCGTGTGTACGCCAATCTTTACCACACTATTCTTAATGAACTTGGTCAACTTACCGTATAGATTAGTCACCTCATTTCAATTTTCATATATATTGCTCTACCACGAAACCAACAAGATACCCTAAATCCAATCTTAATATTCGTATTATTAAATACTATATATTTTCATTCAATACAATACAACAATACAATAGCACAAATTATTCCTATTTTTTTTCTGGTTTTTTTTTTCTTTTAAAAAAATGATCGTATTAATATATACACTATCTATAATAAAATATATGGTTACTAAAAAATTACAAAAACATTTGGTTGTTTCGATTTGTTCGGATTAATAAATCTCTAAATTACAAGCCTTTAAGCGTAAGTGGATCTTATACCATGATAATAAAAAAGGAGAGGTGAAGAAAATTGAGCAAGAGATTTTGGCAAGCTTTTCTTTCTTTTTTCTTTTTTGTTGGGTTTTTAGAACTGTTTAAAGACCAGGATTTTAATTAAGCATTGATTTTCGTCCCTTTATTTCAAGTCAAAAATGAACACCTTTTTCTATATCCAACTCTCCATACACTCTCTTCTTCTTCTCATGGCGAGTAAAACAGCAGAAAGATACCTGGTTACATTATACAAGAGTAATCTATTGATCCTATAATGTTGGTTAAAGTCGGCATTGATGACTGTAAGACACAGTAATTGCCTTTAAGAAATTTGACTCTTTTTTTTTTATGCACAGGCATCAGTTGACCAAGAAGAACACTAAAACTTGTCCTTTGAAAATGGATAGAGAACTCCACTGAATAAACCTGATAATATTCCTGTATTTTCTGGCAGTTAAAGATCACATCTACAAATATATATATATAACCTGATAAAAATATTCATTGGCAGCTACCTTTGACAAATAGCTGCTTTTTAGCTACTTGAATGATAATAATTACAACTGAATGTCTGGTTGGTAGCCAAGGATATAATATTTATTAACTTCTTTAATACTAAATTTGTCTTGAAAATAAACATCTTTCTTCATTCTTTCTACTTTTGCCTACATTTTATAGGCTATATAGCATGTATAAAAGATTGTCAATGTCAAAGGAATATTTACGATGTTCCTTTTGTTTTTATTATAGCAGTAAATTAGTTTAATACCATCATTTATTTAACCTTTTAATCATTTGTGGTTAGTATTTTAATATATATATGTTTATAAAAGAAGTAGGAGAACATAAAGGACCTCTTCTTTAAAGCTTGTATTTTAATGTTTCGGGATAATCAAGCGTGAATTACATGTATTTCTAGGTAAAAACGACAGAAACTAAGGTTCCTATAAATGTAGTCATGGTCAAGCTTTTACCCCTATTATCCAATTATTAATTTTTTGTACCTCATCCAATTAGATTCATAAACTTGGATGAGGTGCGTGAAAGTATATTTTACTAGTGTGTAGGAAATGTACTGACAGTTAGCAAACAATTGGTGAAAATACAGCAGAGCCGCATCGAGTGTAAGTCATGTGCTTTTTTTGTTTTTTTTTGGACAACACCTAACCTTTTCCCCCTTCTTTTTTTTTATTAACCCCTTCTTTCTTCACTGCTAGCCATCTTGCCATTCTGTCCAAATCACAAATCTTGCTGTGATATTTGATAATATTGAGTAAAAAATCATCTACATCTATACCTACATTACATTCCATTCCATCCCAAAAAACACTTATGCAAGATACTGCCATACAAAGAGGTGAGACCACGTTTGGTTCACACCACAACCCGTCTCACGCGTCCGAAACAACACGTCAAGGGTTTGTTAAATAATAATAATAATATATATATATATATAAGAAAGAAGAAGAAGAAGAAACAAAATGTCTTTTGTCAAATAGACTATGACTGTGGATTCACACCAAGACCAATATTAGATTTCAGTCTTTATCTGAACCAAGTACGCCCCTACCATTGGGTCCACACACCAAACGCCACAGAATGGCTTCTGGCCCCCCTGATTATAAGTTGTCATCCGTAGACGAAAGTTTGGATATAACAAATAATGAAAATGGAATCGGCCCCCCTTTTGGAATCGCCACAGAGTATGAATCACTTGTGAGCGTAGAAAACCATCGTGAAATACGACCAAGACTGTGGGCTAGAATGGACCGTGGATTTTTTCTTCAGGATCTTGAGTGGACATGCTACAGACGCAACTACTTCCAGGTCAGCGCAAGCTTTGACTTTGAAAATGAGATGCCCGATGTTGAGTGTGTTGTCAAGTCAACCGGAGAGCAGATATTGTCATTTTCTGTCAATCTATGGGCCCATGTTACCGAAGGAGGTCGTCATATCGAACTTGTTCAACATACACCAAAGCGCGACAAAGGACCTCAGCGCACTCCTCAACCCTGTACGATCAGAGCAGGCGGTAACCTTGATACAGGCGGAACTACTCTAGGAGCACCTCATACCATCCAGCCTGATCTCGCACTCTTTGAACGTATCCAGTTCAAGACTGCCACAGCTAATAACGGAAAGCGACGTGCAGCTCAGCAGTATTTCCGTCTTAATGTCGATCTCTTGGCAAACACAGCCACAGGATCAATTCGTGTAATGTCAATTGCTTCGGCTCCTCTTGTTGTCCGCGGCCGCAGTCCTGGTCACTATGCAGAGCTCCAAGACAAATCTATCCAACCCACTCAACGCCATCGTCATCACCACCGTTATATGAGTTTGCCTAACCGCCCTAGTGAACCTTATCCTTCATTTGTGTCCTTTATACCTCCTTCACAACACCTGACTCCACCGCACTCAAGAGTCGATTCTTCGTCATCTTCGCCCTTTTCAACTCTTCAATCCCAGGCATTTAATCCTTTTTTGCCGGCTTATGATCCCCAAAGGCAACCTCTTAATAACAGCAGATTGCCTCTTCCACCACCTCCAGCATCATCAACACCATCTCACAGGGATGACATGAACTATCGGCAGAATACAACTCCTTATTACCCAATTCAACATCGTCAAGAATATATTTCTCATAATTATTATTATCAAGGACAACCACCGAACATCAAAGAGTCAACAGAAGAAGATCTCAAGAGTATTAAACCTACTGCCTACTCTTCTTGACGGTGGCTGGCTGTCGTCTTTTAGTCCGTTGTCTCTGACTTTTCTTTTTCTTTTTCTTTTTCTTTAAAAAAAAAGAGGTTATATATAAAAGCGCATATATATACACACACATATATATACATATACATATATCAATACCCCATCACCCCACTACCACACACACACACACACACACACAAACACAAACACGCAGCACAACAGATAAGAGAAAGCCATATTTCTCTTGTTATAAAATAAACATTTTTTGTCATTATTTATCTTGTTGACACACTTTGTTTCTAAAGAAGAGCACGGAGACCAGCTAATTCTCTCATCACCGAAGGCTCTGTGCCGATCTTCTGGAGCTATAGTATTTGTTAGTAAAGTAGTACTTGTTTTTGATCCTTTTAAATATGTATATATATATATACTTTACCTGAGCGGGTTCGATAGTATCACCCTTGGTTTGTTTGTCCTTGAGTTCCCTGATCTGACGAAGCTTCTTCTCCAAGTTTCTAATCTTCTTTTGGGTCTCTTCTGCATTCACAGGAGTAGGCTTTGCGGCAGCAGGTGGTGCTACAATAATAATAATAATAATAATATCGGTTTAGCTTGTTATTATAGCTATAAAGAAGAGGAAGAAGAAGAAGAAAACTATCTGCACATACCTGCTTCCTTCTTACCATCTTTCTTGTTCTTTGAGGCTATATGTTATATATATATATAAAATAAAATAAAAGATGTCAGAAGATATATAAGCAAAACAAAACAAAACAAAACAAGAAGCAACGTAGATATATGTTTTTGAGCTTACCAAACTTAGCGCCAACGGGGGCACCGGGAATCTTACGAGGTCCAGAAGTAGAGCGACCAGCTGCCATATCAGCTTCTCTCTGTACAACATGTCAATTTCTTACAAACTCAATTTTCGATCTCAATATTCCCATTATGGACTACTGTTGTTATTTTTTTTTACCTGAGCAAGACTGGTAGGGGCACCGCCACTTCTCATGTGGGGAGGACGGTATGCGCCCAGAGGTTTTGCGATAGGCTTCACATCAGCATTCAAGGTCGAGAGAACCTTGATAGGCTTAGGAGCAGGTGAGATTGAACGCATAGGGTACTTGCTTGCGGGTTCAGGGCGGAATCCGACCTGATAGAGCTCATTGACACTCTCTTCATAGATGAGAGTACCAGTGTGATGCCACATCTTGAAACCGTTGTCTACTCTCAGACGAGGTGTCAAGGTTGCTGTCAAGAGATAGCGACCACAAGGAGACCATTCGCAGTGAGAAGCATTTGGTGCCTGGAAAGACTTGACCTTTGTCAAAGACTTGCGGTCCCACAGATCGATGGTGCCGTTCAAGTTTCCGAAACCAGCAATACAGATAGTACGGCCCTGAGGATTGAACTTGACAAAGTTACGGGGGTCAATACCGAAGCTGTGTACAGGATTGGCGCGGTGATCGAACAGAGTTGACTTTGCGGGCATGGCTAATCAATCAGCAATCGATTGAATAAGCATCAAATGTTAATTTTTCTTTAAAACATATATCAAGAAAAATATGTTACTTACATCCATAGACTACAACAAATTCCTTGGAGTCTGGTCCCCAGGTGACATCGTGAATAGGTCCCTCCTTATCTGTAATTTTGGGTTATTAAGACGCATATACAAATTCATCTACAAGAAATAATTTACCAAGAGGTACACGGCAGTCAAAGGTACCAGCCACGGCGAGGTAATAAAGGTTGGTTTCTAATAAATATTTTAGGTTAGTCTGGCTGGTTGATGATCCATATAGATCTATACACATTTACTGTCTTGTAAGCTTTACCTCCATAGTATGACTTTCCAGTCTTATCAACATCAGTCTGGGTCAAGACCAAAAGACTTGTACCCAAATCGTTCCAGAATGTTTGGATACGATCGGCCTTGAAGAAAGTCTTGTTGGACAAGGGCTGGTTGAAGCTAGGGACGCTGAAAAGACGAACGATCGCAGGTGCTCCCTATAACAAACAAACCAAAAGATGCCCATCTTAGGTTCTGCTTTTTCTGTCCAAAAAGAAGCCTTACCTTGCGTTCAGGAACAAACACAGCAACAGCAGGGGATTTTCCGGGACTAAGCGAGAACTGGGCAATGCCCTCCAACTTGAGTCTTGCCCAGACGGCTAAAATAAATAAATAAATAAATAAAGAAAGAAAGAAAGAAAAATTCAATATACATGATATATAAAATAATGTCTTTCATACCCCCTCCCCCTTCTTCCTTTAAGATTATATATTTTATGTTGATCACATTACCTTTTCCAGCATTTCTGCTCTCCCAAAATTGAACTTCTCCTGTCACCATACGAGCGCAGTATTTCTCATCATCGGTCCATTGGAAATTCCTAATTATTGTTACTAGCATTAAATCTCAAACCCCTTTGCTTTGTTTTCTATCATCCAAATTTTTACTGAATGATCTCCGTTCATTTTACCAGTTGTTCTGAGCCTTTTGAGAAAATGAAGCAATCTCTTCGCCTGTCTTTGCATCCCAAACGATGAGGTTACGGCTTCCAGAGCCATCCTCCAACTTGGCTAATTAAAAGTACGATCGAAATAAATTTTATATACAAAAAAAAAAGAAGAATTCAATATGGTTGCAATGCAATTGAAATTAAATATAATTCGTTGTTGCGTTAGTGTTCCGTCTTGGATTCAAAAAAAAAAATAAGAGTAGCTTTTCTCATATCCCCCCCCCCCTCTTTATTTTATTTGTACTTACTAGGTCGTTCCCATGTGGCAACGAAGCTGCCCTGAGGAGAGAGCCAGAGATCGATAACATTGGGGCGTTTGATCTCACACCACTGCTCCAGACTTCCCGCATCATAGACCTTTACGCTGTAGCCCAGATAAAATAAAGTAAGTATTATAGCTTCCGCAGTACCTTTTCTTCTTATAATTTATTCCAATCGTTCATACCTTTCGTTAGTAGCATAAGCATAGGCATGACCGTACTTGCTATACTGAAAAGCACGAGTAGCAGTCTCAGGCCTATTAAATAGTTCATTTCAATTGTTTTTGGTTTTTGGTTTTTTTTTAAAAAAAAAGAAGAGGGAAAACATAAAGAAAAAAACCATTAGATTCTTAAATTCATTCATTCCGAATTTCCCTTTTTTTTTTAAAAAAAAAAGATGTATGTATTACTTTTCGAAGGTCTTGAGAGGCTGATACTCTGGATATCCACTCCAGATGGTCAGCTCCTTCTGAGCACGATCTACACATTATAAACATCAGATGATGAGGCTCTTTAGCCTACGGTCTTTTCTTCAATCTTACACGAAAATTGAGTGGGGGCTTCAGTCGACATTGGGCAAAAACAAGACACCTTTTCCTAATCTCGCTTCGTCCAGCGCTTTTTCCGTCTCGAACAAGAGAGCCACAAGCCACATGAGTTACATGCGGAGTATTTGGATCACCGAATCAGATAAGTTTTTCCTGGAGATGAGTTGTGAAATGTGCTTTTAATGATTTACTTTTTTGGGTTTACTATGAAATGAATTTGATTTTTTTATTATAATTATTATTTATATATATATATATATATTTAGTGAACAGTATTTAAGCTACTTTAAAATTTTATCTGGACGAGTAACAATGTACTGGTCGGTTGAAGAGTTGGTGATCTCCAGGTACTTTGGTGTACAGCTACCAGAATCACGCACTATTTTTTTTAATATATATATGCGTTAACAAAAGTCGGTGTAAAGTGCGGCAGATGAAGAGAAAGAAAAAATTATTACCAAATGAAGTGAGCGGATTGCAGTAGCATTTGCCATGCACCAGCCAAGCTGGTTCTGTTGGACAATGTTCAAATGTATCGTGTTTGTACCCAATATCATAAAACCAATGAACATCCTTTTGGCTCAGCATCAAAGCAACAGCAATAGAGTGAACAGGAGCATCACCCCATCTATAAAAAAAACATAATATAATCCAACAATAGCAACAAGACAACAGACACTTAATATTATATTATATATGTATATAAAGTCATGTAGCTTTTCGTACCTTTCATAAAAGAATCCTCCAGCACGGTCAAGATGTCTAAAGTAAGCTTGATATCCTTCTGATCGCAAAAACTTGACCGATGCAATCTATGCACAAATGATCATTTCAAATATCAGTACACATAATTTCCAAAAGAAAGAAGAAGCAATTTCTACACACCTCAAAATTACTCCAGAAATGGCAAAGATTATACGATTGTCCATTGTCATCTGTTACCATGCGAAATAGACTATCGGCCTTGTTGCGAGGATACATGTATTGGGGATAGGTCTTTATGAACTCTAGGGTAGTTTCCCACAAAGTAGGTACTGTTGAGCGATACTCTTCTAGTGCAATAGTAAAACCTACAATGTATATACACAAAGAGATGGAGATATATATAAGATTTTGTCAACATTTTTTTTTTGCTTTACAGAAAAAAGTTTGTATTTGACCAGCTTACCATACTTGAGATCACGTTCAACCATCAATTGGAATGGATCGTAATCAATATCACAAGAGAACTTAACACCTGGTTCGACTCGCCTATTTGTTTCACCAACAGACAGAATGATTAGAGCCATAATTTAGACGCACAAAATAGAATGCTTTTTTAAAAAAAATGAGTTCCACATGCACTTACCAGTAATAGTCCAACCCATCTAATAAGGGGTGAAGGAAGAAGAATCCAGACTGGAACCGACACATGTGTCTATAACTCTCACTTCCACCATATACAATACCATTATGTGCCATTGTTTCGCGACACTCCCTGGCTAGAGTTTGATTGATCCAATCTGGATAGCTCCAGTGCTTCTCTGGCACAAGACCATAATGTGTTTCTGAATTGGTCATCTGTTGGGTCAATTTCACAAACTCCTCTGTAAACGGCTCCTCGTTCAGAAAGATCCACGGGTAGTTGTACTTGCGATTGAATCTGTCTTCCAGATACCGCATTGAAGACCGCAACGCATGAAGCTCTGAATTACGCACCAGGACTACATATGCTGCCTTGACGCGTGGCCGACTTGTGTTTGTTAGACGAACATATTCTTGCTCTTCTTGGGACAATAAGACAGGTGCTTTGGGTTCCTCTTCAGTCGGCCCAGGTAAATTTAATTCGACTTGCTCTTCTTTATTCTCTGTTTTTTCTTTGGAAATCGGATCCAGTTCCAGATTATCAACCATTCGGTTCTTTTGGTGAAGCTGAGCCGGTAAGTAGTCAAGACTACTGTCTCCTACGTATCGTGCAGTAGACATAAGGAGATTATAACATTCCTTTGAAGTAGTACACCCAAGCGAATAACTTGTCTGCCTGGATTGTGGCAAAAACACCCAGGTAGCCCCGAGCAAGACAAGGGCTATTAGTATAAAACGAAAGATCCAACGCGACATAGACTGTCTTGCAGGAAGGAGCGTATAAAGGTGAAATAAAAACGAAGAAGAAGAAGAAGAAGAAGAAGAAAGGTAAAGATAAAGAGACAAAAGAACAGGATATAAAAAAAAACAAATTAGAAAGAGAGAGAGAGAGAATATGTATTTGACTTTATTGCTTTCACAATTATGTTGATTATAATTCAATTCAATTGAAGTGAATTGAATTGAATTGAATTGAATTGAATTCAATCGAACTGAAATGAATTATATCTACCATTCCATTCAAGGAAAATAAATGCATCAAGGAGTTATGCATTTATTTCCTCTTATTGCTTCTTTCTTTTTGGATTAACGACAGAATCTTTTAACTGACAATCACAAACAAAGAAAGGATCAGATCTTTTATATTTTTCTACCAAATGTGTACATATTGATTAATTTACGTTCCGTTATGTAAGGTACATCCACTGTGTTTCTTCTGGGATGCACGATGACACTTATAGCCTCAATTTATCCTATAAATCCTTCAACTTTCATCCTATCCCTTGCAAAGTCAGCCATTTCACCAATCGCTGGTTTATCAATCAAGTGAAGAAGTCCAGCAGTACAGCTATCTTCGTTGAAATCTATATGAAAATAATAATAAAAAAAAAAGAATTACTATATAATATTATTATTATTATTTTTGTTTGAAAAGTATACATGCCATAATTAGAGTCAACATCGCAACTACATGTCAGTCCATCTTGGTTAAATGGACACCGTTCAGCTACTAAATTTGAGTAGCCAACCTTGTTAAAGAAATGAAGCTCCTCGCGTTTGAGAAACAAGGCAGCTGCCATTGTACGGAATGCTGCATCCCCCCATCTAGTATCATGCATAGATGGTTGGTTTAGTATAAACAATAAACAAATTGGCAATCGCTTTATGTTATATACAGCTAAATGTTTTACCTCTCGTAAAAAAATCCGCCAGTTCGATCCATATATTCAAAAAACATTTTGTACTCATTGGATCGAAGAAAAGAAAGGTCGACAATTTCAAATGTATTCCAAATGTGACAAAAGTTATATTCTCCTGTAGTAGGGTAAACTAACCAGGGCATAATAGACTGGTTGAACGGCACAACAAGGTTCTGATAGAAATGAGAAAAGTACCCAATAGCTTTCCATAAGTTTGGTATCGTATTTGGTGCTTCTTTCATTGTCAAAGTAAACCCTGAATAATAAACATCATATTAGAAGCCGTCCTAAGGCAAAAATGTGCATAGTTACGTTGTCTTATTACCAAGCTTCTTGTTTTTATCCCTCATTGTCTGAAAAAGATCTTCATTTATGTCGCAACTGTATTCAGACCCTGGCTCTATGCGCCATCCATATTCGACTTGTCGAAAAAGAGGATGATAAAACCACAAACCAGCCTGATATCTATTGGCATTGACATTGGCATTGGCATTGACATTAACATTGACATTAACATTAACATTGACATCAATATTAATATTATTGTTCGTATTATTTTAGGTGGATCAATAATTCTTCCAACCCCTCCTCTCGTTCTTTTGGTGTCAAAATCGGCAAGGCATGAATTAAAAAAAAATGTTTTATATTGACCTTAGATATTGGTGATAATATAGGCTTCCTCCACGATAAACATTTTCTCTCTCCATCTTTGCCATAACCAATTCGGACCCATAGATACTAATCCAGGGTGGATAATTCCATGCTTCAAGATCTATTTTTCCAAAATAGACTGGTGCACTAGTGATCTTGGTTATATATCCTCTTACATCCAAAGGAAAATGTTGGGTACTCAATATAACCCACGGATAATTGAATTTGTAGTTAAATCTGTCTTCAACACTACGCATGGATAATCGAATCTCTTGCAGCTGTTCATTCCTAACAACCATATATAATACACCGCGAACAGGCAGCTTATCCAGAATAGATAGAGGGATGGTTTGATCGGGTGTAATGGGTGGAAGGAGAAAATTAATGTATTCATGTTCCAGCAATATCTGTGGTAGTGAGTCAGGGGTAGGTGCTTGGGTTCCAATAGATTCACCATTAGATAATTGTGGCTGTAAATGTGGCTGTGGTGAATTATTTGATGTAATTACTTGGCCAGTACAGGCTGATTCAACGAATTCTTTGGGCCGGTTATCCAGCGAATATGGGTTTAAAGACGATGACCACCAAGATTTGTAGCACCAGATACCAAAAACAAGGGTTATACAAGCCAATATGGCGACTCGCATGCCTTGGCGCGACAATGAGTACCGATATGGTCTAGCGCTGAATTTATCTTGTAATATTCGAGAGAGGGCAGATCTTGTCATTTATATAGAGAGAGACAGATACGCTTGTGGTAACCGAACCTTCAGAAGCACAATAATAAATAGCAAAGAGAAAAATGGATATATAGGTATATACAAAATTATATATATATATATACAAAATAGCAAGGATTCAACGACAAAGAAGCCTAATACGAGAATTGCATATCCTCTAGTCTAGCTCTCAACCTGCAGGATATTGACTTGTGCATATAAATGAAAACCTTACTTTAGTTATTTGCACTATATATAAGAGTAAAACAACAAGGGCGCAATCGTGTGCTTATAGGGAAATCCCTTCCTCCCACCCCCTCTTTTTTTTCTTTTTTTTTTGGCTTACTCATATATACCCATAGTCTATAAGCCAAATATCTTTACTACTCTACTTTGCTCTATACTTATTTGCCCAAAGCGTTTAATGTCTGTTCGTCGATATTCAACTCTTTTGGTGCAGATCCTCGCACTATTGTATGTAATAGGCGCAACTGTGTACTACTTCCGTGGCTACCTTGGTCAAGGCACCTTTTGGGAAGACAGACGTTCAGACATAATTGAACTGTCAGATAGTTCTAAAATCCCCAGTGTTGATTTTGCCCCTCAGCCAAAATCGTACACTCTTGGACCTCGTTATAATCCACACCAGATGACTATTCAGTTACCTACACCTGGGAACACAACTCAACGCGTGAAAGCAGGGTTTATTGTCTTGGTGCGTAATGAGGAGCTATATGGCATGCTGGATTCCATGTATGATGTTGGTAAGTATCTGATTGTTTTTAGATCTTAATAGGGTTATAACACTTGGAATAATAACACCAAATTGCTTGATATCCATACAGAAACTAGATTTAACAGCAAATTCAGTTATCCTTGGATATTTTTGAACAATGAGCCCTTCACAGAAGAATTTATACAACTGACAACCAAAATCACGAGTGGAAAGACACATTATGGCCTAGTGGATGAATCAATGTGGTCTTATCCTTCATGGATTGACCAGGAGAAAGCAGCAAGAAATAGAGAATCAATGAAGTCTATTCCGTATGGAACAAGCGAAAGCTACCGTCATATGTGTCGCTTTCAAAGGTAACTAATATTCTACTACCAATTCAAATTTAGGTGTGCCTAGATTAACCTGGTATATATGTCTAGTGGATTTTTCTGGAGACACCCTCTTGTTCTCCAGCTTGGCTGGGAGTTTTATTGGCGTATCGAGCCTGACGTTCGTTATTATTGTGATCTTGATTACGACCCATTTTTATACATGAAGACAAATAACAAACAGTATGGTATGTCTTTGATAGATGTGTCCAGTACTTAATATCTTACCAAGCCCTCTGTTGCTGTCTTTTTCTACTATTATATAAAAGCTTTTACAATTGCCTTTGTGGAACATTCGGGGACCATCCCAACTTTGTGGTCTACGATCAGAGAGTTTGTAAGAATTTCGACCGCAAAAGGAAAAAATTATTTTCCAAATCTTGCTACAGAGAGCTTGTATCGGTTTGTAACTGAAGAGGATGGTGAGAGCTATAATAGCTGCCATTTCTGGACAAACTTTGAGATTGCCAGACTTGATCTTTGGCAGACAGAAGCTTATCAAAATATGTTTGATTTCTTGGATAAGTCGGGCGGATTTTTCTACGAAAGGTATGGTTAAATTAAATGTAGATGGATTATAATTTAGATAATAACATGGTCGTTTAGATGGGGAGATGCACCAGTTCATTCGATATTTGCCAGCTTGTTTCTCAAGAAAGATGAAATACATTTCTTCAATGACATTGGCTATAAACACAGTATATATGAACATTGTCCAGAACAAGAGAGTTTGCTAAAACGATGCACTTGTAATCCAGCAAGAACCTTGGGTAAATATATACTACAGTATAATACTACTTTAGACTAATGATAAGTACGTTGGTTTTCTATACCATCTAGACTATACTGACAACATGAGCTGCCTGAACACGTACATGGATGCCCAGGGGTTCTCAACTCCAAAAAATAGAAAAACAGTAAATGAGATCTTGTTATAAAAATTAATTAATTAAAAGATAAAATAAAATCTCATTCCATTACAGAACAGTACAGTACAGAACAGAACAGAACAGAACAGTACAGTACAGTACAGTACAGCCCAAGTGTCAATATGTACAAAGTGAAATTTATCTATTAAATTGAATGCTTGCACATGCAAAATACATAAAAGAATATATGCTTTAGTTAAAGCGATAAGATGTTCAGACTTAAATACATCGGATTGTTATATTGATTACTTATGTACACACATACACGCATAAATACACGCGGCTGTGTGTAGAGATATCAACGGAAATATCTTTAAAAGGCTCTTATGATTAAAATCCAATGCTTTTATTTTGTAAATATTAGGCTTTATTAAATACAATTTTGGCTTGTAGATCCCACAGACTTAAGGATGGGTAACTAGGGCATTGCCTATATTTTTTATTTTTTATTTTTATTTTGCTTATACTCAATTATGCGGATTAATATACTCACTGAACAAGGGGAGGTATGTTACACTACGCTGTGTGGACGTATTTGCAATCAATTGGCACATTATAAAGTCGTTAAAGAGTATTTCTAAAGATGCGACTTTTTTCTTTTATCCCTCTTTCCTTTCCACCAAAATGACAAAATCATTAGTATCTAACCGCAATATTGGAAAGGCTTTGTTTGAGAATACTACCAAGCCTATCATACTTGGTATACTCTCTGGTAACTTTTCCGTATATTTTTCTCAAGGACTACGAACAGTGCATGAACACGTGTAAGAGAAATAAGTCAAAGATATATTATGTAAACTATATCTAGTCTAACGCACATCGTAAACGGGCCAATATTTTCAAGATTTGATGATGCCAGACTGGAATTAAAACGCACCTCGACCCCTTTCCAATATCTCCTTGTCGTTACTTGTACTAAACGCTCTGACTCAAATACAAATTGCTGTAAATGAGTAACTTTTGTAGTTTGAATTTTTTTTTTGGATAACAAACCAGATATTTTTTCACCCTTATTGTTTTGTTTTATTAACAGCTGGAAATTTACAGATAAAGACGAACAAACATTTTTTGTGAATGAATGGCAAAATTTAACTATGATGCATATCGATCAAGGTCGCATGATATCAATTACCTGGCTTGATCCTGTAAATAAACTACCTAGATATATTATATATTCTTGACAAGCTAACAAGCAAACTTATATCAGGATACAAGAGAAGTGCTTGAGTATATATGTGATCCCTCCATTCCGACAGAATCTGTCGATATATTTATACTCATAGCGTACGAATGCATGTATGAAGCAAAATACAATACCTCGCGAGAAGAGGCAACCGAACAAGACATCCTCCAATTTCTTCCTCAGTAAACATATCAGTTCCAATTACCAGCAATTTGTGATCTGAAGAACTCCAACATTCTTAATATATGTATATATCTATTTTAGCCCAACCGTTCTTCAGACAACTTCTCGTACTCTCACAAAAGATATACGAGTAAAGGATAGCAAGCATGGGATCGATCCAGAGCCTATAATTCTTCCAATGTCATCTCTATCTATCCAAGATTCTCGTCCAATAATAGAGAAATTTATTATCCCGACCGGAAGCATTTTGCCATTTTCTAGCGATGAAACACTTATCAGTATTCAGGCTGATCTTTTCATATTTAGACCAGACAATGATAGATATAGCTGTATTGGGCGTGGAGTAATGCTTTCATTAGAAAGTCAAGAGCTTTTCAAATGTAAGCCTTTTATTATATATTTGCGACTATTATTGTATCCAATAAAACAAACTACCTACTATCTTGATATATATATATATATCTACTTTAGGCTGGATTTCTATTGTTGGGATGACATTTCCTATAGCACAGGCTATAGAGGCAAAAATTAACCCTAATTTTAACAAGGTATATAAGCAATTCATTATGGGCTTGGAACTGTGTACTTTGTGTGTAATAAGCTATACTTTATAAATACAGGAAGAAAAGGCTTTTTACTGGAATTACTATGAAGGTGATAAAGTGTATTCCTTGCTTCTCAAAAACTTTGAAGAGGATGAGTACGATGAATTTAGTGCAGCTTTTGGACAGGCTATGTACGAAGTTTCAAGACTTGTTTTATTCTCTAAACTATGCGTAAGTAATTTTTATTTCATGAAATACATTTAACAGTTTTAGAAAGGAGATCAAGATTATATAAGCAATGCGTACGAGAACGGAGTACATTCTTTAGGTGATTTTCATGAATCAGACGGTAAGCCAATGCTGAAAACTTCAAGCTAATATGCTTATTTTATAGCAGAACACATTATAGATTATCCAGAGGCAAGAGAGTATGAAAAAGACAACGAAGAAGGCGATGAGGAAGACGAATGTGAAAATCCTGATCTGGAGAAATTTCTCCACGGTTCTTCAAAAAATACACTTCTTACTGTCAGTGGGATCCACAAACGTTCTTATGTCGTGCGTGGAAGTAAGATAGGAGTCTATCAGTCCTCAGAATATGGAAATATTTCGTTCAATACCTATATCAAATCAATAAGAGCATCAAGTGGTTACGAGTTTACCCCCAGTTATACAATTCTGCACAAGAACGAAACATCTCTTTTGATGCTTACTCCTCATGACAGCAGTCGAGTGTTTAGAATGGATCTTGAGTGTGGTAAAATAGTTGAATCATGGAAGTTGGATCCCCAAGATACAGGTGACTATAGTCTATACCATACGTATATATATAATTAATGTAATTTGTTTTAGTGATGAGTATTGCACCAAGTTTCAAGAATTCTCAAATGTCATCAGAGCAATCGATAGTCGGGATTACGCCTACAACAGTTTTCAAAATCGACCCTCGACAACAGGGGGTCTCCAAAATCAAAGAAAGTGAATATAAGAAGCATCTAAAACAAACAGAATTCTCTGCTGTAACCACCACAGATACTGGCAAAGTAACTGTAGCAAGTAAAAAAGGAGAAATTCGACTATTTGATGCTCTGGGACAAACTGCCAAAAGTATACTACCACCAATGAGAGATCCTATTTACCATATTGATGTAACTGCACATGGGCGCTATATCGTTGCCACCTGTAGTACATACCTTATAGTTGTTGATACATTACACAGAAATGACTCCAGAAAACGACTTGGATTCGAGATTTCCTTTGGGCTTGACGACAAACCAATACCTTGGATACTGCGACTCAAGCCAGAGCACGTAGTACGTATGAAGCAGTCGATAAAATTTACAGCCGCACGGTTTGATACAGGGCCTGGTAACGAAAAATGGATTGTGACAGTAGGTTTAAAATAAACCAGGAAGCTAAAATATAAAATGGTAATCGGATACATTTCATATATATATATATATATTAGTCGACTGGTCTATTTTCTGTTGTGTGGAATCTCAAGGCAATATGTTCCGGGCAATTGTATGCCTATACCCTCCAGAAGTTTGACTCTCCTGTTGTTGATACCTGTTTTGATCACGGAAGGTGTCAAGATATTGTTTTAGCAGTAAGAAAAGAATTTGTTAGGCACTATAGTATAGTATCGATTAACGTTGGTTATTATTATTGCCTCTTTAACTAGTATGAAGATGATGTCCGAGTACTACCACGGCATAAATTGGCACCTGCTACCAGCCGTTTGTTTACTTCTGAGGGTATCCGAGCTCGGCACTACAAAAACCCTGGATATGATGTATAACTCATATAAGAAATTAAGAGTAGATGAATATGTTTCTATGTATTCAAGTCCCATTTAATTTGTTTTCTCTCTCTTTCTTTCTTAGTCCATTTTCTCTCATAGCAAACCATGCAAGTAGTCTATATACATTGTTTACATAAAATATATATTATTTTTATGCCATGTATACACAATGAACTTTGTAGATGCGATTTAGTTACTTTAAAAAGTCTATCAATCATAAATTATATATTACAAATGAACGTATCCATTGTCATATCTTAAATTTTATTACTAGTCAATATCCATATAACTATTTGTTGGCTCTTCACGGATCTCCTGGTCAGAAGAAGGTTTCTCCTGAATACTATGAAAAACTGGCTATATAATTCAGGTAATCAAGATAAGCTCTGGATGAGAATAGATCAAGAATCAAAGAACATCCACAAAGATACGTACTTTTTCTAGCGTTTCTAGATAATACTTGTATGGTAATGAAGACTGTCCTTCACCAAGTCTATAAATAAAGTACCATTAATGATTGCACCATTAATTAAGATATGGCTATAATACTATACTCTGTAGGGGGATTAAGAACAAATTCAGGGATCCTTAATTTTTTTTCGCCTGGTCTCATTTCCATAAGCAGCAAAGATCCGTTAACATTTGCTTCCACAAGAGCCTTATTATCCAAATCAATGTTTATATCGTTCTCATCATCTGAGAGATCCTGCTGTGACAAGTACTCGTCCATGTCTGGTATGGAAACAACATTGTTTACTTGCTGGACTATTCCACCAGGAACAGGTTGGATAGATATTTGGCTCTGATACCCAAATGTCATGGGGGAGAGTCTGTAGCTATCTATTTACAATTATTGACTTGGTCTCCTCATCAATACCAGTATTAAAAAGTGATGGGTATGAAAGACTGAACTTGCCGGCAGTAGTGCTATCGAGTGACATGGCAGCCATGTCGTTAATGACGCTGTCAGTAACACACCTTTTCTGCTTATGGTCTGCAGATTCCCAGTCAGTAGGAGTATGTACTCTCTTGTGTCTAAAGTCTTCAAAATAAGGGTAAGATGTCATGGTTGAACAATGAGAAGAAACCATTCAACCCACAAAATCATCAAGAATGAAAAAAAAGGCTATTTCTGAGTTTAAAAATAGTATGTGACGAATAAAGATAAAAGCTTTAGCATCTTTACAAATAGTTAAAAATATGAAAGTTTGTTGTATTTGGAACACGGCCAATCAACTACTTATAGATATATACTATGAGTCTATTACTGCATATAATATATAATATTTATATTATTGATAGTAGACATAGGCAGCTATAATTACTCTAAGAAGGGACAATTAGGAGAAAGATGACTATTTGTCTGTTCAGGTCGATTGCTGGCAAGCTTTTTGGGATTCAATAAATACTTGGATATTTAAAGTGCTAAACTCATAAAAAATTATGCGATAATGGTTAGTTTATGAAATTAAATATCCTAATTGTTATTTACAGACTTGCATGAACCACTTTTTATTAATATTATAAAGTGGTTTCTGTATTCTCAGCATCACATCCGCACTGGTACTTTGCCTCGATATCAGCACAGTTAAATATTTCTTTTCCCAAACGTTGGTTCACATGGTTGTGAATTGCACATGCCCACTGAGATGCTGCTACGCGAGAAGAAGTCTGAGGAGGATATTTGGCAAGCAATTTTTGAAAATGTTCCGCACTGTCATATACACATATTAGTTTTTGTAAATAATAAGAGTAATTATACTGCTTTAATTACCATTCCCCACAGGGGTACAACCTAGAAAGGAGTAAAATAAATTGCTTTAAGGCAGCCCTTTCATCAGACGTTGGAGATTCTGGAAAGCGAGCGACCATAGTGTGAAGCAACTAAATAATATGCCGTGATATACAAGAAAATACTGTCAAACTAGGGTTGGCATGTTTAATAAAATATTTTTGTTACCTTCCAAGTTGACCGACCCAATTCAGCTCTAGGAGAAAAATTGAGTATATATTGTCAGGTCAGACTTAACTGAGTTGTATTAATATGATAAACTTACTTTATAGTTGCATTTCCTAGATGACTCATAATGACCCCACCCTTGGCAGCATCTTCTGATGCCGCCAGGTCCATCGGTAAACTAATATTCACTGACTGTTGTCGCTCATATAAAACATAAAATGAGCCTGTCAGAAGGATGAAGCATCCAATTATTGATGCAAATGTAATTGCACGCATTTGTACTGAATTAATAACAAGAAGATTCTCAAAGTGGCGCTCTTTCAGCGTTTTAATCACAATAGAACGTTTGGAGATTTTTGCTAGGCAACTTTGAATTAATTTTTTTTAAACCAATAATAAGTTTGAAAATTTATAGAATAAAATTGTAAACAAATTTAGAAATACTATACACATTCGGTACAGTGCTTTACTCTGCTAAAGGCATTATTTGATTATTTTAGGTCATAATCTCAGTGGTATTAGCATTTGGTAAACAATACCGAAACTTATATCGAAGATGTAAAGTATAAAATGTACCGTTTTTATATATTAACTGTTGATCATAACATTGCTGCTCCGTATACTACAGTAAAAAAAACCCCCCACTTTCGTAGAACATTTTTACAATGTTTTTCGGGGTTTAAGAGTTGTTTTTAGGTTGAGGTTTGGTTAAAAACTCTAGTATGAGATTTTTTGTATTAATTGCCTAAAAAAGAGGTCTTGCTTCCTATAAAGGAGAGTTAGGTGCCTGGGGATATATTTATGAGCCCCAAAAGCGTGGGGATAAAGTAGTAAGTTAATAGGTATAAAGACAGAAAGACATACAGAAGATACAGAGTAAGGAAATAAAATAAAGAAAGGAATGATAATAATATGACAGGAAAAAGTAGAATCAACATGAGAGAGAAAACCCTAGTCGATGAGATTGGATCCCTGGAAGAATAATTGTACTGATTTTTTTTCTCAGAAGCAACTATATTAGCCGGAACAAAAGCCACATCATCAAGTATTTCTTTCAAATATGCCTTCCAAACCACAGAAACGATGCTATCCAAAAAATGATATGAATCATTACTGGGGTAGAAGAGAGAGAGAGAGAGAGAGGCCAAGTTCATGGAAAGCACGAAGTATTAAAACTGAAATAGTAGGATACTGTGAAATAAACCTGAACAATATCAAAACCAAAATCTGCCAAACAAAAGGACATTTAGCAAGGAAATGTTCAGAAATCTTGTTGGAGCACCTACAAAAATGACACCCAGAAGACGCAAAAAAGCTGAGGATAGAGTCAAAAAAGATAGAAGCGAAGGGGAAAGAATATGCTGTAGGCGACACCATATACCACATGTGGCAATGACCAAGGTCAAATACCAGAAAACTTCAACAGTGGAATAATATAATATGGGTTAATGAATCCATGTTTACAGTCCAAGAAGAGTCGGCGCAGCTACGTTTGACGTTAACCCCAGAAAAGGGGCCAATTCGATTGTATCACCCCAACGGTACAAGGCAATGGGAGATCTATTATTGTTTTGAGGTGTATCTGGATAGGGAGTATTGGACCACTTGTTTTGCTTGAGGGTAATATTAATGTCTCTTAACGCGTAAAGGCTCTCAAAAATTATTTTACGGAGGTTTACAAAAGTCTTCCTGTCAGCACATACTATGAGTACGTATACAAAGAGAACAGTGCTCTCTAGCATAAGCCAGATATGTCACAAGGATGTACAGATGAACTTGAACAATATGTTCTTGATTAGCTACAAAACAGTCCTGATTTGAACCCAATCGAGAACATATGTAGCTTACTTTATGACCATGTAAAGTCTAGATATAACAAATCAACTACGATGAAAAAGATTAGGAGGGATTTTACAAGAAGAATGAAGCACAGTTCCCGCAGACGTTTGTTGCAGATATTGTATTAACATCCAAAATCGTTAAACTTCTCTCAAGCCGATAAATTTAGAAATGTTCCCTACTAAATATCTTCTATGTTTATTACTATATATTATATGCCTCTACAGATTAGCTACCACCACGAATCATAGCTATAAGTTTTTTTGAACATCTTTTGTTAAAGGTTCGAAAATATAATGTTTTTAACATTTGAGTCAAGCAATGAAAAATACGGTATTATTTCCTACAATGAGTAGTAGTTAAAAATGACGGTTTAAAAAAAAAAGTCTAGGGCATATGCAATGAATATTTATTTTTTAAATACTAAGCGTATAATTGAGAGGTTGGTTTATTCGCCATATCCAGTCTCCAGAGCACGTCTATGCTCAATAGCATGCTGAGATGAATAATCCAAATGTACATAGGCTCGCTCAACATTATCCATCATTTCAAGTGCATCCTGAAGAGCCTCTCCTACATCATGAGCCTCCTGGAGAGGGCAATTGGGTGGCAATACAATGTCTACTTCTACCAGCAATCTATCGCCAATATAATAAGCACGTACCTTGAATAGCGAGAACAATTAGATTATATTTGGTGGGATTAGAAACATTACATATGTTTACCGTGTCAACCTCGACAATCTTGTGAGAAAAGCGGTAAGCCATATATGTTAGCTGTTTGATGTCATCAGTTGTTGCAGCCTGTCCGGTGAGTTTTTTGATGTTATCTACCAATCAAATCTATTAAAAAATGCTCTATTTGTTCCTAGGTTAACCGCCTTACCCAAGAGAATAGACATCCATTCGTAGATTATATAAAGAGAAAGGATGATTGCACCCAGAGGATCAAGCCATGGCATATTAGCCCAAATACCTATATTGTAATAATATGTATTTATTATGACGATCATATTTCGTAGATAACATAATATATACACACTTACCAACCAAAGGGAATATAGTACTAGCAATACTGAACACGACATCGTTCTCGTGATCGTATGCAAGGGCTTCCACACTAGAACTGCCTTTAATTGTAGCACACCAGCCCCATAAAATAGCCTTGACTCCAATATTGGCTCCCAACAAAAGTAAAGCTGACAAACTCAAGTCAAGCTCTTCTCCGACCTTTTCAGGATCGGCCAGGCGTTCGACTGATGATATAAGAACTTGGGAGAAGGAGGTAGTGATGATGACAGCAAATACGACAATACCCAAAGGCTCCATGCGAGACTAAATCAAGTTATATAAGTATATAGTCTAATCATACAAATTTAGAATTCTTACTTTGCCAACTGGGTAAGTATAAAAGTCTTTGTGACGAATAATCCGAACTGTGAAAAAGATAATTGCGTTGCTAACAATGTCAAGAAAACTTTCAAAAGCGGACGCTAGAATGGCCATTGAGCCCGAGTAAAAGGCTACAAATAGCTTAGCAGCGAACAACATAATGTTTGCAACGAACGAAAGGTTGATAGCAAGATGGACAATCCACATTTTTGTACGTTTATCTCCCATATTTTTTTGGAGGCCTAATAGCGGTTCACTTTGGCCGGATCCTCCTTCTTCTTCATCGCGATCTCGTGGAGGAACAGCGGCAACAGCTCCATAGCTGGTTTCGTGAGGATCTTCACCTCTTTGAAGGCATTCGACAACATGATCCACTTCTAAGAAACGATCGATCATTTCATTTTGATGCTAAGATTAAATGAGACATGTGTGGGTACAATGAAATGATAATCGTTGTTTTCTTTACTTTATAAAAGCTTTGAACTTTTTTATTTTTTATGCTGTCGAGCTTTTCATCCGATGCCCTGTGGGTTTCAAAGTCTACGATCGGTGGGCGAATATCAGAGGCTATCGAGTAGATAGATCTTCTACTGCGACGCCTTTCAATAATACTAGAAGTAGGGGGTAATGACATTAACGGTTTGAAAGAGTGTTGATTTCTCCTAGTGGTGTGGACTGTATTTATTTGGAATTTGTGTAATGCATGTCACTGTGACGATTGTTCATTTTACACTAAATTATTGTAAGAATATCAAGCTCTTGTAACCAGATCAAAGATAATCATCAAACTATTCAATCGTAAGCACCTGGATAGAGCAATTAGAATGGCACCACTTCTGTATAAAGAATACTTCACATATACAATGAAAGTAGAAAATAAATGTCTTTTACTATGGACATGATGTAGGTGCGTGTTGAAGCTCTGTTTTGAGTATCAAGGAGAAAACTAATTTAAGGCACGATGTTTTACTAAACATTGAATCTTGTACTCTGATCAATTGAAAGAAAAAAAAACTTTGTACCTAGTCATACAAGCACAGTTTCATTGAGGAATTACTTTCGTACCTTCAAATGCTAACCATCGGGCTTACTAATATTGGAATGTCTTATACAATAGACATTAGTAAAGGCTATTTAGCTTCTGCTTTAAATGTAATTAGAAATCCCAATGTCTTCTTCATATTCTTTACATTATCCTTGGATCTTCATTGTATTGTCTTGCGATTTTTTATTTATTAAAGAAAAGGCAGAAAATTCATAAAATATTCTAGAGTTACATTGTACCACGTATGCTTAGTTTTGTCTTTTATTGTGTTACTAATATACGTTACTCATACTACCTATAAAACCCAGGTTTTTCATCTTTTTCTTTTAATTTACTCAACATATATGACTTGTATGTTGAAATCTAGGTTTTTTTAAAGCAGACTAATAACCTAAAGCTACAAGATGTTAATAAGGGTTCATCCTAAAGAGTGACCTACTCATTCTCTGATACATTTCCATTAACTCGTTATCAGCTCAGCCTGAAAAGCAATTTTTAGACCAATTAAATAGGATTCCCAACATGCAGATACACCTGATAGAACCTGCCAGCACCAACTAAGAACAAATGTATATGTTCGCGTCCACATACATACAAGCCAGCATTGCTTTATCGCGCAGTATTTTATTTATAAAATAAAGTATTTGTTTCTAATAAAGCAGAGGTTTTTTTTTGAGGTATATAAGACTACTTGGGTACAAACATTGATAAACGATATTCCTTTGCAGGTTACCTTTATTGCTTATTTTTACTGAATATGGGAGAACTACAGATTGATAAATATAGACTGTATCTCAGAAACCGAATTTGAAGCAATATTCAATCATAGGAACACAATAAAACATACTGTCCTCGTCATTTACACTATCATAAAAGATGGCGATTTTAGTAGGAGTTTTTTTTTACAAACTTCTTTGAGAGTATAGGAGCTTCTTTAAGGCTAGATCTTGTCCAAACAGTGCCGGATTTTTTTATTTCTTTTACTTTTATGTTTCACTTTCAATTTCAATCCTTCCTATTTCTTCACTGCCATAATTAAAAAAAAACATCTTTGCAATATCCCGCTCTTGTCTCCCCCTTTTTTTTTATATAGTTCTTTTATAACCATGTTTTTGCAATCGACGCAAAGCACCGTCCTCCTATCTCTACACAGTACAAAAATAAAAGTATGATTTGCTGGGTTATTCAAATAATATAACCACTTACTATAAAGTAATTTTATGGGCACCATGCAATATGGACGAGGGTTGGAGACTTGCTTAAACGTTTCAAAACATGGCTATAAATACTAAGAGGTTTAAGAATACTCTTTGAATTATTACCAAAATTGTCTTTTTTCTCTTAGCGATTTAGTGTATACCCATATATACTACCCAAAGAGGTGGATCATACAACGAAGCTTTTGCGCATCAATACATAAACTTACATGTCTAATGTGCTTATAATAAGGCTCTTTATATATTTATGCATTAAATGACTTTTACGACCATATTTAAGCTTTTATGGTGGTATATATTTGACATCATTTATACGTTCAACCCTAAGTGTGACTTGTGAATTGATAATGAAGAAAGGAAGAGACTTTGGTGCTCGATCATTTGGATCATCGATCCCCAATGGAAAATTTACAAGATGTCTTTCAAGGATCCATGTCCAAAGAGGTGGATTATGTCCAATACTCAATATATCTTCCACCAAAACAAGACAAGCAAAGCAACTTGAAAATGCTACGAGAAACATGTGCTCTCATTCATTCCCAGCTTCAAAACTATCTTGACGGTTACCTCTGGCAGAAAGATCGATTCAATCTGTGCATCGCTTATGATGAGAAAAATGGTAATTCTTTGCATAAAATGATCTGATTAAAAGCTTTGACTAAAATCTCAACTAGATCCCTCGTACCCGTTTTTACACGGTGTCGCACGCTTTGGAGACTGTATCAATGACGAATGGTTTATTGTTTTTCTACTGCGGCAAATATCCGTTCAATTACCAGAAGCAGTTATTACAATTGCTGATAATGACGGTGATGTATTATTGATAGAGGCTGCGATGGAATTGCCTTCATGGTTGGACCCAACAAACAGTCAAAACAGAGTATATGTACACAAGGGAAAGGTGCATATCATTCCTCTTCCAACAACTCCTGCAGAAATAATGCAGATACCAAGCGTAGGGAAGTTAGGACGCACCCAAGCCATCACAATTGTACGCCAGTCTCTCGTGCCCACTGAAGCCAGTTTTTCAGTTCAAGCTATTATTCAGGAAAGAATTAAGGGTTACCCAAGAGCAGCCAAAGAAGAGATTCACCGAGCACGCTGTATTCTTCCCAAACAAGCCGCATTTGTTCTCCTCAAATCCCCTGAGTTACTTCCTTTAGCCATCGAAGCATTTTACTTACGTGAGCCGATTTCTTTGAAAGCGTGTGCTAAAATGAATCAATTTTCACCTATTCACAACAATGTTGATTCTATTGTAAAATTCACAAAGACAACTTACGCTCAAACTGTCAGCCAAAAGTTTTACGCACCAAAACCATTCCACCTTCCACCAATAACAAAAAAGAAGGAATTTAATGCAGCCGAGCTAGGGATGAAGGTAGCCTGTGGATTAGAGATGCTATATGCTGATGAGCGAACAAATCAAACAGAAGAACAGGAGAAATATCGCTTTGACCTTGATCCTGCGTGGAAAGAATTCGTTAGTAATTTGGGCCGACTCGGTTATTTCAGAGGGGAGAGAGAGGGATCTCATATTTACCGCCAATTAGAAGAACAAGCAAAAGAGCAATTTTTGCAGAGTAAAAAAAATAATGTAATTGCTATGGAAGATTTGGACATCGAAGACAATGAAACATTCTCCGGTGGATCTGTATTGGGCCAAATTAGCCCAAGAGCCTTGATTGACAAAATCTTGAAAGAATATTCAGAAGATGCCCTGGTGGAGCTTTTGAAGACAGAAGAAACCGAGGATAGTGATGAGTGGATGAATGTGGATCCTAAACAGTTAGAAGACCTGCTGGCTCAGAAAATGGGAAAAATGAAGGAAAAGATGATGGGTGATATTGAACAAGACCTTGAGGAAGACAATGAGGATGGAGAAGTTCCTGTTGATTTAGAAAAGATTATGGCTCAATTTGAGTCCTTTGTGGAAGGAAGTCGCAGTGGAGTAGATGGTGTCGAATTCCCTGGGTACGTTAACATATGTATGCTAATTACAGACTCACTCATTTACGTACCTTTTTTTTTAGTGGAAATGATGGATCCGATGAAGAAAGCGATGATAGCGATGATGAAGGTGCTGATAGAGCAATATCATTTGATACAGACCGGTTCATGAACATATTAAAGGGTGTTTTAGGTAAAACGATGAATTTATGGTACACCAAAAGGCTTAATATTCTGGTATATAGAACTACCAGAGGAACTAAAGAAAGATCCAGTGGACGTGGATGGGAATATGGAAGATACGGAAGATATGGATGAATTGATGCGTGAGATGGATAAAGAAATCAGTGGTCATGAAAAAATCAATGCCTCTTTTGAAAAAAGCAAACAGGACATCGAGGAAGACGAGGATTCTCCGGTTGATATTCAGCTTAATTTGGTTAAAAACGTATTAGAAAGTTTCAAGAGTCAACAAGGTCTTCCTGGACCCGCAGGAAATATTCTACGACAGTTTGGTGTGGTGTTGCCTGCAGATAATGAAGAGGATTCTTAAATACTCTATTGTGGTTAAGTAAATATATTAAATTTAAAGACGATAATTGTATAATTAAACAAATAAGTTTGTACTATTTCTTTATAAAAGCTTAAATAGCCTTTTTACACCGCTTTGCGGCATATACTACCATAGAATATTTGCAATAAGATATGAAGTAAATCCAGTACCTGACATGCATATTTTTTTAAAGAACACCGAGTGTATTTACATTGTCTAATATATATATATATACTTCACTAGAATTTCTCTTATAGAAAGACCTGGTGCAAAAGTAAGTTTTAATTTTTAAAAAAAATTGTGTTAAATCTGCAGCCCCTCCTCCTCCTTGTATAATTGCTTATAACGTCTTTTTGAAATGATGAATTGTATTAAAGAAATAGGTGTCATCTCGATCCTTATTTTACCGAAACTATAGATAGCCGAAAACCAAGTATTTAAAATATTTCAAATGTACAATATATATATAGGGTCGTATTTTTATGGATAAAAAGTAATAAAGAATATTGGAATAATGTAAGTGTAGCTCTAATGAGTGTCTTGGACGTATGTTCTTAATGCTTTGGTTCTTATTACATGATTACTACTCACTAGTTTTGTGATATAAATATTCGTGCTTGCATTGGACATCTAACAGTCCACATAGTTCAACTTATTCAAAGTTGTTGAGCTCTCCATTCCCACTCTTCTTCGTCTTCGTCTTCGTCATCCTCGTCTTCATCCATATCGTCAAATACCGTCCGAGCATTTTTTATAGGAGCTTTTTTCAACAGTTCCCGAACACCCTTCTTTAAACCTGTGCGAATCTCTTGTTCTGTATCATCAAATTCAACACGTAAGCCCGAATCTTTTTTTGATTCACGAGAGGAAGGAGCGATGCGCTGTTGGCGAAGCTTCTTTAGTTCATCAACGCGTGTATCAAAATCCACCTGCTGTCGTAACAGTTCCTCATCTCTATCTAACCAGAACGCCTCCTCGTCTTCATCTCTTATCTTCTCAGATTCGATCGTAGGTTCTACCATGGCTTCCTTAAATATTTCGTATTCTTTCTCAAGATCAGCCTCTAACTTGGCTCCAGGTCTAGGTGCTTTCCGTGCACGTGCGTCCTCTTCAGCATCATCGAAGAATCCTGCGGGAAGCGCGGAGTGGCTACTGCTCTCTACTGGTTCTGGCTCTACCACCTCTTCAGTTTCTGGAGCAGTATCAAAGAAATCGGAGGGCAATCCATTTGATGATGATTCCTCCATTTCTGCATCACTCTCATCGCTCACTTCTTCTTCGCTCTCGCTCTCGCTCTCGCTCTCTTCTTCAAACCGTACTCGTTTGACTTCCGGTTTTGTTTCCCCATCATCTGTTGCAGGACGCTTTAATTCTTCTGTGGCTGGTCTTCCTTGTTTAACTTGAGTCTGTCTATCTCGGATGGCTTTAAGTTTGGCGATATTTTCTTTATGTCCCGTCGAGGTGAGATGTACCGACCAGACAGCCTCTGTTTTCACGGTCGCATTACACACAGCACAGGAAAGCTTTCCCTGAGAATCGTATTTCGCAAAGGGGTGTACTACTCTTTTTGTTTTCGTTCGTTCTGATTGCTGTTGTTTAAACAGTCGTCGGATTTCTGGTTTAGGTGGCATGGCAGTTAATGAGCATCTTCCATCGTCAATCCGGAAATACGCATATGCACAATTATAGTGGCTTTGCCGAACGTGACACGCTATCATCTCATTATCTCCTGACTACACCAATTTTGACTTGTCGCTTAAGCAAAAAAAAGTGCGGGAAGAACAGATCGATCTTTCATATATACACAATGGAAAACGTACCCGACGATACATTCGAAATTGCGGTTGAATTTCCCGATGCCCCTGTGGAGGGAATCGATCCCAAAAAGGCAGAGAAGAGAAGACTTAAAGCATTAATGTCCAAGGAAGAGCGTGAAGAAAACGTAACTTAATTTTTTTTGTTAAAAAAGAAATAAACGAAAGAAAGAAGCAGCATCTCATGAGTTTTATAGCGAAAAGTCAACCGCGAAAACAGAGAGAAGAAGAAGAAACTGAAAGAAAAGAACAAGAAGAGAAAGGTAATGGCGAAAGATGCTAGATAAAGATTGATATACTTAAACAGTCGATTATCTAGAGAGGAGAAGAAGTTAGCGACGATAGCGAGGATGAAGAAGAAAAGACCGAAGATGGAGAAAAGTCTACAAAAACCAAGAGTAAAAAGGCAAAGAGCGAGAAGAAGCCTGATGAACATGGTATTTGGGTTGGCAACCTTGCCTTCTCCACCACCAGCGAAGATATCCAAAAGTACTTTGCAGATTGTGGTGAAATTACAAGAGTCAAGTGTCCCAAGGGAGACACTCCCAAGAAGTTTAACAAAGGGTGGGTACTTTTTTTTTCTTGGAAGAGCAGTAACCGTATATAAGAGGATAATCAAAATTAGAAATCGGTTGTCTGACTCTAACTATTTTAGTTTCGCCTACGTTTTTTTCACCACCCCCGAAGCTGTTGCAAAAGGTGTCGAGAAGTCAGAGGCAAAACTTGATGGTCGTAACTTGCTGATTAAGGATGCCAAGAACTTTGAACGTAAGGATGGCACTACCCCAACAGCCAAAGAAATTAAGAAGCAAAAGAACCCTCCCTGCCCTACACTTTTCCTTGGTAACCTCAGTTTTGAGACCACCGCTGAGATGGTTAAGGCACAGTTTGAGTGGTGTGGTGATATTCGTAAGGTTCGCTTGGGTCAGTTCCAGGATACTGGAAAGTGCAAGGGGTAAGTTTGTTGAGATATACAATTATATCACTTGTTGGAAAACTAAGTTCGCCATGTAATGTGTATTAGTTTCGGATACATTGATTTCATGAACGTTGATTATGCTACAAAAGCAATTCGTGCCCCCGATAAACACAATGTAGACGGACGTAAAGTCCGTGTGGAATTTGCTAGTGAGGATGCTTACCTGCGTGGTCATCCTTGGTTGATGCGTGAGAAGAAGAAGGAAGCCTCTGGCGAAAAGCCAGCCGCAGAGGGAGCAGCCACAGATGGCAAAACTGGCAAAACATATCCACCAAGAGAGGAAGAAGAATGGCGCAAGAGACGTCCAGCAAGAGGTGACAGAGTTGATAAGGGTGAGAAGGGTGAGAAGAGCGAGAAGGGAGAATACACCAAGGAGTACAAACCAAGAGACAACAAGGACAAAAAGCCATTGAGAGTTAAATCTGGACAAGCCTTGTCAGAAGCACAGCGACAGAAGCCTACTGTTCAGGAATTCAAGGGAACCAAGATTGTATTTTAAGACAATGTATAAATAAAAGAAAGAAAAAAAATACACAATTTTTACAGCATCAAAACAATAATAAAAATATTAATAATAAAAATAAAAATAATAAAATATAGCAAAAGTTGCATCGAATTTGTCATGTTTCTATAATAATATCTCTATTACGGTCCTGTCCATTTCTTAACAACTTCTTGACCCAGCAATCCGCTTGTAGAACGACGCCGCTTTGCAGACAAAATAGTATCATAGTCGGTAGGGACCGTAAGGGCATGGCTTGGCTCTATATGACTATTGGGATCGGTTGGAGCAATCACTTTAATCAAACTACGGAATGCTTTTTGGATAGCCTTGCTTTTTGCAGGATCTCGTGCGAACACACGAATGATTACTTCTTGGAATTGGCCTGGGATCATGTAGGATACATGTTGTTTGGGAATAGTAAAAGATACTATTGTGTTGACGAGATTTAGTGTTTGAATTTAAGCTATTACTACTTACCGTTGTCATCGAATTTTGAAAAGAACCGAATGGAGTCAACCGGATTCCTGTCTTTCATGGCATAATTTATTTTAAGCCAGTCAACAATCACATCATTTTCTACTAGGCCATCATTATCGCTTTGGTAAGAAATTATTTCTGCGGGCGATATAGCTTCCTGTAAATACATTCATGAATGAACAAAATAACCGATTTTTTCTTCTTCTTTATCCATATACGAAAACTCGTCTTACTTGTTTAATTTTTGCTTCCATATCAGCTGGTAGCAAGAATTCATCAACAAACTTGTATAGGTTTCTTGTTCGAAGTCTCTTGATAATTTGGCGAGATTCTTCTAATGAGGGTTCTTTTGATCGTTCTATACCGCGAATGATATCGTCTGTCAAATGAAGATATTCTTCTGGATTGTCTACTGCGTTTGAGATACCCAACTGAGCGTCTTTTGTTGTTGTTGAGGCAATTAGGTCAATATAAGCTTGTTATATAGTGAAATATATTAATTTACCAGCACTGACTAAAGCATCTGAGATCATAAGCTCTACAGCTTTGCCTAAAAAACAATTGTGATTTAGCGGTTTGATAAAGCTTTGTTTACCAACTTACCAACACGATGAGTATAAATACGCTTGAAAAGACTGTAACGAGTATGAAACATTTCATATAAGTTGTAGACTTCTTTGTGGTGATAACAAATTTGGTTATCTACTACTCTACTGTACACCAGTAGTCTTTTGGCATCATAGGAGCTACGTAATCCTAAGTTCTGTGTGTCTCTTTCGATGTAATCAAATTTGTCTACGTCGACACTGTTTTTCTTGTTGGCTACAATATCAAATAAGAACCGCCTGTCTTCATATTGGCTGTAATAATTGGTGCTTAATAAATGTTAAATAGGACATGTGTTTATCATAAAAGGTACCTTTGGGACTTTGGTTCGCCGGCAATCAATCCTTTGATAAGTTTAATACTCTCGGGTTCAATATCGATACCATTGTCGTCAATCAAATATTCAAGCATCATCTCAGACGCTTGTTCATGGGACCACTTTATGCCAGGCCTAAAGCTTTGAGCTTAGTATGATTGTATAGTTCAGCTGTATGTATTTTTTTTTACCTTGCTCTTGGCATGAATTCATTATCAAATACATGACTAAATGGACCGTGGCCTAATAGAGATATGAATTGATGGATTCATAAAACATATTGTTCCCTATCATTTCTTACCCAAATCATGACACAATCTACCAAAATAGAACGAGATTTAATATATATATATATATACACACATATTGTATCACTTACCCTGCCAGTTTGACACATTTAATTTCGTTTTCTGTTATATGGAGTTCAGGCTGGTCTTTGGCTATTCTCTCAATAAGTGTTCCTGACAAGTGCGACACACCTACCACAAATATAAATATTGTGAGTGTTTAGATGTATTTATTGAGCCAGATCTTACCAATAGAGTGCTCGAACCTATTGTGGCTAGCACCAGGAAATACAAAATAAGCTGATCCCAGCTACAGAATACAGAATAATGAGCGGCCGTATAGCGTATTTTTTTTTAAAAAAAAAAAGAGTGGGGTTAACTGGTTGTTGCACACAAATAGCTCATATAGTAATACCTGTTTGAGGTCTCTTAGCCTTTGGAATTGAACAGTGTCTATAAAGTCAATCGTGTAATCGTCCAACATAATGTGCCCCTATGATTAGCATGCATCATGAGTTTTGCATTGCAATCATATCAAGCGTAAAGACATTCGCTTACATGAATTGGGTCATTGATAATCTTGTGTCCATTATAAAATGCACTAGTTGACTTTCTTAAAGCTGGGGGTTCAAAAAAGTGGTTATTCATATTAATGGTAAAGATAGAGAGATAAAATGGTTGCCCAAAGGAAAATGAACTAGTGGGAAAAGAAAAGGGCGGACTTGCCTATACAAAGAGCGTCTGTGCACCAGTATGGGAAAGCTGACTGTGTATGGAATTTATGAGATTCTCCAATTATTATTTTGAAACAAATTTAAGAAAAAATATTATTTTTATTATTATTGTTAAATAATATAATTAAATAATATGAAATAAGATAAGAATAAAATAAAATAAAAGATATTTTTTTTCTTTTAATCAGTCCAGAAACTGAGGGGAATATGGTTGATCCATCTGCCAAAGAAGTCGAGCGCATTGGCAGGTTGATCATAGGGAACCATGTGTCCGGCATCGTAGATACGCAAAAATGTGAGGTTGTTTGCAGAACGCACTTCGCCAGCCTTTTCACCAGTAAGCCAGCTGTGCCATGGGTGGTCTACTGCTTCATTGTAAGCAGTTCTTCCGGGCCAGTCCATCTCTAGAGACCAGGCCTTATTTCCAATCCTAAAAGATAAGATTAGTTTGGTGAGTTTCTTTTTTCTTTTTGGAAATAGATAGATAAATAATTAAATTAAACCCACGACTCACCAGTTACAGATCCAGTCCTTGTCACCTATAATAATATATATGTATATATGATTAGGGTTGAAATGTATAACTACTGGTTTTGTTTTAACTTACCGACGTAAAGCAGAACACGAACACCAGCAATCAGAGTCTGAGCTACATCTGAAGAAAAGTCGAATGCGCTATAAGAGATAAGGGAAAAGATATAGATTTTCATGTAAGACATTGAAAGATATCAAAAGGTACTTAATAGAGCCGTATCGTGTGGCATGATTTGACTTACTTGTCACCTGTCTTTCCAAAGCGGAAGCCAACCGAATCGCTACAGCCTGTGTAGTTCCCGGCCTTGGGGTCAACGCCAAGTTCAGCGCGGACCTTGTCTTCGTTGGCCCAGATCTCAATAGATTCAATCAGGTTGTAGCAGAGACCACTGTCACCCTCACAATCCATGCGAATATCATAAGGGTTCAAGCCTGTCTTGTCAAAGGGTCCGGCTTGGGTCTTTTCACAATAGAGAGTGGCAGGAATACAAGTCAAAGCAGAGGGATGCTTGTAACAAGTGTCCATCAGGGACTTGCAACGGGGATAGGTGTCAACCATACCTTGACATGTTTTTTTATCAAAAATAGGGCCAACTATTGAAATATATGTTATTTTTTTTGTATTAATATTGATATATGTTTTAATTATATTATTGGTCTTGAACGCGGAATATTTTGTAACCAATTCACATCCTATAGATGTATATTTTTTACCTTCTCCGTTCTTAGTGCAACCAAATTCTTGGTAATATTTGAACTGAGTACGAGGATTTGTCCAGCCGTTGCCGATCAACATCGAATCAAATTTGATTGGGACTCTACCGTGCTTGCCCGCATCCTTGTTATTCTCAATAATTTCGGTGGCAATGGCAGGGAGATAATGACCGGCTAATAGACAAAAGGGATTAAATTGCCTTTCCAGCAATAAAAAAATAAAAAATTCTGTGAGTTTGTCCTACCATAAGATTCACCAGAGATATGGAAAGGATTCTCTGCATACTCGGTGAATTCGCTCAAGAAAAGCTGAAGGAAAGCGTACACATCGCGTGCTGCTTCCTTGGTGCTTCTAATCTTCGACTTTCCATAACTGTAACCAACATTGACAGGCTTATAAAAAGAAAAATGAACAAAATGATTAATCGTTATCAGGATCTCAGAACCTTGATTATATCTGCACCATGCGTGTAATGCGATAATCTAAGCAATGTTTTCTGAATAAAGTAAGTAGTAAGCTTACCTGGTCCAAAAATATCACATTAGCCAATGTGTTCCAGCTGTAGGGGTTTACAAATGTTTCATTTCCAAAAGGTGATACTTGACAGGGGCTGAAATACAACATATTTAGACCAACGTATTTTATTATATAAAAAATATAAGGAAAAAGTCTTACCCCAACTCCATCCACAAACCCATCATTGAAGAGCAACCAGGTCCACCATTCAACCACAATACAGTGGGGTCACTCTTGGGTAGAGTACGAGACTCAAAGAACCAAAAGAAGAAATGGTCGTCCGTCTCGAGATTATCGATATAACCAGAGTACTATGTAGTGATAACACAGTATGTTATTTGTTGTTTGTTATTTGTTTTGATTTTTTTTGTTTACCTGTACACCACTTTCACAAGACTTGGGCTCTTTGACTCGAACAGCATAACCTTCAACAGCATCGTTGGTCAAAATTTTGAATTCCTGAGTGTCAACAGAATTGACGAATGGGATCTGGTAATTAGTTTCTGCAACCACTTGTCCAATGACAAGGGAAGTAATCGCAGTTGCGATCGTAAAAAGCTTGGCCGTAATGCGCATTCCAAACTGTGAGAAAGTAAAAGAATTACAGACGAAGCAAAAGATATATATATATATATATAAATCTTGCAAAGTCAATTGTAGCCAAGACAATTGAGTATAGTGGGTAGGCGCCTGTGGTACGAAGCTGAGCTTGGGTACGAGTCACTTGAGGGAGTTTATCCTGTGTTTCCTAAAATACGAAAAGGAAAAATATAGATTCTTTTTGATATGGTAATCCGTCGATAAAATAGCTCATCTTGGATTGATCTACAGCAGAAATTTGTACGATCGAAGCACAATAATAGAAAAATCCTGCTTCTTAAAGAAGTCGGTCATTTGTGAATTGAACAATGGGACGCAAGATATACGGTACATTGGGTTTGGATAGCCAATGAAAAAGGAATAAAAGACGATGTATTCGGAAGCAGAACCGGGAGTCAATAAAGTTATCGCACGCTTAAAATGGAAACCAACTATAGCCAGCGTATCGTATCTTATCGCATTAAATACCTATAAAAAACATTTCATTTTTCATTTCAATTGTCAGGGGTGACATAATATGCCTATCAGTCGCCAATCAACAGTCTGTGCTCTTGTATCTTGATATCTTTGCTTGAGATTTTCTTGATGTATTTAATGCTTCCTATCCTTTTCTATTTTTCTTTCTTCTCTTGCTCCCCTTCCGTTCCTTCATGGGATTTGCTTCTCAACATTAGCCATATAATAAACTCAGTGACAAATCAATAACAAAATGGACCCTCTCAAAAACAAAATGGTTCAAGACATCAGACATTCTCGTCTTCAGCCTATCGAACATCCAGTCCTCAACACTCAGCCATCTTACCAGTGGCGCCATATTAGGTCTGACAGTAATATATCTGAACAAAGCACACCAGAATCTGAAACCTCTCTCCATCGTGAATCCCCTGTCTATCCAAAACAAGAAGAAGATCTCCCAGAAACTCAACAAGAGAAAAGTTCAGATAGGTACCAGGAATGTCAATCAAGCGATCCTGCCCTTTGGTCACTTCCTATTATACAATGTTTTAATTGCCACACGCGCACGACCCCACTTTGGCGCAGAGATAAGGATGGAAACACTATCTGTAATGCCTGTGGGCTGTATTATAAATTGCACAGCGTTCAAAGACCCATAGCAATGAAGAGAACGACTATTAAGAGACGTAAGAGATTTAGTCCAGTCGGTTTTCAGCAGAAACAGCAACAAGATATACCAATGCGTAACGAATGTCGACAAAGCACCTTCAAGATCTATCCAGACGTTGATCAACGTGATATCATACAAAGGATAACCCCTCCTCCTCAACATCACCGTAATGATATACCCACGTTTTCTGGCTCTAGGAAAGGATCACTCGCGTCAGAATCTCATATAAAAACGCCATCTTCGTTGTCAGCCGAGCATGACAATTCCACAAACACGCGCTCTATTGCCCCAAAAACATCTTCCTTGCCAAATCTTTCATCACTTATTGCTGCCGTAAATATTTCTAAAGATATATGGAGTCATCACAATCCCGTAGCGCCACCGCCACCGCTTCCAACTGAAGAATCACAGCCAAGCAAGGCTGGTAGCTTTCGCTTTGCCTTACAACAGAGGCGTAATGAACTTCAACAGGAGGTTGATAGCATCAATGTTCTTTTGTCGCACTCTTCTAAAATTTTAAAGAGTCTAGAAGATGTAATGAAGCTTGACACGCCTGCTTCTCAACAACAAGACCCATTAGCAAACTTCCTCCATCAGCTTGGTGCCAACGCAGGTCGTCTCCAGCCCCCGGAAGGGTCAATGAGCAGTGGAACACACCCTGCGCCATTGCCCAGAGGAGATCCCTTGCAGTCCCGGCCGACACCCGAACCATCACGGCCCTACGCTCGCTTCCAACTCGCCCCCATAGACTCGCATGTCCATAGAGCCTCCTGGACCCCACCTCACTAATATCTATATATAAGTATATACACACTCACACATTCATACATATATTTAAGCAGAAAAATACCCTCAGATTTGCTACTATTCCCGCCTAATAACTACTTCATACTTCTTTCCCTTCTCAAAATGCACAAGTCTTATCCTCAAAACCTTACGACTGATAAGAAAAATGATAAACCCGATTTGGTTACCAGTTGCCTTTTCTGTCCTGCCACTCTTCTTATCTTTGTTGCGGAGACCCCTTAAATGCTCCCCTTCACGTGTTTCTTATGTAACGATTGAACCACACAAAGACGCTGTCATGGCAACTTGTGCCAAATAAAGAATCATATTACAAGCATCGATCGTCCTCTTACTTTATATACAACGTTTGTCACTACAACACCTGTCTATTTTATGATTTGATTCCCTCGTAGACTACTAGAGCTGTCGAGAGTGCGAGTGGGGGGAGGGGGTTTTGGTGGGAGATTAGGAATGAATTGAAGTGACATTAGATATTCTTTACTTTCTCTCTTTCTCTTTCTTCTTCTTTAATTTCCTGTAACTGCTGGCGTGGGTGTGGATAGTTTTGGTGATTCTGATTCTGCTTCTGCTCCTGATTCTGTTTCTGATTCTGCTTCTGATTCTGTTCGTATTCCATTCGCTTTACTATAATCGCGATATACCCGTTTGGCATCTTCGTTACGGTTGTGATGGTGATGAATCTTCATCAGAGTACGATACATGGATGTAATCGGGGTGATATTGTAGACACGTTTCATAAGGTCTAGCAGTTTTTCAGCTTTCTGTGTCTGCTTCTCCTTGAGTGCTTCATGTCTGAATAGATAGTTGAATGAAGTAACAGTGGGCTTGATGTTGTTTTTTTCCATATCACTGAATACTTGTTTGACAGACTCGATATCAGAATGCTTGCAATACCATCGTATGAGTGCATTGTAGACTTTGATGTCAGGCTGCACTTTAGCTGCAGGCATCATCTTGTGTTGAATGTGAGACAATCCCTTGACGTTTCCATGACGGCCGTGTGCATTGATCAGTGCCACAAACACACTCGTATTAGGCTTAAGAGCGCCACTCTCGGGTGAAATTGGCAATAACTCAAGCACCGCACGGGCCGCGACATTGGTTAATTCCTGCTTCCCGCCCTGGAACGACAGAAATGAAAAGAATCCCGGAGCTGACTCTGGACTGGCAGCTGCTGTAGCATCCAAAAATGTTTTTTGGTACACAGCATCGGCCGATCGGATATCACCCATTAACCCGTGGGCTTCGATAAGTGTACTGTAGGTAAAAACGTTGGGCTCCATATTGTCCTTGCGCATAAGTGCAAGTACATTGAATACTTCGGTAGGCTTCTTGCCCTGCAAGGCGCCGCGCATGTAAAAATTGTAGCTGTGAATATCCGGGCTAACACCCCAAAGTCCCTTGGGTTCAGCCATCATTTCATCCCAGTAGTGAACACAAGTCTGCCAATCACCGGCACGTCCAAAAAAGTCCAAGAGATGGTTATAGTCACGTAAATCAAGTCCAATGTTCAGCGATTTCATATTCTCAACAATAAATAATATTCGGTTTTTCATATTCTCGATTTCTTCAGAGCCGTAAGAAACGTGGTTTTTGAGACGAAATGCTCTCAGGGCCATAGAGTGTTGTTCAGCAGTGAGGCTATTTAATTTTTTGGTTTCGCTTAATTCTGTGTAGACTCTCCACACAGCCTCCTCATTCTTATTACTAATCGCTCCGAGCAAGTTTTGGTTCAATTTCGTAAGCGTCTTGACGTGGTGAAAGCGATATACATCGCAGTTACCATTATGTGCATGGCGAACTGTGACATTAACAGGCAGCAATAGATTTTCTCTTGGGAAACTGGTTATCGATTGTCGAATAGCTGACCGGGGTAAACTAGCCCGAGAAAGGGCACTCAGGGCGACAGTCGTCTTGTGGACGTTCATTACTGACAACAACAGCAACAGCAGAAGACAGGTGTAAAAAAAACAAAACAATAACAACCACGTCCAGATTTCTAAGAGTTTAAAATTTTGACCAATCAGCTGTCTTTATGACGTCCCTTGTCCACTAGACCAATAGTAGCCCATTTCTGAAACTACTCTATCCGCCTCTTTCTCTCATTCTCTTCCTATCTTAATGGCAGATTTCCCTGAAGGTTATTTTTACATCCAGTCTCGCAATTCTGGAAAGGTTGTGGATGGTATGGTATAACATTAACAAAATACCTACTTCTTACTCACTCTTTTGTAAATATTATAGTCGACGGAGCCTCTATAAAAGTAAGATCAAAGCAGCGCTCAGCCAAAAAAAAAAGCAAATAAAATCAAGACCTTACAGACTCACACAGTTGTAGAACGACGGTAAAATATTAATATGGTCACCAAAACATGATAATGATCGAGACAACCAACTCTGGTACTATCAGGTAATAAAGATGATAAGAGAGAGAGAGAATTATCCATCAAGACTGCTTTACTCATAATAACAAGGGATCATTTTGAAATTGATTTGAGGTAGGAAGGATTCATTATCAACAAGCATTCAGGAAAATGTTTGGATGTCAGAGGAGGACCAATTGTAGACCATGCTTTGATCTGTCAATATGACCGTAAGCTAGTTGCTGATGCCCAGAATCAGCAATGGGGATATAGGGATGGTTATATATACGTTCTGTCAGAGCCCCACATGGTATTGGATGTTAAAGGGAATTATCAGACGGATGGAACACGACTAGTTCTATCCCACAAAAAGTTTGCTCTTGACAATGCAAACGTCAACCAGCTGTGGGATCTTGTACCAGCGGGAAACGTTCGAGCAGAGAGAGAAGTTCTGTTTGAAGCCGATTTTGACTAACTCGGTGATATACCTATCATTTTATGGCCATTATGAGCAAATCATATTATATCGAATATTTTTTTTTCTTCTTGTTTGTACTGTTGTTGTTTTTATTTGAATGGAAGGGTTCATATAGTATATTGTCACGTTTGTATAGTTTATAGATTAAGTATATGAAATTCAATGAGATTTATTGAGTATTAATAAAGAGATATAAATAAAAGAGAAATTATACAAGGATTAAACGGTGGTAGTTACAGGGAAATTATTATTCTTGTGCCATTCAATTGCATATGGCTTGAACATCTTACTGAACTGCATAGCTCTTAAAACAGAAAATACTGTCATTATAACAATAACACATATCAAGATGATATTTCCGTAAAGAACAATATCGTCGACAGACAATGTACTTTGAACCATAAGAACTCTTGCGACAAACTCGCCCATAAGAAAAAAGCCCCATAAGGAGGTAGTTATATAAGCGTTTCTACGGACCCATCGAAATTGATCCCAGCACCATTCCATGTAAGACTGGCTGTGGACTTCTCCTTGTCTATCTGTCCAAGTCATAGGCGGCATCTCTGTTGTCATTTGTAGGGTGATGAGGAATGTGAGAGGACGGATAGTAAGGATTCGAGTTTTGAGAGGGATCAGTGTAATCAAGAACATGAGACCAACAATGGCAGTAGTAACAGAGTCACGTAACAAAGCATACCGAACATTTCCTATAATAATACAATGTATGATTTAATATACAATAAAAACACTTGAACTGAATTATTAAGGGTCTTACCATTGATAAGTGTCAATACAGCTGACAAAATGAATGAGATTACGAAAATGCAGCCAAGAACATCAACACGTCTTTTCCGGTAGAAGGTAATCAGTACATGGAGGAGAGGAGGGATACCGGATAGAATAAGAGCAACCAAAATGCTGATATACATCTTCAGCACATAGTAAATCAACAAAGGAAGGCCGACGTTTATAACAAGGACGATGGCAAGAGAAAGAAATTGACGTAGTATAAAAGCTCGTTTAACTTTGGGGTCTGACAGAGGATCAGTATATAAAGAAGTGGGATCGGTTTCTGGTTCTGGAGTGTCTATAGGCATGTCTTGTATGGTAACAGAGTTGTCGTCTCGATCTGGCTCCAAGAGTGCTTCTGACTGACGTCTTTCGGAAGTATTTTTCATACTGTAAGAAGATGTTGAATAGTTTTTGTCTTTGAGTATATTTGACATTCAAAGTAATAAGAGGGAAAGAGGTAGTTAATATAAGCTGGTTGATCTGGAAGCTGTTTTGAGAAATGAATTGACAGAAAAATATATCTTTTTATACAATTTTTTTTAACTTTGTACGCATATTGGCTACAGAGATAAAGCTATACATCATCTACTATAGCTTAGGTAGAATTAAATATAGTTTATGTCTTCTTCTTTTTAGGAAAGTAGGAGAAAAGGATGCTCAGCAAGCTGAACCACCTTCCATTTCAATAAAGCGATCATTTTCTACTTGCATAGAATATTCTATGTATAGTATTTTTAAAACCAAGTGGTACAAATCTATATATATATATTTGTGTGTGTGTTCGACTATAGAAGTTTGAATTTCCCGATTTCTAAAGAAAAGGCAGTGTATCATTCTATTTGTAGCCCGTTGGTTATTCCCTTGCTTTGATCGACTATATTGTAAAGTTGGGTTGTCCTTTCACCGGTGTATACCTTATATGGTCTATTCTTCCAGCAACACTAGGTCATCTCTATACTCCTCGTTAAGCTACCAGACAATAATACGGACAATAAGTATGTATTTTTCTCCCGGAATAAAGTTTAATCTAAACTGCCTTTACAAGAAACAAAATTAATTTTTTTTATTCAACTGTAAAATATTATACGTAGATATCTGTTGGCAGAATAAATTAGCCCAAACATAAGCCCATGGTAAAACAGATCAAAATTACTTTGAGTTTTCCAAGATCCAATTTGGCGAATAGACAAGATATTTTGTCTCTCTTTCTCTAAAATTATTTTGTGAGGCGTAGATGAGTGTATAGTATTGTTATTTATCGTTTACTAGTTTTTGGATGCTTTAATCAACTTGAAAAAAAAAACGCTGTTATAATTGTATGAGATGATAGGATAGCTAATAGCTTTTTGTTTCTTGACATGGAAAATATAAGCCCTGTTTAGCTCAGCAAAATGCCAAACTTAGTAAGTGTCTGGAAAACCAGCCATAGTTAAGGGATTAATTCTGTCATCCAGACTATTGGATCACTTGCCACAGCCTCCATACACGTTCCGGCTTGGCATGTAGCTTTGCATTATATTTTACACCTATGCAGAGAATCATATCAATCAAGCCTTTCTTTTTGAGATAGATATTAAAAATTAACCTAAATGAAACATTTAAAATTGATACTATTTTTCTTCCAAATTAAGATAAAATAAATCTTCTACAAAAAATTAGAGCTATTAATGTTTTATGTTATGTACGCGTCAAGATTTTGCTGTAGTTATTAAAACAAGGTATGATAGAATGATGCAATATACCAGCTACAGCTTATATTATACGGAACAAAAATGAGCTATTTGAACCAAAGTATGTGTTTTCTTTTATTGTTGAGGCACAGATAATCTTAGTTTTATCCTACACCAGAAACCATCGTGCATCCCCTTGCCCAGAGATTAGTCCTTTTTGGATAATAAATCCATATTAGTAAATTAGAGAAGTGTATCTAAGCAAAGCCCTAACGTAATTAAAGCAACAACATCAGAGCAGCCACCAACCCAGACCAAGGAGATCCATAGTGGTGGCTAATCCGACCCTTCTTTTGGGTTTCTATATGGAATATATTTAAAAAGTCATTTTAAGATGGATCACTTTCAAGAATTAACTGTACTCTTCACAAATTTATTAGATACAATATAGAATGGCTATATACGTCTTGTTTATCTTACAATAGTATAAGGAGAAGCCACCTTCAACCACAAGTCTATATTGTATGTTTAGCCCACTTTCTCTGATTCTCTCTATAATTGACTTCAAAAGTGGTACGCGATATATAATGTGTCATAATTATTTCTGTAATATCCATCAGTATGCCTAAGCTTAGCATGTTACACTATATGCATGGATAAATCAGGCAAATCGTGTAATAAAAGGATGTATTTCCCCTGCACTGTCAAGAAAACATTCAGGTATAGTATTGGTGGATGTTTTGGAGTCCTCCTGTGATTTCTCAGAGAAAATACATAAATTAACTCTCTTATAGTCAAAACCAAAGGCTACTACTGTGAAATAAAAAAAATAAGATTTATGTTTACAACAGAATTCTTTGAAGGATCTCCAAATTATCATTTTAAAAGGGATTTTTTTTAAAAGATCTTTCAAACAAGGCTTATTGTGTAACACATTTAAGGAAATAATATTTGAAAAGAATTCTTTCGATCAAGGTTTGAGCTGTGCCAAGAATCTCTTATGGTTTATATGCCTTAATATATACTTATAATTTTTGAGCGTTAAATGATATAAGGTTACCATATTCTTAAGTACATATATATATATATATATGTATATGATTAAAGTCTAATAAATGTCAAATATCTTCTTGAATCAAGGCTAAATGGTTATGAGTAGCATTCTTATAGTAAGAAGCATAATTCTGATGGAACATAGGCTTTTATTTAAGGTTAGGATTATAACCTATAAAGACATTTAGAATAATATGATATATACACATATTTACCCTATAGACAAGAATTACTTGGCTTTTCTAATTCTTTAGACGTCATACAAAGTCGATTTAAATCGCGGAGTTTAGTAAAAAAAAATATGATTCTGATCTCTTTCCAAGCATTTACACTGATCCATAAACTCTGGGCAACCTGGTACTTTGTAAGAGCATCTTTTAACTTTTTCTATTTTACTCAATGCTTTATATCAATAATCTGTAAAAAAAGACGATTTTAATTAATATATACATAAATACAGCTCTGCAATCTTTTCTAATCATTTCTTAGTAAATTATATAAAATAGCCCTCTCTTTTGCTTATAAATTCAATCTTTTTGGTAATAAATAGTAAATTGGCTTTGATAATTCACACAAGGTTTTGGTTTAGTAAAGTTTGTTAAATAGCTAAAAATACATATATACCCTACTTTGGCCAAAAACTTAGGTATCAAGGTAGCTTGAGTCAAGTCAGTCAGTCATTTTAAGAAGGAATAGAAGACCTACCGTCGCTGCATTTCTATTCGGGTATCGTACAGGATGATTTCCTCAATCTGTTTACAGGAAATGTTGCATTTATTTGATAAAAATAAATCCTAAAGAATTCTATTACTTCTATAATCAAAGGATCGAAATCAATTATTGTTTTCTTCAAACAATTCACAGACTCACTGAAAAGGCTATTGTTTAATATCTTTCTCATCGTAAGCAGCGCCATATTGTATTGAAGCTGGATTTCGGTCAACTTCCTCTCTTTAGTTCCCGTTACAATACTATACTTTTATTTTCAGTTTTCTCACAAATCTACCATAGCTCACGCCCAGAAAGTTATCATGAACCTCAATATTAACAGTACGGGATTATTTTTACTTTGCAACACCATAATGCTAATTGAGCCGTATTTCGTACATATACACCACTTTTATTTGACAATGTTGAAAGTTCCATTAGTATCCCATCATAGCAATCGATATGCTTCCTCAAGTAATAATAATAGTAACTTTCTTTTTGTTGATAATTTTAGCAAGAAAAACTCAAGTTTTACCACTACTACTGACAAGCCAATTTAAGTAGAACACACTGCCAGGTTTAAGCAAAATGTCTAATCAAATATCACATCCTAGCTGATTACTCTACTACTTACAGTTCTTTAAAATCTCCTCTTTTTCTACTATTTTTTTTAAAAAAAAATATCACTCGTAGATTAGGAGAACTAAATACTTCACTCTAAGAGGGTCATAATATCTTTCTTGATTATAATATTTAAAAGCATATAGTGGGTAGTTTTTCAGACAAGATCATTATTTGGATATATATCCATACTTCCGTATACACAGAACCTTTGTCTAGCGAAGTTCGCATTTTCTTCTTCTGGTCTTTACAGTTCAAATTATTAGACCTCAAAATACGGTTTCTAAATATTAATAAGATAACATTTTTCTTTAAAAAAATTACATAATTAAAATAAGTGTTACTCGTGCAATATATTATAGAATTCATTTATACAGATTCTAGTTGTAATAGTATATATATATAATACAATGTATAAAAGCATAAAAGGAACTAAGTTGCAACCCCAGATTCTTTTCTATTTTTGAATCCATATTTTCCTAACCATCCAATTATAATAATAAGTCCAACTACACAGGATCCAAGATAGTACTGGGGTACCATTCGTCTTCCCATTGTAAGCAGACCTCCGTGTGGTAGACTTCTCTTATTTAGTAAAATAGTTGCAACGCAAATTGACCCAATAACCGTTGTATAAACGAGTCCGACTGACATGTATTGATATTTAGAAACGTGATATATATATATATATGTGTGTGCCTATATAGTATGCGAGCTTACCTATCAAACCAGCAGGAAACTCAATAGCCACACCTGCTAGTAGTAGACCATATATAAAAGATCCCAATGCCCAGACAATCTTAGGAAATTTCGGCAGTGGGCCATGGACTTGGTTACGGAATACATATATCTGAGCCCAAGACATCCACATCCCTCCAAATGCATACATATAATGTGCAATCTTATGCTCCCATAAATCCTCCATGTTAAGGTACATTTCATGCAAAATTGGATACTGTGTCACCAATTCAGGGTGGGCCAAGTTGAAATCTTCGATAGGATGCTGCAAGCCAGATAAAGCAGTTAATTATCTTCAACATAGTTATCTAGTTATTATATTATCATATTTTGAAACTGGTCCTAACTAATAGTTTTCTTACCTTGAACAATGCTGCAGCAGTATGCATCCCATGTCCTTGGACATAAATTCCCGCGCCAATAGCCCATAACAACCAACCGATACTTTGTTCGCTTAAAAAGCCACCTATAAAACACAAGATATGTAGTGTTTAGTATTATTATTATTGGTATTAGTAATAGTATGATAATAATGCTCTTCTTACAGTTACGGGATCTTCCTCCTGTGACCATAACATCAGCCCTGGTTATAACGAACAAATTAAGTGGCAAGGTGATTACAGGGTCGAATAGCCGCCAGAGTGTGTTGCCATTGAACCAAGGATTTATGTCGGGAATATCAGCTAGGACCGGGATTACTGTCATGAGAAGCATCGAAAGTGCGGTCCATAGCATTAACCATGCTAGTTGGTTGTCACCGTTGTGGTGATCACGGTAGGTTCCTCGCAATGGTGAAGAGGAATCAGCGAGAAGGTCATTAGGATCTTCTAATGAATCTTCAGAGTCTTCGCCAGGTGATTTGCGAGTAATTCCAGCTGGTGTATTTGAATACATTGAAGGTAATGAATATTCATCCTGCATCATTAAGATTGAGTCCCGATATTATTATTTTATTTTTGTGAAAGACAAGACGCCCTTGGGAAATTCAGACTTTTTATTTATATTTTTATAATTGATTGATTGATTGAATGGGTAAATTTATGGAATTGGATAATTGTATACTATTTGTGTTTTCTTATGTTCATTGACATAGATACAATATGCGAAGTTGGGACATGTAACTAGAGTGAAGGGGATAGAGTGATTTGATGTTTTAGATGTTCAAGAAGAGTTCGGTGTACTTGGGCAAGGGCCAGAGCTTGTCAGAAACAAGGCACTCGAGCTGATCAGCAAGAGAGCGAACGGCATCCATACAGGGGATAACCTTCTTCTGTGCGCCATGGGCCAATGGGAGGAGCTCCTCAACCTTGAGCATCTCATCCATAACGTTCTTGAGATCGTTGGTGCGAAGCTGGAGGTTGCGGACGAGAGGAGTAAGCTCGTTCAAGAGCTCGATTTCGGGTGTGGACTCAACGCCAATGTTCTTCATGGCTGAGGCAGACTCGGCCAACTCACGACGGTACTGGTATGCGGCAGGAAGAACTTGCTGAGTGACCATGGTTAACAAGGTCTGAGCCTCAATAGTGACATCCTTAGCATATTTCTCAGTCAAGATATGGACACGAGACTCAAGCTCAGCATGGGAGAAGACGCCAAGACGCTTCAACATATCGGCGTTCTCCTTTTTCAAGATGCAGCCAAAGGCATCAACACTCTTTCTAATGTTGGGAAGACCACGCTTGGCAGCTTCAGCGGCCCAGGCATCAGTGTAGTTATCACCCTCGAAACGGATGGCCTTGGTCTTTTTGATGAACTCGCGGATGACGACAAGCTTGTCGGCATCGGAAGCAACGGACTTCTTACCCATCTGCTTCTTAAGAGCAGCATTGACCTCCTGAAGAGCAGAAGCGACAGCAGAGTTGAGAAGAGTGACGGGGAAAGAAGGAGACTGCTTGGAACCGACGGCGCGGAACTCGAACTTGTTACCGGTAAAGGCAAAGGGAGAGGTACGGTTACGATCGGTCAAATCACGGGCAATGCTGGGGAGAGCAGCGACCTTCAAGTCAAGAACGGTACCGTCGACACGGACGTTCTTCATGTGTGCGTCATCGTAGTTGGTGACAGGACGACCCTCCTCAATGGCATTGAGGACCTCATCGAGCTGGCTTCCGAGGAAGACGGAGATGATACCAGGGGGAGCCTCATGGGCACCGAGACGGTGGTCGTTAGAAGCCGAGGCAATACCGGCACGGAGAAGATCACCGTGATCGAGGACACCCTTAAGGATGGCAACAAGGAAGAGCAAGAAACGGTAATTGGTCTCAGGAGTAGCAGAAGGATCGAGCAAGTTGTCACCCTGGTCAGTGGCACAAGACCAGTTGCAGTGCTTGCCGGAACCGTTGACACCACGGAAAGGCTTCTCGTGGAAGAGAACCTTGAGCTTGTGGCGATGGGCAACACGGTGGAGAACATCCATGGTCAACAAGTTGTGATCAACAGAGAGCATAGACTCCTCAAAGATAGGAGCAACCTCGAACTGGGCAGGGGCTACTTCATTGTGACGAGTCTTGATGGGGACACCAAGTCTGGCAAGCTCGAACTCACACTCACTAATGGCAGCCAAGACACGAGTGGGGATCTTACCAAAGTAGTGGTCCTCCAACTGCTGGTGACGAGGGGGGAGACCACCAAGAAGGGTACGGCCAGCAATCTTGAGATCGGGACGGAGGGTATAGAGAGCGCGGTCAATGAAGAAGAATTCTTGCTCGGTACCGAGAGTAGTGTAGACATGCTTGGCGCGAGGATGATCTGTGGCGCACCGGTAAATAACCAAAATTTACCCCTTAATCGTATCCACAACATACCTTCATCATCAGCGGGCTCAATCAAGTTGAGAAACTCAAGAGTGGTCTTGATCATGATTTCAGAGGATCTCAGGAGGACGGACTTCTCATCAAGAGCCTCACCGTTGTAAGAAATAAAGACGGATGGAATATAGAGGATCGAGGTACCATGAGGACCATCCTGAATAAACATAGGGCTAAAGTATAATAAGTTAGTATGCTTATACGAGTGTATCCAAGGTTACATACCTCTTGGTATCCCAAACAGTGTAACCACGTGCCTCAAAAGTAGTACGCATACCACCGGAGGGGAAAGAAGAAGCGTCTGGCTCAGACTGCAACAACTGGGATCCAGAGAAGGTATCGATGGCAGTGGTCTAGTATAGTGTGAATAAGTCGCGGAACCAATGATGTATGCCGTTTTGCTTATATCTTACCTCCTCGAATCCATTAGCGTAGCTAGTTTTCATTGTCAAGAAAGCATCGTGCTTTTCGGCAGTGGAGTCGTTCAAAGGCTGGAACCAGTGGGTGAAGTGGGTAGCACCGCGCTCAATAGACCAGACCTTAACTGCGTGAGCAATGGCATCGGCGGTAGGCTTGTCCATGCTGCGACCACCCTTCAATTGTTCGGTGAACTTCTTGAAGACGGGCTTGGGGAGCATCTTTGACATTTCCTTGAGAGAGAAGACATTCTCACCAAAAATCTCGGAAATTGACTGCAGACGGCCATTCTTGACGGGGAATTGGACGTTGCGAGGAGCTCTGGTGAGACTCTCGACGACAGTGTTAAGACGAGCTTCGTGGGCCATTGTTTATGCAGGAGATGAAGAAACAAGCTTGAATCGGTGTAGAAAGAGAGGGGGCATAAATATAAATGCGGACTGCGTTTTTTAAAAAAGATAACGAAGAATCCCCGCTATCGGCTGGACTGGACTGGACTGGACTTTACCTTCAAGTGAAGCTGACTCATAGGATTATGCTTTTGCTTCTTTAGGATTTTAAGTGTAAGGATGAAGGTTAGTGGATCGGCGCTTGATTAATAGATGATTTTTGATTGGATAATATTCTATCGATTGTTTGTTGGTGGTATATAAAGACCTTTAACACCTCACCACCAAGACCGTTATACTCTTTTTTTTGTTACAGCTGCTATAGAAGCGGCCATGCAACTCAACATCGCGAGGATCTCCGATAGCACACAGAGATAAGGAAATGACCCCTTCTATGACCCGGACAGAGCTCAAGTTTAATTTACTGTTTCTGTATTTCATCTCGATTGGGGTTATCTTATCTCTACAGATAAACCACGCCATCTCATTCTATCGTCCCAAGGATCGGCGTGAGGACCTTGGAACCAGGACTTGTCTGCCTTGTCGTTAGATCACCTATATCTTTTCTTGCGTAACATGACTCATCTATAAATTATACCTATATTTTATTGGAGAAAGATATCTAAGCAAATCCTTAAAGATCAGTTAATGTTTTGCAAATTAATACTTATCCGACGAACAACAAAAGCCCTCCCACCATCAGCAGTCTTGTATGTGGGGTTCATTCTGTGTAACTCTAGGCTAAATAAACAGATATGGCTGTCAGTCGTTATTCTCTTGTTTGAATCATCTGTGCACACATATTCAAGAGTCATAGGTAATATTTTAGTAACTTCTGTGCTTTATTTTTAAAGTTACTGAACCTAATAGCTCCATGCACAATCTCAAAGCTTGTTTGTTTGTTTGACGTTCTTCTCTTCTTGTTTATTATTCAATCAAATGGAAGGACAAAGTTAGATAAGAATCCAAGATCCTCCTTATCATATCTCTCATTTGTTCCCAAAACCAACAAAAAAAAGATTAACTGATGAGATAAATATTAAGCACTAGAACGTGGTGTACAAGCTACTAGAGAATGCACATATCTAAACAAAATTAACCCTCGTTCATAACAATACCTTATTTTTATGTTGTTTTTCTGGAAATCCTTCTTGGTTCAATTATGGAATAATAGATACATCATGGCTCTATTATAAATAACATAACATAGATGTTATCGGTCATTTAACTTGCACATACTATACCATATAAAAGTTGGTGCACATTCTGCCCCGTTTTCTGTATCATTTTGTTGTTTGTATACAAGAAAAAACTAAGAAGCAAAAATTGTCAAATCAATAAGCTAAATGAAATGTATTGATCACATATATCTTCTAGGCAGCTCTTGTAACTGAATTATGTAAAATACAAATAAAAATGTTTAATTGCAAATCAGAGTAAATATATATATATATTGAAGGTTTTTTACGGTGTAATTAGCATTTTATATTTTATTTTATATATTAAAAAGGCAAGTCTTTCGGTAGAATATATTAGGGTTTTGATACCCTATAATTGATATCACAGCATCAACCTTATTCATTTAACCAGAAATCTTACGGGCACGACATTTCTATCTAACTGGGCCAATTAATTGTGACTACTTGTCCGGGGCCCGGTGTCTTTCTCTAATCCTTCAGGGCAGAATAGTGTCTCTTGAAAAAATACAACACATTCATTGTATGTATTAGCTTACTACTTTATCTTCACACTTTGTGTGTTCAGCGATCTCTCTTCAGGCAAATATCTCTCCTTCTTTTAAGAGTTACAGTCCGACTTTGGGCAATTTAATAATAAAATGTCTCATCCAAAGAAAAATCCAGTATATTCAATTAGTAGCCCTAAATTCAGGATTGACAATAAAGAGATAATAATAATTAATCGCAAATACACTATATCAATAGCCATTTATGCAAAAGACTATAAGAAATTACTGTAATTAAATTGTGACTCAATCTTGTTGGATATTCTACTATGTATTGGCCTTTTTACGCGTATAGTGCCTTTGTCTTTCTTTCACATATATATTACCAGAGCCTAGAAACACCAGATGTTAATTCCCACCCACCCTTTTATTTTTATTTATTTTTCGCAAAGTACAAAAAATGATACAAATATTCTGTAGCCTTATGGACCAGATATAATTATTCCATGCCAGGAACAAGGCCACAATTTGTGGCCCAATATAATCAAAATGTCGTCCCCAACTAGGAAACGTCGTCCCAGTAAAAGTAGCGATAGCAACAGCAATAATAATCTAGTCACTGTAACATAAAAAGTTTGGCTCTTTGAGATGTTTAAACAATTACAGGTAAAGTGCCTAAATAACTATCTACTTTGTCTGAAAACTAACTTTTCTTTGTTGAAACATTCCCAAATTTGTCTCAATCTCGAGTAGAAGCACTGTATTATTTTCTTACTTATGCGAAACTTTCGAAATAGATTTCTGGTAGATGTATCATGTACTAATTATTATTATTAAGCAAATAGTATTAGATAATGTAAAGTAAGATGGAAGGGAGGGGAGGTCATAGTGTTTGTCTCTTCAAACGATAGAAATATGTATTCGGCATGCGACCTCAACTAAAAGTCTTAAATATAGCAATATTTAGTAGCAATAAACTCGTCTATAAATATAAAAGGTAACCAATGTAAGAAGTGTGCATTTACTGAAAATGTGACAAGTTGTTTTATTACTAGCATATATATATATTCTTTTATAGCTTTATACGCATATCTATGTTTTGTAAATAGCCAAGTACAAGGATAATACGTGTTTAGAGAGAATGTTTATATATTTGTTTATTTATTTATTTATTGAAGGTAAATATTAGGTATATATATAATTCCAGTCGGTAAATCCTAAATGCCTATCCAGGGAAGGCCCATCGGTGCTCCACATCTTGTTCTTGTGCTTCAAAATCTGCTGTAATAAAAAAGAAAGAAAGAAAGAAATATAAAAGTACGTACCTGCAAAAACAAACACGCAGAAAAAAACGGACCCAACGAGAAAAAAAACTAACTAAAAACACAGTACGAAGTTGGGGACATCTCACTTATACGACATCCGGTGGATCAGCACAACACCGAGATGAAGGACGACTAAGCATCAAAAAAAGAAGTTGGCGCAATGCCTTGAAACCCTCGGCCTCGTACTCAGAATCCTGGACACCACCAGAGCTCAGTCAGGGTCCCGAAGGTTAACCTGTTGGCTTGAACCTCGTTATATACAAAATAAGAACAAGATAAAATGCTGAGATGTTTTGCTTTAGCTTATGTTTTAGAACGATTACTCACCGATTAAGGAGCTCACCAAAGTACTCGCGTACTCTAATGAACTCGCCCGCTGGACCGCTATTTTATTTTTGAAAAAAAAATTATGCAGACAAAACACGTTAATATCTTTTCATGTCAAATTGATAAGTAGTAAGCATGGAGATTAGCAGCAGATTTTTGCACACAAGAACAAGAACAGGAGTGTTTTCTAGGCTTCTGACTATTTCTTGCTGTCAGTCTATTGTAAATAACAAATAAAAAGTTAGATCTTGTTCAAGAGTAATGCGCATGAGGTTGGTAGCATTAGCCATTCACTCGTTTTCTTGAATCTGCCAAAGTTGAAAATATGGAGCGCCTCTTTAAAAAAGAAAAAGGCGAAAATATGTTCAGGTTAGCTTATGACACCGAATGGGACGTATTCGAGCTGGCTTTAACACGCTGGTGGTCTTTACATTCGTTACTTACCTGGTGTAAACGTAAACTGGCCTAAAGGAAGGGAAATACAAATAAACAGACGCGTATGCCCTTGAAATAATTCTTTCCTACGCCAATATAGATGACATCATCATCTATTTGTGATGCAAGCATTCTTAGCCACTGTGAGAGAATTTATTAGACCAAAATAACCACTACGGTAAAAAGGGGGTGTTTCAGAGGGCGATTGTGTAAAACGCATGTGATTTTTTTAAAATTACCCCCTGAAGCGCACCTTTTTTCTCACAGTGGCTAAGAATGCTTGCATCACAAATAGATGATGATGTCATCTATATTGGCGTAGGAAAGAATTATTTCAAGGGCATACGCGTCTGTTTATTTGTATTTCCCTTCCTTTAGGCCAGTTTACGTTTACACCAGGTAAGTAACGAATGTAAAGACCACCAGCGTGTTAAAGCCAGCTCGAATACGTCCCATTCGGTGTCATAAGCTAACCTGAACATATTTT